TTCCTTATGTATTGTATAATTGCCTCCTCTTCATGCTTCTGAAGCTTAGATGAGTTAGGGTGGGTATCGCGTCGTGGGGTTCTTCCAGCGCCTTGATGGCTAAGTGTACTTTGAGGAACCCTGTAGATAGCAGCAGCGCGTCGCTGGCTTAGTGACGCGTTAGATTTTATTGCTTGGGTAGCAAGTATAACTCTATCTGCACAGGAAAGTAATTCAAGATCAGGTTGTTGAGCCATTGTAATTAATAGTAGAAAGCGTTGTGGTCTTGGCAGAGTGATTCGCTCGGTGGGGTGATTCGCTCGGTGGTGGACCACGTTATCAGGAATACCACAAGGTATCACTCTCCGAACCATCTCAATCACATGACAATGTTGCCATCATCTTCACTCTCGAGCACTACCAGTAGGATATTAATTATTGAACAAACAAAATGCAACCATCAAATTGCCTAGAGAGGCTGTCGCAATGAGGCCAGAAGTAAAGAACTTTCGTGTGTACGTCCAATATCGCCTTGGGCCATTCTCCTGCATCCACCACACCCCACACTGCTCTTACACGCCCACAGGTAAAAAAGAAATGCGTTTCCGGTACCGGGAATCGAACCCGGGTCTTTCCGGTACTTCAATCGAGTGATCGGTTGAAAGCGGAATATCCTAGCCTCTGGACTATACCGGAGATGGTACTGTTTGTAGAATTGAGTCGCAGTCTACCAAATATATTCCTATTAAAATAAGACTCGCCAGCTCTCCTTCTTTTGTGATGCGTACAACAGCCCTCAGGCTATGACTCGTCTCGGAAACTAAGACTGAGGTTTGTCGGTGCGTACCGAGCCGGCGAGCCCCCCTCTTCTGACCTTAAAGTCTAACCGACTTCGGACAGCCATTCCAACAATCTTAAACTATCTTCAAAAAGCTTCTCCATTCGCCACCATACGCTTCTCAGCTTAACATCTTCTCATAAGATGGTACAGCCTACCATCCGCTAAACACTGACATGCTAACTGCACTCAAATCTCGGATGTTGAAGATATCATTCGTAAACGCAGGCCGCCACCCCCTCCGTCATTCAAGCTCTTCTAGAGCTTCTTATGTCGTGCACAAATAAAGACCGGATACAAGCGTTGAGAATGTGAGGTCTCCAGCGATACTTTGCACGAGTTCTTTGCACGAATAGGCCTTCCAGAGTCTATATCAGGTGTTTTGTTATATCTAGCTTTCTCCACAACATCAGAAAGAGCTTAGCAATGTGTTTCTCGATCCGCCCGAAATCGTGGCACATACCACGCCTTTCTTTGGGTCTCCACAAATGAGAGACATGATTTGAGGAGTATGTGACCGTCCAGAACATGTTCCTTAAGGCCGAGCCATATCACGTAGTATTTTGTGCAGGGCACCCGTGCAGTCTTGTAGAGGCAAGTGAGGAAAAGGAATACACGGACTTGTGCCTTGTCTCGATTGATGGTACGTAAACGCGTAACGGAGACTGGCCAGCCCACCAAAACATTGTTTCTGAAGGCTCTGCCGTGCCTGAATCCACGACGTCGGTGCTATCAAGTCGTCGGCGCTGATCGAGGAAAGGGTGGTTCTATTCCCATCCTCGCCCACCTCTTCTGCACAACATCTAACTGCATGCCCGGTGGATACAAGGACGGGTTGCCGCGCTTATGGCCTTTCCATGGGCCGTGTTCTACTTGATGCCGGTCAGTGTAGACGAAGAACATACAGAGTGCTAATAGGTTCAGCGCGATCGCTAGTTGCGCAGGCTTGGAGCTGAGGACGTAGTCGACTAGGGCTGAGAGGGAGATTATGCAGGTGAATAACAGGAAGACAGACTTGGGGAGTTGGGACATCATGGTATGGCGCCTCGTGATTTTACGACACTCTCGTTGGGCGGTGGAATTCGAGATCTATTCCATTGTGAATACGAGCTTTCTTCGCTGCCAGTGCGTGATATTGTTTCTGCATTGTTTCTGTTGCTTGTCGTTTGATCTGACTTTGTTTACCGGGCTTTGTGCTACCTAGTAGGTTCAGTAACTGCTTGAAGTTGCCAGCGACTTCTGACACAGCTGTGACATAGAGGTTCGAAAGCTCTTCCTCGCTGTGAAAGCGCCATCGTAGGTTTTCCCATCCTCATTTCGTTCTCTTGACCTCCTGCACGATCCAACGTATCATGCTATTCACTTGGAACATACAAACGCTACCCATCAACACTGTTTCACTATACGGAACGCACTGGAACCTCCATAACAGATACTTTCTCGCTTTATTTACATTTTCTTTCCCCCCTATCACTGCACCAGTCCACAAAATTCATCTACAACTACAATAAGAAGAAAAATTGGTCTGTCTTAACAGACCACAACAGACACTACTATTTGCTATGACTTGGCAAATGCCTGTGGATAGAGAGCCTACATCGCTTGAGATCATGACCAACGATGACATTCGCCAGATTCAGGAGACTTTCGACCATCTTGTCAACTCGAATGACTTACTCTTGCGCTCCTGGACGCATCCCGACCATCAGGCTCTGTGCTGGATCACGGTCGTGTTCTGCATCATCGCCACCTGGCTTGTGTACTCTCACATCGTAACCTGGAGGGAATTTAAGGCGCAAGCAACACAGATGGCATCGCTACAGAAGAAGGTCAACAACGATACTCACGCAGCATCATCGCACCAGACAATCGGTAACGCTCACTCACCACCAAAGACTCCAGTACAACCCAGGTCGATGCCATCTGCCAGCGACACTGGGAAGGACAACTCTCTGTTGATCACTGGCAATCACGTCCCATTCGGTGTCGGCAAAATCATCGACGGCCGCACTGGTCGAGTCTCAACTCCAGGATATCAGACTCCCTTCGTTGACAACTCAGACCAATACAACTTCTCCGGCCTCGCGAAAACTGCCCCAGTCAGCTTCGACACGCTGCAGCGTAATGGCTTGCTCGACACAGAGGGCACGCCGACGAGAAAGTACAGTGTAGCTGCGAACGAACGGAGCAGTGCAACTTCTCATGAGGAAGAGTACGTGCTGGGCTATAGCCCAGCGAAGCTTGAAGTCCTGGGGCAATTGGAAGCGCTCTAAAATGTCGGAAGAACTCCAACGCCAGGTGAAGGATATTTGAGGCGCATTACGTGAATGACCGAGACGATGAGCACGTGCAGGGGTTCTCGACTGTGAAAGGAAAGTGGGAGATGATGTAAGATTATGGTGGCGGATGTATATAGTTCAGAGTGAAGTCTTGTAGGTCTAGCGGTGGGGTCATAATTGCATAAATGCTTCGCAATTTTGTTAATATCGTAGTATTAAACATATAGTATATGTCGTAGCGAAAGCGTCTCCAACGCAGAGATGCAGAAGATTTTGCTGTTCGAGACATCCTCCAGCAGATAAGAACTACGTGAGGGGCCAGATGAGTTTCCAACATGGAAAGCGCAATTCCTTCACCTCCTACTTTGCCGGCGCTGACCACGACTTCGTGGGTGACGTTGAAGCCATCGGTGGGATTGATCCTGCCGAAAGCAACGATGCTCGGGGGGTGTCCAAAAAGAACGATGATACGTCAATCTTAACGGAAGGAGTGTGGCGTGCCTGCCTAACTCAAGGTGAAAGCAAACGAAGCTCATCTAAGTCATCAGACCAAAGGGGTTCCAAATCTTTTTACCACCCAGTGGTCTACTTCGCTTTGTGTAACAGCCACTTCATCTCTCTCACGTCTTCTTGACCCATCATGGGGAATGTAAGTGTCTCCACCACATCTCCTACCGAGGACGTGTCATTCGCGGCCACAGTGGAAGCAGCCAACACACCACCAACCACCGCTGCTGCTATCGACACTTTAACTCCACATGGAACGCCTCCAGACACAGTCGCGACGGAACGCGAAGCTGCTTCACCATCACCACGACTCCTCGATCGTGATCTGAACAAATTCCGGTCGCTGAAGCGAGTGATCTTTATCGGTCGCCCTGGCAGCGGCACTGACGGTGAGTGACATATGCTCTGCGCAATGTGAGTCAGCATTGATACTCTTTCCAGGCATAGGTGATGCCCTTAAGAAGCTGGGCTTCAAGGTCTACGATTTCCAGGTAGCAAGCAGTCGCTACGAGCGCGACTTTCCACTCTGGCTCGAGGCAGCACGCCTGCGTCAGGAAGGGCGATCGTACAACAAGTCAGACTTTGACAAGGTCATTGGCGATTACGATGCTATTGTTGGAGCCCCAGCCTGTTTCTTCGATCAGGATCTCGTCAAGCTGTATCCTGGAGTCAAGGTCATACTGGTGACGCGAGACTCCGTCATCAAGACCAACCTTAAGACGACCAAAGCAAAGCTCTGGAGACGTTTTGACCCTGTGTACCACGGCAACATCAGTCGCTTTCTTAAGCTCAACGCCCCGTCGAATAACCATGATTGTGTCAACAACGATCGAGCCGTGCGCGAGACTGTCCGAGGGAGAAATCTTCTCGAGGTCGGCAACTTGCTTGCGTGGAAGCCGATGTGAGACTTCCTCGGGGTCAAAGTTCCTACTGACGTACTTGCACCTGAGCTTCACGACAACAGAACTCGGGCGGAACTCATGGCTCGCCCGTGGCAAGCTGTGCTGGAGGTAGCCAAAAAGACTGGTCGTCAACTTACTGTGGGCTTGACATACCTTATCACCATGACTTCTGTCACTCTGATCGCTGCTCTAGCAGCAATTTTTGGAGGTACAGGCCTGTACCAGCTTTCCTCTGCTGGCTTGCACCTCTTCCACTTCCTGGCTGTACGCTCCCAGATCCGCGACATGACATGCCTAGCCGTTGCGGGCCTAGCGCTCCTCACATTTGTCTGCGGAGTTGGCACTGGATATAGTATTGCTCTCATGCGTAGCCCTGAACCCATTGTCGTTGATTCGCCTCCTCCTGACCACAGGCGTAGGAACAACGCCGGCCGCAGGAGAAGTGGTGGAAAGGGCCGCGCGCGGCAGTCAGACAACGATGAGAATAGACACCCTGAGCGCCCCCTTCTGGACGAGTGGAGCGGTATGCAGGAGAATATCCACAAAGACGACGTTGAGATGGTCAAGGAAGGCAGGACGGGATTCAAGGAGTGGAAAGGCAAGCATGTGACCTTCAACGTCACCCACAAGCAGACTGAGAGTGGCCGGGAACTGTCCGGTGGGTCTCGCAAGGTTCTATCAGTCACGGAAGAGACAGTCGAGTAGGTGACGACATAGACAGACGGCGGCGGGACTCCGGGCGAGGGACACTTTCATACATAGATTCAATGTGCTCTCTACGATCGAGCGCACACAGAACGGAACGATGCGCCAGACCAACTTTTGAAAAAGGGAACGAACATGTACAATACAAGACTTCGCAAAACGAACGCCGGCCCATGCAATGTATCTAAATGGGTATACACAGATCGTACAGCATTCAAACAGTGCCGCCAATCTCCTTCCTAACCCAGTTCTCAAGGCCACCAAGAGCGATGATCTCCTGCACGTTGGGAGGGAGCTCGCCGACCTTGACGCTCCACTCGGCGCCATTGGGACCCTCCTGGACATTGACAGTGCTCCTGCGAACGTCCCACTCAAGAGTCCAGCCAGTCCTGCGAGTGAGCTGCTTAGCCTCCGCGGGCTGCGCAGTAGCAGCCGGCGGCGGCGAGTCCAGCGATTGGCTGTTGTGGCTGGGTTCCTTGACAGCATGCTGGCTCGCCTCGACGGTCGTGCCAGAAAACACTTCCCTCAGCCTGTTCGCCAGCCTGGGCACCTCGACACCCATCAGCGCATTGTTGATGCTATTCCTGCTGAAGATGTTGCCGAAGCTGCCCGCGACCACGAGCGGAATGCCCTTGGCCAGGATCGCAGTCGCGGCCTGCTCGCGGCTGCTGCCGCAGCCGAAGTTGAAGCCTGTGACCAGCACGTCGCCTGCCTTTGCGGTCTGGCCGAACGAGGGGTCGTAGTTCTCCATGCACACCTCGGCCATCTTCTCGCGCGTCACGTCGTCCTGGTAGGTGTATTTGCCCGGGTAGATGCCGTCGGTGTTGATGTTGTCTGCGTCGCAGAAGACGATTTCACCCGCGATTTTCTCGGGGAAGCCGGGCAGGATCTCGGTGAGTGTCTCCGCGGCTGAAGAAGATGGGGCGGGCTCGGAGACTGTGGGGTTCTCGGGCTCGCCGAACGAGGCGGCGGCGGCTTCTGCGTCTTTGATGGCCTTCTCGATCATGTCCTCGATGGTCATCATGCGCTCCTCTTCGGGAATTCCGTCGCCCTCGCCGCGGCGCACGCCGGTGTAGCCTTCGGGGGCTTCGTACCACCCAGGGCCGGAGATCTTGCCGGAGAGCGCGCTGGCGGCGACGACTTCAGGGCTGGCGAGATACGCCTTGGCATCGGGAGAGCCCATGCGGCCCTTGAAATTGCGGTTGCTGGCGCTGATGCCGACCTCACCTGGCTCGAGGAGACCTGTGCCGAGGCCGATGCAAGGACCGCATCCAGAGGGCAGAGGCTGAGCACCGGCCTCAAGGAGGGTCTGCCAGTCACCAGACTCCTCTGCAGCCTTCTGTTCTGGGATCGACGCAGCGGCAATGTAGAAGTTGACGTGTTCGGGAAGCTTGGGAACCTTGCCGCCGTTGGCTTCAGCAGCCTCCTTGAAAACCCTGGCAGCAGCCGCGAGATCAGATGCGCGAGAGTTGGTGCAAGAGACAAGGTACGCCTTGTTGACCTTGATGTCCTGGTTCTGGAGCTCGATGAGGGGGGTGGCAATCTTGACTGAGTTGGGGCCAGAGACGTAGGGCGACAGGGTGGACAAGTCGAGGAAGAGCTCCTTGGCGTATACGGCGCCCTTGTCTGCAGCCAAAGCAGGCTTCCAGATGTGACCGAGCTGTTGCCCAACGATGCCGGTAGCGGTGAAGAGCTCGTCGATACGCTCGTGGACGAACTGCTTCTGGTGGTGATCTTTGACGTCGCCCTCGCCCATAGCGGCCAGAGTAGCACGGGCTCGCAGCCAGCCGTGGAGGACGGAGTCGATGGGGAAAAGACCGGTCAGAGCACCCCACTCGGTAGTCATGTTGGCAATGGTCAGGCGGTCGTCGACGGGAATAGTGCGGAGGGTGTCATCAGTCCCGGTGAACTCGATGGCGTGGTTGAGGACTTCATCGTTGTTGAAAAGGCCAGCGAGAGCAACGATGACATCCTTTCCGGTGACACCCTTGGGCATGGTGCCGCTCAGGGTGACCTTTGCAACGGGAGGTACCTGCCACCAGGTCTTGCCAGTTGCCCAGATACTAGCAGCATCCGTGCGGACCACAGGTGTGCCGAGACATCCAATGCCGCCGTACATGTTCGAGTGACTGTCCGAGGCCACAGCAAGCGTGCCTGGCCATGCGTAGCCCTCTTCAACCATGATCTGGTGACCGATACCGCGCCCAGCACCGTAGAAGACGACATCGTTCTTTCCGGCGAACTCTTCGATCTGACTGTACTTCTTCAGGTTCTTCTCCGTCTTGTTCTGGACGTCGTGGTCGAGGGTCATGACGATTTGCTTGGGGTCGTTGATCTTGGTGGCGCCGATAGACATGAACTTGAGCGCAACAGGCCATGAGTTGTCGTGTGTCATGCACTTCGCAGGCTGGAGAGTGACATAGTCGCCCGAGCGGACGACCTTGCCCTCTGCGACGCCGATGGCATGGCGCTGGACAATCTTCTCGGTCAGGGTCTGTGGTGTCTTCGGTGTCTCCTGGAAGGTGCCGAGGAAGTTCGCTGCCGGGCCCTCCTTCAGCGAGTGGAAGACGTCGGGAGCGTCGTAGCGGGTGGCTGTCGTGCTGAACGCGCGAGGGGCGAAGTTGAGACGAGACGATTGCGTCGCGACGCGTGAAAGGCGGATGCTCGATGGCAGCTGCGAACAGGTTAGAATCTGTGGCAGGCGAAATGGACACTCCAACACGTACAACAGCCGCTCGGCGACTCAGAAGGCGCGCAGCTCGCAGTGACATGGCCATTGCTCCCAGATTGACGCTCGGCACAAACGATGTGTCGATTCACGATGCGCACGCTTCCCCAGAAATTTGTCGGCCAAGACGCATTCCCGGCCGCGCCGACTTCGGCAGATGGTCATCAGGGTCGATCCGAACCTGATTGGCCGCGGTCAATCACCACTCTGAAGTCGGCCAGCACAACGTGCGGGCAGTCTTGAAGAATAGCTTAATGTGCTCATGCGCGTATTGCTTCTGCAGGTCGTGGTTGAGCTGCAAGCTTGCCCGGTGGCTTGCATCACCGAAACTGGCCGGCACACTCTAGAGGATGCTGCATTGGAGTCATATTGGTATGACGCGAAGCTCAAGAATTTACGCTCCGCAAACATACTTCTTACACCCGGTCAATTGATCATCTACTTCCCCCCAGCTAACCTGCCTTGACTTCTCCTCCCACCACTCTTGCTGACCACCTTGACATTACCGCCATGGTACAAAGATCCGACGTCAACTACTTCGGTGCTGGCCCCGCGCCGCTCCCCACCGCCGTCCTCGAGAAGGCGTCACAAGCGCTGCTCAACTACCAAGACAAGGGCCTCGGTCTCTGCGAGATCTCCCACCGCTCGCCAGAAGCGAATGCCATCCTTGCCGAGACCAAGCAGGCGCTGAGCGACCTGCTCGAAATTCCCAATGACTACGATATCCTCTTCCTCCAGAGCGGCGGCAGTGGCGAGTTCAGCGCAACCGTGTACAACCTCGTGTCGATGTGGGTAGAGAAGAAGCGTGCCAAGATCGCCGCAGAAGCGGGCGACGACAAGGACGAGGTGCTGAAGAGGCTGCGAAAGGTCGTAGACGAGGAGCTCAAGATCGACTACCTGGTCACTGGCTCTTGGTCGCTCAAGGCCTCGCAAGAAGCTGCACGCCTCATCGGTGCCAAGCACGTCAATGTTGCAGTCGACGCTCGAAAGGCCAACGACGGCAAGTTTGGCAAGATCCCCTCTGAAGACCAGTGGAGCCTCACGCCTCGCTCGTCAGGCGGGCCAGCCTTTGTCTACTTCTGCGACAATGAGACTGTCGACGGCGTCGAGTTTCCTTCATTCCCCAAGAGCCTCGAGGGCGAGGACGCGCCCATTGTCGTCGCTGACATGTCCTCCAACTTCATCTCCCGCAAGGTCGATGTCAACAAGTACGGCGTCATCTTTGGTGGGGCCCAGAAGAACATCGGCAACACCGGTATTGCTATTGCCATCATCAAGAAGTCACTCCTTCCTCCTCAGTCACCGTATGCCTCGCCAGATCTCCTGAGAGAACTCAATTTGGCTGTTGGACCCATTGTCTTCGACTACCCCACAATCGCGAAGAACAACTCGCTGTACAACACCTTGCCGATATTCGACGTATGGGTTGCTGGGCAAGTCATGAAGGGGCTTGTCGACTCATATGGTGCAAAGCGAATCGGTGGCCAGGAAGAGATTTCAGACGAGAAGGCCAACCTGATCTATGGTGTACTTGACAAGTACACCAATGTCTACCGTGTTGTTCCAGACAAGTCCGCGCGCAGCAGAATGAATATTTGCTTCAGAATCGGTGGTGGAGATGCAGACAAAGAGAAGGCTTTCCTTGCGGGCGCTGAGAAGAAGGGCCTGCTTGGTCTGAAGGGCCACCGCAGCGTTGGCGGCATTCGTGCCAGCAATTGTGAGTGTCACAGTCTCCACTCAGTCAAATTGGAATGTCACCAGACTAACAGCTTTCAACAGACAATGCCGTCTCTCTTGATGGCGCGAAACTGCTCGCCTCATACCTTGAGGAGTACGCAAAGTCTGCGTAGACGGCGACCACCAGCTGCAAACCTGCCCTATCGACTTCCGATGAGGAAATTCACAGCGTCACCACTTACACCATGCACAATGCAATCTGTTCAAGATCCTCAAATCACAATATAATGGCATCCCAACGCCTCGATCATCATGACTCCATCGATCTACCGCAGTTTACTCCATCAACCCCACCTTCTGACGCAGTCTAGACCACAGTTATCCTACTTGCCCATGGCTCCGAGCGCCGAGCGGGGCGAGCAGATCAGTATACCACGTGCTATCGCTTCTTGACACGAGCTGCTCAAGCAACTCATTCGTGGCATTTGTCGCTCAATCCGCCATGGGTGGCTTCTCGCCGCGGGCCGGGGATGTGAGACCGACGATGAGGTAGCGAGATGAGGTCCTTCGCATCAGGGTGATCATCATGGTCTACGAACGCCGGCTGGAAGGTACAACGGTCACCCGGCAGGCGCAACACGCGTCGTCACTGCTGTTTATCAATATCACCGAGCATAAGCAGGGTCTTCGCGGTTGGTGAATGTACACTTGCAAGCAAGCATGCGTCGAGGTCTCGTTGATTTTGCTGTGCAGACAACCATGGGCACTGTAGTATCGCTCAGCAAATTTCCAACTCGTCAGCCAAGCAGCAAGGCGATCCAATCCTGAGAAACATTGGTCGCTCTACGACCTTCTTTACATCATATCGCATGCGCCACGACCATTGACTTGCAAGGGACGGATCCATCGAGACGAACAGGTTCAGCTTAGTTGACCCAAGATGGTTAGTCCCAATGACCCGAGTCTCGTTACTCGCAGTGAATAGTTTTATGCCTCTTCTTCGAGGTCCCTGGGGATATGCAATTTCCCCCGAACGCACACAAGATCCCAGCTTTGAGCGGGGGCGCGTGAGGATCTGGCGTTCCTAGTGTGTCGGACAGGTGTGAAGCGAGGATCTGCGGCACAGCCTAAACTCATCAGGCATCAGAACGTTGATTCAACCTCCCGACCTCATGACAACAGCAAGCGATACGCCACACCCCCTCTCCACCGACCTAGAAGCGGCAAGAGGAACACATGGCAACACCTCGTACTACGTGACAGAAACGAAACCTCTGAGCCCAGAACAAGCGCTCAACTTTGACAGGAGACAGCTCTACGCTGTTGGCAACCTTCGATGCGCCTTCGAGATGCCGTAAAGGAAAGTCTGCAGTGAAGACGTGCTCGAAGATTTCAAGACGCAGTTTCTATCACAAGTACGTTGCCCTCAGATGTAATGGAGCATGTGTATTTTCCAGTCTGCTGCTATGGCAGTTAAGGAAAGCTTGTCGAGACGGGTGTGTCTGCTTCCGCTGCCCGAGCTTCCCAGTATGCGTGCAGTTCGTGAAACCCACCTTCTCCAAGCCGGCGAGGGTCGCTCTCTGGCATGATCCAACGCGGACGCGGCCGGTGCTCTAGGTCAGCGAATGAATTGACAGACGCCTCAGGACCGCTGTCCCGAAACCGTGCGCTACTGGCACCTTGCCCTAGTTTCCTCATATACCATTTCGCGTCTCATATTCGCCTCCTCGTCCCACGCCTAATGCTTACCCTCTTTTAACCTCCCCTCGTTCTGCTGGCAGGCTCAGGTACCTCCTACTGAAGTCGAGCGTTTGTGTTTACTACGCTCAGATTGTCTCCATGAATATCTAAGCGTTTTCACTTTTAACAGCCGCTGCTGGTGATCAGCGACGTTCTTTTCTTCTTGTGCAATTTGTTGCGAAGGTTGACACAATGGAAGAATGGATTGCTCAACTGCCTCGTCTTGAGGCCCGGTCGCACTTCAATGTGTCGCTCAACACCTCGGCCGTCAGCGAATCCTCATGGTCCTCACGGAATTCAACCAGAGCCATTATCGCGAGTCTGCAGCTGGCCCAGGTGCAGACGCTGCGCACAATGCACCTGGCTCTGGGTGTCTTCAGTCTCGCGCTTGCACTGTTGACCGTGTACCGAATCCTGTCGGATGCTAGACGAGCGGCAGCACTACGAGTCACTCTCCGCAAGCAGTGAGTAGCAAGACATCATACTGTTCGAGCCGGCTAACACTGCGCAGACGGTTCAATTCTCTTCAAAACGTCCATCCCGCCGAGACCTTCCCACTCGCGCTGGCTTGCGGTGTGGTTCTATCGCAAATTATATTCGTAGCAGTGCAGGGCACAACTCTTTCTAGTGTATTATCAAGCAGCTGTCGAATGCTGGCCATGTTCACCTACCCCGGTATGTTGCGGCCGTACGTACTCGGGATCAACGACTAACAGACACAGCAATCTTCGCTACGGGCTACGTCACTCTCGTGTTTGGCATCGAAACCGCGCTGCGCTCCTTCAAGGACGACCGATTTGCGCCGCGAGGAAAGTGGAACACAATACTATGCATCGCGACAGTGGCTTTCTTCCTCCTCTTGACCTGGATTCCCACCATCGTATGGCCCATGTTGAACAAATGCTTCGGCGGCCTCATCTGGTTCGTCATGCGCTACGACCTCCTCACTTTCGTCCTCCTCCTCGTTCTGGTCTCGTTGCTCCTGCTCTTGGCGGCCATCATCAGCATCCAGCTGATGCGAAGTGCTGACGTCGACCCGAACGAGCGCATTGCCGCATCGAGAATGTGCTACTACCTGCTCCTGATCGCAGTGATCTACGTAAGTGCTGAATCGTTCTTGGCCGATGAGTCTCGCTGACAGCCACAGATCTTGGTCATACCAGCCGAGGCTCTGTCTTTTCAAGGAAAGTTTGATGCTGCTCTGAGCAGCTCACGATTCGCCGAAGCATCGCTCTTTTCGTCAGGCATAGCCATTTCCTTCTTCCACTCCTTCCTCCGTACGAACGCAAACCGACTGGCGATCCGCCCGATCGAAGAGATGAGGTCTCAGTCCAGACAGAAGCGACCACGAATCCGCTTCTTCGGCCCCAGCGATCTCGAGATGAACATCAGCGGGCCCCTGGCACTCCAAGGCGGTCGACCCGACAGCAGACAAGGACTGATCGACGTCGGCCCGGAGAAGAATCGCTTCGACTTTGACGCAGAGTACTTTGAGCGACCGGGGCGCGCAATGACACCGGGGTCCAAACTCCAAAGCCCCATCGACCCGACAAAATGGCCTCTACCTCCGGACAGCGACGAAGCAGAGGAGGAGAGCAAGGGCCACCAGCGGAATAAGGTCAGCTATTCCGTCTTCCCCACGCGCGCAGAGCATGTCCCCCGCCTGCCCGCCACCGTCTACAACCCGTCGCGAGCCGCCAAGGGCGAATCCAGAATCTCCAAGCTCGCCATGCGCCGCTTCAACCGCCGCAGCTCCGTGACAGACGTCAGCCGCGAGTTCGAATCAATGGATAAGCCCGCCCCCTTCTTCGCCATGCGGACAGGCCACGCCAGCACCGACAGCAGCGCGACAGTGCAAATCGGGCTGCGCTTCTCCCTCGCGCCCGCCATGCTCTCGGCAAAATACCCTTCGCCCACGGCTCCGCACATGCCCAAGCCCACCACCACCTCGCCTTGGGGCGCGCCCCTGAGCGCCACCTCCCCGACCACCGTTCTCCTGCAACCCGCATTCTTCTCTCCCCCAACCCCCGCCAAACGAAGCCCAGCAAAAACCCCCGCGTTCCCCCTCACGCCCGCGCAGTCAAGCAGCGCGTACCTGGAAGCGCAGCGCTCCAAGATCCTGCCCGCCGCGCCGACGCTGGCGCTGAGCGGACTGCGCATGAACCCCGTGACGCCCGCGGGCTCCGTGGCAGCATCATCGCCGACTCGCCGCTCCTTTACGGATGATGCGCCGACGACACCAACACCATCTACGCCAACACCGAGCACACCTGCTACACCGCGCTCGCGCGCAAACGCGCTCGTGCGCTCTAACAGCGGCACGTCCGCGTGTCCGTCGCCCACGGCGCGGATTCCAATGGGGCAGGGGACTATGAGTCGTAGTCCGCCGCCGAGGGGGTGGTTGTAAGTAGAAGTAGAATATACACATCTACCTCGACTCTCGGATATCTACGAGAGAGTCTTGATGGTGTGTGGCGCGGGTGGCGCGGCTGTGTACGGTATCCGCATCTGTCTCCAAGAAGGTGGGGGGGGAGGTCTGACGGCGTTTTGGTTTCATGTGCGCGGCTGCGTCGCATTGGGGTTTGGGGTTGTGCGGATGCTTGTGCCGTGAGGGACGCCGACGCGCCTCTCCGTCTCCCTTTGTTTGTCGTCGAGGTGTTTTTACTCTTGTCGAATGAGTCGTCACGACATGCCTGCCTGGTGTGCAGCGCGTCCGCTTCACGACTTGATGTTTCTTCTCGCTGGGGTGGCGTGGGACGTCTAATGCGCTTCTCGAGGAGGCGGGTGGGGTGGTCACTGAGAGGGGATGTAGGAATTGAATCACAGCGGTCGTGCTTTGTGCTTGGTGTTGCTCATCGTCCTCATCGTCATCGTCATCGTCATCGTCATCGTCATCGTCATCCTCATCCTCATCCTCATCCTCATCCTCATCGTCATCGTCATCGTCATCCTCATCACCATCATCACCATCATCACCATCACCACCATCATCACCATCACCACCATCATCACCATCATCACCATCACCACCATCATCACCATCAGCGGCAATTGAATCATATCGCTCTCCTTGGTCTTGCTCATCATCGTAATCATTGCTTTCTCCTCCGTATCTAGACACTGCTACTGCCATCCCCTGTTGGTTGTTTCCGATTCATGCCGTCCAGCGCGTCCAGAAGCGCCAGCGCGCGCGCTTCTCGGCCGAATCCCTCTCCCCGAAGCGCTGCTGAGACTTTGCACGACGGCGGCCGACCCAGGCAAACCACACCAGCAGGCCGACGGCCATGAAGGCCACGACGAGCAGGGTCTGGACGGGCTCGGCGAAGACGGCCCTGCTGAGCAGAAACAGACTGACGCAGCAGAAGATGATGGGGGTGGTGATCCACGTCTTGTACGGGCGGTCGAGCTGGGGCTCGCGGACGCGGAGGACAATGAGCCCCAGGACGGTCTGGAAGTAAAAGGTGTAGCCGGCGACGCCGTAAAAGGTGACGAGCGAGTCGAAGCTGCCGGTCAGGATGTAGACGGCGGTTATGGCGGCGTTGAGCAGCATGGCGCTGATGGGGGTGAAGAAGAAGCCTGCGTCCGGGTCTGCGAACCAGGCGGCCATTTTCCCCGACACGTTGGCGTTGGCGGTGTTTGGGCTGAGGCGGATGGCGCGGTGTGCTTTGCCCAGGCCAATGGTGCCGAAGATGCTGGGCATGTAGCCTTCCTTGCCGGCCGCGTAGACGAGGCGGCCAGAGGTGAAGGTGGTGGCGTTCAGGGCGCCAAAGCACGAGCCCGAGACGAAGAGCGCGAGGACCAGGGCGCCGACGGGGCCGAAGACCTGGCTGCCAAAGGCGACGGCGACGGTGTTGGAGGACTCGATGACGTGGGTGGGCAAGACGAGGAAGTAGGATATGTTGGCGAGGATGTAGCACAGGATGACGAGGGGCAGCGACGTGTGGATGACGCGGGGCAGGTCGCGGGCGGGGTTCTTGAACTCGGCGGTTACGTAGTTGACCTGGGCGCGTTAGCCAGACGGGAGGGGGAGAGAGCGGGGGAGGAGGGGGAGAGAGGAGGGGGAGAGGAGGGGGAGAGAGCGGGGGAGAGAGGAGAGCGGGGGAGAGAGGAAAGAGAGAGAGAGCGGGGGAGAGAGGAAAGAAAGAGAGAGAGAGGAGAGAGAAAGAAGAGGAGCAAGTACGTTATCCCAGCCGTCAAACGCCCACAGGCCGGCGTACAGCGCAACGGCCCAACTACTAATGCTGTGCGAGGTGCCGTCGAACCAGCCCATGTGCTTCCAGTCGGTGTTTGCGTCGCCGCGGTAGGCGAGCCCCGTGGCGGCGACGACGATGCCGACGACGAAGATGGTCAGCAGGGCGAGGAACTTGAGGAACATGAAGACGTCGGCGCTGCGGGTGCCGAGCTTGGTGGAGACGCAGTTGAGGGCGGTGACGGCGACGAGGCCGGCCAGGGCGACGCCCTTGTGCAGCCAGACGCTGGCCTCGACGCCGTCGGGCCCAGTGGCGGCGCGCACGAGGTACTCGCCGAAGATGATGGAGATGATGGCGGCGGAGCCGGGCTTGAGGACGGTGACGGCGCACCAGGTGAACAGGAAGCCGGCCCACTCGCCAAAGATGGTGGCGAGGTAGACCTGGGCGCCGCCGTTCAGCGGGATGGCGCCGCCGAGCTCTGCGTAGCTGGCCGCGCCGGTCCAGGCCAGCACGCCGGCGACGGCCCAGACGAGCAGCGCGGCGCCCGGCGAGCCGGCGTTCTTGTTCACCTGGGCGGGCGACGAGAAGATGCCGCTCCCGATGATCAGGCCGACGACCAGCGACAGGCCGTTGAGGTACGTCAGGCTCTTGTTCTTCTCCAGCGCGCCGCCGTGGAGCGCGCTGGTCGGGTCGAGGGCCGGGTTCGCGGGGGCGCCCAGCGCCGTGTAGCCCTGCGCGGAGCTCGAGAGCGGGAACAGGCTGGGCGCAAAGTCAAAGGCCGACGACACGCTGTAGGAGCGGTTGTGCCGCGGGCGGCTGCGCTCGCCCTCGCCCTCGCCCGCCTCGAACAGCGGGTCCTCGTCGTCCAGCGACAGCCTGCGCGACGAGGGCGCGCCCGAAGCCGACGAGTCTTGCGAGGTGCGCCGCGACGGGTGCGACGAAGAGGCCAGCGACGCGAGCTCGAGGGAGTCGCGCGTCGGCGGCGGGAGGTTGCCGTAGCGGCCGGCCATGGTGCGGGAGTGTGCGTGGGCGCGTACGCGGGGTGTGTGTGGGTGCGTATGCGGGAGTGTGTGTGGGCGCGTATGCGTATGCGTGTGCGGGTGCGATGAGGGGACGGGGTCTGGGTGGGCTTGCTACAAAGTCGCCATGGAGAGGGACGTGTGTGCAGCAGGAGACGGCAGGGGATCCAGCTCAATGTCCTGGACGTGTGTGCAGCAGGCGTCCCGGTGTGTACTCAATGTCCCCTTGCTGTAGCGAGCAGCCCGGCGGTGTGAAGGCGCGAATGGTCGAATGGCGACCGTCTGGGCCGGGACGAGACGAGACGAGACGAGACGGGACGACCTACCGCTGCCGGTACCTATTAGGTAGTGCCCGTCGCGTCCAAGCTCCAGAATTTCACCGCGGGAGTCTTCCTGAAATGGCGCTCCCGCCCATCCATTGCCCGCCCTCCGCTGTGCGCGCACGCGAGGTCATGCGAAGCCTCTGCGTACATTGACGCGTCCAGTGATGCAAAGCCTCCGTGGGCAAAGCCTCCGCGGGCAAAGCCTCGGCCGGCCGCCCGTCCCCCGCTACGCCGTCCTGCCGCTCCCTCGCTCTGCCGTCCTGTCGCTCTCTCGGCGCGCCGCCTCCACATGGCCTCTGCCCATGGCGGCGCGCCGTCGCGCCGCAGCCGAGATCCCAATCGAAACGCTGACTGCCAAGTGGCAGCCTCACTGGGACCAGCTCGCCAGGCAGGGCAGAGAGCCCGCGCCGACAAAGGGCAAGGCATACGTGCTGCCCATGTTCCCCTACCCGTCCGGCACTCTGCACCTCGGCCATCTGCGCGTCTACACCATCTCGGACGTCCTGGCGCGCTTCAAGCGCATGCAGGGCTACGGCGTCTTGCACCCCATCGGCTGGGACGCCTTTGGCCTGCCCGCCGAGAACGCTGCCATGGAGCGCGGCGTGCATCCGGAGAAGTGGACGCGCCAGAACATCGACGCGATGAAGGCGCAGATGATGCTCATGGGCGGCCGCTGGGACTGGGACGCTGTATGCGACATGTGCACACGGCCAGACACGACGCTGACCGTCTCGGCAGGAAATCCGAACATGCGATCCGCACTTCTACAAGCACACCCAGCGCATCTTCCTCATGCTGCACGAGCGCGGCCTCGCCTACCAGGCCGAGTCGCTCGTCAACTACGATCCCGTCGACAAGACGGTCCTCGCAAACGAGCAAGTCGATGCCAACGGCTGTTCCTGGCGGTCAGGCGCAAAGGTCGACAAGGTCATGCTGAAGCAGTGGTTCCTGAAGATCAAGGAGTTTCAGGACCCGCTGCTGAGGGATCTAGACACGCTCGCCGCCGACGGCATGTGGCCGGACAAGGTGCTCGCCATGCAGAGAAACTGGATTGGCAAGTCCGAGGGCACGAAGCTCTGGTTTGATGTCGAGGCCACGACCCGTGACGTGCCGTTGGATCCAATCCAAGTCTCCACCACCCGCGACGTGCCGTTGGATCCAATCCAAGTCTTCACCACCCGCGCAGATACCTTGTTCGGCGTGCAGTACATTGCCCTTTCGCTGACTCATCCCATCGTCCAGCGTCTGGCCGTCGCCGACGAGTCCCTCGGAGCCTTCATCGCACGCGCGAACCATCTCCCCCGCGACACCAAGGAGGGCTATCGCCTGCCACACGTCGTCGCTCGCAACCCTCTCGCCCAGGTCACAGGCATGCCCGGCTCCGCCGTCCCGATATACGTTGCTCCGTACGTGCTCGACGACTACGGGTCCGGTGCAGTCATGGGCGTACCCGGCCACGACACTCGCGACCACGCCTTCTGGAGGGCCAACGCCGGCGACGCGCCCGTCAAGGTCGTCGTGACGGAAAAACCCGGCACGGCTGCGTCGCAACTGCTGCCTGCCAAAGACGACCAGCCCGTGACCGCGCGAGGTTTCGTGGCGGCCGACATGCCCGAGTTTGCAAACATGCAGTCCCACAAGGCTGCCAAACTCGTGGCCAGGAAGCTCAAAGAGTCGGGCAAGCGCGCCGAGCAGACGGCGAACTGGCGGCTCCGCGACTGGCTGATCAGCCGGCAGCGATACTGGGGCACCCCCATACCCATCGTCCACTGCCAGTCGTGCGGGCCAGTGCCGGTCCCCAACCAAGACCTGCCCGTCGAGCTGCCCAACCTGCCCGACACCTTCTTCGAGGCACGGTCCGGCAACCCACTCGAGCAAGACGAGGAGTGGAAGAAGACGCCGTGTCCCAAGTGCGGGTCGGCGGCCGAGCGCGAGACTGACACCATGGACACGTTCATGGACTCGTCCTGGTATTTCTTCAGGTTCCTGGACCCCAAGAATGCCTCGCAGATTGTAAGGCCTGGCAAGGCCGACAGAGGCATGCCGGTCGACCTCTACGTCGGCGGCGTGGAGCACGCAATCTTGCATCTGCTCTACGCCCGCTTCATCTCCAAATTCCTCGCCTCGACGCCAGTGTGGCCGGCGGGGCAGCTCGTCAAGGGCGAACCCTTCAAGCAGCTCATCACACAGGGCATGGTGCACGGCAAGACCTTTACCGATCCCGCCAGCGGCCGCTTCCTCAAGCCTGATGAAGTCGACGCATCATCCGGGGCCCCCCTGATCAGAGCCTCGGGTCTGGCGCCAAACGTCAGCTTTGAGAAAATGTCAAAGAGCAAGTACAACGGCGTCGATCCGGCCGCCACCATTGCCGCCTACGGCGCCGACGCGACCCGCGCACACATGCTCTTCCAGGCGCCCATCACCGACGTGCTCGAGTGGGACGAGAGGAAAATCGCCGGCGTGCAGCGCTGGCTGGCGCGCGTGGTCCGCCTGTCCAGCGCCTTCTGGTTCCCCGACCAAGAACTCGAGCTCTTCCGGGGCACCAAGAACATCGACGCCGACCTGCTCAGGATCGTCAACGCCTACCGCGCGCGCGCCCGCAAGCCGCGCGAGCAGCTCACGACCCAGGCCGAGCTCATCGCGAGCCTGAAGCTCGACGAGGCCAAACTCTGGGCCAAGACACAGCAAACCATTGCCTCGGTCTCGACCTCGTACGCCTCAACCCACGCCCTCAACACCGTCGTCTCCGACCTCATGACCCTCACAAACACTCTCTGGGACACGCCGCACGCCGCCGAGCTCACGGGCTGGCTGAAGTGGCACGCCTACGTCCACCTACTGCGCATGCTGGCCCCCATCGCCCCCGGCGTCGCAGAGGAAGCATGGCACAACCTCGCCACCCAGACACTGCACCCGCAAGCCCCCCCGCTCCCCGCGAGCGTCTTCGCAGCCGGCTTCCCGACCGCCGACACACTCATCATCCCCCATCTCAACCCGTTCGCGACGTGCGTCGTCCAGCTCGACGGCAAACGCAAGTTCGCCGTGCAGATTGACAAGTCCGCGTCGCTGCCGGGTCGCGTCGCGAGGACCGACCATGCCGGCGTTCTGCGCCACGTCGCCGACACCCCCGAGGGCAAGGAGTGGCTCGACAGAGACACGGGGAAACTGTGGGCGCTCAGCCAGAGCAGCGAGCCGCACCCCGTGTACCCCCAGATCCCCGCGGATTGGAACGTGGTTGTTGTCGGCGCGCGGCTGGTGAACTTGGTTAGCCCCAAGGCTGCGAAGACGCAGACGCAGAAGCAGGAGCAGACGAAGACGCAGGAGCAGGAGCAGGAGCAGACCCAGACCCAGAAGCAGGAGCAGGGCGACGAGGGCGTTGCTGAGCCCCCCACGTCCAAGGCGACATTTGCAACGCGGCCGATGGGCAGTTTTGCCAGTCTGCGGTCGGACAAGGACGGCTGATGGCCGTGGTAACAAACAACATGTACAACAGTCGAGTGTATCCTTCTGTGTTCTGTAAGAAGTAGACCGCACCTGTCGAGTAATAGACAATGTACAACACCATATACATACCATCCATCACACCGGCGATCTGCGACACCGCACTGCTCGCCCGCCATCTCACCATCGATTCAAACACCCCCGCCAAACGCCATCTAGATTCCCGCTTGGGCCATGCAGTATCCATCCAACCGCCCCGGTAGCTCGGTAACGCGCTTCCCTGCGTCTACTGTACACCACGGCTTCGCGCTATGCAGAGGAGAGGAGGGGTATTGCGCTTCTGTCGATTAAACTACTTTTAGAAGAGAAGTTGGTGCGGAGAATCACCCTTCCTCGTGAGCGAAGGTGGGACTGTGCTTGTAGGAGGAAGAAGAGAAGGAAAGGTCTTGTGGATTTTTTTGTTTGGTCGTGGTGGACATGTTGTAGGTATTAGATTGGCTGTGTGAGGAAGAGAGAGTGATGGAAAGGGGATTGGGTGCTGATTGTGTCCTGTCCCGGGAGGTAGTGGTTGACAGATGGGTGGTAGTGGTTGACAGATGGGTGGTAGGTAGGTATACCAGCGCTGAAAGTGTGGTGCTGGGAGCTGGGAGGTGGCGAGATGAGGTGAGGATGCGAGCAAGTATACTTGTATTGGTATAGCAAGGTATGTGCAAGTGCTCTTCGTACAAGAGCTGTAAACATCATCGTACTCAAAACTCACTCACCCGGTACGTTACGCGCTAAGAATATCAGGACGGAGGTCCTGCGCACTCAGCCTTGCTAACTACAAGGTATCAATGCTCGCTCTGATAGTGAGCTGTGGCCGGAACAATACATATCATCCTCCCAGGTGGGCTTGCCACACGCCCGGCCTGACAAAAATAGCTTACCCCGATGCCTGTGCTTCTTCCTCAAGCATGCTTTTACCGAGCGTACACTGTATCCCGTCGAATCTGCAGCACGACCATGTCCCATCTGCGTTCTCCCCAAGACGAGACGCACTGATCGAACGCATTCTCCTGCTTCGAAAGGTGCAGCGGCACGTTCGAGTCGAGCTCAAACGCTGTGCGCGCTTTGCAGGGCCGAGCGTGCCGGACCCGTGTGCAAGGTGGGATGACGGATGGGCGATAGTCTCCCGAGGGACGCGGGCGGCGCTGTGGTGAGTACCCTGGCCGTGGAACCGCAACAGCATGGCGATTACCCCAGCCACACCCACCAAAATAGCAGCACCAGGGCGGCGAAGAAGGCAAGCCACGCCTTCCACCCCACGCCCGTCTTCTTCGCCATACGCAGCATCCGGCTCATGGTGCCTTTGATTTTGTCGCTGCTGCTCGCGAACTGGTCGTTCATCTTTTCCGCGAGAGAGGTCGAGTCGCGGATTTCGTCGCCGATGAGGTGTGTTAGCTAGAGGTGTGTTAGCTAGGCTCCATGAGAGTGGTTTGGCAGCTCTGTGGAGTTTTGGTGATTTGCGAGCGGATCGAGGAAGAGGAGTCGTGGCGAAACAGAACAGGACAGAAAGCGGCTCGCTCGCAGCGCAGATCCAAGCTCGTACGTACATCTTTCAGCATCTTGACCTTTCCAATCAAAACGCCCGTGTGCTCCTCGTTCTGGCTCTCCAGCTCGTCCAGCGTCGCGCTGTTGTACTGCCCGCGCGAATTCGGCGTTGCTGACCGAAACCCCCCGTTCAGCGCGTCGTCGCTTTTCTTCCCTGCTCCCAGCGCGCCGGCGTAGCCGCCGTATAAGCTGCCGTTGGTGGAGTTGCTGGGGTATGCGGAGAAGCCCGGAGCTTCTGCGGGCAGCGCGTAGCCGGCATTGTAGGGCGAGGCGCGGGCTTTGTTCTTCGTTTTCGATGGCGATGTGCTGCGATTGTAGCTGCTGAAGAGGTCGTCGCGCGCCGCGTCGCGGCCGAAGCGGCTGGACATTGTGCTGTGCTACTATGAAGTGTGGTGGTGGGTGGTGGTGTGCTTATGGCCGGTCGGTTCGAGCGTCGTGTCCGGCTGCAGTCCGCGTGTGGGACGGTATAGTTGCGTTTCGAATGCCTGGGTTGCGATGTTTGGGGATACGTGCTGTGGAGCTATTGTGGAAACTATGGATGGATGACGGAAGTAGCCAGTCAAAGGCCGAGCCGACTTGGCTCGCCAACCAACCAACAGCGCGACACGTTGTAGCACGGCAGAGCCGTTCGAACTATAGACCAAAAGAAAGCTGCAGACAGACCACACACACACGTTGGTCGATAATGGGTCACCAGGAGAAAGCGAGGCGCGTACATACTTCCGGAACTCCGGCATTCTAGTCGAGACATGTGGCTGTCTTGACTAGATCGCGCAGAGTAATAAATACAGTAAAGAGACACAACTTTCTCCCCAAGGCACACGTGAGTACATCCAAAAGATTGGTCCTTACAAGTACAGAGACCTCGAAGCCCGCTCATCATGTGCATCCACCATGCTGAAGTAAACGGAGGTCGACTTTTCCGCTGCTCCAACACGACTGCTCGTCCATAGTTGCATTCGCCCTGCTCGTGGTCGTTCGTTCCCACGCCCTTCCCCTCGCTGTGCTGCATTGCGTAATCTAGTTCTTGAGACCGACCTTGTTCAGCAGGCTGCCGGTCTGACCAGCAACGTACGCCTTGTTGTCGAAGACCTTGAGCAGGCTCTTCCAGACCTGGCCGGGCTCCTGGCTCGCATCGATGGGCTTCCAGATACCGGTCTTCTGGTAGTACCCAACAACGGGTGCAGTCTGGGTGTGATATGTGACAAGGCGCTTCTTGAGGGCCTCAGCGTTGTCGTCGGAGCGCTGGACGAGGGGCTCGCCAGTGATGTCGTCAACCATGTTGCTCTTGGGAGGGTTGAAAATCTTGTGGTACGAGCGGCCAGATGCGGGGTGGACGAGACGGCCAGTGATGCGCGAGACGAGGAGCGAGTCGTCGATCTGGAGCTCGACGGCGTGCTGGAGGGGCTTCTTGGTGGCATCGAGCATGCCGTCGAGCTTCTCAGCCTGGACGACTGTTCGTGGGAAACCGTCAAGAATGAATCTGTGGACAGCAAGTCAGCAAATGTCTCCCGTGTGCAGCGCGTAAGAGAACTCCGAGGCAAATGCCAAGCTGACGTACCCGTTCTTGCACTCCTGGTTCGTCTCAAGCTCAGTCTTGATCATGTTGATCATGATCTCATCGCTGACAAGACCTCCAGCATCCATGATCTTCTTGGCCTCGCGACCAAGCGCTGTCTTCGCAGCAACCTGTGCGCGGAGCATGTCTCCGGTAGCCTGCACATGTTAGAACCGCGTCCATCTGCGACCAAACACTCCTTTGCGAGGTTTTCGACAATTTCAACGTACAAGATGGCATGCGCAGAACTTGTCCTTGATGCGCGGCGCTTGTGTGCCCTTGCCTGTAGCTCTGTCAGCAAAGTCCCCACTTCACGTATGCCAGCCTCCAAGACGCACCAGCACCGGGCGGCCCGATCAGGATCATCCTGACGCTCTCCTGCGACTGATCGCCAATGCTAGCCTGGCCCTGCAACCTGCTCTCGAGCTCCGCAATGCGCTTCTCGAGCCTGGAGACGGTTCCCTGGAGGTCAGAGACCGCCGAGTCTGTAAGAGGGGCCATTGTGGGAATTTGTGAACGGAGCGCAGACGGACGCTACGGTTATGGCTGTGGCAGGGGTGATGGACGTCGTGGTGGTGCGCAATGGCAGTCGCGGAAAAGTCGAGATGAGGTAGAGAGCTTCCAGGATCGAGTTCGCGTGTTGCGAGCTCGGCAGAATGGACCGTTTCGGGCCGCGGTTGTGAGTAGCGCCAATGACGTGGTACGGTGGGACGGAGAAATTGCTTCCTGAACGATGCTGTGCAAGGCGAGAACAAACTACTCGGGGATCAAGAACTAACTCAAATATACACCCACGCCTGGCTAGGAATACCACTCAGTGCAAGCACAGATTGTGACAACCGAGGTAGTTGGGTGAAGCACGTGCTTATGTCAGATTCTGGGGTATGTGAAATATATAGGAGAGTGGTATCTTGTCCAAGCTCAGCAATCAGTACTCCTGGCCAAGGATCTTCTTCAAGCCCTTTGACTCGGCTTCGTACTTCTCAACCTTGTCCTGACTCGCCATCATCTTGTTGAGCAGGTACTGCGCCCTTCCAGCCATCTGCGCTGGCTGGCTCTTCAGCTTGCTGAGCAAGAGCAGCTCGTTCTCGCACTTGTCAATGGTCGCGCTCTCAATTTTGGTCAAGTGGGTCAAGATGGCAAGGTCGAGGCGACTCTTCAGCACCTTGTCCTCCGTAAGACGCTTGAACGCTGGAAGATAAATCGGTTTGCCTGGCTTGATACTCGACGGCCGTCCGTTGGGTCCAGAGCCGATGGAAATGAGCTCGGCCTGTTCGAGAGCGCGCAAGACTGTCTCGCCGCCTGCCTTCAGGATATCGTCAAGTAAGACCTCGTTGAAACGCAGGCTTTCCTTCTGAGCAAGCTCTTTAATTAGCATCCAAGCTTGCTCGGCGCTCCAATGCCTGGTTCCGCCCTCGTCTTCCGCGCCAAAGATGTACATTTTGAGTATTTCAGAGGCGGACTGGTCGATCATCTCGTGGACGGCCTTCTGTGGTGTCTCTCCTGTCTTAATCCTTCGTGCGAGGAACTCCAGATCTGTAAGTCGACCACCAAGCAGTTCAATACAGGTGTCCAACTCGTCAAGGTCCGTGCGTGACTGCGAAGGAACTGGCTTGGGCTCCTTCCCGTGAGGCACAGGATCGTCTTGAACATCAGCATCCAAATGGGTAATGACGTAGCGCTTCGCAACTTCCGCGGAACAATCTGCAAGAGAGATCTGGCGGAAGACCCGATCAGGGAGGGCTTTCGAGAGCGACTTGCTGAAGGATACATCGTTGGTCAGGAAGATGACATGTGCGACATTGGCCGTTGTCAGGCGTGCAGCCCTACTCAGTGTCAGTGCTGTAGCAAGTGGATAAAAGACATGACTTACCACTCAGCGATCTTGTCGTAGACGATGCCACCCTCGTTGCTCTTGTGCAAGAAGTTGTCAATGACGACAACAGGGCGGTGCTCAGGATGCGCCTCGAGCCACTCATCATCGCCGAGACCAGCGTCCTTGTCGGTCTTGTGTCGCCGATCGAGAGCGATCTGTCTAAGTGCAGTAGTAGTAGTGTTCCAGATCTTGCTGAGTTGGGAGTCAAGAGTCTCCGAGAAGCCTGTCTTCACACCTGTGGCGCCCTGTGCGGCCATATCGATCATACCACTGATACTGTTCATCCAGGAGAAAACGGGCTTGTAGCCAACAGAATTTGCGGCGGCGCTGATAGTCGCGCTGTCACCACGTGCCTCTTGTATGGGCTTGCAGTCGATAACAAGCTGGAGCTTCGTGTCTGCGAGCGCTTGGTCGACAATCAGCTCCTTCTTGCCAGAACCACGAGGACCCTGCACAATGATGAACGTCTCAGCTGTCTCCATAAGCCATGTCTGCACCTGCTCGATATTGCCTTTGCGATCATCCCAGATGGCGTCCATGCCCGCTTCATCGTCTTCTTTCTTGCCACGAATAAGGTCTTCGGCGTATCCTTTGAGCCACTTGTAAAGCTTGTTGTCTTCAAAGTGAAGCGCTCTTGTGATGTGAGCCTTGACAAAGAACGTCCTGATGGGATCGAAGATAGCAACAGTGATACCGGCTATGATCGCTGCGAGGATAGGAATGACAATCCGCGGATGGCTGAAAAGCCAGTCTCGTATCCATCTTGGCTTGATCTTCTGTTCGTACTTTAATCGCAGGATCGTACCCTTCGCACCGCCACCTTCAGCTTGCGAAACGAGGTAGCCATGCATGCAGTTCTTGGCCATAATGGCCTTGCCCATAGTGGAGAAATCAACATGGGCAAACTTTGGCAGAACTTTCGAGTCCGGAGGCTGCATCACGATGTCTGAGAGTTTCCCGTAAGGACGGAAGAACTGGAATAGCTCCTCTTGTGATAATTCGACAGCATCCGTAGGATTTCCTCCTGGCTCGCCCGAAATAAACTCCACTCTCAGTCTTGGTGCAGGCATGCGCATCAAATCCTCCACCCAGGGACGACCTTTCACAACCTTCATGCGCATTCGTCGGAACGGAGCCCACCATGGCTTGACCGGCTCATCTCTCAGATACTGTTGAAGCACTTTCTCAACCTCGGAGGTTGATGCGGTGCCATCGTGAGTGAACTTGACGAACGCTCCTCCCTCTCGTATCCGTGGGAGTACCTCGGTGGCGGTGATCTGCAATCCTTTCTTTGCTTTTGCTCTTTCAATGACCTGCTGAGGTCCGTTCCCTGTGATCAAAGGAGCGACAAGTCGATCTAGCATTTGTGGCGCAGGTAATCCAAGAATCCTCCTGATGGAAATAGGATACACATTGTTAAAGAACAAGATGCCCTCGTTGGGTGCAGCGCTGATATGGCCGGTCTTGTCTTCACCAGCCTGCAGTGACTCCGAGGCAAATCTCTTAGGAGTTGTCCATGGCGTTTGCTTCAGTCTGTTAAGCGCGTTCGCGCCGGAGGGTGATGTGAGACAGGGTATTCTGATAGATTGTTAGCATCCCCACGACGATCTGCAGCCGTCGCGAAGGATTTCACACCTGACCAACCCTTGCAATGGCCTTCGGCCTGCATGCTGCCAGCTCGTACGTGGTAACATGTTCCGTCACTATCACTACCGCGACATCTCGAATGTAGTGTGGATGAACACCGATGGTTTGGGTCGCGGGTGCAGGCAGCGATCAAAGGAGGTGGGCAGGCGTTGACGTCATGTTCCCTGATCTTGGCAACATGTGCCTGCCGTGTCTGAAAAGACCGGATACAAGCTTTGAGATGATTTCTACTAAGCTAGCAAGTCCACCAGGCTTCTAAAGACCACAATTAGGTTTTTCTGTCTCCAGATACAGCTTTCTCCGCGACTTGAGAGTGTGTCTCGTGCGCGGCAGCAACACGAATACAAGCGAGCAGCACATTCACGACACAGGAGAACAGAGTCTGGGATGTACTTGTTCCATCTATGTACAAAGTAGGGTAATATGTGGCAAGAAGCAAAGCGATTGTACACTGCAAATGCCACCACATAACTCCATCGAAAAAGGTATCTTGCAAGCAACGATGGATAGCGCAAAACAAAACTCCAAGTGTGGTCAAATCAGTCCCTTTGTTCCAGTCTTTCATCATAAACATTCTTTCGTGACCTTCTCTTCTATATTATGCCTCTTTAGTGGCGCGAACTTATGCAGCAACCGGAATCTCTGACTTGGCGCCGGTGTTCATGAGGGGTGAGCGCTTGACAATACCACCGGTGACGGGAAGCTGAGAGCCATATCCGGTGAGGAAAGTGTCGACATCGCGAGCACACTGGCGGCCCTCGTTGATGCCCCAGACAATCAGGGACTGTCCGCGGCGACAGTCACCAGCAGCGAAGACACCAGGAAGGTTGGTGTTGTAATGACCAGGGGGTGTCTTGATGTTCTTTCGGCCATCAAGCTCGACAACGTCGTTCATCACGCGCTGCTCAGGGCCCAGGAAACCCATGGAGAGCAAGACCAGGTCGGCAGGGAAGAAGTGCTCGCTGCCCTCGACCTGCTTCATGTCCCAACCGCCAGAGGCAGACTTGGTCCACTCAACACGGACGGTGTTGATGCCCTTAACGTTGCCGGCTCCGTCGCTGACAAAGTCTTTGGACATGACGCAGTACTCGCGAGGGTCCTTGCCCATGTGAGTCTTGACCTCGTTGTGACCGTAGTCGGTCCTGAAGATACGAGGCCACTGAGGCCATGGGTTGTCGCGAGCACGTTGAGCTGGAGGCTGGGGCAGCAGCTCGAAGTTGACAACGGACTTGGCACCGTGGCGAACAGAGGTACCAATGCAGTCGTTACCGGTGTCACCACCGCCGATGACAATCACGTGCTTGTCCTTGGCAGAGATGTATGCGTTATCAGCAAGCTCGGAGTCGAGGAGGGACTTGGTGTTCTTGTGCAGGAACTGCATGGCGTAGTGAATGCCCTCGAGGTTGCGGTTGGGAATTGGCAGGTCACGGGCAACGGTAGCACCGGTGGCGAAGACAACAGCATCGAACTGGCTGCGGAGAGACTCGAGGGTCTCAGAGCCGTCCTCGCCAACCGTGACACCAGTCTTGAAGGTGACACCCTCAGCGGCGAGGAAGTCAACGCGACGCTGAACGACCTTCTTGTCGAGCTTCATGTTAGGGATACCGTACATGAGCAGACCACCGCAGCGGTCAGCGCGCTCGTAGACAGTGACTGTGTGGCCAGCCTTGTTGAGCTGATCAGCGCAAGCTAGACCAGCAGGGCCAGAACCGATGATAGCGACGGTCTTGCCAGTACGGTGCTGGGGAGGCGTAGGCACCATCCAGCCCATCTCGAAACCACGGTCGATGATGGCGCATTCGATGGACTTGATACCGACGGGGTCCTCGTTGATGCCTAGTACACAAGCACCCTCGCAAGGAGCAGGGCAGACACGACCAGTGAATTCTGGAAAGTTATTTGTCATTAAAAGTCGATTGAGCGCATCGCGCCACTGGCCCCTAGAGAGGTGTTAATGATGGATACAAAAACTTCAGGCAGTGTTATTACTTACTGAAAGACAAGCTCGTTCCACTTCGGGATGATGTTGCTGATGGGGCAACCTGTGTCAGACTGACAGAAGGGTACACCGCAGTCCATGCAACGAGCGGTCTGGTACTTAAGCTCGTCCTCGTTCAGGCGCTGAGACAGCTCGGCCCAGTCACGAGTACGGGTCTTGGGGTTGCGGTACTTCTCAGAGCGGCGCTGGTACAGCTTGAAACCGCGGGTCTTGTCGAGAACCAGAGCCTTCTTCTTCTCAGCCTTAGCGTCAAGGACACTCTCCTCGATGTCTAGGAGATCAGCCTTCTTCTTCTCCTTCGCTTCGTGCTCGTGCTCGTTCTTGCGGGACTCCTCGTGGGCGTTGCGGACGGCATTGCCGGCGAGAAGAGGCAGAGGGTACTCGGAGCGCTTCTTCTCAGCGGCCTTGGCCTTCTCCTCGAGGAGAACGCGCTTGTAGTCAACAGGCATGACCTTGACAAAGCGTGGCAGAGCGCGTGTGAAGTCAAGAAGGATACGAGCAGCGAGCTCGGAGCCAGTGTAGTGGTGGTGATCCTCGATGAGACCGCGGACGAATGCAATCTCCTCGGGCTCCTCGATGGGAGAGAGCTCGACCATCTCCTGGTTCACCTTCTGCTCGAAGTCCTGGTGGACATCAAGAACGTAAGCAATGCCTCCAGACATACCGGCAGCGAAGTTGCGACCGGTAGATCCGAGAACCAGGACACGACCACCAGTCATGTACTCGCAACCGTGGTCACCAACACCCTCAACGACGGCTGTGGCACCGGAGTTACGGACACAGAATCGCTCGGCAGCGATACCGCGGAAGAAACAAGTACCTTGGGTGGCTCCGTACAAGCAGACGTTACCGATCAGGACGTTCTCCTCGGCACGGTATACGGCAGTGCGCGGTGGGTAGACGATCAAGCGACCACCCGACAGTCCCTTACCGACGTAGTCGTTGGCGTCACCCTCGAGCTCGAGAGTGATACCCGGGGCGAGGAAAGCACCGAAGGACTGACCAGCGGAACCACGGATGTTGACATGAATGGTGTCCTGGGGCAGACCGGCCTCGCCGTAGCGCCTACTGACCTGGTAGGAGAGTGTGGCACCCAGAGCACGGTCGGTGTTGACAACATCGCACTCAATGCGGGCAGGCAGACCCTTCTCGAGAGCAAGCTCGGACTCGGCGATGAGCTTGTTGTCGAGACGGACGTGGAGACGGTGGTCCTGCTTGCGTACGTTAAAGGTGGCAACACCAGGGCGGAGCGTGTGTGCAGGAGTCAAGATCAATGACAAGTCAATGTTCTCAGTCTTAGGAGTGCGAAGGTCGTCACGGATGCGAAGAGCCTCGCAGTGACCGACCATGTCGTTGATGGTCCTGTAGCCAAGTTTAGCCATGATGGCGCGAAGCTCGTTGGCAATGTAGTAGAAGAAGTTGATAACGTGCTCGGGTGTACCGGCGAACTTCTTCCTGAGCTCAGGGTCCTGGGTAGCGATACCGACAGGGCAAGTGTTCAACTGTGGCTGAGTTAGCAAAATGGCTTCAACTGGGGGTTTGTGGGTTGACTTACGTGACACTTCCTCATCATGATACATCCCATGGCAATTAGAGGAGTGGTAGCGAAACCCCACTCCTCAGCACCAAGCAAACAGGCAATGGCGACATCACGTCCAGTGCGGAGCTGACCGTCAGTCTGGACGATGACACGACCACGGAGGTCGTTGAGGACCAAGGTCTGGTGAGTCTCGGCGAGACCCAGCTCCCAAGGAAGACCGGCGTACTTGATACCGGTCCATCGAGAGGCACCTGTACCGCCATCGTGGCCAGAGATCAAGATGTGATCAGCCTTGGCCTTGGCAACACCGGAGGCGACGATACCAACACCAGTCTCGGAAACCAGCTTGACGGAAACACGAGCGCGCGGGTTGGAGCACTTAAGGTCGTAGATCAACTGCTTGAGATCCTCAATAGAGTAGATGTCGTGGTGAGGAGGAGGCGAGATGAGACCAACACCAGGAGTGGAGTGGCGGGTCTTAGCAATGGATCCAGAGACCTTGTGGCCGGGAAGCTCACCGCCCTCACCAGGCTTAGCACCCTGAGCCATCTTGATCTGAAGCTCATCAGCATCGGCCAGGTAGTTGGAGGTAACACCGAAACGTCCGGAGGCGATCTGTTTGATAGCAGAACGCATGGTGTCACCGTTCTCCATGCGCAAGCTGCGCTCAGGATCCTCACCACCCTCACCAGTGTTAGACTTACCGCCAAGACGGTTCATGGCGACAGCAAGGGTAGAGTGAGACTCCATGGAGATAGAGCCGTAAGACATGGCACCAGTGACAAAGCGGCGCACGATGTCTGTCCATGGCTCGACCTGGTCGACGGGGATGGGTGTGCGGTCGTCGAAGTTGAAGTCGAGGAGACCGCGGAGAGTGCAGTCCTTGATACGCTCGTACTCGGCAAGAGAATAAGCCTCGTAGGACTTATCATTCTTGGTACGGACGGCATCTTGGATGTTGGCCATGGCAGTGGGGTCGTTGATGTGAGGCTCGCCTCCATCACGCCAGTGGTACTCACCAGTCTCAGCTAGACCGGGGACCTCAACGATGGGACGGGAGGGGTAACCCTTTTCGTGAAGAGCCAATGCGTCCTGGGCAATGAGGTCGAAAGTCATACCCTTGATTCGAGAGGCGGTACCAGTGAAGCAGCGGTCAACAACAGAGTCGTCAAGACCAAGCGCCTCGAAGATCTGAGCTCCCTTGTAGGACTGTAGAGTGGAGATACCCATCTTGGACATGACCTTCAAGATACCGCCATCGCAAGAGTGCTTGTAGTTATCGATGAGCTGCTCAGGGCTGAGCTTCTTGCGGATGACGCCCTCACGGTGCATCTTCAAGATGCACTCAATGGCGAGGTAAGGGCTGATGGCATCAGCTCCGTAACCCACGAGGACACACATGTGGTGAACCTCACGGGCCTCACCAGTCTCGACAACAAGAGCGACGTTGGAACGCCACTTGTTGCGGACAAGGTGGTGGTGGACCATACCAGTAGCCAAGCAGGCAGAGACAGGCACACGGTCCTTGGCAGTGGCGCGGTCGGTTAGAACAATGATGCTGTCACCATTCTTGACGCCCTCAGACGCTTCCTCGCAGATCCGGTCGAGAGTGGCCATGTAGCCCTCGACACCCTCGCTCTTAGCGAAAGTGATGTCGATACTCTTGACTGACCACCCGCTGTGCAGTGTATGGGTGTTGGTCAAAGCTGTGAACTCCTCAAGATTGAGGACAGGCGAGGGTAGAAGCATGCGGTGGCACTGAGACTCATCCATCTCCAATAGATTACCCTGAGGACCAACGTATGCCTCAAGAGACATGACAATAGCCTCACGAATAGGGTCGATGGGAGGGTTGGTGACCTGCGCGAAGAGCTGGCGGAAGTACTCATAGAGCAGGCGAGGCTGTGTGGCCAAGCAAGCAAGAGGGGAGTCATTACCCATGGAACCCAAAGCTTCCTTGGAGTCGGCAGCCATGGGACCAAGCAGCAAACTGATCTGCTCAAGCGAGTAACCGAATGCTCGCAGACGAGGATCCTCATGAAGCTTAGACTCTGTGAGTGTGTGAGAGAGGTCAAGACCTTTTTCGCCAACAGTCTTGAGGATCTTGGGCAGAGTGAGGAGGTTCTTCTCGATCCATGCGCTGAAGTCGTTGCGCTCAGAGACAGTCTTCTTGAGCTCGGCGTCGTCGACAATGCGTCCAGCGACAGTGTCGACCAGCAACATCTTTCCGGGCTGCAGGCGGCCCTTCTGAACGACGCGCTCGGGGTCGATGGAGATGGTACCGACTTCAGACGCGCAAATGATGCGGTCATCATCCATGACGTAGTAACGGCAAGGTCGCAGACCGTTACGGTCAAGGTTCGCACCGCAGTAACGACCGTCGGAGAATGTGAAGAGCGCAGGGCCATCCCATGGCTCCATCATACAAGCAGCCCATTCGTAGAAGGCCTGCTTGGCCGGATCCATGGTGTGGTTACCCTGCCATGCCTCAGGAACCATGAGCATGACTGCCTCGGGCAGAGACAGGACACCGTTGATCATGAGCAGCTCAAGAACGTTGTCGAAAGCTGCGGAGTCAGAGCCACCGTCCTCAATGATAGGGTACAGAAGATCCAACTCCTCGCCGAAGAGGCTGGACTTCATGCCGCCCTCACGAGCGCGCATCCAGTTCTTGTTCCCTCTCAACGTGTTGATTTCACCGTTGTGAGCTGCCCATCGCAGAGGCTGTGCGCGGTCCCACGAGGGAAATGTGTTGGTGGAGAAACGAGAGTGCACGAGCGCGAAGTGACCCTCGTAGTCGACGTTGAGCAGGTCGTGATAGTACTCGTAGACCTGGACAGGCGACAGTTGACCCTTGTAGACAATGTTCTTGTTGCTCAGCGAGCAAACGTAGAACCAGTTGTGCAGACCAATGACGTGTGTGGCACGCTTGCGCATGACATACAACTGGCGCTCAAAGTAGCCAGCGTTGTAGGTCTTCTCGAAGTCTTCCTTGGGCTGCCGTGCGTCTCCGTAAGCAGTCTTGAGAACAACGAAGGGCTGCAGGATGATCGGCTCTCGCGAGAGCGCAGCAGGGCCGAGGAGTGTAGAGTCTCGAGGCACCACTCGCCACCCGAGTACTCTCAGATCGAGCTGATCTGCGACATCTTCGAACATAGCCTTGGTCTCATCCAAGATTGTGGCGTCCGGCTTGAAGAACAGGTTACCAGTGGCGTACTGGCCAAGCGCAGGTAGCTTGTAACCCTGCTCGCGCTCGAACTCCTTCAGGAAGAATCGGTGGGGAATGGAGGTCATGACACCTGCACCGTCACCGTCTCGTGCGTCTGAGCCCACGGCACCACGATGGGTCATGTTGCAGAGCAGTGAGCGTGCATCGGTGACAATCTTGTGACTGGCCTTGCCCTTGATGTGACTACTCGACTGTCAGTATCCACCGCCTCGCTGCTTGATATCGAGTCACTTACGCAGCGAAACCCACACCGCAAGCATCTTTCTCCAACGAGGGGTCGTATAGACCCTGCTTCATGGGAAGCGCACCCGCCCAAGATTTGTTCTCCGGTCCATCTTGGTACTCGAAAACCTTGTAGGGTTCCTCTTCGATGTAGGTCTCGTCAGGCAGTTTGGTATCCTCGGCGAATGAAACTCGACCCATTATATCGGCGAACGGCCGAAGTAAAGGGATCGAACAGTGGTGGATGGAGGAAGGCGGACCGCGTCTAATGGCGGCGCTCGGGGTATCAAGAAAGGAGCTGATGTCCTGAAATCAATTGAAAGCTACAGAGATACAGAATTAGTTTCAAGGTCGGTAACTGGAGTTTTGGTGTTGTTTGTGTATCGCAAATCGGGATCGTGGGTTTTCACGAGCAAGCGCCAAAGCTTAGCTCCAAATCATAGATTGGTATGGAGGGGGCAGCGGTCGCAGTTCGGGAGTTGGTTCGCAGAAGCTGGAAACCCGCGCTCCGACTACGTCACAGCCTCGGATGCTCGAATATTGTCATTGGTACAAATGACGCTACTCCATTTCAGAGGCAACTGATAGCTGTCGCGCAGCACAAGAGGCACTGATAAGAGATTCGGCGAATGAGGTGGCGCGGGGTTGCGGAATGTAGATGTTGGACGCTCGCTAACTCCTTCGTGCGTGCGAACGCTGGCGTAGTGGAGGAGGGGTGCTGTCTGGCCAGAGGGATGGGTGCAGAGAATATGTGTGGTGGTGGGCAATGGTGACCTACCTACTGTGTAAGGCTGACTGAAACAGGCCTTGAAGTCAACTCGCAGCGTTCCTGCAAGCAACTTGGGAGAGCGAGAGAGAGTGTGGTAAGAGTGAGTGGGAAATTGATCGCGGGAGATTGGGTGGCAGAGCTTATGAATAGAGCGGACTCGGTGGGGTTTTTCCTGAATGCGCTAGCACTTCACTCCCTCCAGGCTTCGTCCAATTACGGGCCTAGAAGCGCCGCGAAGGAGGCGTTGTCCGCGCTCTCTCAGTGCATCTCCGGTCGCCTGCGTGCCGTCTTGGTGTCCAAGCCTTAATTCGATATCTATTGGGGTTTTGTTTGCGTGTAGAGCAAGCTGATGAGCATCTTGAAACAGCACATGGCAACCCTTTGTGTCGCCCCTCCAAAATTCCACCTCGATGCCAGTCCGCCTCTCGTGTCGACTAATGACGCCCCAATTGACCTGTACCCGTCGAATGAGGATCCTTCTAACGAGCTGGCGTGTCCCTGGCTCTCCGTTAGCAATGCTCTTGTGCATATTCGCTAGAAGACTGCACATCGCGGTTGGAAAATTGGCAGGCTACCCCACGGTTTCTGCCAGACGCTTCGCTTCAAGCGGCTCTAGACTGGCTGAAGACGTCTATCCGCTGCAGGCGGTGAGCGCGTCGTTCGGCCGTGCCTCCAATTGCAGGCGCCGAGGTCGGCTCCATGACATGACCGCGCAGCGTGCATCGTTCCGCTCTCAGCCCCACCCAGCCCACGCAGCCTGCTTTGTATCCGGGACGCTCTCATTGGTGCGGTGCCCAACGCCCCCTCTTCCGTCGCCGTAATTCCGGAGGGTCATGTCGTCCTTATCTGTGCCCAAGATTGCGCCCGTCCGCTGTGAAGGACGGGCGCTGTGTCCTGATTCGTGGGGAGAAGCTCAGCACCCCGCCATTACAGCGGAATGCCAGACGGCAGGCTGCGATGTGCACGTTCATCCATGAACACCATCGTCATGAAGCACGGCCATGTACCCCAAGTCTGGAGGGAACTCAAAAGCCAGTGCGCCTGCCACCAGCCAGGACCCTATTGCGGATTGGGCGAACCTCACCGCGGCGCCGCGGCGGCAGACCAAGCTTCACCTGACGACTCCATCGACTCGGGACATACCGGGACGTCAGCCTCCTCTAACGGCAGTACGTAGCGGACGTCTCTCGACTGATTTCGATGAGTCACGAGAACACGCGGATTCATTTCCTCCTCCAGCGCACCGAAATCATCTTCAGGACGCTCAAATCGCCGATATCGCCGCACGCTGGCTTGGCTGGCTACCCGTCGATTTTGAGCGGTGGATACTTCAGGTGATGCCGCTTGCACGGCAACAAGGCACCTCGATTTGAGCTAGCAGCAGCGTTTCAACATGCGACTTGCGATGAACAGGGAGCTCCATGAGCAGCGTGTTTCGTAGGACATGAGATCCTGCTCTCGAATAACCGCGCTGTGTGTCCAAGGGAGGCGAAAGTGGTGGCATGGGTCAATTTTCCGGGAACAGCCTGCTACATGGGCTTAAACCAACGCATTGCTCACGGATGTGTCAACATGGTACCATGAGAGCAATCCATTACGAGGCGGAAACGCTCGCCTTACGAGCATCTTACGTTTGCAGCTCATGAGCGTGTGGCTTGCTCTGCCTACTGATCTACAATTGCAATGCTGGAGACCAGGATCGCACTGCAATGCAACGACGACTTGCAGGAGAGCAACTTGTCGCCCTCTCGGTGGCACGCCGAGCTCTCCGCATGGTGATGTCTTCGACTTTCGCGGGAGTCCGGATCATCGCTGGGCATTCGCCCGCAGGCGCCTGTCGATGTCACTTCCGACTCTCTCGGTGGACGATCAGCCCCAAGCTCATGTAATAAAGATCGGGGGAAACGCGACGGCCCAGATCTACCGATGGCAGCGGCGAATCAGACGCATCCCTTACTCAGACTAGAGTGAGTGGGTCTAGCCGGTAGGACGGCCACCACCCGTACCCATGTGCATCCTGGCTGCCATAAGTCGAAGGTAAAGCGAGAAAAGTCTGTATCGGAGTACACAGTAGAGTCTCTTGCGTCCCAGGAATCCCACATGAACATGAGTAGAGCTGGCCATCGATCACGAACCGGCCGCCACAAGCATGTGAAATACAGGTGCCTCATCAGCAACAACATCGCACATGTGATGATCTTAAGTCTGACCATTCTTACGGCCGTCTCCGACCACTTCATCGGAGATAGCCTTACTATCTTACCATCTCAATACCAGGGTGAACGAAAGCTCAGGACAGCGCACCACTAACAGCCCACCGAGCACGTCCAAACAAGCATCGCTTCGGCATCGCTCTGCGCGCCGACCAGATCATGCCTTTCTCGTCTGACACCGCGTCATGAGTGGGTGAGGGTGTAAGCTAGCGGGGCCCTGCATGTGAACAATCGCTGACAAGCCCTTTCGAGTTCGAGTTTGGCAGCAAAAGTGTCCGAGACCAAGGTGGAGACGAAGATAAGTGATTGTGGATGCGTTGAATACGGTATGTTTTAACGAGTCGACGCCTGTCGCGGTACAGAGTATAATGCTTCTTGCTGTTTTGTGGTACGCTGCAGCTGTCACGTCTGTAGCGAGCTGCAGTCTCGCTTGGCGAGTACATGAATCTAGATCCTGGCGAAAATCGACCAGGCTGTGGGCACTACAAGATTCATCTGCGTTAGTTGAGGCACAAAAGAGACCACTTCAATGTTCATCATTCATTCGTGGTATCTTTTGTGGCTACAGCTGTACGTCGAGCGATGTGGTGCGAAACTTACGCACTCGACGCGCACACAACAGCCCCTCACCCTCCAGCGAACTGCGCCAAGACTCTCCAGGTTTGCCATAGGTCGCCGACCCAATGCTCCAAAAAGTTCTGTGTATCATGTTCCATCACCTCATTCAACCGAAGGCATCAACGTCAAGGGCTCGTCACCGCATCGATATCGTCTTGGCTGCGTTAGCAATTAGCCACTCTTTGGTATACAGCTCACCGCAACAGTGGCGCGCGTGCGATGTTGCTGAACGCAGACATACCAGAAGACCAGTCGTAGCTTTGCGCCGATTACTCCTTCATCTCATCATCAGGGTCGACGAAGTCGTCGTCCTCATCCTCATCATCTTCGCCCTCGAGCTCGGCGTTGGCCTTGGCGAAGTCGATCGTCTTGCCGCGCGTGCGCGAGCCGTGGATGATGTTGGATGTCTCGATCTCCTCCATGTTGTCCTCGTCGGGCTCCTCAGCTGTTCACGTTAGCGCTTGGCTCCCGCGGACGTGTAGGTAGGTGCTAGTACGCTCGACGACCTGGTGCAAGTCTATTAGCTATTTGCGTTGAAATTGAAGCAGTAAAGTGGCGAACATACCGCATCCTCGCCAGCAGACTCGTCGCTGGAGTCCTCAGACTCCTCCATGGCGTCCTGCTGGGTGGCCTTGCCCTTGCCCTTGGTGTCCTGGACACCTTCCATCTGCTGGTCCTCAGGCTTGGCAGACATTGTGGTGTGGTTTGAGGTGTGCGAATTCGTGTGCGAGACGTATGCGACTGATGCGGTCGAATGGGAGTGCGATTGAGGTGTTCGTGAGTGTTGTGGTTTGCGACAGTGAAGAGGAAGCTATCAAGGTGAGCACCAGAGCCGCCCACTTTCTCCACACTAGCTATATATGGCAAGTGTTATGCGCATCACTGGGGCAACGCTTCCTGATCAGCAAACAGCAAATATGGCATTCCCCATCTTGGATGTTCACGGTTTGGCAATTACGATCTCAGCAATTGTGTGATTCTTGTTTGTTTTCAGATTCGTGTATAACTGAGCGATTCGTTCCGCGCGAATCCTTGCAAAACTCGCAAGACATCTTGCCGTCTTGATGAGATGTGCGGAGTACATAGTTTGGAGGGAGTTGCTGGTTTTCATCGAATCCTCCAAAGACTCTATGTATCATGCTGCAGACTCTTGCAGCTAAAAACACTCTTTGGAACCTGCAGCCTATTCATAGCTCCTCTGAACGGTGAAGAAAATCTTGGCGCGAAACTTACGCATTTTGCACTGCCTTGGTCGAATAGTGTAGCCTGCATGGCTTCGACCAGCTTACTATGCACCCATTGAAGGTTGTCTTTCTGGCTTTGTACGAATAGTCAGGCCATTGGTGGCCCTTCTCGTCCCACTCCGCTGGCAATGAAGGCCGAAGAGTTGGCTTGGCTTCAAGAAATTGCACAGTACTCTTGCAGCTGTCCAGGAAGCGGAACACTTCATCAGCAAACCTGTGCATCGCACGCTGACATCCGTTCGCATTCTCCTGGGTGTCGGGATACCCCATGAGCAGTGGGTGAAACTGAGACCGGTACTTATAACGCATCTTGGGAAGAGTGAGTATCCGGAGTGTACGTATGTTGGGATGTCTGCCGATGATGGACTGCTCAACTATTAGACACAGCTTCCGGACTCAATATCTTGTTGCGCTAACTCACCAAGAATTCCTCAAATTCTGGCAATACATGCACCTCGTTCGTGGCTTGTCTGGCAAGCTCGAAGGAGATTTTGGGGTCGCTGATAGGACCCAGATCGACGGCGTTGAAAGGCATATCAAGGCCAAGTGTCTTGAGATACTGACAAGCCGCGAGAATGGTCTCCAGGTCGCGTGCGGGATATGTCGGTGCATGGAACTCGAACCTTTCGAGGCTTCCGGGCCATGCATCCGTCCCCACCCTTAGACCTCGCAAAGTCTTCCCGTGCTTAATGATGCAATCTACGGGCACAACGGGATTACCCCGGTGTTCGATGATGAGATATGACAGTGAAGGGCATACCATGATGAAGCGCTTCAAAGAGGCACTCACAACTTTGCGGGCCGCGACCGATAAATGGCACGGATAGCGGAAGTGGAAGGTATCCAGCAACCCTCCATATTCGGAGTACCAGTCCGAGAGCGAGTTCGTGAACATCGAGGCGTAGGAACAGTCCAGTAAGTGCAGCTTACGAAGCTTTGATATCTCGAAACGTTCGAGAAGTGGCGATGAGCTCTGACGCATATCGACACCCCACAATGTTAAATTATTGAGCCGCGACAAACGTATACCGGTGGCGAAGATGGAACTGATATCTACAAAGAGCTTGGGGGATGCTTGTGAGATTCTGCGAGGCTCGTAGTATATCTCTAGGTCCTCCAGGCTTGACATGCCGTTCATAAGCATTCGATGGACCTCGAGTGATTGCTTTTCCGTCGTACGCTGAATCCATATCTGGTATGTCTTGATCTTAGATAGACGCGGGAGCATCCAGTCGCACTGCTTGAACTCATCCAGAATAGGGTCTATGAAGGCCTCTAATCGTTCCAGGTCCCGGTGCCAGGCTATCAGATCCTTGAGCATCGCAGGACTCAGGGGTGACAAGCTTACGAACTCCTTGAGTGAGTCCCGAGGTATGCGCTCAAGGAAACGTCTCAAGCCCGTTACTAGGTCGCGGAGAAATAGACCGTCAACTTTGCAAACGATCAGTCGACGCACATAGGGCAAGATTCCAGATTTCGGATGAAACAAGGCACCTAGATCCTGGTTTTCTAGTGGCCGGAAGTCTGTGATAATAGTAGTCCACATCTGACGAGCAACGACAGCTTTCCATGTAGCGGAGACGAGACGAATGTTGACCATATTCTTACGATCTCGAAGCTGGAACCACATTAGCTAGAGAACAGCTTATAGTATACAAGATGAAGCCTTGTACAGAAATCGAAGGGTTGGACGCGGACTCACAAAGCTGAATATCAGTCCGAGGATCTCTGGAGGCAATGTGAGGGAGGCGATCTCATCCGTTGACTCCATGATCTTCGTATGGGAAATCGCTGAATTTTCATTGACGTTAGAAGATCCAGGTACCGCTGGGAGTGGACATTGGTGTAACTGCATGGTCGTGAGACGTGGAGGTGTTGCAATGTTGATCCTGTGAGCCTGCACACCTTGAACGGCTGTCCACATCGCAGCAGCAACCATGGTAGGCTAAAGGTGGCCCTGAATGTTGAGGATCCGCTGCATCCACGATCAAGAAGACATGCTGCTCTATTTGGGTCAGGGATACACGATGAGCTCACCAATATGCTGTTGTGGATGAACATGATTGCAACCCTGCACTTGATGTGCGCATTACGCGTATGTGTCACATTAATTGCTGTGAAATGGATCGATCGCCGCTTGGCTTGAGTGTTCCAGCGAGCTGCGGTGGTGAGCGAAGTGAAGAGTAGTGCGCGGTGAGATGGTTTGCAGAAGCAGACCCTGTCCAAGATTCGTCACTTCCAGATTTGGTAAACATTGCAGGTCCGAACTACGACTAGGGTATATAGCTTTTCATCAAAATGCAGATGCAAACTTTTCTCAACAGCCTTACTTCTCCTCTTTCTCCTCTCTCGTCTTCCGCCACTGCGGACCCTTCTTCATCTCCAAGAACATCAGGGGCATTAGCAATGCACACGTTGCGCCCCAGATCGTGTACGTCCATCCATCTCCCAGCTTGCTCGTCATACGGTCGATGATCGATACAAGAATGGCCCCCAGGGAGCACCGGACGAGATTCGTGCACGCTGTCGCTCCCGAACTCCTCGATTGCAGGATGTCGATATTCAGCGTCATCGTCGTGTTCAAGATGGCCATGCCGGTCCAGCCCAATAGTACCCCCAGACACAGTGGGACGGCCATGTGTGCCTTCGCCTGAATGGTCCAACCCCAGCCAATGACGCACATGACGAAGAGGGCGAGGTAGTACGGCATCAGTCGCAGACGAGCGTACTCGATGGTGAACCCCTCGCCAGAACGCTTCTCGATGCGATCGTACTCCCAGTCGAGGACCTTGCCCGTCACGGTGCTACCGATGATCATACCAGCGCCAGTGGGTAGGTAGCAGAGTCCAAGCACGGTCTCTGAGAGATCTGGGTAGATCTTTGCGAAGGCCGAAGAGATGGTGGCAGTAATGGTGTAGTTCACGGCGTACACAATGCCGGTGAAGGTGAGCAAGACGACAACATCCGGGTAGGTGAACAAAATGAACGGATTCATGGACTGTTTCGGCTTCGCGCGAGACTCAGTATCAGCAACCTTGTGAGTAGCTTTGCCACCAACGATAGGAATGATGGCTCGAGAGTGTCGAGGTACGGGAATACTGCCGTTGCCAGCAATGGAGCGCAGGGTTTCCGGGAGGAAGAGGGCGATGAGAACAAGGCAAGCAGCGACCATGATCACGATCGCCCAGAAGATCGACCGCCAGCCAAGGCCTTGAGACAGGGCACCACCTATCGCAGGTGCGATGCAGGGCGCAAGCATGGGCCCGAGGTTGAACATGCCAAAGTACCCTCCTCTTTCTCTACTTGTAGAGATGTCTCCTATCACACCAGCGCCGAGCGCGATTGTGCTAGCGCTACCTCCAGACTGGAAGCATCGCAGAAAGAGAAGGAGCCAGAATTGGTTCGTTGGACATAGAGCAAGTCCAATGCTCGCAGCGACGAGAATGCTGAGACATCCGAGGAAGACCAATCGTCGTCCATACCTGTCGCTGATGGGACCCCAGAGCATAGGCGATATGCCTTGGAACACGAGGTACACCGTTACAGTCTGATTTACATCGTCGACTGACTTGTGGAAGGCCTTTGCTATCGTCGGAATAGCTGGGAAGTAGATGTTGGCTGGTAGAGGACTGCATCGATTTGTCAGTTGAGTTCAAAAAGTCGACACTGCGTCGGCGTACCTATAGAACCCAGCCAATGCGACCATAGCGACAATCAACCATTTTTCTTTCTTGGTATAAATACTGTAGGCCTCATCGGTCCCTACAACAACATCCACCTCTTCTCCGACTTCTTTCTCGACATCCTTGGGCTCAGCAGCAGCCATGATAGCGCACTTTTACGGGAATTGCAACAGAAAATGCAGAACGAGGAACTTTCCTTCAAAAATCCACTCGGCATCTTCTCCATCGTTGTTCTTTTAGTCTCAGCACGTCGGAGCATCTGCAGCCGCAATCCTACAGAATGGGCGGGATACTGCTTCCGACCGGCCAGGCATCGGCAAGATCGTCTGACAACGCTCTCCGGCCTCGCTTGGGAGTGACGCTAGGACGAAGGCGTCAGCAAAAACGCCTCAAAGTCCTGGGGAAGAAAAGCACATGAAAGGGCAACTGACTGGACTCGGTTAATACCGGCGACGACATGACGAGACACGGGAGAGGCCGCGAGAGAGCGCTTGTGCGGGTTCACGAGGCCTGTTCCGGCGGGAAAAGCTTTGCTGTGCGCCACCAAGCGCGCGGTGCACGGTGTAAAAACCGGGGGAGTCATCTTTTTCAAAATAGTCGTCTTGACGCGAGCTGCTGGTAGATGCAAACTAGACAACAACGCAGTACCTGGATTGATTCTCAAAAACGCATTTCTAACAGCCGTTGCGTGCTTCGCAGAGACAGCGCTTCATCATTACCTATTGTCACGGAGCCAGGTCCTCGGGTCCCCTGGATTTTGCGCTCCACTTAGACCGTCCTTCCTGCAGTCTTTCGGAGACTTGACGCCGACATGGTCGTACCTATGATCGCAGCGTCGGAGGAAGAGCTCGGGAAGATTCAAGTCGGCAGAGACAGTTCATCGCATACCTCTGCACATCGGGAAGAGGCTTCAAGAGCCGCAGGTCTGAATGGTCTGCTCGACTTGCTTGCGAAGCGCGGCGATGTCGAACTCCAGGGCGCTACGCCGGTGCCGTACGATGAGCGCACGGAGACGAATTACTTCAACATCTTCACCCTGTGGTTCTGCATGAGCTGTAATCCCTTGCCGTAAGTGACCGGATAGATGCAAGGGGACCGATTAAGGTTGGACCTGACACTTGACGCAGTGTAACTTTTGGCATGGTAGGCACCGCATCATTCGGTATGAATTTGCGAGATGCATCACTGGTCATCTTGTTCTTCACCTTGGTGTCGACGATTCCGGTCGCATTGATGTGCTCATGGGGGCCGCGAACCGGCAGTAAGTACGCCGAACATGTCATGGCTGATGGTTACTAACATCAGACAGTGCGTCAACTCGTGCAGGCCCGCTTCGCCTTCGGCAAGTACTTGGTCTCTCTGCTTGTGCTCCTGAATCTGGCGACGCTCACGGGGTTCTGTGTCGTCGATGCTACGATCGGCGGGCAGGCCTTGTCTGCTGTTATGGAGGGTGAGACGATCAGCGCTACAGTGGGTATCGTCATCATTTCGCTGCTTGCTATGCTTGTTGCGTTCTGCGGTTTCCGGGTTTTGCATCACTACGAGCGGTGGGCGTGGATTCCCGCCGTTCTGGCGTTGGTCATTGCCACAGGATGCGGTGGTGAAGGACTGAAGCAACAGGTTGCTGCTCCTGCCGCCACTGCTCAGCAGGTCTTGTCCTTTGGTGGCCTCGTCGCAAGCTTCATGCTTCCGTGGGCTGCGCTTGCCAGTGATTTCAGCACCTACATGCATCCCAAGGCTCCACCACTCCGTATTGCGGCATACACGTACGCAGGACTGGCATTGCCAACCATTCTCCTCATGATCCTTGGTGCAGCCATGGGCGGTGCGAAGACCAACATTACATCCTGGGAAGCAGGTTACGACCTCAACGCTGCTAGCGGTGTGTTGGCGGCTATGCTGCACCCAGCCGGCGGATTTGGACGCTTCGTTACCGTGGTGCTGGCATTCAGCATGCTGGGCAACCTGAGCGCGACCATGTACGCCATCACGCTGAACTTCCAGATGGCGCTGCCGTTCTTCTTCCGCATCCCACGCGTCCTCTACGCCGTCCTCATCACGGGCATCGTCATCGGCGTCGCCATCCCAGCCGCAAAGTCGTTCTTCCTCAACCTCGAGAACTTCTTGGGTCTCATCGGCTACTGGGCGGCGGCCTTCATTGGCGTCATGCTCACCGAGCACCTTTTCTTCCGCAAAGCTAGCTTTGCCGCTTACACAGAGGATGATGCTGCTTGGGATGATGTGTCGAAGCTTCCCCCTGGATTTGCGGCCACGGGTGCTGCGGTTCTTTGCTTTGGGCTGGTGGTGCCAGGAATGAGTCAGACGTGGTTTGTGGGCCCTATTGCGGAGAGGACCGGAGATATTGGGTTTGAGGTCGCGCTGGTGCTCTCGGCTGTGTTGTATGTGCCTTTGAGGACGTTGGAGCGTAGGAAGTACGGTAGGTAGGCGGATAGGGCTTAGTGCTGTTTAGAGACGAGTGCAGCATCAGCCCCATACCGGTAGGTATTCGAGCTAGCATCAAACTTGTCCACTGCGAAGTACCTTTTGCTCAAACAATCTGCGAATGATGATTGTAAAGTCGGTGCGCATGTGACGACTCGTCTGTGACTATGCATGCTGCTCGGCTTCTCCAGGAGATTACATGTGGTGGTGGGCCGTTTTGCCGAGGTACGGCAGGTTGAGCGATTCGGAATGTGTAATGACCTCACATACCCCAGACGGCGCCTCCACAAATGCCATCGGATCCGCACCCGCACGCTGCATCAGAATCTGAAGCTCACGGGACGCCCGACTGAGACAGACATCTCTGCCACTCACTCCTTCACTACTTCCCACCTCTGCGAAGCCAGCTACAGCACCCACCACACTCCCCACACCGCGACTCGAACGGCCCCACACCATGTCTGAAATCAAGCAGGAAGCGCAGCAGAAGCTCGCCGAATCGACGCAGGCTATCCCCCAGAGCACGGCAGCACAGCAGAGCGACAATGTCGCGCACGCGCTCGCCGGTGCGGGAGGCGGTCTGCTCTCCATGGCGCTGACATACCCCCTCATCACCCTCTCGACCCGCGCCCAGGTCGAGTCGAAGCGCGCCCAGTCGTCGACACTGGGCGCCGCACGCCGCATCATCAAGCGCGAGGGCATCACGGGCCTGTACGCGGGCATGGACTCGGCCCTGTTCGGCATCACGGTGACCAACTTCGTCTACTACTACTGTACATCCCCCACATCCCCCGCGTCTTCTTCTCGTCTGCGTGTCTGAGACGGTTCGATCCAAGGACGATGCTGACAGCCCAGGGTACGAGTGGACGCGCTCCTTCTTCGAAAAGGCCGCGCTCACATCCGGCCGCGCCTCGAGCAAGCTCACGACCATCGAGTCCATGATCGCGGGCGCTATCGCCGGATCTGCCACGGTGCTGCTCACAAACCCCATCTGGGTCGTCAACACGCGCATGACGACGCGCAAGTCCGAGTCGGACGAGCCAGTCCTGCCGGGCAGCACGCCCGCCAAAGCCCCCTCGACGCTTGGCACGCTGCTCGCTCTGATCCGCGAAGAGGGCCCGCTGCGCCTGTTCGCGGGCGTTGCGCCGGCGCTGGTCCTCGTCATCAACCCCATCCTGCAGTACACCGTCTTCGAGCAGATGAAGAACTTCCTCGAGAAGAAGCGCAGGGTCACCCCCAAGGACGCCTTCTACCTTGGTGCCCTCGGCAAGCTGCTCGCGACCAGCATCACCTACCCGTACATTACGGTCAAGAGCAGGATGCATGTTGCGGGCCGCGATAGCAAGCCCACGAGCATGATGGCGACGCTGAAGAAGATCATCAGCGAGGAGGGATACAGTGGGCTGTACGGAGGTAAGACTGCTTCCAGGTCTTGCATGAGGTTGCTGTGCTAACGGTCGCAAGGTATCGGACCCAAGGTCACCCAGAGCGTCATCACCGCCGCTTTTCTGTTTGCGTTCAAGGACGTCTTGTATGCGTACACTGTCCAGGCGCGCAGGAAGATCGCCCGCAAGTAGATTCGTAGTACCAGTGCATCTCGCTGGTAGTGCAAGCTGCGCCGGCAAGCAACATCCCACGGACGCAGTGCGTGAGGGCACAAAGTCCGAATGTACACGATCGCTGTACAACAGTGCGAGGTAGGAAAAGTTGAGATTATGTATATACCCTGAATTCATGCCATGTTCTGTTTTACTTCTTTTATCTGCCATGCCCGGATCCCTACCCGGAATGCCGTTAGCAGCTCTCCGACTCCATGCAGGTACACCGTCCAAGGCGGGGCATCTGTTCTGATTACCCACCACTCGACTTCACAAACGCAATGCGGACCATGGCGTCCGTTCCTCACGGGATGTTCAAGTACAAAATGGCTCGCTCGCACTGTGACGCTCTGCAAGTCTGTCCACCAAAGCCACCCCAACCACCATGACCTCCGAACCTTTCACTCTCCGCTGGGGCATCCTAGGTACTATCCACCCTCCCTCAACCGAATACCACCACTAACTCCCCCAGCAACCGGCGGAATCGCAAAAAGTACACCCCCAATCCCGTACCCCTGCCCATCTAACCACCCCAGCGTTCACAAAGGACCTCCTCGTCGACCCCTTAACGCGCGACGTCCACGATATCCGCCACGTCGTCGCCGCGGCCGCGTCTTCAACATCAGCATCCCGTGCCTCGGAATTTCTGCACGAAGTCGGCGCCCCAAGTACCGCCGCTGCGTATGGCAGCTACGCAGCCCTCGTGCGCGACCGCGATGTGGACATCATCTACATCGCGACGCCGCACTCGCACCACTACCAACACACCCGTCTCGCGCTCGAGGCAGGCAAGCACGTGCTTGTCGAAAAACCCATCACCGTCAACGCTGCGCAGGCGCGCGCCCTGTACGCCCTGGCCAGAGAGAAAAACCGCTTCCTGATGGAAGCCGTCTGGACGCGCTTCTTCCCCTTGACGCGTGCGGTGCAATCCTTCATCGCAGCCGGGCGGCTGGGCACCGTCAAGCGCGTTGTCGCGGACCTGTCGTTTTGGAACGACGTCGAGGCCGAGTTCGGCTCCGAGCATCGCATGGTCAACATGCACCTTGCCGGCGGCGCGCTGCTGGACCTTGGCATCTACAGCCTGACGTGGGTGTTCCTGGTGCTGTACCACCTGCAAGCCGCGTCGCGCGAGGGCGGGCAGACAGCGCCCGCCGTCCACGCCGCGCTGAGCAAGTACCCCGCCACGGGCTGCGACGAGATGACGTCCGTCGTGCTGGATTTCGCGGGCGCGCACGTTGGCACCACGGATACGCGCACACCCACACAGTCTCTTGCGGAGACGCAGAAGCACAGTGGTAATGGAGATGCGCACGCCCTCGCGCTGACCAACATCCGCGTCTCGCACGCCCCCAACGCCACGCACCCCAGCCCGGATCCTGTGCGCATCCAAGGCACGCTCGGCGAGATCAGCGTCGCCGCGCCTTCATATCGACCAGAGTCGTACACGCTGATTCCCGCGCAGAACGCGGCGCGCGGGAAGCCAGGCGATTTCGAGGTCGAGACGCGCGTGTTTGAGATCCCTGTGGGACATGGCATGTTTTGGGAGGCGGATGAGTGTGCACGATGTGTGAGAGATGGGAAGTTGGAGAGCGAGACGATGGGGTGGGAGGAGAGTGTTGCTGTTATGGGGGTTATGGATGAGGTTAGGCGGCAGGGGGGGTTGGTATATCCCGAGCCGATTGAGAGTCTGGAGTATCCGCTGGAGGGCTTTGGGCTGTGATGGTTGCATTGCAGTGGTACCATTGATATTGAAACAAACTAGGTGTTGGAGTACTTTGTGTGATTTGACCATGTGCATTGAGCAAAACTCTGGGCTGAGAGAGGAGCTGCACTGGAAGGAGCAAGTCCTATGAGAGCCCTGTCTATCTGTTTATATGCGTGAGACCTTTTCTGTATCCTCTACTTTCACACCCTAAGTCCCAACGATTCAGCAAGAAGTCCATGTAGAAGTACGAGAGCTTCTGCCGCGACAAACACAGCTCTTTGTTCCTCCCATATCTTGCCATATCAGAAGGTCTTCGATGTATATGCCCCGATTCATCAATTTCTCGAAACAAACCATTCATCTAAGAAGTGGAGGTTGCGCTTGGTGGGATCGCCGACAAGACGGGCGATTTCGTCAGCCTCTGAGTCACGACAGGCTTCGTCTCTGTGAGCATTGTCGTGGGATCAGGTGCGCCAGGAGTGTAGCCAGAGGGACAGTAGTGGCGGAAGCAGGGGTCGTTTGTCGCAACGGAGAAGACTGACTCGACAGAAGAGGTTTGTTCAATGGGGCCGTAGATACCATCGAGACCCTTAGGTGCATCAGGCACGACAGGCTTACCGGGGCCGCGCCACCAGTCGACCGGCACAAAGGCGTCGCGAGCCTCGTTGACAAGAGTTGGCTTGGAAGGTACCGCGAAGCCCGAGGTTGCTGGCGGGAGGACAGGGTAAGGGTGCGGAGTCGGTGTGATGGTGCGGATCGTTGGCATGCCGCTGATACAGTAATGGCGGTTGCAGTCGATCGTGACGGCGTAAGGCTCACCAGCCTCGGCGATAGGAGTCGGCTCATGAGGGCCGGCAAAACCGGAGGTCAGGCCACGCCACCACGCTGTGGGGATGGGTGACTTATCGGCGGCGGGTGTGGACGTTGTGGTCGGCGAGACCGAAAAGATGGCCTCGCCCGTCTTGCCAGGTGCATTAGAAGCATCAGAAGTCCGCGGCTCACCACCAAGAGATGTTGGAATTGGCAGGATGCCGTACGGCATCTCACCAGTCTCACCGGGAACATCAGTTTCGCCAGGAAGCGGGAAATCAGTGTGAGAGCTGAACCACTCCGGAGGTGGAACGCGAGCAGCGATTGCAGGCGTAGGCCCGACGAAGTCGGCGACCAGACGCTGAGAGCGCTGACCGCCGTTCTGACCACAAGGGTACCCGTTGCGCCAGCACTTGACGGATGTGGTCGGTTTGAACATGTAAGTGTTGGACCGCTCAGGCGAAGGCGTGAGTGGCACGGAGTGGAACGTGGCTGCAGGCTTGTTAGTGTACGAAGTGGAAAAGTTATCGTACACTGTGGGGTGCAAGCCAGTGCGGTTGTTCAGAATCAGAGGGTCGTTGCCATTCTGAGCAGCGACAAAGCCTGCCATCCCGAGGGCACTGAGCGCGAAGTTTGTGAGCTTCATTGTGTACCAGAGTGGTTGAGACAATGGTGGAGTGGAGAGAGAAAGCAGCGAGGTTGGGGGATCGAGGGATTATATACGTGTTGTGCGAACAGGCGCGGCTACAGCTGCCTTCGTTTCATGCTTACGAAGGTTCTAGCGACTGGCTTAGAGCGCAGTGAAAGATGTGATATGACGTATTCGGTAAACACGCGGAAAGGGCGGTGGGAGGTGTAAGTGAAACTGAGACAAGGACACATGCTAAGAAGAGAGAAGAAATGTAAATCTATACTCGATCTACAGAATGACAGGAGCACTGGCTCGAGAAACAACGCCGTCTTATGCACTTCTATGAGGTGACAATGTTAATCTCCTTCCAGCAAACCATGGAGCAAACGGTCTAGATTAGAAGGTTTCTTGTAAAGCTCTCCAGCGCTGCTCGGTACTGCTGACTGTACTCGATGGCAATTTGCTGGTTGTACCAGTTGTGCCTAGCATTGTGGTCTGCAACTAAGTTGTGCGCCAGCTCGTGACAGTATGTGAAGAACCAGCTGTCCAATGCCCGCAGCCTACCCTCGAGACTTCCAAAGTTTGGCGCATGCAGCGCCATGAACCAAGCGAGGTTAAAGAAAAGACTTCCGCTCAGATTGAAGGCGACAGTATTGGACTTCTTATCAAGAAAAATATTCACGGCCGCAGGGTTGACTTGGAAAATACCGGTCAAACCGAAGATGAGAGGTAGGAAGCTGTTGAGCTGTGGCTGCAGCTCCGCCGGCGGCATAGCTTCATCACGACCATAGTAAATTTCGACGTGCCTGCCATTGAAGGGGACAGAGAAAGCCTTGTGCAGATTTTCCCACTGCTCGCCATTGCAGTAGCCACCGCGGTCGAGCTCTGTCGGGTCCTGGTGGTGCTTGGTGTTGATGTTCTGTTGACCAGCTGGTCTGCACTCTTTGATGGCATTCTGGATATTCGACTTCGTAGCTTGGATGTCGCGACTGATTTGAGGCCCATCGGTGCCTTTAGTCTCAGGGCCTGGTGCTGCTCCTGCATTCTTGAACCCCAGCTTCTTCGCCCAGTTGCCGATCAAACTATTGTCCATCGATTGGCGATTGTTATTGGTAGGCTCCATGGAAGTATCGGGGCTGTTGCCAAATGCGCCAGGCATCTTGTTGGACTTCTCGGGCGTAGAAGGTGGGGGGACGTCCTCGGTGTCGCCGACCTTTGCGACAGCGGACTTGGCTTGCTCCGCTGCGCGTTGACGCTCCTCTTGCTCGTGCTCGATCACTTGTTGCTTCGCAATACGAGCTTCGTGTTCTTTGCGACGAAGGATACGCTCTACGTTGATGCCTTTCTGTTGCAGCCTTCGTAGCGGTTCGGTCAGGATACGCTCTAGAGCAATCGTATCATTTTGCTTCGGTCTCGTAATCAGGAGCCTGACGAGTTCCTTCGACACCTCGTATAAGTCGTACTTGGGGGTGATGCTCAAGACATAACCTGCTGCGCGCATCTTGAGGATAATCGCAGTCTTCTTGGACGAGGTCGCGACGTTGCGCTCTGCAAGCGAATAACGGATCGAGATGTCGGACACGCAGTGTACTGTCAGGTTGGATGCAAGCCACTTCGAATCGTGTCTGATAGCCTTTGTTGAGCCGTCTCGCTCATATTCGTGGAGAAACAACCGAGCGCGCTCCAAGATGTCTTTGCGCAGATTGATGGCAGGGCTCTGATCGCGAGCCACAGTACCGATGGTCTGGTTGGTCTTGACAAGGTCCGAGATCTTCGGCGTACCGAAGCGTGCGTAAAACTCCTCGAGTATCTCTTCTTGTGGTGCTGCGATGACGTAGTCACGGAATTTGGAGAGGTGGTTGACATCGTCAATAATGACAATCTCCCGAGCGCTATTCAGAGACCACTCGCGATGCACACCTGGCTCGTCAAAGTCATCGATATCATCATCTGGTGCTTCCTCTTTCTTTGAGTCTTCTTTGATGTCCCTATACCCGAGCAGGATCCGAGAAGCCACCAGCTTCTCGACCAGTGCTTTGTCCTTCCACAATGCAGAGGCATGCTCAGCCAGCTTCCGAAGTAAGTCGAGGTACTTTTCTTGGCCTATGCTGTTGAGGAAGCGAGCAGGCTTGAAGGTCAGAAGCTCTGCAAGGTCGCGAACGCTTGGCTCGTGCTTGGCTCCGATCTTCAATAGAAATGCTGTGGCTTCTGCACCATAATGGACATAGTCAAGGATGCCGCGATACTCTTGGTCGCGGCCAACGAAGACATGCTCTGGTGGGTTATAGTGGTGGATACGCATTTCTGTCTTGCCGGTCTGTCGCTTCGAGCTGTCCTCGAACCCACTGCAGGTTGGGTCGAGGTAGTACTTTCGGAAGATCGGTACGATATTCGCAGTCGACAGACTGTTCGTGAGTCCACGAGTCTGATCTAGCTCCGCGCCCCGGCTAGCAAAGTATGCAAATTGCATCTCTGCGTCAATCTTGCTCTTGGGAGGCGACTTTAGAAGCTGCTGTACACAAGGCATAATCGGAGGATCCCGCTTTACGCCTAGTTTCTCGGCATGTGGACGAAGGTCCGACCTCAAGATAGCGAAGCCCAGACATGCTGCATTCTCATTCATGTAGCATTGAAATGGCGCGACCAGGCTTGGAAAAGGCGCCTGCTCTGTCGGCAGGATCGGGAGGGTGAGAGCCGCGAACTTAGCCACTTCAGCGCCGTAGTTGTTCTTGTAGTAGTTCTGCAAGAAATAGTCCAGTGTCAGAAGGTACAACTGCTGATCGCTCGCCTGTCCAGCACGATTAAGAGTATTGGCAATAGTGGTGGAGTCAGGCCATTGCTTCAAGCCTAGACGCAACAGAAGAGCTCCCTCACGAAGGCCGGGTTTGAGCTCGAAGGGAATCTTGACCTGCGTCAGACCGAGCGACAAAATCGCCTGATCCGGAGCGTAGAGCTCTGAGGCTTTGAACATCTGGCCTGGCTTCACCAGCTTACCCTCTCCTGGCAGGAATGGCGTCTCCCTGAGTCTGTCTAGATCCTTTTTGGGTATCTCATCGATAACTGATGCAAAGTACTTGATAAGATCGACGTGATTCCAAGAAGCCTTGTCATTACCAGTCGCAGCATCATTATTCCGCATTCTGTCGAATACCATGGGTAAGTCGATAGTCTTGCGGACACCCAGCGCCAGCAGGAACTTTTCTTTCGAACCGGCGAATGGCTTTACGGTCGGCAGATCATCAAAAAGCCTGACTGTGGAGAAGTACGACTCCTGCGGACGGCGCAGGCCTACTTTGGTGGGCATGATGGTATGAGGTGTCAGGATCTTGACGACAGTCTCCTTTGAGCTGCCGTCGAGTTGTTCCCAGCACTTCGATGCAAGACTGAGCACTGACAAAGCCAAGGTCTCGGACGATGCAAATTCGGCCAGCTGCGGTGGAGTCGTAAGGTATCGAAGCCAACGCACCATGGACAGCTCAAGCCAACCGAACATTTGCAGCTGCTTGGCCGACATGTTCTTGGTAAACGCGAAGGGTATCGTATCAGCTGGCAGAGGCAGTGTCGGCGTGATCCTGGCTGGGTTCACGTAGGTGCTAATGTCTCCGAGCGCCAGGATCCTGCCTGAGTTCTTTTCCGGTTGTACGTCGATGTTCGCGACGGTGTTCTCGAATAGACTGCGCGACCCAGGAATATCGATCTCGCCGCTCTCGAGTTTGGCGCCACACCACCGTATGAATTCACTCAACTCTTCCTCATTGAGCGCACGAGACTCCAATCCTTGTCGGATATCCTGCATCGTGAGTTCGGTGATAAAGCCTCGCCTGTGCAAGCTGAGCATGAACGTAACTGCTTCAGTCGCTAGCTGCTGGGGTACCATAGGCACCTCGTTTAAGAAACTCAGTGTCTCTGCAGGCATTCGGACGTTCTTACTGGCCATTACGCCTTTAGTGGACAGGATTGCAATCGAGCGCTCCTTGGAACAGCTCCAGAAGGCTTCGTCAATCTTCTCACCGAGCGCTGTCGACGGATGAGATGTATTTGCCGTGTACTGTTGCAGAGTGTAAACAGCTCTAGGAATCAGGGCATCGACTGGCTCAGCCTTGACCCGAGTTTGGATTTCAGACATCTCAGATACGTAAGATATACGGCAGGCCAATCCAGCAACGCGCAGAAGCTCGATGTTCCACGTCGAGATGTAGCGTGCGTTCATATCGACGTTCTCACGCTCGACTGTCGGAATCAGGGACGGAGCTGAGATGTGAGCAAGATAACCGGTCGTTTGAGCAGTTGGAAAGCCAATAAAGATGCGACCAGACTTCGTGGGAAGCACTTCCGCAAAGATTTTTGCAGATAACTCGGCGGTGCTTCCTGAGCCCGTTGAGAGCATAGCTGAGGGATCTTGATAAGGCGAGGTCAATAGAGCTATCTTTGTTGACTTTGGTGGCGACTTCTTCGTCGCTCTTTCAATCTCAGCTGCAAACTTCTGCGACACTTTCGTAGACGCCTCCACGGTGTAGACTTGCAGGAAAATTGTACTCTTGGAATCGCCCTCAATCGTCTGGTCTGAGCTGAGCTTTTCTGTAGGCGGTGGCTTCACAGCCTTCGCAGTGGATTGAGGAGCTGGAGTTGAAAATTTCGAGAAGAAACTCCGCAGAGTAGTTCCTGCATTGCGGACTTCCTGTTGCACTAGATCGGCAGCCCGCTTCGGCGGTAGTTGTGCTGTCGCGATGACGTTCATCCATTCCGCGTCTATCTGAGAGTGCTGTCGAGTGACGTGTTGTACACGCATCAGGCCACCTTCTGTCTCTGTCTTCAAGCCTTGAGGAACTCGAATGTCTTCTGGTGGAGATACTTTCTTCGAGAAAGACGCCACCACGTAATCATCCACATGCAACTCAACACTCTCGAGTCCAACAAATGTCAGACTGGTTGCCAGGAACTGACACAGAGTTGGCAGGTTGGGAAGTTTCGATGGGCTGTAGGATGGCGATGCCGGATTTGCTTGTCGATAATCCAACGAAAAGATGGTCAACGAGGTATCGTGATCCGCTGGTACCGACGCTATCTTGGTGGAAAGAGTATTACCTTTCCAGTAGAAAGCCATAGTCTTGTCTCCAGAGACTACGAAAGGCTCATCACAATCGGCAAACACACTGTAGAAGCCCACACCGAACGCACCGATCTTGGTCTCATCAGGATTGCCGTCTGCGATACTCTTGAGCCGTTTCCAGTCTGCGGGTGTGAATGCCTGGCCGTTATTTGTGACTACCAGGCGCTTCAGGGTGTGGTTTTGAATGACGTGTCTTAGGAGGACGGGATCCTCCGCTCCTTGCGGTGTCGGTATGCTGAGTGAGGGATCGGTTTCCAGTCTGATTGTGACAGTATTAGCCTTCGCGTCGGCAGCATTCTGGATTAATTCTCGTAGTGTCGTATGCTCGCTTGAGTAACGAGCCAGAACCTTGTCTATCAAAGCCCTGGTGTTGACTGTGACCTCGCTGTCAAGCCCGTCAGCCATCGTCTGATTGCGCAACCGCGCGAAGTCTATCGAGGCCATCGTGAAGGTTCGATATGTTGGTCGTGAAAAGTGCTCTTCGTTGTATGAATCAAGTACAGGTTTTAAGTGGCGACGTTGTTGCCTTCCAAGAAGCGGTGGCCAAATCTACACCCAGACTGCGTCGGAACTGTGCCTGCAGAAGGGTCGCAAATTAGGTCTGCGTGGATTGAAAGCAGTAGATAAGATGAGGGCGATGTGCAAATCCTGGTTGGGCGTGGACGTGACCCCAATCTTTGCGAGGGTTCGAGTTCAACCAGCCACGGGTGGCTGTGGCAAAGTCGCAAATCGAAAAAGCAGGAAGGTAAGAGAAGCGCTATTACAAAGGCCAGATGATACCACGCTATGCAATCGGGACTCAGGAATGAAAGACGCGCCTACTGATGCAGTGTTTGAAGATGGATGTGGTGATATCTGACACAATGAAGTCGACGATGAAGCGGGTTTCGCGCTAGAAGGAAGCGGACTAGCACCTGCGGGCGGCCGTGACCGCCATAGCCAAATTGACCGCGTACCTTACACCGAATCGTAATCGCGATGCATCAAAAGGCCAACGTAGTCCTCGAAATACGATAACATATACTCCTCTCGGCCGCCAGGTCACGTACCAGACACAGACGTGGCAATGGCAGCCGAGCCCCTCTCTCCGATGGACTTCATCGCCCCTGCGCGCATCAAAGCGCAGCTCCTCCCAGTTGGTCGCATCAGGCGTTCGCGCTTTTTGTCGTTCGTCGACCTTCTACGACAGCAATCTCTTGTTCGGCTTGGAGATGTTAGCCCTGACGCTCGGCCAGACAGGAGTAGGAACCCTTGAACCCGCGCCTATGTCGACAATTACTGATCTTGGCGCCGCGCAGATATGTTCTCTCCTCTAGCATTTCCCAATGGAACACTTTTGTATGACCTGTCAACATCACTGCCTTCAGCTTCACAGTTGTCACTATCGCCATTTGAACAATTTCGGGAGCCTCTTCTCGTGATTGGCATTGCAGATGCTGCAGAATACCCATGGCTTGATGGGTCACGTGCCGAAGAGAGCGACTCTGTCGAGCCAGCAGCCGATGATGGGGACGTGCAGGAACTGAGTTCAACAGCCGAAGATCTGCGAGATCAGTTTCCGAAAGCTTATTATCACTGTATTATGGCATTCGAATCGACGTCCCAATCTCGACATGCACGATTGCCAGAAGAAACGCTACTAGTACCTCCCATGGCACAGCTGAAGACGACGACCCTGAAGACCATCATGTGCGATCTGACTTCAACACTGTTGGCAGAGATGACAACACTCGCCAGATCGATGCAGGCTTTGCCGACAATAGCTTCACCTGCCTCGCATAGTGGATCAGTCGACAATGCTCCAAGCTGGGCTAGTCCAGAGTCGGGCACAGCGCAGTTCTCGAGGCGGGCCTCACAGACGCCCACAGCGAGTAGACCTGAGTCACCCGTCTCTGGAGCACAACATAAAGACTTGCATCGCATGTCGATGCCCGTGTTGCCCTCGTCTGGTGGCCCAGTGTCGACAGAAGATTCTAGAGCCGGCTCACCCTCTACTCAGGGAATGCGCACACCTCCAACTACCTTCGATGAGATATCTGGTGTGAACAATCCGACTTCCCCACCTCGGAACACTTCCACTGCAACGAAAACCCGGGATGCCAGCGCTGACAGAGTGTCTATCCAAGGGTTTGGGTCTGGTGGAGTGGGTGAACGCGCGCGGAACAAAGGACGTGGCCGAGTGAGCATCGTGATTGGTTCTCTGTACATGTGCGCGGGACATTGGCACGAAGCTTTGAGAGAACTTGTTGATGGCGCCACCAGAGCTCGAGCTTACAGCGATCATCTTTGGCAAGCCAAAGCCCTGGAGAACATCATGGTGTGTCTCCTGTTGTTTGCATGGTCAGGCATGGATTTTCAGGTAGGTCTGCCATCTCTAAAGCTGGTGATGGTGATTGCTAACATGGGCAGATACCTCAAATCTGCTTTCCCATCTACGACAAGTCGTCTTCCAAGTCACCTGACCACACACCATCGAATAGCGTGTCTGACATGACTGCATCAGGCAGGTCCTCCAGTCATGAGGTAGCACTCGAAAGCCTCAATCATCTCCTTCCGGACCTGGTCAACATGATACTGAACATGTACAGCCGCGCGGCCAACTTTGCAGGCGAAGCCATGCCACCACTGGCACTTTCAGAGTGTGTCATTAGATTTTCGAAGCTTCTGGCTGCTATGAACCTTTCTGCTGGGTATCTAGATTACGATTCTCTGCAGCACCTGGTTCGAAACACGCCCTACGTGCAAAAACCAAGGCTGTCAGTCCCTCGATTGAGCGTGCATCCTACCCGAAATGACATCGCGACGATGCTGTTCCGGGCTCTACCTGGCCCTGTTGAGACCTCTGGCATGAACCCCACAGATCGAGTTCTTGTACTAGCGGGCGTTGCGTCTGTTCTATCCTCTTTAGGCTTGCAGCGCAAGAAGGCGATCGTTATGAAGGAGTTCATAACATCGTTGATACCAGGCCTTGTGCAGGCTCGAAAGATTGGAGCAGCAGAGATGGGAGTGCACCCTGCTGCTGGCCTTGCTGCGCTCAACATGGTCGGCGGACACCCTTCCGGCGCTGGAGCTCTCAATCTGGGAGAAGCCGAAGTCGAGAACGGCATTGATGAGTTTCTTGGCTTGCTTGGCCGAATATATGGAATTCCCAACTCGAAGGGATCTTTCTTCGACGTACCAGTCCCAGGGACTCTGGATGCCACCCACGATGCTACCAGCCAGCGGCTGATAGATCATATCTTGAAGATATCAGCACTGAAATCATTCGGCAGCCTGAGCCTGAAATTGGAAGTCTTGCGGATGTGTCTCAATTTTTGCGAGGCTTTGCCGGACTTTAACGGGGTACTCCACTTTACCGCTCTGTTGCTCCGCGTAGCAGGGCCCGGAACAGCTCCAAGACCGAACAGTACCGACGTCTTTGTATCACTTCCGCGAGAAGAGCAAGTCAGGCTGTTCTCAAACATCTCCCGCGCGGTGACGGCAGCGAACAAGCTTGGCCTTGAACATATGGAGACTGAGTACTGGGACGACTTCCTACTCCGTGGACTTTTCATTCTGGAAGAGCCATTGCCTCTGCGACTGACCCAGCACCGCCCTGCAGAGCTCCAGCTAGCCAAGTTGGAAAAGGACGGTCCTTTCCTTCACAACCCTTGGCTTAAGAAGCCGCAGACTGGCGCATCAGAGACTATACTTGTCGCCAACGAGGACTATCGCTATGTTTTGGCATTACAGAACCCGTACGACTTTGAGCTGGAAGTGCAGTCTCTGAGAATTGCCGCGGATGGCGTAAAGTTCGTCGGTAAGGAAGAGCACTTCCTACTTGGCCCTTACAGAACACAGAAGTTCCAGATCACTGGCCGAGCGCTCTCATCTGGATCAATGAAGATCATCGGGTGCTACATCAAAGTCATTGGTTGCCGGGAGCGCCTGTTCCCCATCTTCCCGCAGCCATGGAGACCAACGAGGGAATTAAAAATGAAACGGATAGGCCTCAAAGCATGTTTGGGCGCACCGGCCACTCGACCGTCAACAGCGATCGATCCTACAATCGCACGAAAGGCATCATCCGCACCACAGCCGGAGACTCTGACCTTCAACGTCATCCCCGAGCAACCGATCGTTACATTTTCTAAAGTATCATTGCCTCAGTCAGCACTCATGGTTCTCGAAGGGGAACGCAAACAGTTCACAGTGACAGTCAAGAATACATCAATGACAACAGCGGTGGACTTTGTCAACATCAGTTTCCAGGACTCTGCGACGACAGCAATGCAAGCCGCCCTCACCGAGAAGGGGCTGCCTGCAGCTGAGCTGCACGAACTGGAGACACAACTTGCCTACTTTCCAGCATTGCGTTGGTGCAGGAATAACGAAGAGGAAACCTTTAACATTGCACCTGGAGCTGAGGCAGACTTCACTGTCGAAGTGGTCGGTCGCACACGTTTGACAGACGCAGTCATCCAGATCAATTATGCTCACCTCGGCAAGCGACGATCTGAAGTGCAGGATCGCTTCTTCACTCGACAAGTATCAGTGCCCATCTCAATCACTGTCAACGCAAGCGTCCAGCTCCAACGACCAGACATCTTACCGCTCTCCGACGACTTTGCGTGGTCCAGTCGTAACGCTTCGCCCAACAACACCTCAACATTGCCATCAGCCACCATACTCAACAAGAATAGCACCCACTACCAGACCTTCTTCCAACACATGCGCACCCTCGGTCACGACTCCGAATACTGTCTTCTCCTACTCGACCTGCGCAACTCCTGGCCCAACCCCCTCACCACCACCGTTCAAGTGCGCCCACCGCCGACCCTTACCCCTGATATCGACAGCTGGGAGCACGCCTACACTGTAACCGAAGTCATCCAACCCGGGCACGTGCACCGCCTCGCCATCGTGCTCCCGCGCCTCTACATCGCCGATCCGCACGCCGCGGTTCCATTGCTCAACCCCGCAAACCAGCGGCAGTTCGTAGTCAGCACTAGCAAAATCAGTCCCGAGACGGAGCGCGCCAGCCGCGAGTCATTCTGGTTCCGCCATCACATGCTGCAATTCGTGCGCGGGAGCTGGACCGAAGAAGGAAGCGGCCGCCACGGCGAGATAGAACTGCGCGGCCTGCGGCTCAACTTGCGCATGGTTGAAGCGATCAGGCTGGACGACGTGGCGATTGAGATGCGCCTGACGCGCGACGGAGACGAAGATGGAGACGGAGATGAAGATGCCCAAAGTCTCCAAGTGGCGCAACTCACGCACCACACCTTCAGCGCCCCAACCGACACCTTCCTGCGCCTCGTCACCACAGTCCGGAACCGCAGTCTTACTCCCATCGCGCCCATTCTGCGTCTGCAGCCCTACCTCGCAGGGCTGCCGCACAACCTCGCGCTCGACCTGGACAAGCGACTATCCTGGACCGGCGTGCTGCAAGCCAAGCTGCCTCCGATACGCGCGGGCGGGGTGGTCGAGTCTGAGCTGGGGCTTGTGGCGCTGTGTGCGGGCACGTTTGAGGTCGGGGCTACGATTGATGAGGCTGAGATTGTGGAGCATGGCGTGGGGGCTAGGGGGGAGGGCGCGAGGCCTAGGAGTAATACGCAGATGCTGTTGCAGGGGGGTGATGTGTTGGGGGAGCCGAAGTTGAGGAGTTGGCATGCGAGGGAGCCGTGTGTTATTATTGCGAGGCGAGGAGTGTGAGGGGTGTGTAGAGGATGTTGTCAATTGAGAAATAAATGTGGTAGTAGATATCCATGGATTTCTATGATGCTACTTTAGTGTTGGACGGACTACTAAACTGAGACATGACCGGCAATGGTTGCGCGCTTATGCTACGTCAAGCTGATCTGCAACAATCAGTGGATATGTAAGTTATTAAGCCGGTGGGCTCCAACGGTCGCGAATCCGAAGTGCCAGCTGCTTCAAACCGATGCGAATATCCGTATGGCTCCCCAAATGCGTATCGCCCAACTCCTCAAACGGCACCTCCACGTCCATAATGCCATTCTGAGCATTCTCAAGAGCATACCGATCGACGACTTGGCAGCCAACGATGCTCAGATCTTGAATCGATTGGGATTTCCAAATGTCGTTCATCAGTTGGAACCACCGCATCGGATCAGCCCAGCAGTCACGGAACTCGACATTCTTGAGCAGCTCGCCGTACTCGGAAAAGAGATGGTATGGGTAGGCTGTGAGCCCCGTGTCGACGATAGAAATATACGGGATGTAAGAGAAACGCGGCCGCTTGACGAAGAATCCAACGAGGGTGCTGAACAGTCTGTCCTCCGAAATGCCCTCGAGTGTGAGCGACCGGAGTGCAGTGGGAGCGTCAGCAAACATCTGATGAATACCGACAGGTCCAGTTGGTCCACCATCCGTGATAGTATGAGGACCGCCTACCAAGGTCAAGTCGAGCTGGCACTGCTTGTAAATGATGCTGTCGAACAAATTGCTGAGGCCGAACATCTGCTTGTATTTATCAAGGACATTGTTGCTGGGAGCGTAAAAAGTCGCAAAACGGAGATAACGCAACTGCTCAATGAGAGGAAACCCGTTCCCGGAGAAATTTGTGATCAAGTTGATCTTAATAGTATTCCGAGCATTGAGGTCGTGGAAGATGCTCAGTGCAGCTTCTAGCCCGTACACCAGTGGCCCTGGCGAGGAGATCGGAGAGCGCTGCAAAGCAAGGCATAGCATTTCCACTCGTCCCCATGTTTCGGACTGAAGCATAGTGACTGCCGTGTGCAGTGGGTCGAATGGCGCCTGCGCATTCCACGGAATCTTAGAATCGGCGCTCTTCAACAATCGGACTGGAGGATCGACAATGCCGCAGAAAGGAAGATCGGTAACAGTGACGGTGTCCAGGTTCGGTAGTGCGTTCAGGCCATCGACCAGCGTTTTTCGCACGTAAGTATACGCTCGAAGATAGTTGTCTCCTCCGTCTGGTTGTGGACGGGATCGCGACTCGGCCAACTCTTGGAGTCGATGCGGCGTCAGTGTGGAGAAAGTGACCTTCTTGACCCTCGACAAAACATGCTTCGAGCAGTAGGGATCGGTTGTGAGCTTCTCGAGACGCTCCAGGCCAGCCTTAGAGCATGTCACGATGAGTGAGTTGAATCCATTGTGAAATTGCTCTCGAGTCGTTTCCGTAAGTTGGCGATCGGTGTGCCGAAGCGCGATGATGGCTTCGCGCGGGCAATACTTGCAGACGAGGTCGAAGAGTTCTTGAGGGAGGTTGTTGAGCTTTTTCATATCGAATGCGCTTGGTGAATTTGGTTGAATAAGTTGAGGATTGTGGCTGGGAGAAGCGCAGAGCTATTGAGCGGCTTTACATTCACTATGGGTCAGGGCATTGTCAGTTTACTGTTTAGTGCTGGGCGTACGCGGTGAAAGCCCACCGAGCCGCTTACACAATGTCAAACACTCGCAACGGGCTGTCGCGGAAGATTCCAGGCCCGCCAAACCTAGCCCTGATCTCGAAAAGTCCGATACGAACAATGTGACCACTCCGTGATGGACGCAGCAAGAGGCCCCATGCCTTTCGTCGGGTCATGAATGGGATATTGGCGCATGAGATGCCTGCGTCTACAGACAGTGTCGCTTCTTGCTTGGATACACGGACTTCTAAGCCGTCCCATGCCAAGTTGCTCTCTCTGACTGTCTCAGGCGTCGTAACCTGGGCTTCAGTGTCCATACTACTGGCCAAGAGCACAAATATTGCTTGTTTGAAAGGCACAAAGTCCACATTCGAGTCGTCCCAATCCAGGCTGCAATCCACGCGGCAATCACTGCCCAGGCGCACAGTCCATACATGGAAGTTTGAAGCAGAAGTTCTAGCGGTAATCCTCGTCCAGACCCCGTCGATGGTGAGATACCTCGCCTCGACTTCGAGATGCCCGTCTCTCACACAGCCCCATGGGTTAAGGTCTGTATCCGTTGGAACAGCCCATACTTTTAGACTTTTGCATTCCGAGCGGAATGCATGCTTGGCCTTGAAATGGGGGAATATGACATTATGTTGACGCGCCCAGCTCCAAGAAGGGCAGATGTAGTCATCGCTGTTGTTGACAGAGAGCGATTCGAGAAGCTTTTCGAGACTGTTCACACCGCGGTAGCCCTTCCAAAGGCACTGGCGGAGGATATCCGATGACCATAGGCCCGCAACGTAATCATCTCCAGTCGCCTTCGCGAAGAGTTTGGCGATGCCCGACAGCGCAGGAAACCTGTCAGCAGGGTTGGTAAGCTGGCGTGAGACGTACTCGTCAACCAATTCAGTCCAGTTATCGTTGGGATCTCCATAACGATCGTCATCCATTAAGTATTGCTGTATTTGATGGTCCTCCGGACTGGTGGACCACCACGAAGGTTCCATCCACTCCTTTCTGGCACACATGTAGTGCAACTGAGAACGGCCAACATAGATCCTGCGGGATGCAAGGTTCTTCTCTTGAAATGTCCAGCCTCGTGTGTTCCATACCGTAGCAGCCGTCTCCATGTAATTGATTGAGAACATGTTTCCAATGAGTCCCGACTTGAGAAATCGCAAGTGAATTGTTCCAGTCGTCTCATCCTGGATAGATGACTTGAACGGGACCTGAATAGAGCGTTCACGTTTGAGGAATCCCTGGAGACAAGTCGATGATGTGAGCGGGCAAAGTGCGAAATACGCATTGGCGTACACAAGATCCATCTGAGCGGATTCCCTGACCCAATCCTCGTAGTCTCCTTGTATGATGCACAAGGCGTCGATCCACAAGTAGCGGAATGATAGAGCGTGGGTGAAATCGACTGCGTCTTTCATAACTGGTGTTAGGGAGTCCGCATTGATACCAATAAGGCGTTCCTGGTAGGTTTCGTGGGTGGTTTTCAGTTGTAAAGTCGCTGCAGACGGAGGACCCCAACAGTAACTGAGTGCCACGTAACGTGCTTCTGTCGACGGAGCGATGGAAGAGGCTTCAACAACACGAATTAATTTGGATGTGCCCCAATCGTGCAAGTCAAGTAGTCGAGTCGGTAAGAAATCGGATGCTTCCGCCTCACTGCATTCGCAATTTGTGTCGCATCCAGACAAGACATTTATTAGGTCCGTCATGTTCGCAGTGCACAGTGCATCCCCAGAAGGAGATGGTAAAGTCTGTAACCAATCACGGCAGGCTCCTTCATGGGTCAGTCCGCAGTCTTGCCATTACAGGATGCCACTTACCTGTAGAGTCGACAGTGAATACCAGCCCTTCTCGGAGGATCTCCAAGTCCTCCCCAATGATACTCATTTCGACGATGAGCAAGTAGATTCCGACTTCTTCTTCGTACCGTTCCGTTAGTTTGGGCCCGAACGTATAATGTAGAGTGTAGGTGATGTCGCCAGAGTGATCGATTCCTAGGCTGAGGGTCTCCTTGCGTAGTGTGGCACAGAAGTGGCAGCCTGATCTCGCCGACTCCTGCAGTAGTGGCAGGTATGGCAAGGTGTCGGAATGGTTGTAATCGATTCTGAGTGTCTTTCTTTGATCGTTCTCCACATCGTCGAACTGTAGCACGCCGTCCTCCTCGTAGCCTCCTAGCTCAGCATCGTTGAAGGAGAGAACTGAGCACTTGTTGCATAGCTTCGAGTGAGAACCACCGTCAGGTTCGTCAATAATGGGGTCATTAGGTGTGCGAATGGTATAATTTGCCATAGGTGAGGTCGACTAACGAAGACAGAAGCAGTGTTGCGAGGTGCTGATGACTGAGGCGGGGCTATCATCTCGGTTACCTAGCGAGGATCAGGCCGAGCAGATGCAGCCTCACAGGGGCTCATAACCTGTTGAACTATACAGATGTAGAAGATGAGGTGATTTGATATGAATCTATCTACGAGCAGAGGCTGCCTATCTACGAGCAGAGGGAACAGAGAGAGAGAAGCTTGCTCTGTCCTGGACTGGTACGTGAGACAAGCAAGACACAAGCCGATTGTACATGAGATGGACGCTGCTGGAAACCAACAGCATCGTACCTGCCGTTGCCGAAACACAGGTGCTGTCGCTGCTTGAGGTGAATCGCGCCATAAAGTCGAGGCTGAAGGTGAGACTAATATCAATTCGCGAAGCTACGAAACACGATGGTGCATAGCTACGGCACTCCATCAGGTATACCCAGAGCGCCAGCCCATATCCAGGGGCCTTACAACTGAGGCGCTACAGTCAAACGCCTGATTCTCGAAAACACTGTACGCCAGAAATGCACACACTAATGTCCACTCAACCTCACACTTCATACCTTGCCCGGCCACGGCCAACCTCATCGCCAAAGAGTCGACCGGCGTCAACGCAGTACCTCGCCTCGCCCTGACCATCCTGTCCAACCTCACTCCCCCAGCAGACTAAGACAGCGTCCAGAATGCCACCGAGAACACCCTCCATAGCGCCCAGCGCACCCCACCCAATCGCTGCGCTAATGATACCGACTACGTAGGCATACAGGCTGCCTTTGTAGGTCACAATCTCATCGCCCAGTTGGAGCATCCTCGCAGTAGATACCCAGCCTCCAAACCCGAGCGTGATGGTGATGACCCATCGAATCGCGTGTAGCAGAAGCTTAGCCAGGCGGTATGACTGAATTGACGGCCGTCCGTGGTTCTTGAACGAGCTTGGGCCGAGAGTCGTTGTTGGTGAGGCTGCTGAAATGAAGTTCAATTGCGACAAACCGCGTGCGGCTTGGTTGAGCGGAACGCCGTGGATCGATGCAAACGTAAGCGTAAGCGGGTTCGTCAATGCGGCAATTGGCGTGGGCACAACGGAGTAGGCGCACATTGCAATCATGCCCGCAATACGTCGAGGCAGAACGATGAGCGGCAGTCGCACTGCAAGTGATATCAGAGTCGAGAGACAAATGGTGCCGGCCATGGTGTATGATGCATGGCTGAGTGAAGCCTGCACAACAGTCGCGGCTGGGGGCGTGGGTGTCGTGTTTCTGTGGAAGTACCACTGAGAAACGGTGGCCGCCGTTGTTGCTCGTTGTACGCCAGCAATGACGCCCAAAGTCCAGAAGTAATTCAAGAAGAAAGCTGCACCGAGCCACCATGTGCTGGCGTCCACGATCCAGCGTGATTTGTTGCTCGCAAAGTGACCTCCCAGGAAAAGTCTGGTGAACATGAGGATCCAGAGCCACGACCAGAGCATCACCGCGGCAAGCGTGGCAATGCCAACTACCAAAAGTGGTGCCTGCGCCCTCAAGATATCACTAGAGAACTCCAGCATGCCGATCGCCTTATGCAGTGAGTGACGTGCTTTGAAAGCTGTGTATACCCAGAAGATGGCCAGGATGAGAGGTCCAAACGAGAGCCACCGCATAGCCTTGTCCTGTGTGCTGTTGCCGTGCCACGATCCCTTTAGACTCGAGATGAATGGATATAGCCAGAACGAAAAGGATATGACTGGCACTGCTACCAGCATTAGATAGACCAGCGGTCGGGCGAATGATCGCAGCAAAGACAACCACAGTAGACCAACAACGACCGATACAAGCGAGTATACTCCGATGAGGTGGAAAGAAGATGTGAGGACCGTGTAGACTGTGTCTCCAAGTGGGTTCTTTTTGCCTGGCGGTGATTCTTGCAGAAAAGAGATGAACCATATGCCGATCATGGCACACTGCACAATGATGAAGAGCTCTGCCCAGAAGAAGTTGTGCCTCGGAGGGCTTGTGGGATTCTCAGGTACGAGATCTGGCACGGTCTGGCGGTCAGCGCTGATCGATCGTGGGCGTTCGAGTAGCACGTCTTCGTCGGTCTCCTGGGGTATAGACAGGGTTGTTCGTAGCGGACTGCGAAGGCGCTTGTGTCGGGGCATGTTTCGAAACTGTTGGTACGAAGGTGGTGGTTCGTCCTTCTGCTGGAAAACTTCTTCTCTATGCAGCTCTTCTATGCTGCCTCTTTCTGTCGATGCAAGCTCGACATCCACCAGCTTCCCATTCCCTCTGCTGCTTTGTTCTGTAGACTCTGACAACGGTACGCTCGAATCTCGCTCTTCGTCCTCTAGTCTCGTCATTGTTGTGGATCGCCCGCGAGCTGGCTTGTCGCCTTTCCAAGAGCTCTTTATCCCTCTGCCCAAACCGTAGTCTGGCGTGTCGTTCTCGTCTCGGTCTGCCTCCATCGTGTGATCAGATCTGTGCACACCGTCGTCCTCGACCTCAGAGGACTCAGAGAGGTTACTGGCGCCAAACTGCCGCCGTGACCGTTGGAGGGCGTAGTGATCGGCCATCTCGCGGTCGTGCTCGACATGGTCGTCTTCTTCTCGAAAGTCGTCGGTGACTGAGTAGAATAGCGGTGCCGGAGCGTTGGAGGTGCGCGATGTAAAGGCGAAGCGCGATAACGCTTGTGAGTTGTATGGGTTCGGCATGTTGCGGCGCTGGAGGTATGCCTGAGCTGCGCGCGACGACGGCCGCTGGCGGTCTGAAGTGTTCCGGGCGCTGCTCGACTCGGGCTGGCCCAGTGACAGCCGCGACTGAGACTGGGAGAGGAATTTGGAGGCATCTGCGCAGCGCACCGGTCAGTCACACGAGCCCCAGGCAGGTCCAAGACAGAGGCGCTGCAGCTGTCACATGTACCTGATAAGGCGGCGGAGGGCTTACATTCGGAAAACATGACGGGCTGAATATTCTGAACGAGTGTTTGAGGGCCTGCGCAGCTTCTCCCAGCCTGCCTAGGCGCCTTTGTCGCGGTTGCAGCCTGGGGTCGCGGTTGACTCTAGTCCACCGGCGAGCAGTCGGTGAGGCGGCGGTAGGGCGGTCGATCGACAGTGAGGCAGCAGGCGGATGACGTGCTGAGAGACATGCGGCTGTTTGCACAATGTGGCGCGTGTAGGTGCCGAGGACGAATACTCAAAAAAAGGGTCTTCTAGATGTAAGAATAAGCAGAGGAGCACGACATAGGATCGAGTAATAGGTACCGCCCGTACACCACGGATAGCTGAGCACCTGCGCCATCCACCGCGCCAGTCCGGGGCCGAGTCACGCTAAGCTATCGATTATGCATCACCAGTTATCTTCAACGTCACGCACCGCTCAAGACTGCTCCGTTCGCCGTCACGAGACCAGTCTGATCAGCGGGTTTGGGACCGTAGTCGCAATGGTCGGACGTGTGCAAGTGGAACAGGCATTTTCCTTGCATAACCGGAGCAAAGGCCCCAGTCAGCACCAAATGAAAGAGGTCTACCAACGCCGAAGCGTGAAAGAACTAATATACCTATATGATAACTAAAGAGGAGGCCATACTTTCTTTGGCGTGCTTTTATAAGTGTGTTCAACGTCTTCCACACACCAGAACCGTATCCTGCAGATTCAATGTTTGCGCCAGACTGGCGTCACAAGACGTGACCTCGGTGGAGCAGGCGCGGCAAGAGCTCCAGCGCTGTGACCGCATCGCAGACAACGCCTCTTGACCCTGCAATCAACACCATCTCGACCACCAAAACCCCCACAGCACGCACCAGAAAGTCTCAACAGCTCCGGACTGAACCATTCTGTCTTCCACGCCTGAGACAAACAGCCGGTCTGATTGACAAGCTCCAAGGAAGCATCGCTTGCTCTGCACAGCACGGCGAGCCGGCGCCGAACTTATCTCCACACCTCCACGCCCCAGCCTGCGAGAACAACCGCCCCAAATGGCGCAGCCGTGGGACTACATTGCAAAGATCGTGTCGCTAGGCGACTCTGGCTGTGGCAAGTCGAGTGTACGCAGCCTCTCCCCCTGCCTTATCGTGTGATACTGACGGACCACAGCTCACAGTGCGACTCTGCGAAGGCCGCTTCTCACCCCACCACGATGTCACAATCGGAGTCGAATTTGGATCGCGCATAGTCCCCGTTGGCCCACCCGCCTCATATTCACTGAGCATCAACAACCCCTCAAAAGCCGACCCTCCATCCTCGCCGTCGAAGAAGGATCCACCACAGAAGCACATGAAGCTCTCGTTATGGGACACAGCCGGGCAGGAGACATACAAGAGCATAACAAGAAGCTACTTTCGCGGCGCATCAGGAGCGCTTCTCGTATTCGACATCTCGCGGAAGCAGACTTTCCTCAGCGCGACGAGCTGGCTCCACGACCTGCGACAGATCGCCGAGGAGGGTATCGTGGTAGTTTTGGTCGGGAACAAGAGTGATCTGGCAGCGTCGTCGACAGTATCGGAAGCAGAAGCGTCCAACAAGCGACAAGTCACAAAAGAGGAGGCGGAAGAATGGTGTAAAGCGAACGGCGTCATGCAGTACGTCGAGACATCAGCAAAGAGCGGCGAGGGTGTCGAGCGGGCGTTTCTGGAAGTTGCCGAGAGGATATACCAAAATATCGAGGCAGGGAAATACGATCTCAACGACAGGAGAAGTGGTGTCAAGGGCCCGGGGGCCGGTGGCGGTAACCGTGCTGGCATCACGCTCGGAATGAATGATGCCGCGAAGAAAGGGAAGCAACAGGGCTGGGGAGGCGGATGCTGCTGAGGGAGAGACGTATATCAAATTGGATTTGCAGGATTGCTCGGAACTTAGCTGACGCCCTGATACAGCGTATCTATCTGGCACGTGCCGTGGACTCGAATTGCATCATCGGGCGTTCGATGCACCATGCCACATTCGTTGAATATGTCTTCGAATCTAATAGACCTCGTTACATCTATTATGCATGCATCGTCCGGATCCCCAGCTAACCCTCTCAGAGTCTATGCGTACCCGTCTGAACCACGATGCTGTCTTCCACGCCAGATCCAGGCCCGCAACGCTCATGCATCCTGCACCTCATACGACACCTTTGTGACGCCCTTCTGCCGCTTAATGTTCCGAATCACAATCCGCCCACACCCCTTGGTCGTCTCGACATGCGTCCCGCCACACGGATAGCTCCCCGCGTCCCCAATCTCAACGACCCGCACGCCATCCTCGTCCTGCTTAAAGCTGTCCAGCACGCCCGTGCACTCGCGCCGTGCGCGCGCCTCGTCCCAGAAATGGATCCGCACCGGCAAGTCGCGCGCAACCAGCTCGTCCGTCTTATCCTGCAGCGCGGCCTTTGCGGTGCCGGGAATCAAGCCGATGAACTCGACAAACGATGCGCCGGGGTAGTGCGACGCCTTGCCGTCCACGATACTCGCGTCCAGCGCCCCAGCGTCCCGCAGCGCCGCGGCCGCGAGTCCAATCACGTGGCCCGCGGTGTGTATGCGCGAGTGCAGCACACGTTTTGCGACGTCGATTTCCTGCGTGCCCTGCGCAGCATCGCCGAAGCGTTCGACCGCAAACACGCCCATGTGCAGGATACTCGGGCCCAGCTTGCGGACCTGGTGGACGCGGAACTCGACGCCGGCGGCGGAGATGCAGCCCGTGTCTGACGGCTGGCCGCCGCCCTGAGCGTGGAAGATTGTGCGCGGCGTTGTCAGGATGAACGGCGAGCTCTCTGGTGGGGGTTTGAAGAGGGCTTGTGCGTCTGCGGGGAGTGTGGAGAGCGGCTGCACGCTGCTGATGGGCGCGGTGTGGGTGTACATGCGCCCGTGTTTCTGGTAGAGGGCTTCTGTTTTTGTGCTGGGAAGGACTGGGTCTGACATTGTGCTGTGAGAGCGCGGTATTCTCCCGCTGCTGCCTGGGTGGAAGGCTGGACTTTTTGGTTGGGGCCTTTCGAGGCTGGTCCTGGTGCTGCGGAGTCGGAGAGATGCTGGAACGGCTCGTTGGAAGCGCTGCATGCAATGTTCAGGGAAGGTATCCCAAGCTCTTATGTGTGTTTATACAAGTTCCAGTTGGGTCAAATCTTTTCTTAGCCTATTTCCTACTGGGATGGGCGAAAGAGGTTGCGTCGGTCAAACGCGCCCTTGACGTTGTGATGACATGCGCGATGCCTGATCAGGAAGGTCCGTCTCCATGATTGAGGTCTGTCTGCGATTCTAGCGTGTTCTTTCGATGCCGTTTCGCGCTCGCTGTCGGTATCTGTCCTGCTTCGTATCCTACACGATATAGCGCTTGCCAGTGACCTCCCTCCGGGCGGCTCGCGTCCGAACGTGGTCACGTCATCACAGAAAGTATTGGCCAAGGCGATATTTGCGTGGAACAAGCACGCTTCAAGAATGTGTCTTTCCGAATTTTGATGCGAATCGCTATGCCGTCTAGCAAAACTCCTCCACTAAGTGCCTGGTATCATGTCGTTTGCAAATCGTCTATCCACGTTCCCAATCCAACGGCTCTAGCCTCGATCCTAGTTGAGATACAGCGACAAAGCCTGCTGTAGCTCAGGTTGCAGCCTCTCCTGCACCAGCTTTACAATCCTGCCGTTGTGCCGGCTATTGGCGTCCTTGAGGAACTGGCCAACCCATGCCTTGACGTCGGGGATCTCGGGGAAGGGGTCGCGAGGTGCCTTCTTGCAGGTGTTGAGCTGTGTGAAGCCAACACCGAAACCGACCTCGTCGACGTCAGCATCAGGGATGATGTCGTCCGCCGACGAAGGGACGGGCGGGTTGACGAGGAGCTCTAGCAGTCGCTGTGTGGTCAAACCCCAGCCCTTGGGGTAGCGGTCAACAAAGGCTTGCGACTCGCCGAGAGTCTTGGTGAATGACACGACAGCAGTCTTGCGGTCGGTAGGCCTGGCGAGTTTCTGCGTATCCGGCAGGATGACTGTAAGGTAGATGGGCTTGAACACACTGCAGATGCGTTAGTAGATGCAGTCGCGTACGGTCAAGATCCGACTTACTCATGCTGAACCTGGTCAGTGACACTGATGTAAAAGTCCGCGCCCAGGCCCTTATCCTGGCGCGCAGAGACGAGGTGGTAGAATGCAATAAAGCGCTGCTGGAAGCTTTCCGTCTTCATGTTGGACAACCTCTGCAGCATCAGCTGGAGGATGGTAACAAAATACGGCTGCAGAGCCTCCACGGGAACAAATGTAACGAGAGCCTCGATAAGCTCGAATGCGTGCGACTCGTGTGCCTTTGTGGAAACGAGCTTCTGGAAGATACCCAGAATAGGCTCCAGCTGCTTGTCAGCAACAATGCGCTGTGCATCGCGAGTGATCATGGCAGTGAGCAGACGAGCAAGCGCTGGCACATTACCACGCTGGTCCCAAACAGCGCCTTGGATGATGATCGAGAAGAGGCTTCGGTAGTAGTCCGTCAGCTGACCCGATGGGTTGGCTTCCAGGAGTGCTGAGAACAGCTGGAAGATGTACGGTGAGAACTCCTCGATGCCTTCTGACAGACAAGCAGCAAAGGGCTCATAGAGCTTGGTCTCGAATGCCTCGGGGTGGCTTGGCGCAGCGAAGCGAATCAGAGCACCGAGACCCTCAAAGAGATAGTACTGGAAACGAGGGTTGCTAGGATTGTGCCTGATGACCTTGATGATTGCGATGAAGTTCATCAAGATCTGCTCACAGATTGGCAGTACGCCATCTCGGATGAAGATGAGCACGCGCATGACGCACTTCATCAGGAACTCGTTTTCTTGGATCTTTTCGGGAGCGGAGTTCTTGGTGATGAGCTTGAAGAGATGGGTCAGGAGATCCCTTGATGAGCCGACGACATCACCCTTTGGGATGATGGGCTGACGGTTGTCGTCAGTCATGAACAGCACACGCTCGACAGCAATCGCAGCGTATGTGTGGATGACATAGTTTTCGTTTCCGAGGTTGTTGACGAGAAGCGGGAACGCAGCGCGCCACAGGTCAGGCGAAAGCTGACTGCGGAAGACGTAGAGGTATTTGATGGCGTCGACCTTCAAGATTGCTTCTGCGTGGGCGGTTTGCAGGTCAGAGGCAATGTGCTTCTGGAAGAAGTCCAGGACGTCGACCTTTTCGTTGACACTGAGAATACCCTGGGCAGCAGTCGCTGTGCCCTTGGCAGCAATAGCAGTGAAGAGGTACACGGCTGTGTCCTTGGACTTCCAGTTGTTTGCGGGGTCCTGGGCGTAGTTCTGCAGGTAGGCGTCGACGTAGGTCTGCGAGGTGCTGGTGACCAGGCCTTCAAACTTGGACATGAGCTGGCGCAGGAAGTTGGTCGCGGCTCTTCGGCGGGTGTCGTTGTCAGAGCCTTCCAGATCTCTCCTGATGAACTCAATCGGCTCGTCCTCGAAAAGCTCGACGTCGGACTCGCGCAGTGTCAAGTTTGGCAGAATGACCTTTTCAATGACCTGCACAAGGACCGACTGGTTGTTGAAGTTCTTGGCGTGGTGTGTCGAGGCAACGGCAGTGAGGAACTGGAGCGCCTTGCTGACCAGGATGTCGTACTTTGTCTCTAGCCCAACTGTCATGAGGAAAGACCACGACGTCTCGATGAAGGGACCAAGCTGTGCGCCAAATGCATCCTCGTACTTCTGGATGTACAGCATCAAAGCCTCGAAGATGCCGGCCCTGACATAGTCTTGCGGCCCTGACTCGTCGTCGTCGTCGGTGTGCAGCGCGGGGTTGTCGTAGGTCAGGTACTTGTGGAGGATCGAGGAGATGGCGGCCATGTTGTCTTCGAAGACGGGCGGCAGGTCTTGGCACGAGAGGTCGTAGAAGAGCTTCATCATCAGATCGAGGGTGGTGAAGGCAGCCTTGAGGGCGTCTGGGTTTCCCTGGGACTGTGTGATGAGATTGTCGGTGTTCTGGAGCAGGGTGAGGAACGGCGTGCTGAACTTGGACAGGACGTGGTTGATTTCGGTGAAGAGGTCGTCGGAGCGGAACAGCGGCCGCCAGCGCTTGAAGATGGAGTGTGCTACGCGCAGGACGCCGTTGTTGACCGTCGAGTTGTCGGGGGTGAGACGGGCGATGAGGTCGTCGACCAGCGTGTCCCAGCGCTCCCAGAAGTCGCTGTCGGCGATGGCGCTGATGGCCTCGCCGAGCTGGGCCTGCAGGCTGGGCGGCACCGAGACCATCAGGCCAATCAGCTCGCGCTTGATGGCGACGACCTCGTCCTGCGGCAGCTTGTAGTTGCCATCCTCGTCGACCCAGTTGCGCTTGATGAAGTTTTTGAAGTAGAGGGCGCTCGACAGCCGTATTGTGGCGGGGAACGAGTCGGACGCGACGATGTGGAGGAGGGAGAGTGAGAAGCCGGGCTTGGTCTGCTCCTGGGTGATGGCCTGCTCGGCTGGGGGGGCGTCAGCACATTCGCTCTACACGGTCTGGGTGTGGGGGTGTGGGGGTGTGTGTGTGTATGTGTGTGTGTATGTGTGTGGGTGTGTGTGTGTGTGTGTATGTGTGTGGGTGTGTATGTGTGTGGGTGTGTATGTGTGTGTGTGTGTGTATGTGTGTGTGTGTGTGTGTGTGTGCGTGTGCCCGCGGCGAGGGGCACGGCGGGACAGCGAGTAAACACGGGGAAAAGCGACGCACCCTGCTTGTTCTGGCGCGGGTCCAGGCTGGCCTCGAGCAGCTTGGAGAGCGTGGGGATGTCGGCAGCCATGGCGACGACAGGACAGCAGAGGGAGCCGGGGACGGAGTGCGGACGAGGGCGAGGCTGCGTTGCGGTGCAGGAAGATTGTTGCGGCGCGGTTGCTGTTTGGCCGGCCCACTTTTTGGCTGGCCCGCTTTTGTCTGGCCTGCGTGCGGCGGCGCGGGAGTGCTCAAGCTCTGCTTGCTCTAGCTGCCGTGGTGGCAGCGTTCCCCGGGTTTCGTCGCAGACTCGCAGCACTCATCTATCAGATCCCCTCCGCCGTGCGACTGACTGCTCGCCCTCTCGCCGCCGTGTCTGCCCTCTCGCTGCCGTGTCTGCCCTCCCGCCGCCGCCGTGTCTGTCCTCCCGCCGCCGCCGCGTCTGTCCTCCCGCCGCCGTGTCTGTCCTCCCGCCGGCGCCGTGTCTGCCCTCTCTGCCCTCTCTGCCCTCTCTGCGCACGTCGGACAGTCCGCGTCTGCCCTGCGCACATCGAAGAGCCGCCCGCCTGCCTGCCTCGCCACATCTGTTGCACCGCTCATGGGCTCCTCCCCCCCGCCCGCGCATCCATGACCGACACCAAGCGCCTGCGCCACTGCTGCGAATTTCTCTCGGGAATATAGCTGCAGCTGCCGGGCTGCCTTCACCTGCACCCCGCGCCCGCCAGGGTCACCGCGGCACGCATGCCTCCGCCGACTCACAATGGCCCGCGCACGCCCGATCGTCGCGCCTCGTCCTACGACATCCTCAATGCCTTCCGCAGGCTGACCGGCAGCAAACCGCGCGCCGAGCCGCTCCCTCCGCCCCCGCCCGTGAACCCCGTGCGCGCTCTGTCTGTGAGCTCTCTGCCCCCGTCCTCGATGGCGAGCGGCCCTTCAGCCGACGATAGCCTGCAGCGCATCACCGACGTCGCCGGCGAGATGATAAGGCCCGACGTGACAGGCGGGCCGCCGGAGCTGGCCGACCTAATCGAGCAGCTGCACAAGAGCCGCCCGTTCCTGGAGAGAGCAGATGCTGTCGAGAAGATATGCAGGGTCCTCGACGAGTATCCCTTGCAGAACATCCTCGGCCTGTGGTCTGTCGCCAGCGACCTGGTGCTACTCGAGCAGCCGGATGAAGTTGCCGAAGCAGGGTTCAAGCTCCTGAGGAGCATCTCACTGGATCCCAAACTGACGCCTGTCGAGCGCACCATCATCTTCGATGCGGCCGCCTACCGCCGGACCACCCGGTGCTTCCAGTGGCGGCTCGACATCATATCGACGCTCACCAGCTGTGGCAAGAACATTGCCGCCTGCGAGTCAGCCATCGTGCCTTTTATACTCAACGCCCTCGATGCGTGCTTTGCGGCTAGCCGGGATGCCTTCAACTCGAACCGAAAGGTCAACGGCAAGCGCAGTGTGGACGCGCCACTGCAGGAGACGGAGAACCTCGGCCGCATCTTTCACTATGCTACCGACGTCTGCAAGTTCAACGCCCGAATCCTCACCGACAGCGACTTGGAGCAGATCCTCGAACGCGTCATGCACATTTGTCAGAATACTACGCAAGAGAGCGACATGGAGAACTGCATAAGGCTCTTCGACACCATCATCACCTATGTCCACGTGCCAAAGGACGTTCTCAAGACTAGTCTCGAGGTGTTGTGCGCAATCCACAGGCAGATTGCTAGCCTCGAACAACAGACGTGGAACACGCTGAGCAATCTCTTCAGATCGCACATCGGCCAGGCTGCTATCCTGTCGCTCCTGCACACTCTCCAGGACGGACCCTCGATGAAGAATCGACAGAGCAGCCTGTACAGGGGTGCAATGCAGGTCCTGCAGAAGTTGATCATCGAAGATGGGCAAGGTGACCTGCCCAAGGTGCCCATGTCGCTCATATTCTCCGCGCTCAAATCCTCAATCACGGAGCCGCATGCAACGCAAGAAAAGTTTGTCATTGACCTTCTCGACTCGATACTCTCACAAGAGTCCATGCGAGATGCGCTACTCGCTGAAGCGGATCTGAGCGACATGCTGGACATTGTTCGCGTTTGCGCCGAGCGAGACGACCATCGTCTTCGGGCTGAGATGAGCGGGAACGGGGACAAGTCGACTACCAGCGACAGGAACACAAGTGCATCGGCAAAGTCTGTTTTACAAAACGGAAGCTTGAAGAACGGTTGGTAGAGTGATATCCTGGCACTGGTGCAACGCTGACACATACATTCAGACACATTCATATCGCCCGGAGGTCACGACGATGTCGATCCACACGCCGACGTTCCAAGTGCACGACCGACCGGGATTGAAGCCATTCGGCGTTCAGAAGACGACAGCATCTTCCAAGTGCTGGTCAAATTGGATCATCTCAGCAGTGCAATGGACCACATCCAACAAGAGGGCGTCATGGAGTTGTTTCTGCACTGTGCTAACCGCCTGAGCGACTCCGTCGCTGAGAAAATGATTCAATACTTCGCAGACGAACGATTCTTGAACCCGTCCAACAGCGATTGGCTGGAATTATCGCGCACCGTTGCATCGAAGACGCTGCACGATGCGACTCGTCCAAACGCTGTCCGGCTGCGTGCAGTCAAGAGCCTGAGAGACGCTCACGAGGCCGTCGAGTTGCTCTGTGCAAACCAAGTAGCCGCCGAAAGCGCTGCTATAATACTTGGAAGAATCGAAGCCGAAGACAACGTCCAGATTCTCGAGGCTCTCGTAGACTTTGCGGTCGATCTCGCTGCCAAGGCGCAATTGGACACCTTTTCCGAGGTCTTGGATCTGCTGCAGAACAAGTTGGACCAGCCACGGATGTCAGCGGCACCGTCGTCGCGCTCGTGGACATCACACACGTTCCTTCCGAAGACCGAGGCTCAGCACGGCTCACACTGTGGCATCATAGCTGTCGCCTTTGTACGACTGTTTCTTCGTAGCTTCACCCACGCGGCGCAAAAGACATGCATGCTATACAATGCCATACGAGGGCTTGCAGGCAACGACAAGTACGATAACGAGTCACGCTTGACGGCTCTCAGATTGCTCTTCAGATTGCGTGCAGACTCCCGCCACGCCCTTACCGTCAACTCCTCCTCGGAAGGCGAGCGAATTGCAGCTGAATTATGCCGGACTGAAGAGACGGCTGTGGCGATAGAGAAGTCTGACGGGTCTCTTTCGAGCGACCGCGCCCGGTCCGAGGACGCGGCTTCACGCAAAGTCTCAGGATCTAGCCCACACGCGTCTCTCCATAGGCAGACCAGTCGTGCGGCTGCCGCATCCGGTCGTGTTTCGAAGCCCATTGCACCGCTATGGATGTATCCTGGACCCAAGGGACTTCCAGAAGAACCCCCATCTGAACCTAGCCGTGTTGTCTTCTCTCACATTGATGCGAGCAAATATCCTCTCAGCGCTGATGTTCATGACATGGAGATCACATTGTGGCTAGAGCTATGCATTTCTTTGCTGCAGAAGCAACAAGACTGGGAAATCTACAGCTATGTTCTAGTCCACCTCGGCCCGCAATTATCTAATCAAGCCCTGGTGCGAAGCTGCGTGGTGCAGCTCCAGATGCTCAGGAATGTGCTCTGCGAGCAAGTGCGCAACTCCAGCTTCCACGAACCTCCACCGCATACTCTTCTCAAAAAGGCAGATGTCGCCGTGTGTCTGTACCACATCCTGACGGTCATGATCAGTTATCACGAGTACTTCCAAAAGGGCGAAGAGGACGACATCGTCAAAGCATTCTTGCAGGGGGTTGTGCAGTGGGACAGAACTTCCAAGTGGTGTATTCACGCTTTGTCTGTTTGCTGCTTTGAGGTTCCTCTCTCTGTCACTAGTTCGCTCGACACAATCGTTCAGAAGATGTCACAGATTGTGACGAAACCAGCAACGGCGATTCATATCCTCGAATTTTTGACTAGCTTGGCACGAATGCCAGAGCTGTATAAGAACTTCAGAGAGGAAGATTTCAAGACGGTATTTGGAGTGTGCTTCCGCTACTTGCAACACATCAGAGATCAGCGCAGCCGCGCAGCCCTGCCAAGCCTGTCACAGCGAGGCCACAACTCTTTACGCCACAGCGGGCTCGGCAGAGACAATAACACAACCGCAGATGGCGTCTCCAGGAGGGCCCATTTGGTTGAGGAAGATCTGCCACACTATCTGTATTCCCTCGCGTATCACGTCATCACGTTTTGGTTCATGGCTTTGAGGATGGAGGACCGTCCCAAGCAGATCCCTTGGATCACAAAGAATCTCTTGACTGTGGACAGCGCTGGCAGGCAGAGCATGGAAGAGCAAGGGCAGGTTATTGTCGACATTATGAACATGGTGGCATACACGGATCGCGACCACACCGTCCGTAACGAGAACTTCTCGAAGCCTGGCGATGGCGAAGTTTGGAAGAAGACCTGGATCGTCAACAACGGGCTCCTCACGATCGAGACAGCAGCGAGGACAGGGGTCTCCCAAGTGACCTCTCGTCGACCTGTACGTATGCCTCGTTACGATGATTCCTTTGATACTTACTTTGACGTAGTGTGGTACCCGCTTCTTCATCATGCGGCCATCGCTCGTTCAGCCCCCGCGTCACCAGGTACCGATCACCGTCGGACTTGCAGCCGACGTATTTTACTCCTCGTCTTATATTGGCATACTGCCTGAAGATATCTTCCAGAGCTTCTATGCACCTCTGGATCTCACAAACACCACCATTGCCCTTCCAGACGATGACATGACGAGACGCGCCATTGCTACGTTCGACAGAACCGCGACTGTCGATAGTCACAAAGTAGGAGTCATCTACATTGGCGAAGGCCAGACCAAAGAGCGTGACATTTTCATGAACGACATCGGCTCTCCTGCTTACACGTCTTTTGTCACCGGCCTGGGCACATTGAGTCGTCTAAAGGACGCCAAGTTCAACACCGGAGGCCTCGACACTCGTGGCGACGCCGATGGGGAGTTCACATACGTGTGGCGCGACCGGTGCATGGAGCTGGTCTACCACATCACCACTATGATGCCGACAGATCCCAACGACGACATGACATACCCCAACAAGAAGCGTCACATCGGCAACGACTTTGTCAACATCATCTTCAATGACTCCGGTCTACCGTACAACTTCGATACGTTCCCGGGTGCCTTCAACTACGTACACATCGTCATCTCACCAGAGTCACGAGCAAGCTTCGTAGATCGTCGCATCGACGCCGACCCCGACGGCAAAGACCGCTACTACAAGGTTCAAGTCGTCACGAAACCCGGCTTTCCTGACGTCTCTCCCGCTGCGGAGACAAAGATACTTGGCGGCAGACACATAGCCGCCTACTGCCGCCTCATCGCCATCAACGCATGCGTTTTCTCAGATGTCTGGTTCCAACGCGAAGGCGGCGAGCAAATCTCATCATGGCGCAACCGTCTCCGTGAAATCAAACGCTTGCGCGAGCGCTACGGAGGCAGCATCACTGACCAGCAACCTACCTCGAGTCCAGCGTCACCGGGAGGAGGGAGCCAAGGTCTGTCCAGCCCACCGAATCGAGACCAGAACGGCATTGCGAGCCCATTCCAGCGCTCGAGCATTGCTACTTTCATCACGGAAGGCACCAGTCGAAGTTCGATCAGCAGCTCCTCTCACGACTAGTGATACCACTCTGCACAGTCGCAACATGATCATTATCACCGGAGTCGGAAAGTCGCATTTACATATACCCCTATCACTACCACAAAAGTTTGTCGTTTTTCAAAGTCGGTGTTGGTTGCATCGCACGGTGTTCAGGCGGACATGGACACATCAAAAAAAGTTTTGCTTTTGTACGGCATCCAGATAGACGAACGTGCAGAGGGTGGCATGTGTAGTGTGGAATAATAACATACGTCTTAGTCCAGCCGTGTTCATCACACATACTCTATCCTCAATCACCAAGCTTCATGTGAATCCGCCAGCTAGCACGTGGAAGTGGACCCCTTCAGCCCTACGCCAGCTCCCGCGTCTATCTGTCGTAATGTGTTCTCCGATTACGGTCAACATATCCCTGTCCGCCTTGGCGCTTCTGGAATTCAACATGACAGCACCAACCGACATCTTACATCCAACACTCGTCGTACACAAAGCATGGCCACTCCCCGGCTCCCCTTCCTATGGCCCATGCTATGGAAGCCGCAAAACGCGCCCCGGACACGCCCGCGCGCCCGCGCGCCACGCTCGAAACGCGCGTTCGCAACAACGCCCTCCCGCTGCATCGAAGCACCCATACAGCGCTACGGCACCGCCCACGAACCCGCACCGCACCTGCGCTCGCAGCCCGAGAAGAAAGACGACCCCGTGCCGCCAAAGATCCCGCACGACCCCGCAAAGGATGTAGAAGAAGACGACGAAGAGCCCGAGGGCCACCTGCCCACAGAACCCCCAGCTACACCCGCACAGCCAGGCGCAACCGAGGAAGCGCCCCAGAAACATGAACCCCCCGCGGCCCCCAAGACAGGCGAACAGAAACCGCTGGACTCCGTGCTGCACATGCCCGGCCCCAGCGAGGAAGAGCACAAACCGCCACACCTCAAGACGCCGCCGTACGTGCACCACTTCGACACATACGGGCTGGTCCAGCAGCTCTCGAAATCCGCCTACACGGACGCGCAGTCCATAACGCTGATGAAAGCCGTGCGCGGCCTGCTCATCTCCAACATGATGCTCGCGCGCGAGGGCCTTGTCTCCAAGAGCAACGTTGAGAACGAAACGTATCTGTTCCGCGCGGCGTGCGCGGAGCTGCGGACCGAGATCGGCAACACGCGCAGGGGCGAGGTGGATAAGTGGCGCTCCGAGCGCGTACAGCTGCAGCACGAAGTGGATATTCTGGGGCAGAAGCTGGGGCAGGAGACGGGCAGCGTCAAGGACGAGCTCAAGGGCCTCTTCGACGATAGGAAAATGGCCGTGCGCCAGGAGCAGAGGAGCATGGAGACCAAGGTTCGTTCGCTCGTGTGTTTGTGTGCGCGCATGCCGTGCTGTGCTGTGCTGATATTACTCCCAAGGTCCAAGAGCTCAACTACCAAATCACGATTAAACTCAACTCGGACGCGCGATCCGAGGTCGAGGGCCTGCGCTGGGTGCTCACGCGCCGCATCGCCATGGGTATCGCGACCATGGCGACCATGGTCGTTATCCTGCTGCAGCTCAACTCGAGCCGCAAGCACGAGCACAAGGAGGAGCAGAAGAAGAAGGATGACGCTGGAAAGAACGGCGGCAGTGGCGATGGAGGGAGGGGGTTGGAGCCGCAGAGGCTGGGCTTGAGCAACATCACGGCGGTCGGAGCGCCGGGACAAGAAGAGGCGCTGGGTGGGGAATTGTTGGCTACTGAGGGTGTGAGTCTGGGGTAGTGGGGTGGGCTTGAGATGTGTAGGGGGGGTTCCAAGGAGCAGAGATAGCTTCCAAAGACGCCTGGACAGTTCTTTTCATTCTGTGGCTCGGAATCTCGTCGATTGATGGACCTGTACGTGCTCCTACAGCTTATGTTTCTTCTCGCCGCTCGCAACCTTCCTAAACTCCTCCTGCGGCACGCCCTTCAAGAACCGCGACAGCCCGCCAAACACCTCCTCGACGCCCTGGCGATCAAGCGCATCCATATCCGGCTTACGAATCAGCGCCTTGATCTTGAGCAGGCTCTCGCCGTTGAGATGGTCGCCCAGCCGGTCATCGACCTCCTTCAGCACCTCCTCCAGGAACTTGGGGCTGTCCTTTGATCCGACGTCGAAGACCTTGTTCACGAACCCGGTCTGCACCAGCTCGTCGCAGCTGATGCGCTTGCTCATGATGAGCGCCTCGTTGGCTTTGCTGATTCCGAGGCGCTTGACGAAGGCAAAGGACGCGTTACCTTCGGATACTAGCCCGAGACTGCTGAAGGGCGTGAGGACGAAGGCGTGCGGCGCGGCGTAGATGAAATCCGAGTGTGCGATGAGCGCAGCGGAGAGTCCGACAGCGGGGCCGTTGAGCGCGGTAACAAGGATCTTGGGGTGTGTGTAGAAGGCGTGCGTGATGTGCACGTTGTTGGCTACGAAGCTCTTCAGCCACATTTGGCGCTCGTCGACATCGGTGCTGGACTTGGTGGCTGCGCCGAAACTTACGTCTGCGCCGCTATTGACGGTTAGTATGTGCTTTCATCAGAAGGAGGTCTGGGGACGTACGCGGAGAAGAAGCGCCCCTTGCCTGTCAGGACGGTGATGAATACTTCGTTGTGCGCGGCGACCTCGTGCATGGCCCGCGCCAGCTGGTAGTAGTGGTCGCCACTGAGGGCGTTGAGCTTCTTGGGGACATTGAGCGTGATGATGGCTACTTTGCCCTTGTACTCAACGAGGACGGCTGGTTCAGACATATTGACAGTTTCTGTGCTATCTTTTGACGCGATTGGTGTTGTTGTTTTCGAAACCAAGAAGGTTGGACGGCTCTCGCGGTGTGTTGTGCAGAAGCTTTGAATTCCAGAGTCGTAGATGTGAGATCAGTAAATCAAGCCGAGGCTCTTCGGAATGCGGAGTGATCGACGGTCCATAGCCGACATAGCCCTACGACCAGGGGACTCGAAATGTCGTTACCCATAATCAATTTCTGAGACGCAGTAGATCCTATCTGAGATTTGGGGTCGAGCTCATATAGCGTTGAACCAGCTCGACAGCGAGTTTGGGGGGAGGGAAGAAGCGACATGTGAAGACGCGAGATAAGAAGGCGCGATGCGATCCTACCTTGACGTGATCATCTCCGACCTTTGTGCGAACAATCTCCACAAATATCTTTGACCTCATCAGTCCACCCGCCGCGCAGCACAACTCGCGTGCACGCAACCCCACACGAACACCCCCAGTTCACAAACCCTGCACCAACATGGGCGGGCCCAATCTCGAAGTCGCCAAGGTGCGTTCGTGCCAATCCTCACTGCGCTGCGCCACTAACACGCGCAGTTCGGCATGTACATTCTCTTCCCGATCAGCATCATGTACTACTTCGGCACAAACCTCGACGGCAAGTTCTCGGTGCCAGACTTCTGGCCCAAGCCGGAGCAGACACACCGCATTCCGTATGAGCGGGAGGAGATCGCGAAGGAGCTGGAGAGGCTGAAGGCGAGGAATCTGGAGAACAAGAGGAGGAGGGAAGAGGAGGAGAGGCGGATGGCTGCGATGGGTGTCAGCAAGGACGAATAGAGTGATGTTGTAGCTGCGCAGGCTGCGTCTGATAGAGCGCCTGATGCATGCTGGTGTGGCTACAACAGCAACCAGTCAAATAAAAGACCAGAGCAGGAGAGGTGGAAGGGTATGGAAGGCGTTCAGGAAGGCGTTTTATCGCCAATGGTATACACTACTGTACAGTGCTGTGTTATAGATGTATATGCACAAATCGTGGGATCATCTCAAACGTTGACCTTGCTCGACAGCTCCTCCCAGATCTCATCTGAGATGGCACCTTTGCTCCAGTTCATGTAGACTCCCTGTATCCCCTGGACGTCCTGCAGCTTGTCCAAGAAACGTTCACTCAGCTCTTTGGCCGCACCCTCGTCGTCCAGCGGGACCTTGTAGTCCTCGTTGGGATCGTAGATGATCTCGCTCTCTTCAATCTCCATGTCCAGCTCTTTTGCCAAGGACTCAGCAATCTTGTTTGTGTCCGCAGGCTCAGTGAACAAAACCACGCGGCCCTCATCATCCTCGATGACATCTACTGCACCAGCATCCAGTGCAGGCTCCAGCACTTCATCCACACCAACATTCTCCTTCTTCGCGAGTATTATCCGGCCTTTCTTCTCGAACATGTGCAGCACTTTCTGTCCGGCCTGGCCACCGGCTTCCTTGACAATCAGTCTCATCTCTGCTAGCGCACGCAGCTTGTTGTCCGTCTGGCATTCTATTATAGTGGCAATCGAGGGGGGAAGAATGGCTTCCATGGTCAGGTTCTCGAGCGCAGCGCCGGTGGCGGAGAGACCCTGGCCTCGCGCGATGGCGGCTTCAATGGATTGTTTTGGCACGGCGCTCTTCTTTGCGGTCGCGATGGCGAGGTGGAGGCGTGCGTTCATGTTCGGGTCGGCCCCGCCCTGCTTCACGGCGTTGGTGATGTCGCGGGTCATGAGGGAGCGCTGCTTGCTCTTGCCGGCGTCGTTCTTGGCTTTGTCGTGTTTGATCGTCGCCCATTTTCTTTTCCAGCGGTCAGTCTAATGTTGTGCGCTGGGTCTGCGTCCACGTACGAGTGGCCTGAGAGGTATGTGGGAGTGCTGCTCAAGCATCGCACCGGGACTTTCCGTGGACGTGAGGCATGGCGGCAGGCGCATTGGGCTGCGCTGTCGAAGGATAGCGATGCGCGAACGGCGCGAGTAAACGGTGCTGCCATTGGATTTCTGGTAAGTTACGGTGTTATGCGACAAAGCGGTCTGGGACAAAAGTTGCGCTCGTCTCGTCCGCCAAGAGACACCCCCGAGCTCCGCAAGACGGCCGCCGCAGCTCCACCTCTCCACAACTGACAGGCCAGCTCGCCCCGCCATGTGCGCCAGCCGCTCAGTCCTACATCCCGCCGACATATAGACAGGCCACGAGCCTACAAGACTTCGGATGGCAGCCAACGGCAATCAGTCGGCCCGGGAGGATACTTCGAACCCCGAACTCGACGTCAAGAAGCTCCACGCGCTTCCTACCGAACAGCAAGACCTCTACCTCCTGACTTTCACGTCTGACCTTGCGCGCCATGTCGACTCCCTCGATGCCGACGGCGCCTCGGCGCATCAGATCTACATAAAGAAAGAGCTGTTACAGGTCATCAATCTAGCCTCCCCCGCGCCCACGCGCGTTATCCGAAACAACTTGGGACGAGCATTCGCCGGCATCTTTGGCAAGGGCGACCGCAAGCTTCTATTCGAATCCATCAATGAGTGCAACAGCATCCTCAATGGCGCGGGTAAGAGCGAGAAGGATGTCAGGGCGAAGCACGCAGCCGCGCATTGCTTGGGCAGCATATTCGAGGCTGCGGGAGACAGCGCTCAGAACCTTGCGCCTGTCGCCATAATGTCTCTGCTGCGTCTTGTCAAGTTTGCGCAGAACTACGCTGGGCTACGAGCGACCATTTTCAAGGCCGTGGGCAGAATATTCAAGGGCATTGCTCCCTCAGCAGAGGAGAACGTCGCAAGAGATGCATGGAAGCAGGCCCGAAATGCTGCTTCTGGAGACAAGTCGCTGCTTGTGCAGTCAAGCGCGTGCTTCTGTCTCGAGCAGCTGGTCAAATACACCACTCTTTTCGACAATGCGACCGATTTCGACAAGTTGCAAGCAGCAGCGTGGAAGGCTATCGACAGCAGCTCAGCTACGCTCCGACATGCCGCGGCATCAGCTGTCGCAGCCGCACTGGTGAAGAACTACTCTGAGACTGCGACTGTTGAGGATCCTATCCCGGGCATCACACGAGTGGGCACGGGCGCTACGAAGAAAAAGAACAAGAGGATGTCCACGATTGATGGCGGTGACGATGATGTCGTGGAGCGTCCAGACTCTCCTGCACCCAAGAAATCGGCCGCGAAGATCACGTTCACCATCTCAGCCATCCTGAAGCTTCTCTCCACACAATACTGCCGAACATCGACGAGTTATCGGGCGAGGGCTGGCATCGCTGTCTGTTACATGAAGATGCTGCGCGGTCTAGGAGAGCAGATTGTTGAGTCCAAGTACAACGAGATTGCACGAAGTCTTTTCACCGACATTCTGGGCAATCACGTCATTACACAGAATCGGTACCGCACGCTCAGCGCTCGAAAGTACGTGGCCGTCATCTTAGAGACTGTCCTTGCGCGCGAAATGCTCGGCGAATCCGGACAGCTTAATGCCGCGAGATTTCTCGTCAATGAGGTTCTGAAGGACTACCCGCAAGCCCTGAAGGAGCGACCTGAGCCTTCGAAACAGACCCTCATCGGAGCACTCAGCACTCTGTCAGCTCTCTTCGACAGCTTGCGATCTGCTTCCAACGTCATCGCCGATTTGTCCCGGGACGCACTTATTCAGATCCTGCAGCACCCTAGCTACAGCGTGCAAGTGCATGCATCATCTTGCCTACGGTCTTTCGTCCTTGCGTGTCCACTCCAACTTCTGCCATCAGTCACAATTTGTATGAACAGCGTAAATCGGGAGCTTAGTCTGCTTGGTACCGGGCGTCAGTCACCCCGGAAGTGTGTCGGTCTTGCAAACGGTCTCTCAGCGGTGCTGAGTACCTCAACTTCGCAGCCGTTGCATGGATCTGTGGATGTGAACTCTCGAGTTTTGTCGCAAGCCACGACACTGCTAAAGTCAGCTGGCAACTCAGATGTAAGAGTTTCAGCCACCCAGGTACAAGTTGCGTGGATCCTGATCGGTGGACTGATGACCCTTGGGCCGAACTTCGTCAAGATCCATCTATCACAGCTGCTCTTGCTATGGAAGAACGCCTTACCGAAGCCTCTCAACAAAGACAACATGGTGCAAAGAAATGTTTTCGAGCTCAGCTACCTGTCTCATGTACGAGAATGTGCTTTGGGCTCAATCTCGACATTTCTCGAGTTCAACAGTAGGCTTCTCACCCTGGATGTCACCAAGCGACTGGCTGCGATGCTCCAGAACACAACTATGTTTTTGAATACGCTACCAGTCAAGAAGACCACCGACGACATCTCGCAACGTTTGTCTCCTGCACTGCAGCTGCACGATTTCGATTTGATGGTTCGGAGGAGGGTGCTGCAGTGCTACACCAAGCTTGTAGATCTCACACCAGCAAGCAGTAATGAGGTGTTGCTGCAGACCAACCTGCTTTCATTTGCTGTCGCGAATTTCGCTGACCCGGACAACTACACCACTAGCTCTTTCAGTACGGCCATCGCAAGTGCTGCAGGCTCGTTCGAGAGCATCTGGGAAGTAGCTGATAATCACGGCTTTGGAGTTACTGGTCTTGTTCGAGGCTTCGATATCAAGGCCTTACCTGGAGAGCACGACAGCAGTACTAGTCATCACTGGTTGGTGAGGCATGGCTCAGAAGCTATCGTCGATCGCACCGTAAGTAAATGCTTCAACATTGAGAAATACATTATACTCATGCCCCTCAGCTACTCTCGCCGATATGTGGCGCCCGCGAGCACGATTCGATATCACTCTATAATCCTTCTCGCGACCCGACCGAGCTTCCGGATCCCCCAGCCACCGAGGTTGTGAACTCAGCTCTGCAACTCTTCGCAATATGCTTACCTTTGCAAACACCAAAAATCCAGGAGAGTATCTTGGAGCAGATCACGTCTTTCCTGTCGGCAGGCAGCCTCCAACGCGACATCAACAGGAAGACTGCCATGATGGTGAACATCGCTTACGGTCTTTTGTCTGCGCTTAAGGTAGCTGTAAAGGAGACGCGCTCCGCATCAGGAAGTCTGAAGGGAGTAGCGGTTGAGAAGGTTATGCAGGAGCTTCTGCATGTAAGTGGATTACAATTCTTAGATAGCACTCACTAACCGCTACAGGTCTTTATCATCTTACCCGATCCATTTGTACGCAGGCTCGCTGGCGAGGCTCTAGGCCGCCTCTGCAACAGCTCGGGGAATGCTCTGACCGGCACCGAGGTCAACTACCTAGTCGATCAGATTGTCACCAACCGTGAGCCGTTTGCTCGATCAGGGTATGCCTACGCATTAGGCTGCATCTTGTCCCAACTCGGTGGCATGGCTGCCAGCTACCACCTCAAGAACATTCTCGGGATCCTTATGTCTCTGGGCAACGATCCCCACCCTATCGTTCACTTTTCGGCTATCGACAGTCTCTCCCGTGTTGCAGACAGTGCGGGCCTGTCTTTCTCCAGTCATGTCACCGGAACTCTTGGTATGCTGGCACAACTGTACGCAGCAGACTCTCATAACGAGGAAGCGGCATCGCTAGCCTCGTCAAACATCGAGATCGACCTGCCAACCCCAGCAGCAATCGCCCGATGCATAGACAGCACCATCAATGTTCTTGGGCCGGATCTTCAGGAGATGGCTAAAGCACGAGACATGATCATGACGCTGATCAGCCTGTTTGAGCAAGAGCCAGATGAGCTGGTTCGTATTGAGGCGCTTCGATGCCAAGAACACGTTTCTCTGTACGCACCTGGTCAAATGAGATTTACGGCCTACGTGAAGCATCTGCAATCGTCGTTGGATAATCCTTCCACCCAGATTCGCGATATGGCTATTGACGGCCTGCACAACCTGATGAGACGCAATACTGAGGAGATCATCCGTGTAGGCGATCCTGGCCTGGAGGATGCATTGTGGCATGTGCTTGACAGACAGCCTGATCATGAGGTTGTTCGAAACATTCTGCGCAACTGGCTCCACCAGACTGGTCTGATCGATACTGCGGCGTGGGTCCAGCGGTGCCACTCAGTGCTCACAAAAACTAAGAAGGTCGAGACCCAGGAAGTGATCGAGACCAAACCCAAAGCCGGCGCAACGGACTTGCAGGACGAGGAAGTCGCCGGCTTTGCTGCAGCCGCAAACGCACCTGGCGCAGAAGTTGGCCAGGGTGGGCAGACGAGTCAGGAACTACTCAAGTGGCAAGTACGAACCATCGGCATGGATCTCTTGAGCGAGCTGGTCGCTATGGTGAGCAAGGAAGCTGCCTTTCGTGAGGAATCGCCTTGTGTACTCGCCCTGCAGCACAGAGTCGCAGATGTCGTGCGCATCGCCTTTTCAGCGTCGACTGCTGGTGTGGTCCAGCTTCGTATTCGCGGTCTGAAGATCATCGATCAAGTATTGAAGGTAAGCAACCTCATTTCGTGACACATCTGCGATTACTAACGCAGCCGTCAGCTCTTTGGCAAGACCCCAGATCCCGACTTCGCAGAAGCTACTCTATTGGAACAGTACCAAGCACAGATCGGCTCGGCACTCACCCCAGCCTTTGCGGCAGATTCATCGCCTGAGCTTGCAGCAGAAGCGATCAACGTATGCGCAACATTCATCGCCACAGGTATCGTCACAGATGTAGATCGTATGGGTCGTATTCTCAAGCTTCTCATCGCGGCGCTCGAGAACTTTTCAAGTAAGCTGCCCCCAAAAATCAAATGACATCACTCCTAACGACACATAGGCGAAAACGAGGCTGCTGCGATCGGAGACCTGCGTGGTCTGAGCTCGAATGCAGCAGTCATGGTGAAGATGTCTGTGTACTCGGCGTGGGCAGAACTTCAGATTGCGAGCACCGAGCAGACATACCTGGTCGATGTCTTGAGACCGCATATTGCAAGACTGACTCCTTTGTGGCTTGCATCGCTACGAGAGTACGCTCGCCTCCGCTTCGAGCCAGACATCTCGTCTTCAATGGGTTCTGCTTCACTTTCGGGCAGTCTCGACACCGTCTATGCTGCGCTGAATCGCGAGACCCTGCTGAAGTTCTACCAAGAATCTTGGCTTAATCTGGTAGATGCCATTGCCAGCCTGATCGACGAAGACAGCGAGTTTGTTTTTGATGCTCTTGATGGCAAGACAGAGTTCTCAGAACCGCAAATGCCGACTAAAGCAGACCATATCAACTACCGAGACGAGCCAGTGGCTTTCTTCTTCGTCCTGTTCGGGCTCGCTTTTGAGGCTCTAGCTGGACGTCCAGGTGATTTACAAGCCTCCAAGGAGCAGATTCTAGAGATTCTGCAAGCTCTCAAGAAGATCTTGCGGCCTTCAGTTTCAGGACAAGCCATCTATCAGGAAGTCATCTTCTCTGAGACAATGGACATGCTGGATCGCTTAGTGCTCACTGAGGGTCTGGCCGTACAAAGGGTCATTGTGGAGATCGCGCGAAACCTGTGTCTCGGTCACCCATCTGCGCGGAGAGATCGAGGATCACCCGGCGACGATCACCTCTCAGAAGACATCGATCAGTTGTTTGAACTTACGAAGATCATAGTACTGGTACTCTCTGGTCTGGTCCCTGGTCTCGAAGACAGCACTTCGAAGGCTCGTCATGAGCTGAACGAGGAAGCCGTAGCCCTCTTGACGACCGCGTTATCTGCGCTGGTCGACGCCGCTCAAGTATTCCCATCGATCATCAAGGCCGACTTGCATGCCTGTATACTCCATATCTTCGCCACCATCTTCGGTACAGGAGCTTGCCAGGCGACAGTGGTGCCGCAGTCACTGCCCATTTTCAAGCGCTTCGTAACGAGCTTGACCCGCGACGCCGAAGCCACGAGCGACACCAGCAAGCAACTGCGCGCAACACTGACACGCTTCCTGACCATCATGAGGCATGCACAACAGCGAGAGTTCGACGCTGCACTCGCCTGCGAAAAGAACATCATCCTCGCAACGACCATCCTCGTCAGCTCCGCAGCATCCGCCTTCGCGCCCGAGGACCCACTCATCAAGGTCTTTATCGACAACCTCTTCGACTGCCTCGGCACCGTCACAACCTCCAAGGTCGCCGTCGGATGCTGTCGCTCTCTCCTCCTTCTGCCCAAGAAAAGCGCGGTCGAGATGAGCATCGCATCCCTCATCCTCCCGCAAATCCTCTCTTTCCTCGCAAACCCCTCCGACGTCGAAGGTCTCGAGGAGTCCCGCGCACTTCTCGCTCAGACCCTCGTTACTTTCATCGCCTCCCTGAAGACGTCGGAGCAGAGACAACTCGCAGCCAAGATCATCATCCCGGCGCTCCTTGCTAGGGTCCAGAATGATGCGGCGACGAGCCAGGAATCGGCGGGCAGGTTATTGGAGATTGCACAGGCGGATCAGGAGGCATTTAGAGGCGTGGTTACGGGATTGAGTGCGGAGCAGAGAGACTTCTTGCAGGGTGTGCTGAAGAGCGGGCAGGGGCCGAAAAAGGTCGAAAGGAGGGACGACGAGGGGGAGCCGACCATTGCGTTGAAGATGAACTTTGGGTCTTGAGTGGGAACTTGAGACGAGGTGGTATTGTGGTAGGGGTGCTGTTTAAAATATACCCTGTTTTGTGCGCTTGCGTTACGTGTGTCGAGGTCGCGCGTGGAGTATAGAGTGTCATCTGTCTCGAAGTTCCTTCGTACTCATTGCGGTTGCTTTTTTTTTGCTCTTCGATTACCATAGACACTCCAAGCATGGAGGCGGTGACGGACACACGTACTATGAAGCCCGATGTCTGAGCACCGAAACCCGTCACACCCTACCCCATGTGTCTTGTGTCTTCTTCTTGCACCTTTCGCACTCCTCCACATTTTTCTGGAAGTTGCGCGGGCCGGACGTGTGTGCCTGCCTGCCGCTGTCCGAACAACGTCAAGACGATAAAATGCTGTCCGGAGCATCCCAACGACAGCGGTGTGACAGCAGGATGCGTCTGGTACCGCAACGCTTTCGTGAATGGGACGCTCGAATGCGCTCTCGCAGTGATTGCGGCAGACTAGGCTATCACTGTTCTGCATATCTAACTACTAACTGCAGTTCTCTGCTGACAGGTATGTCTTTCTCCTCTTTGTGCTCGAATGAGCAACAGATCTTGCATGGCTAGAAAAAATCGCGAGGATTCCCGATGACAGCTTTTCTTGGCTGGGAAAGACGATTCGGGCAGCATCATGGTGTCTCGATCCGAAATGCTGTTCGAGACGAGACATGTGTTGGACATTTCTCTCGCTGGTAAACATTGATCCTACATGCGAGGAGTACACACGCAATCCGTGACTATGGGAGTTTTCGAAAAAAGGAATCTTCGTGCATATTTCTTCTGCTTAGTTATGCCTTTCCAGGAGAAATCGGGCATTCGTATACTCTGTGACGTTTATAGTCACCATCTTCGAATCTGAAGACGGTTCTGCCTTCGTTGCAGCATCTTCCACATTAAAGAAGCAGGTTCATGCAAACATATGACCACCTCTCCTGCAGCTCAAAGTTCAGGCCGTTCAATGCATGTCTGAGAACTGTCTCTCTGCCCCGGATCACTGAAATCAGGACATGGTGGCGGAACACCGTCGAGAGTGATCCACCTGACTCTGTCTTGTTCTCAAAGCGTGATGCATACTCTTCATGCGATACGAGATGTGTCTGCCATGTGTACATATGTTCTCTCGAAATATTGCTCTATCCTCCATTAAACCTCTCCATCTCTTCGTCCTCAAAACACTGGCGTTCCAGCACATATGTGCTTGCTTGCTTCTGTCTTGCAGAGCTGCAAACGACAAACATGCTCTAGGAAAGGCTTTTGCTGGTACTGTGTGTTTCACATAAGGACAATCTCTCTCCTATAAGGGTTATGGTGCACAGCTCCATGGACAGCGACTTCACGGCAAGGAATGATCTGGGCGAATACTGCATCGAACCAACAGCTTCATGCGTGTATCTATGCTACGATCGTGTCGCCCATTTTGCTCGCCTACAAATGCATCTGCCTTTATCTACGGTTTCAAACAAGAGATTTATAATGATGTGTCAGTCTTCTTCTAAAAGGCTTTAAGGAACATCACATGTTGTTACCCTGCTGGTCCCAGAAATCTCCTGAGGATGCATGTATATTGACAGATTGAGCCCTTTGGCCGAGACTGTGCAACTTCTTCGGATCCCTCTAAACAAACTCGTCATTAGATTGATCACATACGCTGCAACGGATCACGCATGCCTGCTGTTTTTACGCTGTGCTTTTAGCCAGTAGCACGTCCCTCAAGTATTGTTGAAGTCCTCTGCTGTTAGAGATCCTTGTTTCTACATGCTCTCCAAAATTGCTCTGCCAAAGATCTCACGGGGTTTGTCTTTCTTCAAAACACACGAGAAGCTCATCTATGTCTCGCGCCATGTGTTTTCTCCTCAATGATCAGATTGCGATACAGAACGCGATGTTCGATCTCCATGTCTACAAGTTTGAGTACATAATCCAGAAGTATTTCAATTTTTGGCCCCTGTGTCTCTAAATACGTCAAACGAACAAGCGATTATGCAGTACATAAACACCTACATCCTACTGCCATCTGCCTGATTCGTATAGCAGCATCTGCGTACACCAAACACAGTATCCAGATCTACGATGTGTGCGATCCCGAGAAATGGAGACAGAATAATGCTATGCATCGTTGTTGGAGACCCCATAGCATAAGATTTGGAGGAGAAAGATAGTATGCCACAATGCCGATACCCCGGAAGTTTACGTTGGTGTATTCATAGGGGCCACAGTAGTGGTCTTTAAGTCGGAGCTTTGATCCATCGAAAATATCAGTACTCATCTTTGTATGTTCGAGAACCTCTGTGCTAAAATGGTCTGTATCAGTATATATGCTCCAAAGGTTACCGGCGATGCTTCATGTTCCGCCTTGCTCACTGCTGAGAAGTCTAAGTTTTCTTTTCTGATGGCTCAAGCTAGTGTAACGCTTGGGGTGCTTCCAGGCGCTCAAGACTGACCGCGCTATTGCACGTTCTGTCAAAGAATATTGTGTGCGCCATAGCTGCACAGCTACGAATCCATGTCCCTTCTGCTCTTTCCAACAGCCATCAATACATGTCAACGCAAACGGACTTGAAACACAGCAAAAATTGGATATATGCCGTCGGTTACACGATCAATGTTTGTTTTTCCTCGATCAAGTACTGGTGAACTCTGACTGAATTGCTAGGTTCGGTCAAAGTTTTCAAAGTACAGTGTGTTCTCTTTGTCGGCATTTGACATTGTTGGTCTGTTGCACGGGTGTCAGTGGAGTATTCGATTATACTCATTGTAGCTCTAGTGAACTGGATGAGGAAATGCTCGTTCAATCATGATATATTCTTCAATCGCCCAACCCAGTCGTTGACTGAGCAAACTACTTGCGCCATCTCGCGAATGTGTCCACTTCCTCTTAGCAAGGACGATGTTGCATTCGAACACGATCGCCGGCGCAAAGGTACACTGTCCATGCTCCGGTATGCGGAGCGCCGGACCAGGAGGTTGGTAATGGACTAGGCTTTTGCCGCCCAATATTGCAAATGGCTGTTGTGACATTGTAACGATGGCATCAGATGGAGGAGTGACGAAATCGGGTATAGTGTGGTCGGACAGTAAGCGCACAAATGGCTTCAGAGCCTCTACTGGTCGTCCAAATCCTCGGGCTGATCAAAGAGGAAGTTGGCGGCCAGTTCCTCGTTCTTGTCACACGCGAAGTAAGCCTGGATCACGAGGTCACGCTCGAAGCCAAGGCGACACAAGCGCTCGATAGCCTCACGCTCCTCTTCTGTGACGGAAATGGACTGCGCGCCCGGGGGCAACGGCGCATCATCGTCAGCGTCCTCGGCAAGCAGCTGCAGGAACTGTTCCGGGTTAGATGCGATCATCTGCGCCAGCTGGGGGTTACCCTGGCCGACCTGCTGCAAGATAGGCTCAAGCATCTGGGGCTGTTGTTGTACGACCTGTCGCAACTGCTGGAACTGTGGGTTGTTACGCAGGAAGTCAAGGCTGTTGGCGTTGAGCGTATCAGCACCAGCGCCTCCAGAGCGTGCACCACCAGTACCCCCGCGACCTTGCCCAGCCTGCGCAGCGGCCTCGAACAGATTTATCGGCTCGTCTCCTCCGGAAGCGGCGGGGGTTGCACCTGTGTTACCGCCAGTAGCGGGTGGTGGCGAGGTCGGTGCGCGAGCCTGTGACTGTGCCTGTTCCTGAAGAGCACTCTCTGGAATACCCTGGAACCTCGTCAGAATACGTCAAATACGGTAAAAGTGCTGGTTGTCTCACTGTCAGAAGATACTCGACCGCACGGTCGGGGTTGAAGAAGGCGGCGCGCATGGCGCGATCAATATCCGTGCGTGGGAAACCCATGCTCTCCATGTTTGCAATGGCTGCCTCGCGCTCCCCACCCATGGTAAGGGCTGAGGGGTCGTTGAAACGCTCGGACTGTTGCGCAGGCACGGGCGAGGGTGTGGCGGGTACATTTTGGGCGGTCGAGGATGCTGAGGGCACGGCAGGAGCTGCAGGTGCAGCGGGTGTCTGGGCTGGAGCAGCTGGCTTCGCGGGTGTGGAGGGAGCAGCTTTGCTGGCGGAGGCGGCTGGGGCCTTGGGCTACGACGGTGGTTAGAGAATGATTCCTGGCTCAAGTATCTGGCTGGCCAACCTTGGAGACCATGCACACAATGAACCCCTTCTCCTCGATGTTGTACGATTCAATTGTGTTCGCATCCTGGAGGATCTTGCCTATAGTCGAGGTCAGCACCCGTCGCCGAAGTGTCACAGCACGTTTCGCGCAGCAGAGGCAAGCTCACCGGAGTAGATTAGCTTCTGCTGAGGCACTTCCCAGCCTTTATCGCTCTGGATTTTGGCTTTGAGTTCGCCAATCTACGTTCTGTTAGAAATCTGCGATGCAAGGCAAAGGTGTGGCTGCGCTGCGTACCGTTTCCGACGGCTCGGCCTCGATGACGAACTTGTTCTGCTTGAGATCCTGCGCAGTGTGAGCTTCACTCGAAACCGAACAATGCGGCAAAGTGTTACCTTGAATGTGATCTTCATGGTGGCGGTTGTGGTTAGATGGTGTAGAGTGGTGTGGCGGAATAAGTGCAGTGACGCGATGGAGGCGGGGCTTATAAAGATGGGCGGCACAGATCCACTGAAGCTAAGTGAATATCGATGCGTGGGTGGGTGAAAGTGAGAGGGCAGGGTCTGTCTGAGGTACTGTGGTTTGCTAATTGCCTATGGGTACCAAAAGAAGGCAATGGAAGAAATCCAGGCAGTCGTCGTCGACTGCTCCGCCGCCTCACCAGGCATTGCGGGACCTCGATTGATGACATAACGCTTTATTTCACGTGATTTGATTGCTGCTTCGTTCGTCCGCACCTACCCTACCTGAGCTCACCGAACGAGCCTGCGGCAGGCACGGCGGATGCTTCCCGAAGAACATCAACCATCAGATCAACACCATAGGAACCACTGCCGCAGCCGCATGTGGCTGCAAACACCTTCTTTGTGCGTTTCTCCTTGTTTGTTTCGGAGAGCCACGAATCGTGGCCGCCAACCCAACGTAAAAGCCGGTGCTGTTTCACATCGCCCCAGACATGCTGGCCTCGCAGCACTGTGCAACCACGCCTGTGGATGACAAGCGCCCGGAGGAGCAAGACGGTCTTGCGACTATTTGATGCAGTGGCCGAGATGACAGCATGCGATTATATCGACTCGCCAGCTTCTCTGTAGCCGTCAGCTCGTGGTAACGCCGCCCGAGGTTGTTTGTTATGCTTGTCCGAGTAGCAAGCTCAAAACAACGCGTCGCAAATGAAGGCCGAACAAGGCGGCCGCTCCACACTAGAAACTTTGACAGGCGACCCCTACACAAAGATTACGACGCTGTGGGCACCGGGGTCCAGACCAAATGATCCGCAATTGGTTGCGGCAGCTGCATTTTTGGATTGCTATCTGTGAATTTTCTTCTCCCTGCTTCAATCCCCGCGCATTGTCAGGCTATGCTTTCAGCTGGCGGGCCACTTACCGCATCATGCAGCGCCAGTGGCTCCTCTAATCCTGCCTGAGAGGCTCACCTACCCGGTGCAACGCTGTCAGCGTGCCTCCGGGAGGTCGTGCGAGTACCCGATTCTCAAGATCGAACCTTACAATGCCCTGCAACACATCCAGGATGCTAGCTTGGATCCCTAGCCTGTCTCCATGTTGCTCAACGCCGTGGCAGGCCCCCGGCTGCCAAATAATGACACAAAACAGCCTTCTGTCTTCTTCGAAATTTATTAAGTCCTGTGGGCCCCCACCTGCTCTCATCTTTATGTGGTGCTGTTCTGTCCTTCGTTCAACACTTCCTTCGCTCCCGTCTCTACCACACGCTTGCTCGTGCGTTCCGCCAACCACAGTTGTTATACCCAGGCCGTTGGTTATTTACGAAGACCACCGGACTTGACGCCCACATCAGCCACATATCCGTCTAACGGTTCGCTTCCTATTTGGGTCTCCGCGTCGTCCTCGATCACGTTCGACTGTAATTAGCTGCATCTACAGCTCTTCGTCATTTCATTCGCGACACTCACGCGTCTGGTGTTTGGTATCATCGCGTTTTACCACGGCAACACCGACGATCCACTCGTTCTCTCCATCCTCATTATTCAAACGATTCCTGCTGTTTCCTCTCTCGAAGGAACCGTTCTCGACGAACACTACATCGGTCATTTCTGTCCATCCTTTTCTTGAGATCCACAGCAGTTTTTTGGCAGTACGTTCCAGAATCCATAGGTCGGGCTACACCACCGAAGTCGGCAATATACAGCCCCACTGAGCCAAACTGGCCTCTTGTATCCTCGTAATCCGTGTTCTCTCTGGAATCACCGCAGCAATTGGAGCATCCCTTATTCCTCTCCGTTTGGAGAATTCGCTTCGGCGGGCAGCAGCATGTTTGGATCACGCAAGCTCTACGTCTCGCTCCTCGGAGCTTTGGCTTGGTCAGGTACAGCTGCTGACACGGTCTTGTCAATTGTCGAGGCCGCAGCTATCTCCACCACACAGACCTCCCTCTTTCATATTGCTACTGTAGCAAGTGCACTAGATGCTGTATCGTTGTGTTGCGTTATTTTCTACATTGTCCAAGATGTACGACGAAGAGACGGGTTTATGGAACGATCGTCAAAAGCAAGGAGGGTGCTGGTCGGTGTCAGTGTGGTTTTATCGTCTGCTGCATTGATCGTGTCGCTCATCTTGATCATTTCCATCAATACAAAGTGGGACCAGGTCATTAGCACCTCATCAGCAGGCCCAGTCTCAAACTGGGACGGTGTCTATGCTGGTCACGTTGTTGCATGGGCGGTCTCATGCATTGGTCAGATCGCGTTGTACTCTTCCACTTTCTGGAAGCGCCACACACCCAAGCTTCAACCGATCACCGTGTCTGGTCCGAGAGACTCTGTCATGTCCCAGATGCGAAGCGCGCAGCCAAACAGTAACATGTTTACTATGAAGCCTGCTCAGCCATCCTCTCCACTGGACAACCTGGGTGCTCTCCCTTCACCAACCTACTCGACCCGCTCATCGCAGTCGCTCAAGTCCTTTCGGGAGTCCATTCGATACGCCGTTCGACCTGTAACATCCCGTTCTACCCTGATCAGCCGGCCTTCGTTCAACCGGGACGCAAGAAGCATCTATTCAGATGCCCACTCCATCGACAACGTGTCCCACTCAGATGGATTTGATAGCTGGGACACTAGCAGTGTGAGTAACCAAGCCCGAGATGCAGTTATGCATGCTCCATCAAAAGGCACACCATTGGATACAATCCCGGGAAGTCGATCTATGACTCCAGCGCGAGCCCTGGATGGCCCTTTCCTACCTGAGATCGACGAAGAATTGGCTGAGGAAGAGCTTGTTGCACCGCGCATGATTCCAGACGTGTCAAGACCACCCAGTCCAGCGGTGAGCGAGGCGCATATTCACCCTCTTTTCAGGAGCGAGAGTCCTATCCCCCCACCGGAGGCCACACCCGGTACAAGCATTGTGGCCAGCCCTCTTGCAGACCAAGTCATTGCATGCCCGGCGCGGCCTTATAACCGCATGCGATCAAACAGCAACCTGCGCAACAACACCACAAGCCCCAGCCCTCTCGTTCCGGCTCAAAGTTTCCGAGGCCGCGCACTCAGCCAGAGCGCTGGAGACAGGACGCCTTCTCCTCCTAGTAGGGAGATGACACCCCCCATCCCTGACTTCGTTCTCAACTCATCCCCACGCAGCAGCCTAAGTGGATCACGTAAAGTCAGTCTGCGCAACTCACCCGACCGGTGAACCAAGCACACTCAAAGCATATCAATTTCTGTCTAGGGGTCTTGCTCATTTTGGGGTAGCACTCTGGTAACGATGGACCTGGTGTGCTGCACGCTTCACGATCTCTTTATGTGTACTCTGAGCATCATTCCTTCCATGTCTGTTCGACTGTACTCGCGTTTGATTACCGCCTTATACCTTCTCTTCAATTACCAGCTCAGCTCTCGCACTTTGCTTTGGCGATCGAGCGTTCTGGTCAGCGTTTTCGTTCACGATACCACAAGACATACCGTCTTGAACAAGCAGCATTGCTAATTGTAGTATTACATTTGGCGACAACATATTCCGCGATGGCTGGGCCATAGATTTTACCTAGCAATGGGAGGCACGATATTCAACACATCAGAGCAATTAAGAAGCAAAAATGTGAACAAACATGACTTCATCCGCAACACGCTGCATACTTCCACCGACTCGCACATCATAAAAGCTGGTTCTATGACATCAAGCACAAATCCTGACTCGCACCCGCAAAACGTTCACAACAAGCATCATGATCACAGACTCCAGACTAATCTTGTTCCGCAATCTCCGTACCCCAGCTTCCGCTCGGCCCTGTTTCTAAGGCCCTTCCGCAATCTTTCGACGGCGAGAAATGTGATGATCGGGAAAGAACACGTGTAAGAGGCTGAGGTCCCGCTAACAACGTGGTTCATGCTTGCAGGCTGCGATTGCCGCGCGCATTGAGATGCTTGCCGTGCTTACTGAGATGCTTGCTATTCGCATTGAGGGAGAAATTGCGAGGCGAGGAGATCTCTATGGGCCTAGGGCGAGCGACTCAGGGTTGCTCAATGGGTATCCTTGAAGCTTGCAGAGCCATGCTTGTGGAGCGGAATGTAGAAGACCTTCGCTTGTTCATTAAGAAGGCTCGCGAGGAAGGTCTTGCATCGCTGCAGCAACCTTGCCGCATATTAGTGGACTGGCAGACGGTTAGCGGATATGGGCGGGTAGGTGATTGACAGGTGTTAGTGTGGAAGGTTGGAAGGATGATGGAAGCTCGAGGTAGATTGAAAATAATGCATGTCCGTTTCTCAGGCTCGGAGCTCTCACAGCCATACTGTACTATTTGGGCACTCGACGATGTTACTCTACGTAAACGCGATGCTCAAACGCTTTTTCCTTAGTGCTCACTGTCTTTCAAAGATGCGTTTGAGCCCACACGCCAGCACAATGACACGATGTGCTGCAGGGACATCTAGTGCGATTGACAACATCTCTCCAGCCCTCGCCCACTGCTCTGCTCTCCTCTTGATTGTTCTCGATTGCAATGCAAATGCGATTGGCTACACTTCAATTGGCTCATAGTTCGACGAAACAAACAAAGGTTCGTCTGGATTTTTGGTCGGGTTGAAGCAGCAGGCATGGCTCACCAACCGTGATAATCAAATTTGACATACCCTCCCCGTGTGCGCAGTGCGCAGTGCGCACTGTCTCGTTTCGTTTGCTGCGTGAAGGGGGCGAGGCTGCGCTGCAAGGCTCGTCACGGAAGATCAACAAATTTAGTGCAGCGGCTAATGACGTGCCGACATGAAACCGCGAATGAAGCATACGAGACACCCAGAGAAGTTGCGCAATGACGGTTTTGAGGCTCATCGTCAAGACGGTGAAGTTCAATCTGAGAACCTTGAGTTCGAGTTCAACATGGTGAGGCGTCTCCAGCGCACGAAATTATCGCTCTTTCCATGTTTGGGTGGTGGCGTCTGCAGGCGCGAGGCTGGTAGCCAGCTGCTCTTGCCATTTTTTGCCCGTGTGCTGTGTGTGAACTTGAAGTCAGGGTAACAAAGAGCTGCTCTGTCTATTGAGTCAGCGCAACATCTACTTCGATTTCTATTGTTCTGTTGTCGTGCGAAGTGAACCCGTGGTTGTCGCACTGCTCATATCTCATTGGCCACCTCCGCCGACACTAGCCCATATTGGAGCGATGAGGTGGATCCCGTGGAGGATCTCAGCACGAGATTCACCATTTGGAACCATCAACTTTAACCCCCAGCGCCGTCGAAAATTCCCAGGACTCATGGAACGTGGTCAAAGTCTATCACAAAATATTTGAGCGACGTTTGAAGGCGGTTGTCGCCTGACGCTCCTTTCCGTCTTTGCCCTACACGGGAGCATTTTCCTCTGCCAGGTTGGCTGAAGCACGAAGCTTTGCCTGTCATTGCAGCTTCCACAACAAGCCTTAAAACTACTATCGACAGTCACTCCTGGCTCCTCAAGTCTTTAGCGTACGAAGCGCGTACCCAGCGCTTTGGCCTGGGGCAAGTGTCACCGCGCGTGGCTCCTAGCACAGGTCACTGTAAGTCTTCTTTCACGCATACTTTCAACCGCACTTGAAACCATCTTACTATTCCTCGTTACTAAACGATGGTCGTTCAAGCGCTTTGCTCGCTCTCATTGTTGCTTGCTACAGCGTCAGTAGCACGCAGCAGCTGACAGCTCTTACTGACAGGTCAGACAGGTATAGGTGGACACCAGCCTCACCCTGAGTATTCCGGCGAGTCTCCGTATTCCGAGATCACTTGAGTCAGCGTTTTGGACTCAGAGGTCCAATACGTGGCCCAGTCTTCGGGCTTAACTCACGCGTCCAGGCTCTCATCTACCAGGCTCGGTGCTCTCACAATGCCGCCGAAACGGAAGAACAAACCAATACCGCCAGCAAAGAAGACCAACCTCGGAGCTTCTGGTACGTTCCTCTCAGATTCCGTATATACTGCTCGTAGTTGCCTCCCATACAACTTGTTCCTGACTTGGCAACTAGCGCGTGCCGGTACTAGCGCAGTACCCACTAAGCGAAAGCAACAAGGAGAAGACTGGAAACAGTCCCGACTGGCACCAGACATCCCATTACATATGACAACACGACGTGCTGCAAAGACGTCGTCTAATCATACGAGCCCGGCTGCGCCATCAAGTGCAGCTTCCGGCAGTCGTCGTAGTTCATTGAGCGACGTTGCGCAACAATCAGACTTTGACGATGAACCAGCCAAGCACAGCCGAATGTCGACCGAGTCTGGTTCGCCAAATGGTTCATTTGGTAACAATACTCCTCTGAATGGAACTCAAACGCCAGAGCTGGACGATTCTGTCTCCGAAGTGGCCCCGCAGGAGTCAAGGGCTGCTGGGAAGAGGAGGCGCGCATCAGACGACTCGACGCAGTCCAGCAGAACGCGACCAAATGGTGTTCTGACCCGTACTCAAAACGATGTCTCCGAACAACAACCGCGCCGGAAAAAGCGCAAAACAGCCAGCGCACACGCCGATTCAGCCTCCCAGCCTCCAGATCTGACTGATGCAAGCACGGCGCCGAATTCTCCAGAACTAGTCCCTGATGTTGCGATCAGCCAGGACCTGCAGAATGTCTTGCCTGCCAATGGCGATGGGCCTGCAAAGGTTCCAAAACGCCTACCCGGTCGCCGGCGCCAACCGCATCCGGACATGAACGTCGAAGTCGATCTGCGCCGCCAGCTCAGCCTCAAAACGAGCTATCGAAGCGTTGCGAAGGTACTAAAGGGATTTTTAGATGAATTGGCCCAAAGAACGATCAACAATCTGGATGACGATTCAGAATTCCATAGGAATTGTCCAGAGTACAAGCCGCTGATCGATGGTCTGGACAGGAAACGAGATGTTCAGCTTGACTATCTTGCCGCATGGCGGTCAGAGAGGATGGATCAGCTGGAGCGAGTACGAATCGCTGAAGAGCAGATTCAGGAGCAGCAGTATATCGTAAGTCGGCAGAGATACCAGATCTGCGCAACGATACTAACACCTCTAAGAATCGCTTCGAAGATCTGCGAGACGACTGTCTGCAACGATGCTATTTCCGCATGAAGCAGATAGAGCGGGAGTGGAAAGCTGCGCAGGATGACGCCACAGACGACGAGGTAAACACGACCGAAGCTCTCTCATTGGGTGGTCTAACACTCCTTAGGACAATGTGCTGCCACCTACTTACACTGATGATCCAGTCGAAGGCGCTGACAACAGACTTGGTTCCAAATTTGCGTCGCGTAGTCGCGCATACGTCGAGGCTGATCGGGAACTTGAAAACGATGTCAAGCGGAAGCTGTTCGATCAGCTTCGTACGACCCATGTTGAGAAAGATGACGATGCGGATGACTCAATCGAAGACCTCACAGGCGGCTTTGCTCGATATGCTGGACCTGACCGTACGGAAGCAACCGCACATTACAACATCAACAGTCTTGCAGATGCTGCACACGATATCGAGAGGACGCCGTCGCCACCGATTCGACTGCCGAAGGCTCAGGTCATCCCTAATGATCAAGCAACTATGCTCATGTTCCTTGCGGATCTTTCGACAGCACAGCCTATCCATAACCCCGACGCCGCGGCTCAGAACCCTAGGGACTCGTATCAGCCTCCGTATGCTGGACCATCTATGCTTGACCACCACCTTGCCAGGCAGTCGTCGCCGGTGCCAGCTTCGGGCTCCTCTTTGGCTATATCATCCCAAGCGGCACTTGATGAGTCGATGATTCCAGCGCAATCAGGCTTTAGCCATACCCAATACACTTTACAGTCAGAACTCAACGGCATACATGCAGCAAAAACGCCTGAGGTGTCTGAAAAGCCATCCGAGAAGCCCACTCCTGCACGAACGACCCACCGCATCATGGACATGCTTAACAACGATTCAGATGTACCAGTCACGAAAGCACGAGCTTCATTGCCCTCTGTACAAGAGCCTCAGCCACCAAATACACCATCTGGACGAGAAAATGGTGTCAAACACGAGACGCCGTCACGAGGTGATGCCGCACGCCTTGGGAACATCGTCAATCAACTGGAGAAAAACGATCAGACTGAACATCATGTCGATCAGCAGCTGATGGACGCACTAAGTGGGCCTGTACTTCCAGCTACTGAACCACCATCGCCAGCGCGACCGGTTCCAATGCCATGGCAGCAGTCAAGCGCTCTACCGCCACCAAGTATACCGCCACCAAGGGAAGCCGACGAATCCTTACGCCGAAAAGATCCACGGGAAACGTTGCGCAGGATTAGGGAACTGCTCGACCGCAAGGCAGAAGAGCACGGCATGAATAACCAAAAGGATAGGTCTCACTGGTCTGCTGCGTACCTGGGAGGTGACAGTGATCATTTTGATAGGCGCGAGGCGGCACCTGCTTACGATCCACAACACCCCTCTGCTGGGTTGCAGGGTGCGTCTGACACACATGGACACCTTTCGTATCGTCGTGAATCGTACGACCGAACATCACACTGGGACCGTGATAGGCGTCAAAGTGGCTCGCAAGTTTCTCGTCCCTCGCCATATCAGGGAAGTCCTCCGCAACCTTATCACGGGGAACTAAGCAGACACACTCCCACCCATCAGAGCCCATATGCCTCTTTACCACCAAAACCGCCTGGACCGCCTCCAGCAAATCCTGGCAACTTCCGCTTCGCTCACTATGATCCTGTTCCGCCACCTCTAGCAACCAGGACCCCTTACCAACCGCCTACCTCGAATTACCCACCGGCGTCGCATCCTCCACACCCACCTCTACCGCCCGGTCCTTACGGTCACACTTACCCTTCTCCATATCAACACGCTTATGCCCCACCGCCCGGTCCCTACCAGCCACAGCCTCCACCACTAAACGCGGCATACCCACCGCTTAAAATACACCAGTATGGTGGTCAGCCTATCCTCCCTGCCAGCATGGCGCCTCCTCCATACACAGGTCCGGTCCAGCAAGGTCAGCCTCCAGCCGCTAATCTTGCATTCTCACCGCCGCAAGGTCCAGCTTCAACACTGGTGCAGCCTCCTTTACAGCCAAACCCGCAGAGTGACCAGATTGATCGCCGAGACAGTAGCTTCATGGGCCCGCAGAGCAGACCCAGACGTGCGTATAGAAGTTACCATGCCCCAGGTACCCAGTTCCGGACGTATAATGGACCTGGTGGTGGCAGAGGACGGGGCGGAGGCGGTGGTTAGGACAACCGCCTTCAAGGAAATCCGCAGCTGAACTTGCGTATGCCATCTGCTGCACCGCTAGGAAGGCCTGCTTTATCGCCCATTACGCCGACAGAGACACGAGCTTCTTCTGACCAGGCTCAAGGCAGTGTGGAACTCGCATACGGTCGTTCCTACCAGTATTCTTCAGTATTGGCAGACGGACAGGGTCACATGGGGCAAGGGTCGTCCCAACGACCTCTGTCATCGAGACCTGGTACATCTTCCATTACGCCAGCAGTGTCTCATTCAGATCACGGTCTTTTTCACGGCCCCAACCTCAGAGGTGGAGGTTGGGACACCCGCTCCTCGGCCTGGGCTGCCGAACAAGATCGTCGTCAGCGGAACCCATTCGCACTGCCTCTCGCTCCGTCTCAAAAACCTGTCATGTCTCATCACCCCTCAGCAGAGGCACAGCCTGATCGCCATGGCAGGAACGGCAAGAGTCTGAAACGAGATCGTCAGACTTCCCAATCGGCTCAGAATCTCTCTAGCCTTGACACTCGGCGATCTTTTGTACTGAAGTCTGCCGTATCGCCTATCTCGCAGGTAAAGCGCGAAATAAGGGACAGCTTTTCGCCATTAGCAGAAGAGGGATTTCATCGTTGAACGGGTGTTCGAGACCAGCAGTCATTGAACTCATTGGATGGCTGTCTTCTTACACTATTCTCATCCTTTCTCGCGCATCAGGGTACACTATCTGCTTCAGCGTTGGCGTTTTGCATAGCGTGGGCACGCAGCCCCGCATATGTACCACTCTTATGTATTTCCTTTCGATACCACAGGCGACGGAAGTCTGTCTTGTCTTCGGACGCTGTTGGGTTGCTTAATTCTTCGCTAAATTGAATCAATGTCTTCACTGGATATCTGTCTTGCGCCCGTCTCTATATTGAAAATACATATCTTGAATTCTGGGTATCGCTAGTCTGTCTCCTTGACCTGCTCGAGCACTTCAGACAGGCAGCTTTCAAACTTTCAAACCCATGCGTTCTAACAAGATTATGACTTATTCCGCCCTCGCGAAATGGGCGTCCAATCCTGCCTCTTCCCAGCACTCCCCCCGAACCCTCCTCCGCCTGCTCGCGGCGTCTTACCCATCCTGTCAAACAGCCTCTGCGCCGCGGGCGTCAAATCGCCCTTGGCCTTCTTGCCTGGCGTCTGCGCACCAAGTCTCTGCGCGGGCGTGGGCGCAGACAAGAACCGTGGAGTCTCGCTTGTGAAGATCCCCAGGCCCTTACCCACCGGGCCTGCTTTTCCATTCGCGCTCGCGGTGCGCTTCGCGCCGATCGTGTCCACCATCTTGTGGTGCATTTTCTCCCGCTCGCTCGCTTCGGCCATGCTGAACGGCGCGGCTTTGCTTGCGCTCACGCCGAACCGCTCGAGTAGGTCTTCGGGCGCGTCCGAGTCTGAGTCTGGCTCTGGGGCCTGCGCGTCGACGAACGCGTAGCCGTTTACCCGCGGTGTCTCGCTGCCTGTAAACCCGCCTTCGCTGACGCTGAGGCGCGGGCGCCCGGATACCGCGTCGCGGATTGCGCTCAGTGTCGGGCTCGTCGGGTGCGCTGCAGCTTCGGGCTCGGCGGGCAGACGGGTGTTTGCGTAGCGGGTCTGCTTTGGGGGCGCAAGGGATTGCTGTTCTGCGCGCGAGAGGTTTGTGGGGGCCCAGGATTCGACCGAGTCGGGGGCGAACATGAGCGTGTTGAAGGCGGTGTGCTTGTGCATTGTGGGCGCGGCGGGGCGGTCGTCGAGGTTCTGGCTGGGGCGGATGGTGAGCGCGGTGCTGTCTGAGGCAGCTTGTGCGGCGAGGACCTTCTGCTGGGCGAGGCGCTGTTTGGAGGCGTAGCGGTTGCCGTCGTGAAGCCAGGGGTTCTTCTCGAATTTCTTCTTGTTCTGCTTATCGATTATAGCGCTGAAGGACTCTTGGTCTTCTGATGTGTATTTTGCCTGGAACGCGTTGAGAGACATGTCCAGATCGAATTTGTCTAGCTTTCCCAGGCCGTCGCCATCTTCTTCGTCAGCCTCAGTACCGGCGACCGAGACGGGTGTATCTGTGGCCCAGATGCTGGGAGTCTTGTCTGCAGAGCTTGCGCCTGGCCGACTTGTCCTATCCGCCGCTCGCCTCTGACCGTATGGCACAGGTGTCATGACCTGGGTGAGCTTCTTTCCAGACTCGCGAATCCATGACTTGTTCTTGCTCTCCAACGCATTCATGTATTCGCGCTGCGCATCCGCCTCGGCCAGGCCGGGAAAGAAGTCGCGCCGAATGATGTGCGAGACCGCCGAGACGTATGTGTCTTCGTCCAGAACAATCGAGGGTCGCTTGATCCGCTTCGGGGCGGGAGGAGGCGGCATGAGCGCACCGGCGGCGCTACGCTTTGTGAGCGCGTTGGAGTTTGTGGAGGTCATGCTGGAAGGTGGACGAGTGGCGTTGAGAGGTGTGTGATATTGGCGGTTTGGTCGCAAGTCAAACGCGCCGCGGGCTCGGGTCATGCAATCATAGGAGCGGTTGCGGTCATGGAGTCTGGTGTCTGTTTGAGAATGGAAAGTGGGCGTGATGGCGTAGCACAGCGGCAGAATCTTACCGCCCTTGTTTCTTCGATGCAATTTGTCGGTTTCTCCGACAGATCACATATAAACAAGCGAGGAGGAAGTCAATGCTGAAAGTCACCTTTGGTGAGTGCACACTGTTTTGATTTTCGTCGTGGTATCATTCAATCCCTAAGCTAGAAGAGCAGATGGATACCAATGCGGTACCTTTTTGCTCGCTCAATTCTCCTTGGACACACTCTGCAGGCTGCTCTCAATTTGCTGCACGGAGTAGTACGCACGGATATCGTGAGCTGTCCCGTACAATACCCGTCGTCTAGTAGAAGGACTCAACCATAGCGTCCTTGTGTGTGGTGTTGATGTTGCTTGGCCCGTTGCCCTCGCCTAGCCTGAAGACGGACTCGACGACTGACAGCTCAGTTGCTGTTGTGTCGAGACCGGTGACCGCCATCCAGTCGTTGACAACCATACCCGCACCAACCACCGCGCTACCTCGGTTCACACTACCAGCGACGAGCGGAACCTGGAGCAAACTCGACAGCTCGTCCTGGTCCTGGATCGATGTCTTGGGGTGAACAATACCGCCCTGGTTGCTCAGTGCCATGTACGAGCCTGTGAGAACATTGTCCGCGATCGTTTGCCTGAAGACCTCCACGCCGAGCACATCTGCTATTATCTCCTCGGTCTCTCGCTCGATGTCTGGGTGTACGAGTGCGACATGATCGTTGCAGCAGATGACATTGCCGAGCGCTGATAACCTCTCCTCTATCCTCTGAATCTTGACGCTGTCTGGTATCGAGTTGCGCAGGTGCTGGAGCTCTTGGTCGGTTGTGGTGGTAGGAACGAGGAGACCCTTCTTGTTACCGGCAGTCAGACGGCCGACGATGCGGGTTCCGGCGATTGTGGCGTGGCAGATAGGAATGACATCCTGGAGTTCAGCCTCGAAGACACTGTGCGTAGTCTGTTAGCTTATGCCTTGCGCTGCTGACACGAATCTGTTGTGGCTTGCGCGCGCGGAACTGCACGTACCTGTAGAAGTTCTCAGAAGCGCCTACTGCGACAATCGCATAGGCATTGGTGAGTGTAGAGAAGACACCAACTCTGCGCCACTAGTCAGCAACTGTTCATATGCGCCTTTGCCCCGCTTTGCACGTACTCGTTAGAGTTCTCAAACTGCGCGCGGACAGCCATGATCGAGGCTCTTGTAATTTACTGTTATAAATTGGTTGTGTGGAAAAGAAGGTGTTAGAGAGAAAGGCAGGTCTTAGTCGCGTACCGTGAGCTCTTCGGTGTTCTGTGAAGATTTCAGTAGGCCGTAGATCAATTTGTACCAAGAGCGACATCATGTTCTGCCCCACTAGGCAGGGCGCTCGGACGCGGCCTTCGACTCATCTTGACAACGACGGCTCCCTGCCAGCCTCGACTGCGCTTCGCCACATTATCCGTTCCCAAAGCAGAGATGCGCAAACCATGACTGGGTCGAGAGGCTGGAGACTGCGATTTTCCCTTGGATCATTTCGCACTCGAAACATGAAACAGCCTATCATCTGGCAGATCAGGCAGTACCCGAAAGAGCCTCGTGCGCTCAGCCTAGAATTGCACGTTCATGCTCGGATGCATTGATGGCCAAGCCGTCTCCCTTGAATTACATATGTCGCTTGTATTGACATCGGTGTCACGAAATTGAAGCGAGACTGAGGCTGTGCAAAGAGGAACAAAATGAACGTGGATCGCGCGGCCTCAGGAGCGAAGCGTGATGGTTTTTGCGGGAATTGTCACTTTGATCAATTGATGAAGTCTTATTGACAATCTTTATGGATCGAGCGTTTATCGGAACTTACGATTATGGATGCGCAAGCACCGTGGTGCTACGTTCCTGGATGCAAATCTACAATGCCAGCGATTCTATCCATGTCAAATCTTGGATATACAAAAAGAAAACTTGCGCGCAGACTGCGGCTGGAATATAGAACAAATGGGTAGTCAGAAGCAAAGAACGCCCGCTATGCTATGCTATGTGTGCGCGATATGCGAGATGAAAAGAAAGAATTTTTGTACAACGGCGCGGCCGAAAGTGTCTCGAATCGAATTCTTGTAGAAGTCCGACTGAGCATCAGTCGTGGAGCGAGGAAATACATTAAGAGGCGTAGATGGCATCAGCGAGGTCATAAATCGGTCATTATCGAGAGGGTATGTCGAGATGGTGGGCGTAGGTTCTGGGCGTGTGGCGACGATAGAGCAGAAAGATCCGTAGGGGGAGTGTTGTAGATCGGTGATGTATATCGCAGGTTGGAGAGAGCTTCACATCCTGGAAGCCAGGATGCCTAGTGCAACTATGACCCCGACTAGAAGCCTGTTGCTAGTCAGTAAGGAGATCACTTAGCCTGAAATCATGCTTTGTACGTACGTTCCAACCCCTGACATCACTCTGTTCAGATTGCGCCACCAGTTGGCTTTCTGGTAGGCTTTGTTGTCTACCGGACCGATCTGTTGTGCATACTGCTGCTCGAAGTCGTTTTGACTCCCGTTCTGTGTCAAGGTCGGGTCGAAAGGCAGCGGTAAGCAGGAGGCGATCCACCATGCTGGGAAGAGAATGAACCCCAATGTGAAAAGGAGGATCTGCCTATTTTGTCGGCTGAACGGATGCTTGCCAAAATCCTTGTCCATCGATGGTGCCTTCCAGAAACTGTAGCGCGGATGCCCACGCCTGTCGGTTCGAAGATGTGGCGTCGACCAGCCACTAACGGGGTGCATGTAGGCTCCATTCGCATACCCGTTCTCATCGATCAGTTGCTCAGAGGAAAGCGACATGGTGTCAGTGTGTGACCCGCGGTGGCGTGGTCGGTTGCGCGGGCGGTAGATGTGAGCTGGGAAGTTGCTTTCGGAAGGTGTGTGTGTGCGACCGCTGTGCGATGTGCCCAGACGTATGCTGCCAGAGGATTCTGAAGCAGCCGGTATCATGGAGATGCGCTCTCCGCGCTGGTAGTATGCTCTTAGGTCCGTTAGTGTGTGTCACGCATTTGTTTGCCGGAAAGCTCACCTTGCCCATGCTGGGATGATGCTGCGGTTCAATGTAGACAAGTCAGACTGTGACGATCCAGGTCGTGACGAGTTCAGTGATGTATCGCTGCCCTGTCTTCGAAGATATCCCGAGTTCTTCATGCGAATTGTGTTGGACGGAGGGAGAGGTGAGACTGTGTCGAGGACCTCGTCTCCGAAGCTCTTCTCATTGTACTCGCCGGATGATTGCAGCTGTGGTGAGAACAATGGCAGGGGGACTGCCGACTCTGAAGGTGTAGACGAGTAGTTGTCTGACGACGAGTTGTAGCTGCCAATAGTCTGCCCTCTCCTCCTCGGAACATTGGTTGAGCTTCGTTCCGCATAGCTGTCTGAGGACAGCGACCTGGGGCTAAACGATCGCGATCCACGTGCGAGTGATCGAGAATCGCGTTCAGAAACGGAGGCGATAGTGGATAGCTGAGAGCTCCAGTTGTGCGCCAAACCGTGGTCGACAATCATTCGGGATGCGATGCTCGATGACTGGGTCTCGGCCCGCTGACTGATGGTTGTGGGGGCGCGAACGACGGGATAATTGACTTTGACCCCGCTTGCCCAAGTGGCTGTACTCGATTCATGGATAGTTGGCGATGGCGCAAAGGTGGGTTGCTTCGGTTCGATGCTGGTAGACGAAATGTCAGAGTATGCAAACGACTCCGTGGATGGCTTCAATACAAGTTGTCGATGCGGAAGGTCACTATCGAGAGCCTGTTGCCGTCCGTCTTCAGATCCGGCAAACGGGGGGCACTCTTGCGGTAACGGTCGACTGACACCCGTCGAGTTTCGGCCGGCATTACTGGGGTCGGTAGGAGAGGGCGCGCGTTCAGTTGAGGCAAGTGATGCAACAGATTCCTGAGGCGATAAGGCGCGAGTACGGCTTTCAACGGATTCACCACCGGACGATGAAGGTGGCACAGCGCGTATAGTGGACCTTCGAGCGAGAGGAGTTGTTTCTTCTTCTAATACGTCCAGGTCTGTTTCAAAGTCCTTTAATTCTGCTTGGCCGGGCGATGACGGGGGTGTGCTTCCTTGGGAAAATCCAAGGGAGTATCGCGAATTGGAAGTTCCCACAAGGGTGTCGTCCTCAGACGTATTAGTCGACACCGAGTGTCGGAAAGTGTTCTTTGGACGATGGGAGGGTGGCTGTGGTGCAAGGGTGTTGCTGGCGCCAATGGCTTCGAACTTTGCGAGGGCATTGGCGACCCGGCTGCCGCTTGAAACACGAGATCCTGGGGTCTCGAACGCGTAACCTGGCGCATTGCGAGGTGGTGGAAGGATTTGTGAGGGTTCACTAGGCACTGGAAATTTGTCGTATATATTGTTCCCAGGATCATCGACAATGCGAATGGTTGGGCCTGAATGACGGTTGGATTGATCTGATGCCTCGGAGAGCGGTCTGCGGAAGGAAGGAGCTGGTCGCGGCTGCGACGGCGGGGTGAATGTAGGAGCTTGTGCGAATGGCGAGGTGGTTGTATTTTGCGATGCGTTTGCGCGATGGCGTGAATCGGGGTTCGAAGACATGCTGTGGTGTGATGTTGTGCCAGGTACCACAAAACGTGAGGTCTCGGAAGCGTTCGGACAGTTTGAAACGGACCATTAAGGAAAGAATAGTAATAGAGTAAAGGCGACGGTTGAAACGTCAGATCAAAGAGGGAATGGTCAAAAATGTACAAACATCAGAATCGGGCCAGAGGCCATTGAAGTAAAAGCAATGTGAGCGACAGGACGGGGGCCAGAGGCCGTCAGAGTTTCGAAAGGAAGAAGAACAAGGTGGAGAGTGGCTCCCAGATGAGAAGCCTCAGAAAGGCGTGGCCGGACGCCTCGGCCTAGTCGTCGAGGCTGCTGCAAGATGCAGGTTCGTGCTGCGAGCTGCAGGGAGCTCAGTCCTGGGCCAATGGTACAAGCGGTACCCCTGTAAGTATCGAATTGTGCAGACAGGCCTTTTTCTGGAAATTGATCCCCAGTAACTGGCTGTATGACGAGCCGCACGATTCTCCAGCCTCCAGGTCTCCCTCACTATTGCTCACGCTTGTCACTGGTCAATTTGATCGATAAACAATTGACGCGTAGCGGGCTGAACGGGAAATGAGGTGGCTTTGGGAGGATCCCGCAGCCAGTGACGTGCTGCCACGGACCGGTTAACGGTCTGCCCTTGATCTTCACTGGATGCTAGCTGGCCACCGCGCTCTGCACGACGCAGGGATGCGCGACAACGGCAAGAAGGTGCCGGAGGGTGATTTCGCGTGTGTCGAATCGGGTCGAATGGAGGTCTGGATCGCACGTGACGTGGGATGTTTGCTGTGTTTGCTCGGTGGGTGGTATCGATAGCGGAGCTTGGTGAAATGATGATGGGCTGAAGCCAACACGCGGGGACAGCTCGTGCATTATTGTATAGATCACGCTCAGGCTATTTCCAGGCGCAAACTCTGCTGTCCGAGTTTGCGACAGCCAGCACTCGCAGCATGCCCCCGCCTACGACCGATTGGCGAGAGCGTCTCAGCGACATGTACAATAGCTACAAAGGCGGTAAGTTTGCGGACAATGGTTGGCTTGTGTGCGCCCGTGAGGCCTGCACCTTTTTAACGCCCGCGCGACCCACACCAGGCTGAATCGACGACTGCACTGCTGTTTCGCTGCTCAGCGTTCGCTCCAAGGCTACCATGAGTTCTAACGTCTTGCCAGTTCCCAAGGCGCCAACTGTATCTCCCACTGCTGCGGCTCTACTGTCGGTGCGTTTCAAATTACCCATCCCCTACATCATTACGATTATTCATAGCCTATCACGGCTATCACACCAAACATTCCTGCAAACAACGCTGACCGGAGAATCTGTAGACTGCGTTCGTAGTTATCTACGTAGCTCCATTCTATCTATCTTCGGCAACTCGACCGTCCCCAACTCTCACTCGCGATGCGCCCTCCTCCATACGCGCCAGAACGCGCGCGGTGACCTTCTCGACGATCACTTGCGCCATCATCACTGCGCTGTATCTCTACCAGCATGATGTCTCGGTATACCAATTGCTGCACCTATGTGGAATATGGCCAGTCTCCATCCTTGACAGCGTGAGGGGTATGCTTCTGGTGTGCATCCTCTTTGCCGGGCCTCTATTCGAGAACGGAATTGTAGACGGCGATTGGAGGTATTGGGTCAAGCTCCAGGGAGTGCACGAGATATTAAGCAGCTGGATCGGATATAGAAACTTCGTGGTGGTAAGCATCTTGACTTCAGCAACCGTGCTTTTCTAAGCTTCACCCAGGGTCCTGTCAGCGAAGAGATCGTATGGCGCTCGCTCATGGTCCCACTGCACGCACTCGCACAGTTCAGTGAGAAGCAGATTGTGTTTCTGACCCCACTGTACTTTGGTATCGCTCACGTCCACCACCTCTACGAGTTCCACATCACACACCCCGAGATTCCCATGCTGATGGCTACGCTACGTTCGCTGTTCCAGTTCACCTATACCTCGCTCTTCGGCTTCTTCGCCACCTTTTTATACCTGCGCACAGGCAACGTGTACACTTGCATTTTGGCGCATACATTCTGTAACTGGATGGGACTTCCGCGCTTCTATGGGCGCGTAGGAGTAGAAGCTGGAGTGCCGATTGGTCCACCTGACGCAGACAAGAAGGACGATGGTGCAAAACGCGCTGCGCCATACCGAGGGAAGGGTACTGCATGGACAGTGGCATACTACGTTATTCTGGTCGTGGGATCTATTGGGTTTTATTACCAGTTGTTCCCTCTTACGGAGAGCACACATGCTCTTTTGGTTCAGTCAGCGCGCACCAAGGCACCATCTGGTGCCAGGGCACACGTCTTGCATCAATACTGATATGATCCTTCTTATTAAAAAGTTGGTAGATCAATGAAGTCGAAAAATACCGTCAAAACTTCGGACGGATGTTGCAGCAAAGCAGCGAAACCCACCCAATGCGTTTTCTCCCACTGCCCTTGCTGCGGATCGACAACATCCTCGTTTTCAGTACGTCCGCCTCTTCTATAATTCTTGTACGGCTAATACGTCGCGTCATCAAAGCTAAACATGCGGGTGTGATCTCTCTGTGTTAGTCGCTTAAAGCATTCCTCATTACCGGTAGCACGTCTTGCCTGCCCCTCCCCCCTCAAGTCTGTGGAAGCTTTCTCTGCGAAAGGGGACCTGACGACTCTGTCGCCAATATGTGTTAGGCCAACAAGAAGCCTCTATACCTCGCTGTCGGGGTTGATTTCAATGATATGGTTGCGACGCAGGTATTTGTGAATGTCAACGATGATACCACCATCTGGAACTGAAATTTTCCTGGTCATGACCATCGCTTCGAGGGAGGGCCAGAGTAAGAACCACTCCCTCGATGTCACAACCCACGATTATGGCGCCAGGCAGCATCCCTTCCGGCCCAATACTCCGCCTTTAGTGCTAAGGGGGCGACAATCATTCAGACAGGCAAAGTGCATATACCATCGACTTCCAGCGCACATAACCAGTGCATCCGCGGTAGGTTTCAGCTCTTCAAGGAGCGCAGAAGCGCGACCTCCGGGGCGGCGAGTCAGGAGAAAAATATCCTCAGTGCACCAAAGAAAACAAGTGCGGTGTCTGGTGTAGCGAACAAGGAGGTTGTGGCGTATGGTCCTGCGCAGCGTAGCCGTAGTTGCCACAGGCGTGTTGAAGCTGAAGTTAAGAATCAAGATTCTATACTATTACTATTACTATTACCATATGGCTTTAACAAAGCGTTAAGCCTTGCTTGTTCTTCCACGCAAGTCCTTGCCAGCGATGACCTCCAAGTCTGAAGTCGAACAGGTATCTGTCGTCGTTGTCGTCGCCCGTAGCCACGGCTGCAGCTGAAAAGCCATACAGACTTCAAGACTGAATCGAAGCATCATGTGCCATTGATCACTTGAGACTCGCTATCGCCCACCAGTTGTCCTTCTCGTACCCGCTCTCAACGACACTCCCACCAGCTTTCTCTATGTCTTCTTCGAGCTCTCCTTTCCTATACAGATGATAGTACCTCAGAAATACCTTTCCATCCTCTGGCTTCGTCTCCTGTACCTCGGTTTGCTGTTGCGTCTTGTCCGCGGTCTTTTCTTCTATATCAGCACTCTGTTGTGCTGCATCTTCGTCCTTCCCCCGTGGCTGCTGTTTCTTCTTTTTCGGTACTTTCTCCTTCTTCGCCGTCATGACCCAAGGCACCATGACGTCCTGTTCGCCGCCTTCATCCCAGCCCCGGCGACTGCTCTTCTGCTCTAGCGCCCAGACGTAGATTAGTGCTTTGCCTCCACTCCCACTCAGACCTTGCTGAGACGGCCGCAGAAGGTTCAATATGCATGCAACGGCTTCTATGCGCCGTGCTGGCGTAGAGAGATGGTGGACGACAGCTATTGAGATGGCGAAATCGAAGCTGCGTGGTGGATGAGGCAAGGAGAGATTATCTGCCACAACGACATCGTGCGGCTTGTGCTGTTTTGCAAATGTGACAAGATTCGTCGACCTATTTACTCATCAGTATCAACACATTTGAAGCACAAGTTCGCGTGGACATGAAGTTTCAGGCATGCTCAGATGGTGAGGGATCATACCGATCAGAACCCACAATGAACACTTCTTTGTTCACAGCCAGATATTTTCCGTTTCCACAGCCTACATCAGCGCCGATAGCACCACCGGGCTGCTCTTTCAGGAAACGCTCTACTATCGGCCATGGCTGTATTGGGTTAGTCAACTCTGTGTCGAGGGAGGGAGGGGCGACGCACACCTTGTAGCGAGTGGAAGAGAAGTGCGAAGCAATCTGTTCGTATACTTCATGCACATGCTCTTCTTCATAGGTAGTACCTGCGGCGTCGGACTCGGCCATATCTGTGGAAGGTACGAGTGGTGCAAGTGCGAGGGTGAAATTGTAGGGTTTGCACATGAACCAATGAGGGGTCACGGCGTTAGCGAGACGTCCTGTTCTCTTTCATGCCCAGCGGTCGTTCTGACTTCCTCTCACATCGACCACAGGCGTTACGACAGGTTTAGGTTTTCGGGTCTCTGTGTTACTCGATTCGTATTCTCCTGCTGTACAGCGCTGCAGAAAGTAGGTATAATTTGATAACAGCTTGCGAACTACAACTACACCGATGCTCTTGCGAACAAAAATCAAAAGACCAATGACAACGCTACAGATACAGTTATGTCAGACACAGTTATGTCACCCACGATGCCGGTAAAAGCTCAGCATTATCGACGCGTCAAGGCGCTTTCTGATGTACTCGACAGTACATCAAAACAACAGCCCGCATCTGTTGATGTGAGTTTTCCCACGACAGCTTTTTCGGAGTGAGCTTCACAACCTGATCATCATTCACTTCGTACGCATACTTTGGTCCATGCACCGACGCGTGCCAGTGGCCTCCGCTGTTACTCCCGCCACCGTGATACAGTACACTGCTAAGACGATATTTCAGCGGCGCGACATGTCCTGGCTGCGGCATTAGGTGCTCGGTCAGGTCGAGATGTTTGTTAATACTGATGACATTGTGATTTGGTGACCCATCGCTGTTCACGACGCTCAGCTTAAGGCGGAGAAGCTCCGGCGCCGCTTCGATTTTGAGGGTCTTTATCACCTGACGTCGATGATTGCACGTTGCGCATTTCAAGGCACCGATGTTTTCTGGTGTAAATTTGCGTCGCAGAGATGCTTTTACAGAGTCCGTCTGTCCGCTTGGAAGAACGTCGAGGCCGCGCAGGCCGTCCATACCACCCTCGTCGCTCGCAGCATGCGGTGCAGGCGGTCTTGGAGCTCCACACTGACATCTCAAAGCGAGGTTGATGTCAATATCGAACAGCGCATCAAATTGGCGTCTCCAGTCCAGGTTTTGTGGTAAACCGCATCATCGTCAGCAAAGGCTATACATCAGATCAGATTAGTGACTTACTCATAGTCAACAGATTCCAAACACGCCTGAAGGAAGCGCGATTGGAACTCTTCCGGATCTTGCTGCTGTCCATCCATTCCCGCTTGGGGCGTAAATCGCGACAATAATGCGTCGACCTGAATCAGTGGAAGAAACGGTGGAGTACGCGAGTTAAGAGATCTAGGCTCATCATCGGATTCCATTTGATGTTTGCCCCAGTAGACCTCAACTAAGTTCTTCATCGCGCAGGCAGGGCAGTTACTCAACGATTTAGCCCCCCGGACAGGAACATAGTCCTTGGACATCGCTGCACGCTCAATGCGGCTTTGCGTTGCAAGGGGTTTCTGGCAACGAAATTGGCGTGTGCCATCTTTCAGCCTGGAATTGTGCGAAAGGATCCAGTTCAAGAATCTCGGCCCATGCATCAACGCCTGCAGTGCACTATTCCGGAAACAGTCGTTCCCACGGTTATCAAGACCTCTGCTCGTCTTGTTGACTCGGGTTATTGGCCAGCTACAAGCTATGCGCGCGGCAGCGGTGTCTTTAGCACGCTGCCTGGCGGTTCGATGGAGTATAATGGCTGCTCTGGGAGGATTACCGCGCAGGCTATACCGCGCATCCGGTTTACCCCTGCGCTGGAAGTGGACGACCATTGCAAGCCAGTTAACAATTTATGGCGCAGTGAAGATTGCGGCTTGGACAGACTCCGTGAAATCGAGCGTCGCCTTTAGGACCGCAATGGTTATGCACAATGCAATGACAGGCTAGGGCGTTAGGTTTGCTGGTAGTTTTCACAAATATGAGAATAGAATGTTGATATAGTGTTCCCAGAGGTAAGGCGAAAGCATGAGCTTATTGGTGAGGAGAACAATGAGCGGGATATCTGTGTGGTTCCTTTTAGCACCGTGCGATAGCAGATAATACATCTTGAGGTCAGATAATAAACCTTGTTTGCGACAAACAAAGGAGCAAGGACTGAGTAAAAGAAGCGTGGAAGTGTCACTGTCATGAGTCAATAAAGAACCCACGTAGATTGACATGTATGACTACATATTTCTATGCCACGGCATTTACATGCGCATACTATGGTGATTGACGGACAACGCCACTCACCCAAAATCTCCAGGTATCACTTCGCGCCCACGGGCTGCTCATCTGGGAAGCGGATAGTCCTGTTCAGAGCGAGATCCGCATCACTCACAGCCGCAATTGCCTCGCAACTCACACCTTCTCCCTCGTCTCTCGCTACTGTTGGCGCTGCCGAGAGCGGCATGGGCATCTGCACGTTGCTCTTCGACGCGCTCCTCGAGGGATCGCCAGACTGCATGATAGACCTTCCAATTCTGACGACACGGTTCGGCAGCGAATCACCGCCCGTGCGAGACCAGCCCGGCCGGCGTCTCAAGCGCTGCTCGATATCCGTGGTAGCATCTTCGGCGCCCTCGGGAACGTAAAACGGCTCTGGGTCCTCGCCTCGAGAGGAGATGGCGCGAGATAGCGTGCGGGGGATGAAGAAACCGAGTTTACCCAGCGGGATACTGAGGCCGTGGACGATGACGGAGCAGATGATCGAGAACCAGATGACAATGTTCATGACTTCTATTAGGTACGCTGCATCCTCTCGTGTCTCGCCGTCGACCTTGATCTTGTTGAGGAACTCGATGCTGACGTAGAGGTAGAATGCTGCGCTGACGCCGATGGGGCCGAAGAAGCCGACGAAGAGCGCTTGTCGCTTTTGCTCGATCTGGTGGATCTGCTTGTGCATGCCGAAAACAATAGGTGGGCGGCGGAGAAGGAGTACAAGGATACCAAGGATGACGAGCCGCCAGATGGGGATCACGCTGTTGTGGTAGAACTCTGCCCACGGACAGATTGCTCCGAACCAGATGAATATCGATACGTTGAGGAGCATGTCGATCGTGGGTTGGAACGAGTCGTCCATGGTTTCTAGACGGAACCAGTCGTCCCATGTGAATGTGTTGCCGGCGATGAAGCACGCCAGAACGTCGTCGCTCCCGATCATCCCAACGGTACCGACGATGAACAGAGCGAGGGTAATGGCGAACACGAGAAAGCTTTCGCGGTCGACGTATTTCCTCTCCTCAGCCCAGTGGAGTAGCTCTTTTGCGAGCCACCCTACGACGGCGCCATAGATGACACTCAAGATAATTGTGTATCCCAAAGTTTCTCCAAACCAAAGCCCAATTGCGGTGCTAGCTTTCCCGTCCTGAGCCCAGCCATCGGTCCCATGGCTTCCGATGTGCTGAATCAGATAGAGCGGCAGGAATAAGAAGGGATATCCCAAGCCATCATTGGCCCCAGACTCAGCGACAATGATCTTCTGAAGCTCCTTCGGGATATTTTTATCCGCGAACTTGCCCTTGACAATGGAGTTGGACAATACAGGATCTGTTGGAGTAACACAAGCCCCGACCGCCAAGGCCTGTAGAAAGCTTATGTGGGGAACCAGCGCGAAGACGAGTAGACTGGTGACAATCCACATAGTCGTCATAACAGGCCCTAGCAGCAAGGCCAAGCTCTTCCACTCTGTCTTAAGGTACTTTGAGGGCAGTTGCACGCCGGCAAGGACTAGTTGAACTCCAAGCACCACGCGAGTGAAGTACAATGTAATTGTTTCCAAGTTCTCAATGGAGTTGAGGGCATACTCTTGGGGTCTAATCCAGTTTGTCGCATGGGGGGAAAAGATGAGTCCGGCGATGAGTGAAATCACTGTAGTTATTAGGATCGTACGGCCGTAATGGCCACCTAGTTTGACTCACGTGCTTCCGAGAGGTAGAATTTCTCTTTCATCAAATAAGACACAAGCCCAAATAGTGTAATGAAACCGCCCAGCGAAGCGCAAACCATGTTGAAGTTGTTCAACGCCAAAGTTGGCATCGTGGCGGCTAGATCCAAAGACGATTGAGTTCCCAAGATGATCGTAGATGTGGGGTTTGGCCAATGTGGTGCCCGGTCGGTCAGGACTTAGAGGACCCGCTCACTTGACTGAAGCGAGGACTGTATCGAACGAAATCAACTTGAGTGCCTTGAAGATCATTTGCAATGGTATTGTGATATAGGAATTTGTGTTCTCGAGGGCCGAGTGTATTTGTGGAGGCATCGAGGAAGGAAATGGTACGTAGCGTGGCTTGGCAATGATGTTAATTCGCGCATTTCCCTACTTAAGCATTCCGAAGCGTGACGCTGGAAGGTGGTCAAGCTTACAGGCACATGTACATCATCAAAGACTTGAAAGATGGTAGTTGAACAAGTACGCTGGTATTCTCATACACTCTACACCATGGAACTCGCATGCCAGAACTGATAAAGGAAAATGTGAGCCTATGTACAATTCAAAACTCCCCCCGTTTTCAAAACCATGCTTTACATTAGCTTAGATGTTAGCTGCCGACGCGATTTGGGGGGTTCCCTGAGGCCCATAGCCAACCTGAGGATCGGGGTATCCAGGCGCCATGAAGTTAGTCTTGGGGTTCTTCTGCTCCTTTGCCGCGGAGCATCGTGCCATTGTCGGTGAACTAAGAATTCGTTAGTATATAGTGTCGTTGATACCGCAACTCCGTGTGACTTACTTTCTTGAGATGGCGTCTGTGAAGAAGAAGTTCTTGATAGGCTTCTCAAGGGCCTGGCCTGAGATCGACGAGCCCTTATTCTGATCTACCAGCTGAACCTTGCTGAGGCTAGGCAGGGAGGTCGACTCAACCAAGTCGTACTTCCTGAAAGCAGGGGATATCTCCTCCATACGGTCGCGAAGCTGCTCAACATCATCGTAAGGCAGCTCAGCACCAAGGTATTCTGAAGCCGCACGAATGATCTTCCAATCTTCTCTCGAAGCACCGGGCAGACCAACGGCAGCGCGAGACATCTGTACACGACCCTCAGTGTTGACGTATGTGACAGACTTCTCTGTGTAAGCGGCACCAGGAAGGACGACGTCAGCAAGCTGAGCACCACGGTCACCATGATGGCCCTGGTAAACAATGAAAGCATCCTTGGGCAGCTCAGCCTCGTTGATCTCGTCAGCACCAATCAGCCAGATGAACTTGGCCTTGGTGTTGGCAACCTCAGGCGAGGGGACAGTGAAACCAACATCGTAGGCGCCAGTGCGGGAAGCTGTTCGCTGGAGGACATTGTAGCCGTTCCACTCGGGTGTGGTGAAGCTAGCCTTGCTCTTCTCGACGAAAGAACCAACCTGCTCGAAAATAGCCTTAGCATCGGGGTGCTCCGCGACAGCGCTACCAACAATGATCATGGGCTTCTTAGCGCCTTGGAGGACCTTGCCGAACTCGCCAGAAAGCGCGCTCTTCAGGTCATTGGCATTGGCCCCGAGGTTCGAGTACTCGAAAGTGCTCTCAAAATCCTCTCCGACAAGACCGACCTGAAGGTCTGACCTCAACCACTGCTTGCGAATGCGGGCGTTGAGAACGGCCGCCTCGTGGCGGGGGTTGGTGCCGATGAGGAGAATGGCATCAGCCTCCTCAACACCGTAGATCCTGGAGTTGAATGAGTAGTTGGCGCGGGAGTCGATACCGTGGGCAATAGGCTGGCTACCACCGGGCTGGTCAAGAGCCAAGTTGTCAGAGCCGAGCCTGTTGGCGAGATCCTTTGCAGCGACGAGGGTCTCAACTTCAACTAGGTGGCCAGCAACGAACTTGATCTCGTTCTCCTTGGGTGCGATCTTCTTGAACGCATTGCCAATCTCAACAAGGGCCTGCTCCCAGGATGCAGGCTGGAACTGGTCATCGACTCGGATAAGAGGGTTGACCAGGCGCTGTGTGCTGAGAGCGTCGCATGCGAATCGGGTCTTGTCGTTGATCCATTCTTCGTTGACATCGTCGTTCAGACGGGGCAGAATCCTCATAACCTGAATGCCACGGGAGTCGACGCGGATGTTGGAGCCAAGGCCGTCAAGAACGTCGACAGTCTCGGTCTTGTAAAGCTCCCAAGGACGGGCCTTGAAGGCGTATGGCTTTGAAACCAGAGCACCAACGGGGCAGAGATCGATAACATTTCCGGAAAGCTCAGAGTCGAGAGAGGTCTCGAGGTATGTGCCGATCTGTAGGTCGTTACCGCGGCCAGTGGAACCCATCTCGGGGGCACCAGCCACGTCGTTAGAGAAACGGATGCATCGTGTGCAGTGGATGCACCTGTTCATAGAAGTCTGCCACCTGTAAGTCGAGCGTTCGTCCGCCTCTCATAAGAGTCCCTACCTTGATCAGAGGACCAATGTTCTTGTCCTCAACGGCACGCTTGCCGCCAATCTCGTGGAATCGACCGCGGTCGGCTCCGTACCTCATCGACTGATCCTGGAGATCGCACTCGCCTCCCTGGTCGCAAATGGGGCAGTCGAGCGGGTGGTTGGCCAGCAGGAACTCCATGACACCCTCGCGCGCCTTGTGGACGAGCGGCGAGTCGGTCTTGACCACCATGCCTGGCTGTACCGGCCATGCGCACGACGCGACTGGCTTGGGAGCCCGCTCCACCTCGACCAGACACATGCGGCAGTTACCGGCAATCATCAGCTTCTCGTGGTAGCAGTATCGCGGGACGGTGCTTCCGGCCTTTTCGCAGGCCTGGATGAGGGCGGACCCAGCTGTTCGGGGGGCGTCAGGACTGCCTCTGCAGCTGCGAGCGGGGTCAGTGAGGCAGCGTACCTTCGATTGAGACCTTCTTTCCATCTGCAGGGACTGTCAGCGCTGGCTGGCGCGGGCAATGGGGGGTGGCACAAACCGATTGTGAGCTCGACCTCTGCAGGCCGGGGGGCCGAGGCAGTAAAAGCCCGGCTGCCATTGAGGGCTGCGCTGCGGGCAGGCTTCCTCAGCGACCGGATCAATTGTTGCCGCAGCATGTTGGGGGCGTGTGAAGAGGGCGATGGGGCGTATTGCGGTGTCGTCCAGAGCTACAGCGCACCTTCTGTCGATGAGCATATGCCAAGACCATCATCGACAAAGTGGCAGGCGTGATTGGTCACACGTCCGAGCGCCTGCCGTGCGAACAAAATTCTTCGGCTGCCCACAAGCTCTTCTCTTCTTCACTCATTACGGGCACAATTTATTGTAGGAAGTTCGAGCCATCTACTCGAGTCTCCTCTATTACGTGCCCCAGAGCACGACCCACCGTGCGAGGTAGCTGGAGCAGAGGAGGCATCTGATGATATCTTGTTCCTTACCAACGTCGCTACATACTGCTGTGAAGATGGATGATGCTGTGAGCTAAGATGAATTGCTCTGCCTGAGGCGGCAGCAGTCTCGTTGGAGCTCTGCAGTCGCTGCACGTTGATTCGATGCTGCGTGCCACCAGCTGTGACATAAGGGCACGCCTGACAGTTCTCGCCCGGGTACTGCGCAGAACCTTCAGGCTGGAGAAAGGACATGCCGCCGTTGCTGGATCGCACGCATTCACTGCACAGGGTCACTCTTTGTTGCTGGTCAATCGTCTGGAGCGTATTCATAGGTTTCATTATCTTGCAATATCGACCTACAAGCTTCGTCTCAGACGGCCCGTAGGCCTGTGTATCGAGCTCTATCCTCCTCTGGCATCTGCGTAGCTTTAAATGATCAACTCCACGCGAAAGAAGAGATGACCTTGACCCTAAACGCCTTTCCAATAATAGACACAGTATGATCTGCACTAGACCACACTCTCATGACAAAACCTACTCCTCCTCAGGGCCAAGCTCCATCTTAGCGCCCTTGCCAGCAGTGGTCTTAGCGACCGGGGCCGAGACCTTGGCCGGGGGAACACCGAGACCGTTGTGGTTGCGGAAGAAAAGAACACCAGCGTTCTCGCCGGTGGCACCCTCGGTAGGCTCAACCCACTGGCACCAACGGGCGCTCTTCCACATGGCCTTCAGGAAACCGACAGAACCGCCCTCAGTGTCGGAGCGGTAGTGCTTGCCCATGACAGGCTTGATAGCCTCAGAGGCCTCATCGGCGTTGTAGAAGGGAATGGTGGAGATGTAGTGGTGGAGGACGTGAGTCTCGACGATGCCGTGGAGCATGACGCGGCCGATGAAGCCGAACTCGCGATCGATAGTGGCAGCGGCTCCGCGAACGTAGGTCCAGGTCTGAGCGTCGTAGTGAGGAAGGGTCGGGTCGGTGTGCTGGAGGAAGGTGATGGCGACGAGCCAGTGGTTGACCCACAGGTAAGGGATGATGTACCAAACGAGGAGGTTGGCGAAGCCGTAGTTCTTGCCGACCCAAGTAAGAGCAGCGAGGGTGATGGCAATACCAACATCGGAGAGGAGGATGAGCTTCTCGTCCTTCTTCTCGTACAGAGGGGAGGCGGGGTTGAAGTGATTGACACCACCAAAGAAACCGTTCTTCTTGCCAGCACCCTTGCCCTCGGACTGGCGCTCGTGGTAGTTGTGGCCGGTGACGTTGGAGATCAGGTACAAGGGCCAGCCACCTAGCTGCTGAGCAACCGAGTGGATGAGAGTAGCGATGGGTGTCTCCTCGGTAAGCTCGTGGAGCTCGTGCACAAACTTACCGACACGGTTGGCGTAAACCTCGCGAGTCTTGGGAACGAAGACCATGTCGCGCTCCATGTGGCCAGTGGCCTTGTGGTGCTTGCCGTGGGAGATCTTCCAGGAGAAGTAAGGGACGAGAAGAGCCGAGTGGCAAATCCAGCCGACGGTGTCATTGAGGACCTTGGAGGGAGAGAAGGCCTGGTGACCGCACTCGTGGGCCATGACCCAGAGACCGGTTCCAGACAGACCCTGGATGAAAGTGTAGAGAGTCCACAGGACAGCACGGACAGGCATCGAGGGGATGGTCTCCGGGGTGACATAGTTGTACCAGACATAGAAGACGGTTGCCAGCTGGACGAGGTCACGAGCCACGTAGCCCAGACTGCGAATGGCGGAGCGCTCGAAGCAGTGCTTGGGGATAGCAGAGCGGAGCTGGCCGATGGTGTAGTCGGGGATCTCGAACTCGTTGCCGTACGTGTCGAGGAGCTTGCCCGTGGGCTTCGCAGCCTCGGCTTCAGAGCCAAGCGACGAGAGGGAGGTGTTGGAGGCCGACCCAGCTGGGGAGTCGGAGGGCGAGTTCGCAATAGTCGAGGGGGCCGAATCGGCGGTGACATTGCGTCTCAGGGCACCCGCAGGACGGGCGGTGGTGGTTGCAGCCATCTTGAGATCGAAAACGAGATGGCGATGGCGTTGGTGGAATGTTCCTCAGCGGCGAGAGAGGGGCAATGGCAGGACAAGTTACAGAGGACTTGTTGGGGATGCAGGTCGTTTGTTGGGGTCGAATGCCTGCAACGACAATAAAGAACGATGGGCGGAAGACCTTCACGGAATTGCAAGGTCCAAGAGGAATTGAGGGCGATCGAGAGCGGATGCGCAGTTTTTAAAGCACCACGGATGTCCCAGGCGGTGTCGATGGATTTTTAGGTAGACCCTGACACGAACGGCTAGGGTCGCGAGCAAAGGTCGAGGTCGACAAGCAGGGGTACCAATAAGGACAGCTCCAGCTCGACTGCTAATGCACTACGATCCCTATGTCTCCACTCTGGGCAAATGCCAGACTGCGGCCTATGGATACGCTTGCCACCGCATGGAGCTCTCAGAGCACTGCACCGACTGCGAAGCACAGCTCGTGTGAGGCAGTGTCCACATTGTCCACAGTGGCGGTAAAGCTCGCGCATTCCCTAGCCTCAACACGCCTCAACACGCCTCTCTGGGGCGCTGGATGTCGAGCCGACTCCCTCTGCCCACTGTCTCGGCGCATGGGCACGGCTCTCAGACCGCCAATTATTTGCACCACCCACCACTCGTTCTTTTCCGCTGATTTGCTCTGCGGCCTCGCCTAGAGGTCGAATTGAACAGGTAACAAGTCTGTCCCGACCCGCTTTGAGCCAACGTCCGAGGCCATTCCGGCGTGGAGACATGGCATTTGGAAATTGGAATGCTCAGATCTTTGTACAGTGATCGCAAGCTCACAGAGATACCGGGCATCAGTTGCGGTGGGAATTTCGACGCTGCTGGATCTCGCGGCGAAAAGCATCCGGGATCTTTGCAAAGCTCCCCAAGTCTGATGTGCCGCTAGTGCCGTGCGTCGATTGGATGATTCGTCACGCCACCGAGGCTTCAGCTCTCCGTTCCTGAGTGGCGAGCTGCGGCGGTCATTTGCTGACCGAGTGTTCATTTCCCCCAATCTACATGCTGACAATGACACCTCTATTGCATGACCAGCATTAACGATGACCATCAGCTCGGAGGAACTCACCGTGTTACCAATGAATGCCCAAGATCTTAAGTTATGCCCGTTGCCCACGCTCTGCGAGGACATCAAACCGCTATCAGGTGTTATCAGACGCAAGCTGCACGCACCTTGGAATCTCATGTGAAAGAGGGGAACTGAGATCAGACATGATCACAATCAAGAGCCGCCAACCCAGTACTTCAGCTGATGCATCCCAACGACATGCTCCGCTGCGTGGGTGGACCAATGATCGACATTCACCACCACACGTCTTGGTTGCGAGCACCGATTGATCAATCTCACCTTGAGTGTACAGATTCTCTACAAGAGCTATATGCTGTGCGCCATTGGACAAGATACCGTTATCTCCGTGCATCGCCTACCACCGAATACTCTCAAAGCATACAGACAGCTCAACAAAGCAGACAATCAGCTCAACATTCGGTCGGAGGATACTTGCCGCACCAATAATTGTGATTCAATTCTGTTTCCGGCACCACAGCAGATGTCGTCGCGGAGTGGGTCCTCTCCAGACTTTCACATGCCAAAAGACACTCAGATCACGGGCGCACGACCGCCCCTAATCATGCTCAACGGCCCTTAACGGCTCCTTCCCTTGTCGGGGACTGCATCTAGCGTCGGAGGTTGCTTCCCAGATGTAGTGGAGTCAGCGAACCTGCAGCTTGGCAGTGCAATGAATGAGCATTGCTGGACGTCTACAAGGAAACTGTTGCGAGTATGTGAGAGGTCCACCATGTGTCATTGGATCGAGCTGTGGTGCATAACGGGCGTTGAAAGCTGGTCGATCCTATACATCCAGCTTAACCAGCCTCTGCCATTCGATCTTCTTCCAGGCGACAAACGCAAGGAGCGCAACAACACCTATCCTCCCTGCAAGCGCAGTGGCCACAGCTTGTCTCACAATGGGATAGTAGCCTTCGAGCATCGAATTGACCGCCGCACCCCTCGCAATCATCTTCGCCCGCCCAGTGTGTTCCCATCCTCTGCCTACTCCCAGCCCCGCTATCCCCACCTCGCCAGGCTGATTCCCTTCTTCTCCCTCGCTGAAGATCGGACCTACAGCCTCGCTCCCGAAGCCCGGCAGATCCTGCTCGCCTGCGGTCGTAGACGTCTGTGTAGGTACAGACGCCATCTCGATCGACTTCTGTGTCCGGAACCGGTACGACATTGCCCACATGACGAACCTGACATCCCAACTCGTAAACGTGGGATACGTCCACAGCTCCAGCGCATTATGCGGGGGTATGTGTTCCAGGAAGTCACTCACAATGCCGAGCGTCAGGCCCCAAAGCAGCAGCGGCGGTTTCCCATCGCCTCGCTCCTCGCCAAGTGCCAGATCCTTCGCCTTCGTGACGGCCGATTTTGGAGGCGCGCTGAATGCAGGCACGAAGTCGGGGATCGTGGCGCAGTGTGTGGAGTTCGAGGGCACCAGGCGGATGGCTGCGAACATCATCTTCGAGAGCATGGCTTGGAGGAACCAGCGCTTCATGCCGAGCTCGGATTTCGCGAGGCGCGCGGAGACGTCGGCGTATTCGTGGGTGCGGAGGACGGGGGAGAGCAGCGCACGGATGGGGACCCAGTGTGAGGAGGCCACTTCGGTGGGTTGGAGACGTTGGACTGGGTAGTTGGGCGAGGTGAGGAGGTAGATGTACGGGCAGAGTACCATGAGCCTCTCATCATTAGCTATGGTCATCGGGTGCGGAGAGAGGCACTTACGGCACCTTGCCCCAGCTTGTGGTGACTATCCGCTGGGGCAGGTTTCCTACTGCGATCGCATTGTGGTATCCCAGATCAATCCCGACTTCCTCCAATGCCTCCCTCATGGCTGTGACGGCATCGTCGTCGTCCTCTGGATCTCTTTTTCCTCCAGGCAACGCGACATGCCCGTTCCACTTGTCTCCTATCCTTGTCGCTCGTTTGATGAATAGTACCTCAGGGTCGCCGTGCTTCACCCAGTCTTGCTCGAAGAAGGCATGCAGTATGTCTTCGAAGCTAAGCTTCTGTCCCAAACCTGACGCGGCCGAAGATCTTCGACGTGGTTTTGGTGGCTGCTGCGATGTAGAATGTAGAGGCTTCTCGGCGTATGCTGGCCAGTGGTTGTAGTTTGGTTGCACGCGCAGGATCAGAGCTACGCTTGCTCTTTTAGGCACTTTCGGAGGGCACGCGACTTCGGGGTAAGGGTGTGCGTTGAGCTCAAGAAGGACGGATTTGAGGTGGTCGATTAGCCCTGGGGTGTCTGTCTGGCCTGACATGTTGACGCGCTGTGCTGGTGTGACGGAGTGTTAGTTTGTTACCATGGTACGGCTGCTGTGTAGGACGCGAATAGATGCTGGTCTGGCGCGGCCACGTGGTTGTGAAACAAGAGTATATTGAAATGAGGACACACGTCCAAACAGTGACTATACACGACGCAGTGTTGTTTTATGTAACACGGTTTTGATGAAGAAGTAAGCAAGCTCTCGGATGAGCAGGACATGGAGAGCCGAGGCTAGCATTAGTCATGTAAGCTGCGACCATGTTCAAGAACGCATATGGACGACAGCGTGTGTTGGCTTTGCGATGCAACAACGCAAGCGCTTCATCAGTCGATGCTCGTAGAAGCGAAGGTGGAAAATATATTTGCTCGGTAGCGCTGCCGTCGGAGGAAGCTCTAGCGAATAAGAGGTGCCCGAGATCGGAACAGGAGGGGAAGGGAGCATCGTCACTGGCGGGGGCATTTGCTGCGCAAAAATATCGAGACACCCCACGCCGGGCGCCAGTGCTCTACATATACCCCAGATACCCTTTGCTTTGCCTTTCTTTTGCACTTCAATTGATCCTCCAGAATTGTTGAAGTATACATTCAAAATGGGCGGCCAAAAGACTGGTGAGCACACTTACAGTGCTACACTTGCAGCAAGGCTGACAGCGCAAAGCTATCGTTTCCGTCTATGACAAGACAGGCCTCCTCGACCTGGCCAAGGGCCTTAGAGAAGCCAATGTCAGGCTCCTTGCCTCTGGCGGTACGGCCAAGATGATCCGCCAGGCCGGCTTTGAGGTCGAGGACGTCTCTGCCATCACCAAGGCGCCCGAGATGCTCGGCGGACGCGTCAAGACGCTGCACCCTGCTGTCCACGGCGGCATTCTCGCGCGCGACCTCGACTCGGACGACTCGGACCTCTCGGCCAACAGCATCGACAAGATTGACTTCGTCGTCTGCAATCTCTACCCCTTTTCCGAGACGGTGGCCAGGATCAACGTCACAATCCCCGAGGCTGTCGAGGAGATTGACATCGGCGGCGTCACTCTCCTGCGCGCCGCGGCGAAGAACCACGCGCGCGTCACCATCGTCAGCGACCCCAACGACTACCACGACCTCCTCACCGAGTTGAAGAACAATAACGGCGAGGTCTCCGAGAAGAGCAGGCAGCGCTATGCGCTCAAGGCTTTCGAGCAGACGTCCACATACGACAGCGCCATCTCTGAGTTCTTCAGGAAGAAGTACGCCGGTGATGGCGAGCAGTTCCTGCCCCTACGCTACGGCGCCAACCCTCACCAGAAGCCCGCGACCGTCTCCATGCCCGACAAGCCGCTGCCCTTCAAGGTCCTCGGTGGATCGCCCGGATACATCAACCTGTTGGATGCTCTGAACGCATGGCCTCTGGTCCAGGAGCTGAGCAAGGCACTCAACTACCCGGCTGCTGCCAGCTTCAAGCACGTCTCGCCCGCTGGTGCTGCCATTGGTGTTCCCCTCAGCGCTGAGGAGAGGCAGGTGTACATGGTCGACGACATTGAGGGTATCGAGAAGTCAGGTCTCGCACAGGCTTACGCCAGGGCGCGTGGTGCCGACAGGATGTCCAGCTTCGGTGACATGATTGCTCTGTCACACGAGGTCGATCTTCCTACCGCCAAGATCATCAGCCGCGAGGTGTCTGATGGTGTCATTGCCCCTGGCTACACCGCTGAGGCTCTCGATATCCTCAAGAAGAAGAAGGGCGGAAAGTACCTTGTCCTCCAGATGGACAACGACTACGTCCCCTCCATTGAGGAGACAAGGACCGTCTACGGCATCACTCTCAAGCAACACCGCAACGATGCCAAGATCGTTCCTTCTGACACCTTCAACACCGTCATTGTCCCCAAGGGCACCGGTGCTCTGCCCGAGTCGGCGCAGCGTGATCTGGCCGTGGCCACAATTGCGCTCAAGTACACTCAGTCCAACAGTGTCTGCTACGCGCTCAACGGCCAGGTCATTGGCCTCGGTGCCGGTCAGCAGTGTAAGTTCACCCAACTCAAAGGATTAGATTCTTACTGATCGGATTCAGCTCGCATTCACTGCACTCGTCTGGCCGGTGACAAGGCTGACAACTGGTGGATGCGTTTCCACGAGCGCACCCTCAACCTTAAGTTCAAGAAGGGTACCAAGCGTCCCTCCAAGTCCAACGCCATCGACCTGCTCTGCTCTGGTCTTATCCCCGACGGTGGCATCGAGTACGATGACTTCGCCGCAAATTTCGAGGAGGGTCAAGTTCCCAAGAACTTCTCCGCAGAAGAGCGCAAGGAGTGGCTGTCCAAGCTCCAGGGCGTCGCTCTGTCTTCAGACGCCTTCTTCCCCTTCATCGACAACGTCTTCAGGGCCCACAGGAGCGGTGCTAAGTACATCGCTGCGCCTACAGGTAGCCAGAACGACGGCGCAGTCTTTGAGACAGCTGAGAAGCTCGGCATCACGTTCGTTGAGCAGCACATCAGGCTGTTCCACCATTAAGCAGTGGTTTTTGTGTGTTACCAACAGGCGCATGGGATTTACGACTTTCACGTAAGATGATTTGATTGGGTCTAGATTCCCCAAAATGTGGATGCGAAAACGGTCACGAGGCTATAGAGACGAACAACTACCTATTCAAAATGACTTTTTACATTCCTCTCGCTTCTCGCCATCTATCAGCAGAAGTCTCCTTACCGCGTATGATCAGTGAAAGGGCTCATGCGAACTGAAAATCTCTACACAACGTCGTGTGCCTGGAGTCAGTTACGTCCACTTTTCGGTTGTCGGTACGATGCGCCTCCGGGTACCTTCGGCAGTCGTTCCGCGTCGTGCATACTGTCATGCCAGTGTCATGCTCTGTTCTCTCCGTCAAAGAACGTCGAAGACCGCTCCAATTCCGTCTTGAATATTTGTCAGGTGCTGTTCGTTCTCTGATATCAAACATCATGATAAACCCTCGATGGTTGTACGTACGTGAGTCAAATCCACTCATCGCATCACGCTACTGGGCATAGCATCACGCTACTGGGCATAGAAATTCGCAATTGCGCTAGCACCCCAATTTGCTGCAGGGCGTGGACCCCACCTGTGATGATTAAGTATAGCTTGGTGAGGAAAAAAGTACTGCTGACATGTCTTGATTTCTAATATCCTCAACCTCTAATATTCTGCAAAGTGAACATATTTAGCAAGAGCTTGGGACTAGATGGCCACAGTAGACGAGCAGCAGCCGCTGCTCAGACCAATTGTCGAAGATGCTGAGGCGGACATAAAGCATGACGAGGTGATCTTGGACTTCGAGAAGGGCGATGTTGAGAACCCCCGGGAATGGGACTCGAAGTTCAAGTGGTTCATTGTTTTCCTTCTTGCGTTCATGGCGTTTACTGTGTAAGTTCTGTCCTTATTAATCTTCGTTCCAACGCTGCTGTCAAACCCCTTCCGTCTTGGATAGACAAAGACTGACTGGTCTCAGAACATTCACTTGCATCGGCGTCGTCCCGATTGCAGCAAGCATAGTCGATGAACTCGAAGGCGAGCATGGTGGCGCATCAACCACCGCTCTACTGGTCACGATCTGGGAACTCGGCGAAGCAGCGGGTCCTCTACTCATTGCACCGCTGTCAGAAGTCTTTGGTCGTTACCCCGTGATGAACGGCTGCAACATTATCTTCATCATCGCCACCCTCCTCGCCGCTGGCAGCAAAAGTACTCATCTCCTGATTGCCGCCCGCTGGCTCACCGGATTCGCCGTCGCCTCCAACGTGCTCAACCCCAGCATCATCGGTGATATCTTCGACTCTGACCAGCGCGGCTCCGCAATGAGCCTGATCTCACTCGCACCCTTGATTGGCGGTGCAGTTGGTCCCGCAATCGCAGGCGCCATCGCGCAAACTCTCGGCTGGCGACAAGTGCTTCTGATGGCCGCAGGCCTGGCCGTCATCGCAGAGATCCTCTTCCTGACTTGCTTCCGCGAGACGTACAAGATGGCTATCCTGCACAGTCGCATCGCGCGTATCAAGCGCGAAAGCGGCGAGTTCAAATCAGAGGTCGCGGTACCGAGGAACCGCAACGAAGACCTCCTCAAGATCTGGCACGCGCTCACGCGCCCCTTCGCAGTGCTCTTCGGGAGCAGCGTGCTCATGGCCCTCTCGCTCCAAGCCTCGGTTTCATTCTCATTCTTCTACGTAATGAGCATCAGCCTCCCGTCCATCCTGCAAGAAACCTACGGCTTCAACCCCGCAGAAACAGGCGCGGCCTTTATCATCTTCAGCATCGGCTCGCTCCTATCGGTACTGCTGTGCAACTCCTTCCTTGACCGCATATACATCCGCCTACGCAACCGCTCCGCGCAGCCCGATACAGGCAAACCCGAGTACAGGCTGCCGCTCGCGGTCCTTGGTGCGGTGCTGCTGCCCTTCAGCGTCACGGCGTATGGGTGGACTGCGCACCTAGCGCTCCCCGTGCCTTTGCTGCTCGCGTCCGTCGCGCTGCTGGATTTCGCGCTGCTGACGAACATCATACCGCTGCAGGCTTACGTCGTGGACGCGTGCGGACTGTACTCTGCGTCTGCGATGACGGGCGTGATTGTCACGCGCTGTTTGATGGGCACGTTTCTGCCTCTGGCGACGGAGCCGCTACATCAGGTTCTGGGGTATGGGTGGGGCTTCACTGTGCTTGGTGGCCTTGCGGCAGCGGTCGCGGTTGTGCCGGTCGCGGTATTCAGGTATGGGGGTGAGTGGAGGCAGCGGAGTGAGTACACGAGGGATGCGTGAAGCCGGGTGATGGGTTCGTGGCTTATGATGTCAGTGAGCGGACTCTGCATTTGCACGGCGTTCGAAATATTTGGGGGCACAGTGAAAACAATGTAGATGCATTGATGCCGACGAAGTATATTCTTTACAATGAAGCGAGCTACAGTCTGTCAATCATTTCTCTCGTTCTCTCGTTATACACATTGGCAATGCCGCTTTCATACTGATGTTAACTCATGCGAAGAGCTTCTCGCAAATGTAAGTAGAATTAGACTCGATCCCAATGCTTGGGAGATCGTAGATAAGTGAACATAACGGGCATTCTTTTTGATGGGTATCTTAGGTCCTTCGCACACGTCTGCTTGGAAGTACGACGTTACTCCTCTATCCACTGCGTCGCGACTATGAAGCAAGAAGAACATGTCGTGGTTACAAGTGACCAAGCCTGCAATCCAGAGTGCATAAACGCTCGGTCAGGAGACGGCGATTCGCTCAAAACAGCTTCACACCACCAACACTCCCCTGAGCCTCGACCTCCCGCTCGCTCACGCTATCCTCGGACTCTGAGGCTTGTTCAACGCCGCTCGCCTTAGCTTGGGTTGCCTTTGCAGCAGCCTCGCTCTTCTTCGTCTTCTTGGTTTTCCTGGTTTTCTTGTCTTTCTTTTTCGATGGACTCCGCACGGACACCTTGCTCTCCAATTGGCCACCCTGGTAGGCCGTCTCTTGGGTGAGAGCATCTTTCTCGGGCCACTCATATATCCACTTGCCAGTGCCGTGCCCGAAGGGTTCCTTCCTCATGAATTTCGAAACGTCCTGTTGAGTCCGAAGTGTCTCGAGATAGCCGGCAATCTCGCGCAGCTTATCCTCCCGCATCTGTTCCGGCGTAGCATTGAATTCGCTGCACAGGAGGAGATTGTGTGGCTGGGCGGCTGCCTTAAGGGTTGTGTCGTCGATCAAAACGGTATTGTGTTGCCCAAAGCGACCTCCGTTCTCATAGTCAGGGTGTTGCTTCTGAATCTCGTCTTTGCTCCAGATCATTTCAAGGTTTTTGTACACCTGCACGTTCTGGTTGTAGTGTTCAGGCTTGAGGTTGAATGCGTCACGGCCCCACTGAGCCACCAGAGCCTTCCTTAGGTCTTCTTCCAAAGACTGTTCAACCAATGAAGCCACGTTTTCAGGTCTCGCGCTTGACCACACCATGACGGCAAAGTTCGAGAAGAGGTAGCGGAGGAATGGGATGAGGAACGGACGTGCGATCATCGTCCTCTTGTTCCTGTTCGGACGGTAGAGGAGTGTGCCGTTGAGATCGAGGACGACGAGTGTGCGACCGGATGCCTCGACTTTGGTCGGTTCCTCGGCTGCTTGTGCCATGTATTTAAGGCAAGGTGCTGGCGCGGGTAACATGATCTTCAGATCTCTGTTTCTCCCGTTCGGCTTCGTTGTGGAGTAGACCGGTTGTTCTCTGTAGGACTTGTTAATGCGAGAACTGGGGCTAACTCGGTGTAGGCAGTCATACTCTCGGGCCTTGGCTGGGCCATCTTCGACCACTTGAATAAACTCGTCGTCAGACAGTGGAGTTGACGCCCTACGAGTGAAGTTAGACCTGCGATTTCTCGATCTGCCCTTCGAGAGCTTGTCAAAAGCGTACTGGAGACCACGGTTGAAGACACCGTGTAGGCCTGGCTGCGACTGCATGGCCGCAAAGGACGGCGCAAAGAAGGGATAGTTGCGCTGGAGTGTCTGTCCAAGTGCCTGCTGTGGAGGGTTGATGGGCGTGAAGCCTTGGGTGTAACCGTAGTACTGCGCCCACTGATAGTAGTACGCCTGCGCTTGCGCCTGCTGTTGCGCGGCAACGCTGTTGTACTGCTGCTGAGTGTGCGGATAGTACTGCTGCGGCTGCTGAGTATGTGGATAGTACTGATGAGGCTGCTGCTGCTGTCTTCCATAGTTTGCGTTCCATGGTGCCATAGGTGCAGGCTGCGAGTAGCCCTGTGGAGCAGTCTGCTCCTGGCTGCGGTTGCGGTCCTGGTCGTACGGCTGCCCTGGGTAGCCATAATTTGGCGTAAAAGGCTGCGCCCAGGGATTGAAGTTGTTGTTCATCGCGGCGACGGGCGGGCGGCTGTGGGTGTGTAGAAGAGATGCGCTGTCGTGACGACCGACAACGGCCTTGAGTGGGTTAGTGCTGGGTTCTGCGACTGCAGTGTCATGGGGAATATACCCTTCGATTTCGACAGACATGACGAACAAACGAAACCCGCTTGGTAGCTTGGGGTACTTTCAGTATGGTGTGTGGGAAAGGTGAAGGTGAAAGGGAGGACCGCAGCATGGATTCGAGCACAAAGACCTTCTGGCAGGCACGTGAAGGTTCGCTGTTGCCTCCCAGTCTTTGGGTTTGCGCCGGCTAAATGTGGGTAAATTGTGGGGCTGACCTTAACTTTTTGGATGCAAGCATCGTTTGGCTCGAATGTAACCGCAACAAAAAGAACACAAGATGCCGCCCCTCTCTAGCAAGCTTGAGCGCAAGCTGCGCGCTACCGAAGAGAGCTCAGACGACAGCGAAAATTACGAAGTTACCGACCGGTCTTCTTCTGAATCAGTACTGGAATTCGACGCTGGAGATGTCGTTGGGTCAGAGAGCGAAGAAGAGACCGCAGGGGGCCCCGAGGACGAAGAGATGGTGTGTAGAATGCTTTCCGTTTCCTGTACCTCTGTGCTAATCTATAGTAGTCAGATGCCTCTGATGACGACCAAGTACAGGCACAAATGAGTAAAGTTTCTTTTGGAGCTCTTGCCAAAGCACATGATGCACTATCAAAATCGACCGACCGAAAGCGCAAGCGAGGCGAGGAAACTTCAAAATCACAGGATGACAAGCTCGAAGCCTTGAGAGAGCGGTTACGGCAGATCAGGGCAGAGAAGATTGCAAATGGCGAGACAAATCCGAGTAAGAAGCCTAAGGCTGCTGAGAAGAGCAAGTCAAAGCGTCAGGAGCGCGAGGAGGCAGACGCTAAAGAGGACGACTCTGGTTCAGACGCTGCACCTCACGCACGATCCAGCAAGCACGCACCCGCTGTACAGTCGAGCAAACGCATGGTCTCACGAAAGCGACAAGTTGTCGATGTGAAGAAACCTGTCTTTCGCGACCCACGATTTGAGAACATTGGAGGGCCAAAACCAGACGAGAACACACTCAGCAAGCGGTACTCGTTCTTGAACGATTATAAGGTGTCGGAGATCGCGGAGCTCAAGAAGGCTATCAAGAAGTCGAGGAATGGCGATGAGAAAGAGCAGATGAGAAAGCAGTTGGAATCGATGGAGTCGCAAATGAAGACACAGCAGCGGAAGGATGAGCAGCAGGCTGTTGTACGGGACCACAAGAAGAAGGAGAAGGAGCTGATCAAAGAGGGCAAAACCCCATTTTATCTGAAGAAGTGTATGTTGCTTGCCGTCTTTGAGTCACTACGAACAGCCACTAACGCCTCGTGCAGCCGAACAAAAGAAGCTTGCCCTGATCGACCGCTTCCAGAACATGAAGGCGAAGCAGCGCGACAGGACTATTGAGCGCCGTCGCAAGAAGGTTACCTCGAAGGAGCGGAGAAACATGCCCGCGGAGCGACGAAGTGCATGAGATCACAGGTACCCGCCCATGCAGCAGGATCTGGACGGGACGAGCAGGGTTGTTAACGAATTTTAACGTTACCATTTCACACATATACCCGAACAAGCAGAATGCCTGCTGGCGAATCCAGACAATACCAGCCTTGCGCGCTCGAAGTGGCTCAACATTCTGCGCGTGTCATACAGCAAGAAAACACTGTGCGACTCCAAAGTGGGCAACTTCCTTCAAGCCCCACAGGTTTTGGAGCATTTTCACAAGCTCACACTACCTCATGTGTCAAAGACACGTTGCCGAAGTCCAGAACAGCCCTGAAATGACATGCCGTTCGCAAAAACCGATGCGCATTGGGTGAATTGATCTCCAAGATCCCTGGCAGCTCGCTCATTCTGACAGGGGTTTCTCCAAGAAACGTGCCGCTCCACACCACGGCGCGTCAACGTCGACGTCATAGCGATGCATGTCTGCTCCCAGCCTCCTTGCCTGCTTATAGGGGCGGCACGGCCACATCTCACGTTGTTCACTCTGTATTACTGTGTTTTTAATACCTTTCCCAGCGTTTGTCTAAGCTCTCACGAGTTGACCGTTGAGATCCCAACGTTCACGCGCCGTCGCTTAGTGCCATTCTAATTTAGTCGCAACGGTCGAAGATCACCATCATGTCCCACGAAAAGCCGCTCAATGAGTAAGTTCATTCTATCAATTACGATGGCTGGGAATCGTCAAGTACAAGTCGCGTTCAGATGATAGTGTCTAACAATGTATCCTCAGGCTCCTCTCCCGCTCTATGGTGGACATCTACATTGGCGAGGAGAACACACACTGGATTCTTCATGAGAAGCTCCTATGCCACCACTCGCCCTTCTTCCGTAAGATCTTCTATGCCAAGGGCAATACTACACAGTCCTTCGGACTCCCCGAGGATGATGACAATGCCTTCAAGAGCTTCGTCGGCTGGCTCTACTCCAGCTCACTCCCTGTTCCTCGCGAGGAGTCCGACCTCGGTGTACTCTTCGAGCTGTACCTGATGGCGGAGAAGTTCCAGATCCCCAACCTGATCGCCGACGTGCTCCAAGTCGTCCGTGAATGGTACAAGTTCAGCGACTCGTACCCAGGCCTGCGCCGCGTGCAGTACATCTATGCCAACACCGAGAACGGCAGCCCCATGCGCCACATGCTCGTGCACTCGATTGCACGCATGATGGTCCTCGAGAAGGGTCTGCCTGCCCACTGGGACAAGGCGCTGCGCAAGAATGGCCAACTCGCTGTCGACGTCATCTGCGCGATCCAAGACTGGAGACTGGACGATGAGGTCGTCCCCGATGCGCGCGACGATCCTGCAGAGGGCGAGGACCTCATCGATATCGAGGAGGAGATCAAGCAGAACGACGCCGAGCTCGAGCAGAATGCCGACATCGAGGACAACGCATCCGAATCTGTCGACGTTCTTGAGGGCGAGGAGCAGGAGGTCGAGGTTGAGGGTGAGGACGAGGAGCAAAAAGAGGAGAACGACGACGCTGAGGAGACAGACGATACCGTTGTCGGCAGCCCGACGCAGAGCAAGCACGACATCTCCAAGGACGACAAGAAGGCCTCCAACGGCACATCGAAGGTTGACGATCTGAAGAAAGACTTCAGCAAGTTCAGCCTCAACGTCGTGCCCAATGGACTTACAAACGGTGACTTCGGTTCCCTGAAGGCTTAGACAGCTTGTCCAATCGACGATGTCTAGCTTGTTGATAGTCGTCGACGTCCCGTTTCGAGCTTGAGCGCCACTCGCTGGGAGCTTCAGTTGGTGAAATTTACATGAAGGAAACGAAACACGTTGACAAGAACGTTGCATACGGGCGTTCAGGTTGGCTTTCCATTTGGGTCACGAACGCTTCATATCCTTACCGCATTTCACTTCTCTTTTTTCTAATGCCTCGAGGGGCTTGTTACATTGTACTGTATCTGTCGCATAATCTGACTCCAAGTAACCAAAATTCATCTTCATTCCTCTCTTGGTGTTCGTGACGCGCATTCAAAGGTTGCATGCCAGCAGGGTGTCCGGGAGGTGGTGGCTTGCTGTAGATTGGCCAGAGGGTGAGACGATTTTGCGGTCCCGTTGTAGATGAAGGCTCACGGCATCGTGACACTAAGGTAAGGGCCAATACAACGGAAGCGTAACAGAGTCATCACAGAGGCTGTCCTAAGGCAGACGTTCACTCCTTGACATTGTATCGCAGAGCTCTGACCAGGTACAGGTATTGCTGCAAATGAAACGAGAGATGCGACTTCCTTCATCATGAGATATCTTGCTGCAGGCTGTAGTGTGTAAAAAGCGAAGGCAACTATCGATGTTCTGTATCGGGTTGTGTTCTTGAAAGGCTTGCCAGCAAGAGAAGGAAATGGGCGTCGCAGGACAAAGGAGCGTGCTACCTGTCGGTGTTCGGACAAATGTGTTGAGAGGGGAGCGGTAACTGTCCCTGTACTGCAAGCACAAGATGCGCGAGTCTTTCAACGGCGTTATAGGGTCTTCGCTGGGTTGTGTAGCTTTTGCCGGGTCTTAGCTCCTTTCTTCTTCTTCTATCCCGCGCTGTCACTGGTTCGTCGCGGCATATTGTTTCGATCTTTTCTCAGCCTGATTTCACTCAGTATGTGCTCCATTAGAGCCTTGCTGTCACCTGAAGGTGGATTTGCGAAGGACCATAGATAAGGCTGAACAATCTGGGGGTGCGCAATGCGCGTGGTCTGAGTGACATGCTAGCCAAATCCACACAGATCGAACATGGACGCCGCATATCAAGCGCGTACCTGTGCGCTTATTGGTCCCAATAGACTGGTTGCTGGTATCAGCGTCTATCAAGGGGACTGCCGATAGACGTGTGCGCGCTGCTGCCGTCTCCAAATGTCGGCGTCTTCGCCGAGCCCTCCAATAAGTACCGAGCTCATGGTTGTCGTGCTTCAGCCTCAGCTATCAGCTACTTCTTCTAGACCTTATTCCAAGAGACTGCTACTTGATACAGGTCAATGCCCCGGAATAAGCTATGTGTACGAAGTGTCTGGCCTTACTAGTGGAAACTGACAACACGACTTCTAGCGGAGAAGATGAGTAGACGGCACTGTGAGCCCTAACTGCTTCAAGCTTGTCATGCGTTTTGATTGTGGATTGTGGCTGCCGCGTGGAGAAGCAGAAGGTCTAGCCATCTTGTGGGGCATGTTCAGTGTCGCGGCCGTGTTTAGCTCAGGAGTCAGGTAGGTAGCTGAGTGTCCTGATGCGAGTGTGACCGGTATCATCACGCTTGCGCTCGAAATGGCCCCTGAATGGATTGATCTGGAAGGCATTCCAATTGTATTTGCGCACTACCTGAGCGGACAATGCCTCCAGAGTCTACGTTCACTTCTCTATCGTACAGTGTACTCTCTATCGTACAGTGTACTCTCTATCGTACAGTGTAGCCGGCTTTCTCTGCAACGTATAGAGCTTGCCGTCGACCGAGCGTACATAATTATACTGTTTAATGGACGCTCCCTCCAAAGCCCGAGATTTGAGTTGCGAGTTCGCTCAATCTGACCGGTCGCTGAGACGTGATCATGCTCTTTTTCCTCTCTCGCCTCACTACAAGACCGCAGCTACAGCGCGTACACATGCTGCGCAATGGACCTTGAAAAGTGCCTTTGTGGCTGCTTTTATCGCTCGTTCGAGATCGTGATAGCACCACCGTGTCGAAGTGTACATGCCTCATTCCTGCTCGACAAGTGTCCAGGCCGCGACAAGCATACAGGATGGATATCTCGGACTGGTGGACTGGGTGGAGTGTTTTGTGGAGTAGATCCTAGTCGTGGCTGCCATCTTTGCATATGCTCTGGAAGTGAATGCATGTGGTGTATGTAGCGTGAGTCTGAACATTCACGAAGGCGCGACTAGCCTTCTCTCCGATTTTCATGCTGCAGGTCACTCATTCTTGTAGCCATGTTCCTGAAGATGGCGATAATCTTGCCTTGTCGTTTGCCTGTGGTGATCTAACAGCTGACGGTGGCCCTACACTTGTAAGATCTCTTGGTATCCAGCTATCGCTTTTGGCGGTAACAGCTTACTCGACCTGCGCGGTTCGCCTTGACCAATGTAGGTACGAGGTTGCCACGAGGTAGTATCGAGCGTACATACTTAGTGATGCACATCGTATGCGCGCTTGTAATGCTAGTCTATGGCTCCCCGCTCACTAGGTACGCAGACCCCAGGTCTATGGTGACCGAGTCTCACCCCGCAACACGGGACCCACGGTCTACATGACCCACTGGAAGGGATATGGTGGTGTACAGTAGTGAGCGAACGATATATGGGCCACAATTACAGCCTCAGCTAAGGTGTGTGCACCACGTGGAAGAGAGACTGCAGCGGGTGAGAGGAAGTGCGACCCAAACCGCACGATCGGTGCTTCACCGAGGTCCCGAACTCACGGAACAATCATCACTTGGTGGCTGGCGGAAGGGATTCCTCTTATGACCTGCTCATGTGCACAAGAACTCCTAAGACGCGGGTGGCTGACGAATGGCTGGCCTACATCCCGCCGGCGCATCTTAGCCTATGAATTTAGATTAGTGTACTTCATGCATACCGTGTCGTAGAACTTTGCAAAGAATGCTGAAGTGTTGATAAATCTATCATTAGCTTTGGCTTCCTGCTTTGATTGGACTGCTGCAGTAAGCGCGCACGCAGAAGTGAGCGAGGAGCCGCAAGTGGAAGGGGACAGGAGACTGTGGAACGACATGCGCCAGAGTATCCACTCAAGTCCTTCGGCCCCAGTTCCTTCTCACACGCCTGATTCGCCAGAATTGAAACAGATTATGGATGATGAGCCGTGTTCGTATCTCGTGCCAACGCAATTACATCCCTCTTTAATGAGCAAGACTACCGATAGTTAGGATGCCGGCACCGGCGAACTCCGCATTGAAAAGACCTCACGTAGGTATTGATCACAACGACGTATTCACGAGCTCGGTATCGCGCGGTATGTCTTCATATCATGGAACCCGAGAAACAGATGGCAATCCCTTTGAGTTCCCAACGTTCTAGCGTCAGCAACGGTATCAACTAGACAGTACTAGAGGAGGCTGCTTACGGTCGTGGGCCTGAAAGCTAAACTCATAGGAGTACTCCTCCCGGTCACATTTCCGCCTCTCGGGGCATCACGCCGCGAATTTGAGACCGTTGGCGTGATTCCGCGGTGGAGAAGCTGGAGAATCTGGGGACAAGCTTCATGGCGCCCATGGGTGCTCGGCTAAATCCAGTTCTGGCGTGCGGGGACGACTTTGTTACTGGACAAAGCTTTGCACCTAGCGGTTTGATAGGTTGCTACTCAGCGGCGGGTTGCCTTGATCGCAGAAAACGCCGAGGGCCTTAACAACAGAAAGCCTCATACAATGCGCTACCGACGATTCCGGCAGGCTGTCCGCAGCTAATGAAAGCCTCGCCTAGAGCAGCAGATGAGAACGAAGTTGTCATGGTCGTATCACGCGGCCTGCGATCGGCGGAAGACCGACTGGCCAAGTACTGTGATTGATGGAATGTTACGAGAAAGACAGATCCTAGGTGCAGCGATGTTCTGCCCCTGTTTTGTTTAAAGGTGGAGGCTTCTCTCGTCGCTCGATTTTCCAGCTCTTTCCCCAACTTCCCCACACATTTGCCATTGGCCCACATTGGCAATCATGAGTGAGCACCTCGACATCAAGGCACACGATGTGCAGAACGAGAAGGGTTTCACCCAAGTTGACGACTCTAACACCCTCGATGTCCACGCCAAGATTGAGGCCTACAAGGCCGCTGCTATGGCCGCAGAGGTTGAGGAACAGAAGTCAGGTGTGCTACAGGCCGTGAGGGAGTACCCTATGGCTGCTACATGGGCATTCGTCATGTCTTGCACCATCGTCAGTCACATTCTCGATCCCATTCCTGCAGAATTTCAACTAATGTCGTTTCAAGATCATGGAAGCCTACTGTGTCTTCATCATGGGTAGTTTCATTGCCCTGCCCGCGTTCAGAAACCACTTCGGTGTTCTGAGCCCTACAGCCGCCAACCCCGACAACCACATAATCGAAGCCAGCTGGCAGTCCGCTCTCCAGATGGGTGGACCCGTCGGTGCAATTTGTGGATGCTTCTTGGCTGGTCCCCTCACTAGCAAAATTGGATACCGATGGGCAACCATCGGCGCATTGATGGTGCTGAATGGATTCATCTTCGTCATGTACTTCGGCAACTCGCTCCCGATCTTCTTCGTCTCTCAGCTTCTCTGTGGTATCCCCTGGGGTGTCTTCATCGCGAACGCTCCGGCATATTGCAGTGAGATCTGCCCAATTCAGCTGCGAGCTCCCGCTACCCAGATGCTGCAAATGTTCTGGGCCATCGGTGCCATGATTGTTGGCGGCGCTACCTATGCGTACAACACAAACCCGGGAGAGGAAGCTTACAGAATTCCTATCGCGCTCCAGTGGATGTTCCCCACTCCCCTCGCTATCTTGCTCTTCCTAGCCCCCGAGTCGCCTTGGTGGTTGGTTCGCAAGGGCCGTCTCGAGGAAGCCGAGAAAGCTGTTACTCGTCTGGGAAAGAAGGGAGTTATCAATGCTAGCGAAGCTGTCGCTATGATGCGCCGTACTGTCGACCTCGAGAAGACCATCAAGGAGCCGAGTCTTCTCGAACTTTGGAAGGGCACCGATCGTTACCGTACCCTCATCGTTTGCGGTGTCTACGCAGCGCAGAATTTGACCGGTAACCTCATCGCTAATCAAGCTGTCTATTTCTTCGAACAGGCTGGTATGGCCACTAACACCGCTTTCGCCATGGGTCTCATCACGTCAGCTCTGCAGTGGATCTTCGTCATGCTTTCCTGGGTTCTCACCTCCTACCTTGGCCGACGTACCATCTACGTTTGGGGTTCGCTCATCAACGTCGCATTCCTTGTCGCCCTTGGTATTGCTGGCTCAGTCGCTATATCAAACGCATCCAACCTGGCACAGGCCTCTTTGGGTCTGATCATCTCCGTTCTGTTTACTTTGGGACCTGCTCCCGCTTCATGGGTCATCATTGGAGAGACCTCCGCGATTCGTCTCAGGCCCCTGACTACCGGTGTTGGACGCGCTGCCTACTACATTGTCAACATTCCGTGCATTTTCCTCTCGAGTTACATGCTCAACCCTGACGTAAGATTTCCCCGTCACTCATCATTGCGGTTACTAACAAAAAAATAGCAAGCCAACCTTCGTGGCAAGTGCGGTTACGTCTGGGCTGGTACTGGTTTCCTCTGCTTCGCATTAGCGTACTTCTTCTTGCCTGAGATGAAGGGTCGCTCCTACCGCGAGATCGACATTCTGTTCAAGCGCAAGGTTCCTGCCCGCCAGTGGACCAAGACAGAGGTCGACATTGCGACTGACGAGTAATCGAGCACATCCAAGAAGGCTCTGCATTGGATTACACAATCTTCTCTGCAGCTTAGAGACGAGAAGAGACAGCAGCATATGTTCTTCGTTTAGCTTTTTAGTGATGGAAAGAGACGGCAGACATGCCAGTCAACGCGAGATATTCATGATATCCTAGTAATTGCATTCTTGCGAATTCGCTGAAGTATCTACCTGTGACATACACGCCACTTCTCGAATTCATCCGCAGAAACAGATGCATGGCGGGCAATCTTATAAGACATGTCAGGGGCGACGCTAAATGAAGTTTTGGCTTATTTGTAGATGACCCTGTGTGAATTCTTGAAGTTCCGTGTACACACCAATACTTTTTTGAATGACACTAATGTTGCGGAAGGCTGATACTTCGAACTAGTGTAGCCTACTCAGTGTTGCGTTCCCATAAGTGTCGAAATGTCAGTGTCTTCTCAGTGTCTTCTCAGTGTCGTCGCTCCTTCGCCCATGCGCCTGCAACGGCTATGTCATGCGTCATTAACGGACAGCATCTTTTAGAGTCTTATCATGCAACTACCAACACAGCTTCCTCTAGAATTTGCAAGTCTCATCATTCTCATTCTCCTGAGATCATTTTACCTGGAAATGCCGAGTATCCTTTTGAGCGAGCATAGCCTACCCACCAGAAGCTACAAGTCATGCCCGTTGTTCCTGGTCTAATAGACTACATTCTAGTCTACTGCTTCATGGCTTTCGATGGAAGAACATACAGCTCTGCAGGTCAACCATATGTCCTGCCGCACGCCTGCCGCTTAACGGTTCACATCTTAGGAACATCCTTCGTACATCTGCTAGATAGGAAGATTCATGTGAGTACGCGCTGAACATGCTGCAAAATCAGGGGCATCCGAACAACGCTCTGTGGCTATAGCTTTGTGGCCGCTGATACTCCTTCCGCTTCCGCCCTCCAGGCCCCTTTCTATTTTCCCCCTTTTACTGCTTACCCTTCTTACTGCCTGAGAACTCACTCTGTAAAACATTTCACAATCGCTCCAGCTAATGCGCTGTGCTTGAACCGGCCGATCAAAGCTTGCGCTCTGTCTTTTCAAGACGCCTTGCGGCGCGCCACCAACGAATCCCAGATGCGTCCTTCGGAAGCGATGATATTGTTTTTGAATCTCTAGAAATCCAACAATTCCGTGAAGTGATTGAAGAGCCTCGTCAGACTGTCGCTGTCTTACACTCTCGCACTAAACTTTGTGACTTACTATGATGAGGACAAGCGCTTCGCTGACGTGGATAAGAAGTGGAGACCTTGGCTATCATATCATGGTGTTTGACTCCATTTCCAGTTCGAGAATACACTCGCAGGCGCTTGCATCAATTTTGTGCGCCGATTGCTTAGAAATTATTCTCCGGGTGAGCAGGTTCTAGCACCATGTTTGCTTCCACAGAGCATGCGGGACCGCGAGACTGCGTTGTCCAACGCTGTGAGATTGTTGGTGTGGAATGCATCTCCGAGACTTTCGAGGCCATCATGAAATCTTCAGTGCTATCGAGTATGGGTTTGCTAGCGAGACCCTTGGGAGACAACATCACATCTGCCCTCCTTGACTAGCGTAAGGACCCGCAGCGCTCTCGAAGATCTGCGGCAAACACGTCAGATGATGCGAAGTTGATACTATTGATCCTGCTGTGTACACTCCAGTATCAAGACGCGAGACACTTCGCACTCATCATGCCGTTTATGACACAAATGCTGCAAGCGAGCTGTACAATCTGCTCGCCCTCTCAGATGCATCTTTAGTTAGTCTCTCACAACTGTATCTGAGCATGCAGTTCGGGTTAGTGCCCCACTGCTGTGTTCACGACCGCCTCGGACAGTCTTACTCTGGCATGTCGCTCGGCAGGTTTCCATCTTGCTCCCCTTTATCACCAGCTTCGTCGCCATCGCTACTTCAGTGCGGGACCACCCGCTCACACCACCATGCGCGCGCCCGATCTTGAGCGACACGCTTTCTCGAGCCCCCTCACCTTGCCTCCCTGCCTACGACCTTGCAACTCGTGCGGTCTCAGGATCATCTGTTTCGGTCGATGTGCAGCTCGTCAAGCTCACAGTGCGACATGCGGGGTAAACAAAAGTTATTGGTACGACGTGTAGCACATACCGAAGCAGTGGTTGTAACGGGCATTTGCGGCTCAAAGTGGGCAGGATGGCGAGGTTTAGGGCCATGCGGCGACGTATCGTTATTGATCCGGAAGGTTACGCAATGTGGTGGTACAGGACGGCTGTGCGACGAGATGTTTGAATATCTTTTAGAGCTGGCTGAGATGGGAGGTGCTGATGTGTGAGATTAGTGAATGCTTACAGTACTGACCTCTTGTTCGTGAAGTAACATTGAATGCCTGTAGAGGCTGTCAAGGTCAGTTGATGGCCCCTAGGATGGTTGAGGCCGCCGGTGGTACGATGCAGCCATGCAGATGATCGGCCTCCACGTTGGTGGTGCAGCATTTACCTAGTGCATGGTGTATGAGGCTCAATATTGTGTAAGTGCATGTCTCAGTGAGCTTTCATCACGGTGCTTGTGTGGCCGCCTTACGTCCAAGCACAAACGTCCTCTCCTAGTTGTAATTTGCCCGCACTCGAAACAATTCTTCGGTACCTAAGGCAGCTTCCTCATTAGAGCAGCTTCCTCATTCGCGTAAGCTCTTGCAGGGCCTCTCCCAGCTGCACGGTTGACTTGCATTCATGCCACCGTTGAGACCCACACCGCGACATCGAAGCGACTGCCGCTTCTGGGAGAGATTGATTGCTCTCCGAGTCTCCGTACCGTACCTGATCCTCGCTGCAGAAGGATGTACTGTAGAGCGAAAGGATCTTCGAATGTTGTGTAAAGTGCAAGCCCCTGACATGATGAAAATATTCGTTCTATGATCCCGCCAATGCGTCCAATTGATGTATGGTAGTACCCTAGCAATTTTCCACAAAACATGCGAGATGTGTCCGGCTGCAGGCGGCCTGTGTGCGTGAGCGGAAATGAGCAGCTTGCTCTAGGCAGCGGGAAATGAGCGGAGCGGAGAACAGCAGTGGCACTTAGGACACGCGGTTGCCCACGAATCATGGTTTACGGACCTCGTATTCATTATGCAGGAGTGTCAATCTCAACTGATGAGCGATGATCTCGAGATCGTGGAGGAGAAGGCCATCATGCGGCCGTGCTTGTGCTCTGACAGAATTGACAGATGGCGGTTTCGCCACAAATAAGGACCATGGCTTCAGACGAGATTAGAGACCTGGGTCGTAACCGAGTGAGGAGCATTACCCATAACTGTTTCATTATTGGTATTGTTATGACTGAGCTGCGTGCAAGGCAGGCGTGGGCTGGGCAACGGCACGTATCAAGCTTCCTCCCGTTATGCATTCCTATTCTGAAAGAAGTTGCGGACCGAGAAATGCCCCAGTAATGGTTGAAAGGCACCAAATTGCGAGCATGTAAGGGTGATAGTGCTGGAGATCATATACGCTTCTAGATCTATTACTTCCCACAGCCAGGTTGATGCCGTTCACCACGTGGAAGCAACGACAGCTCTGGTGAACGAGCGCTGAGCTGTCATATCATTGGCGAGGGAGGCCCTGGGGGGCCAATGGCCTTGCTGGGCTGGCCTTGCTGAGGCTGGAGTACTCTGGAGTCGGTGTGTCGCTGCTGCGCCGCAGACGGAGGTTTGAGAGTGGAACAGATCAAATCCTTCGCATCAGGTGGCAGGCAGCGATTCTGCGTCTCCGCTACGTTCAAACGATAGGCATGAAGAGCAGACGGACAGCTGGTAATTGGCTGCCGTTAAGACCGCTTCGAGCGTGATCAAACCGTGTGTGAAACATTGAAACCCGCCTAGTGGCGGCGCGCGGACCGCCTTCTGATTGGCCAGTAGGCGGCATTGCCAATGGATGTGCAACGCGCTGCATGCACACAAGCAACCACTCAGAGTACCGTTACACGCGCAGCTGGAGGGCGAGCAGCACCGGCGTGAGGTTTGCGCCGTCTGACGCAGCTCGCCGCGTGCTGAGTGGTGCTGACTTTCGCGTTGTTCAGCAGCGTGGCCGGGTGTCTGACTGTCTGACGGGCCGGGGTGGAGGGATAGGCGCACAGCAGCCGTGAGCAGATGGGCCGTGAATTCGAAACAATGGTTCGTGTGGCGCCCGTCTGCTGTAACGGGAGCGACACTCTGTTCGCCCAGCCAGGCTGCCCAGCGGAACCAGCACCGTCAAGCATGCAGCACCAGTGACCACGGCTGCCAACCAGCGTGCTCCCAGCGAAACCCTGACCTGCTGCCCTGCTGCCCCCATGCTTAGGTCTCCTCCATCCGTCCTGCCTCTTTAGCAGCGCGCCGTCCGTGCCTGCCATTTTTACCTTTGCATCCCCTCACCGCGGCCGCCTCCTGTTCGCGCAGACTTTCCTGAGCACACTGCGCATCAACGCCCTGCGACTCTCCACCGGCCGTAGTCTGCGCTCCACGTTGCCCTGGCCTGCCATCTCCCCCGCCGCGGCCCTTCCTTGACGTGTAGTGTAGCGGACTTGCTCCAAGCACCCTGCGACACTCCTACAATCTATCTGCCCCTCCCAGTCATCATCGTCCGCGCCACTATTCGACGCAGCCATGGCCACCGTTGTCGCCAATTCCCCGATCCCTGCGCAGTATGCGGCACCAGCACCTGCCGACGGGGTCGGTTCTGGCAGAACATATGCTGCCATTGCGCCCTCCACCATCTCTCCTCACAACGTGACGCCCACCTCCAAGCACTCTAAACTGCCTGACTACAATGCTTCACCTACCTCCACCAGTAGTGATGCAGCCATGCAGCAGAGAGCAGAGGGAAAGCGCTCACCTCTTTCGTACGTCGTTCAGTCTTTTGTCTCGTTCTCCTTCGACGCACCGCCGTCATACTTCATCCTCCTCTCCCACTTCCACCTCACTGTCGCCGCCACGGCTTGACACTCATGCGCACCACACAAAGTCTAACCGTCCTTCCTCGAGCAGGTCACGCGACCCTCCAGCACCCAGGATAGTCGTCAAGAAGGAGCCCGCCTCGCCAGACATGCCCACCACCACACGTCATCGCCCTCGACGCCTGGACCTGTCCAACCACAACATCGTTCACTCGTCTGGCGCCCTCACTGCCCGCCCATCTGGCCCAGGCAGTGCCAATGTCATGGACATGGGTCTCGCCTGCCTGTCCCCAGGCTTCCACACCCAGGATCCCACTTTGCGCTCACAGCTTCAGCGCAGTCTTGATGTAAGAGAGAGGCAGAGACAGATCATTGAGGCTCGCCAGAAGAATGGCGGTAAGGGCGGACCAGTGGACGAGGAACCTCCACGCAGCACCGAGGTTGGTGCATTCGGCAGGTCTATCAAGACCCCTCAGACATCTAAGAGGAAGGGCCCCCCCCCTGGCCTCTCCATCGCCCCTCCTGCCCATCAGGCTTTTGCCAACGACAGGATCATCCAGTCAGCGCCCATCAACCAGACCTTCACTGGCCTTCGCAGCAACGTTCCCCTGTCAAGACAGGTCACCAATGGCCCCTCAGGTCTTTCGCAGTCGTCGCACATCCACCATGTGCCCGCACACCAGACCAACAACCGCCTGCCTCCAATTTCAGATGTCTTTCCAGAGCCTCTTCATACTGCAAGGAATCACTACAGCCCTGGTCACTCGTCACACTCGAATCACCAGCCACCCATGCCATCCCCAGGATTTGCTCCTCCCCACTCGGTACCACCCCCACTGACCTCAAGGCCTCGTGAGTACAAGTCAGCCGAGGAAGCGGTCCAGTCGTTGTCCGGTGGCCGCGAGGACCTCCTTCCTCGTCTTGTGCACTACGGCGGTCACCAGCCCCCTACACCGCCATCACCTATGCCAAAGAACGGCCAGTCGGCATACGCCACGCACCCTGACGTCCTCCGAAGTGGTAGCTCAAGGAGACGCGGCCGTGACGAGTATGAGCGAGACAACGGTACCCCGCCGCTGGGTCGTCAAGCACCTCGCATCGGACCATTTGGAGAGGGTCGTGACTCGCCAGAAACACAACAAAAGAAGAAGGAGGAGTTCATTGGTCTGTGCGCAAGGGCTTGGGATCTGTTCCATTCGTAATACCTGGCCTTGGCCTACTTCGATACCTCATTTAGGTCTGACTCGTTTTTGGCGGCGCTTTCTGGAGTAAAGACTACCTCGACCACATCCTCACCTCTTTCGTCCCGTTCGGCGAGCCTTCAGCACTGCTCACTACTACCCCTTCTTCTCAACCTTCGCCAAAATCCAGCATGTGCGCATCTTATTTTCTCCAAATGTTCGAAAAGCGCCGGCACCCTAATGGACCCTGCAAGGACATACCTTGTTGCCTATCCCCTACATAAGAGACTTCCATTTGTCCATCAATTTCTAAACGCAAAATCTTCGATGAGAAGATGCTAGGGATTTGTGCACGTCATTTACGCTCCAACGTTCTTTCGATTTTGCTTTTGGGTATCATGAAACATACCATGTCTCATGATCATTCATCATTACTTCTTCACCCTGGGCTGGTATACCACCGCCCATATACCCTAGGGGGCGTTTTGGAATCTTTACTTCACTTTGCTTACTGTTTGCTCGATGGGAGCCTGAGTCGCATGGGTGGTTGCATGTGTGGTACTTCGCGAGGGCAAGGTGCGTGGTCAGGCACCAACTGTTTGGGAGCATGGTGGCTGGGCAGTGCAGGGACTGCAGCCACCAGGGACGCAGGGCAGGCAGATCCGTCGCACAAATCGACGTGCCGGGGTACCACCTCACACAAGACAAGAATCAAGACGTCCAATTCCCTGACAATACCTACCTGATCGCCAGATCACCACTGTCGTGCAATGCATTAAACTCCTCTATTGATGACGTCCGAGACTGGCAAGATTCACGATCCGCATTCAGGATTGCTACAAGCATCCCGAAACGTTAAACGCAGGGACCATCTGTTAGTCGAAACAGCCGCTCTTTTGCTCGCGTGCCGTCAATCTCCAACTTAGTGAGCTGCGCCCAGCCTGAAATCTCGCTGATTGCCTGATTTGGACCTTAACGCGCCGTCACATGCGTGGCTTCCAAGAAATAATTGTAGTTCATGCTAGAACATGCGTTTGATCGGTGAACAAAGGGCCTCAACAACTGCCGCGCAGTCCCATGACAGAGCACTCATTAAGAACGAGCTCGGTGTCCAGCTTGGGTCCGAATACGGGTCACAACCGCGAGTCCGCCGAATTCGGATCGTGTGTCGGCAACTATGAAAATGATGCGCAAAGGCACCGCTTTTTTGTGAGAAGCGTGTTGCAAAGGACTCGTGTTGCGGGTGAAGTCGCGGTGGCCGAAGTACGCTATCCCCTCTTAGCATGCGCCGAACGCGACTCAAAGCCGCGCAATTGGGCCGCGGATCGTTCATGGCGTGGAAGTGTCGCGTGCGAAACCGAGGACGTGGACAACACGAGACCTAAGTCTCCGTCGCCGAACCGTCCTCCCACCATCCTTTCACCCGTTATTTTGGGTGCTTTAGCAGTGGCTGGGTGTGCGGACATGAATCAACAACAGAGTTTTGGAGATGGGCGGACGGCGGGAATGATCTGAGCAAGGCTCAAGAGGCAAGGCAGATCGTGAAACGGCGAGCCGCATGTGTGGATTTGAGCGATCGGATACTTTCCGAGCCCACCAGCGTGCGATCGGGACGTTAAAGGCGACGACTTAGTCGTATGAATGAGTCGTGGGTGAGCACGAGTTGATTGTGCTGTAGTGAGTTATTGAAACGCTATTTTGAGGTGATGTTGCGTGTGGTGCTTACGTCGGTTCGTGTTGAACTAGATTAAGCTAGGTATGTATCCTGGAGAAGCCTATGATCGCCATGAGAGATCAGACTAACAAAGCCAAGAGTACCGTTCGGTGCGAATGGCAGTTCCTTGGTAATCTCGAGATTTATAGGTTTACAGAGCTTCATGTCTAGTTGTTTGACTTCGTCTCAAATTTAGACGGCCTCCCACCCTGCACCGCATGTCAGCCCCCGGACGTCCTGTGGAGCAGGCACTGCAAGTGTCTTGACGGTAACCTGCTGTCCGTATCTCGTGACTGATACATTGCCACGCTCGAAAGCATACCGAGGCCAGGTGTGTCCGTCTTCATCCGCTTCAGCCTCCATACTTTCATACAATCTGGAGCTGAAGTGAAGACGCTGAAGATGTGAGCCATGCTCAGCCAGTTCCTGGAAGAGCTGACTGGCGACTTCGGTGTATATCAATCGACGCTCGTTTGCGGAGTATTCACCATCCAGAAGAGCAGGGTCTGTAATGGAAAGCGAAACCAGGTTGGCGTATTGGGCAATGACTTCCTGGAAAATGTCAATATGGGTGCGGTCCCTGAGCAAGGACCTTAAACTACTCACCAGCTTCTTCATGTACCCTGTGTGTTCAGCCAAGCGGAAAGGCTCGTTCAGTCCCACATCGTCGAAGAAAGAGTTCAGATCACCAATGTCTATACTGAGATGTTCTAGCTTGGGGCAGAGAAGTCTCAATTGCACCAGGTCCACGGCCGAATAGTACGGAAATTCCACATCCATGCAAAGGAGATGCAGGTGTATCAAAGATCTGCCGCTCATTTTAAGACATTCCAAGTCCATCAGACCACCCTCCATAAGCCCAATATTGAGATGTGTAAGACTGTTGACAGACCCAATGAGCTCTGCAGAGGCTTCTTGGACGTCTTCAGACATGGACACTTGGCAATGGGAGAAGTTCCTGAGGACAGGTTCGTCTGATTGCTTGAACTTCTGAGCAAGTGACAGCAGAAATGGCCCAGCATTGAAACACTCTCTGAGACTGAGATACTCCAAAGACGGTAGATCGAGATGCTGGACGATCCTGTAAGGCGTACCCATGAAACAGATATCGCGAACAGCAAGACGACGAAGCTTCACCAAGTGTGGCTGGGCCGACGCAGCCCATCCACCGAACCGATTGAATGCTGGATCATTATGGTGCCTTCCCTTGATGCTCACCTCATGTAGCTTGGGTGCATAGGCGAACCAGGCGCACACGCCGCGGTACGTCTGCTGGCTAGCTCCACTCACATCAACTGTAATCTTCTCCAAATGCGACAGGTTGTTTCGAGCATAAGCACCTCCAGGAAGGCCATCAGAGCTGTCCTCGTCTGTTGGAATCGACAATTCGCGCAACTGCGATTGTGTCCTCAGTAGAACGCAGATGACGTCCGGGTGGACGGGAAGTGTTTCGCTATGTAAAGACGATAGGTTGTCCCGGGGAAGTGCGCTGAGCAGTTTGAGCAGAATGGAGGTGGTCTGTTGGGTCTGAAGGGGGTTAGATGTCGTCAGACTGCTGGAAATTCCGAGTTTCTTGACATTATCCAGAATGCCGTTCGGACTCGAATTAAGCAGGGCGTTGAAACGAGGCCGGTCAGCATGGTAGAGATGGAGGTCTACATGCAGCTGATGCCAGAGCAAGGTAGCCGCCACAGCACTCCATTGCTTATTCACCAAGCGCGCATGCTGCAGCGCCACATTTGGAACCAGCTGCATTGCTCGCGTCAGGTGCATTCTCGGGTGAGCATAGAGGTACTCACATAGCTGAGGATGGTGCGCTGCACCTCAGGTGGGAGACTAGCAGTGAAGTCGCGCATGGGGTCAGTCTGAAATGCGGTCGTGTCTTCGCTGTGGACGGGTGCACGTAGGTGGTAGGTGACGGGGAGGCACTCAGGTAGGCAGGAACGCTGGCTTGGCACCTTCCACCTTCACCTTCCCTGGGCTCCACCAAGGTGCCGACTCAGCACTGACAGTACGAACTGTATAGAATCAGAGGACTGACCGCAAAAGAATCTGACGTTCTCTAAGGTCAGGTGCAATCGTTTCTGTTTGGTTTGAATGAATATATCGAGTTGTTTTAGCAATGTCTCGCTCGAGTGCGCGGAGCACTCGCTATCGTAAGCGTTTTCGAACCGGCTGATATAGGCTACGAAAGCGTTGTATATCGCAATACTGATTGAATCGAACAGAGGCTATTCCATGTTCATATAGCTCACAGAATTTGCAAGCAGTCAACACTATAATGAAGTATCCCAATGTAGTATCGTGGTACCAAAGTTTGATTGGTTCTGGACTAACAGTCATACCAGGCGGCTTCGACAACTAGAATATAGAGCTTTGACAAGACGGCCTAGTAAAGTCTGTGACTAGCGCTGTGGTAGTCGTTCTCTGATCATCCTCCAGCATGCTCGAAACTCGCCTGCTGTGTCGAACTATCCTCTCCCGTAGTGCTATATCGTCTGTTCCCGATTCTCTAGAGATACGGGACCTCATGAAGCGATCTTATAACGAGCCGAAATCATCAGCCAATAGTTCCCTAGGTTGGAGTCCTGGACAATTGGATCGGAAGAGAAAGGATTATTGTTCAACGATCGAGGGTAGAATGACGAGAAACATGAAGAGGAAACAGTGAAATAATGAGCTTCAATCCAAGGCACCCTAGAGCTGCGCGTGCTGTATGCCCTCAATCTCCTGTTCAGTCCTGGTGGCTGCGGCCGCAGTTCCCGGTATCGCAGTGCCGCCTCTCTGAACGAATCAGCTTTGAAAATGCCCTTCCCGTGGTGTAGAAAAGCATTTCATTAGTAAAAGTGATGGGTGTCTGGAGTGAAATGATCGATCAGGGATGAGTTGACGTAGTTCGGCCATACGTTCATCCGTGCGCGAACCATAGCTCTCCCGCCGCCATACAATCGATCGTGAGCTTCGCAAGCAGTCAGAACATCGTCACATACACCCAACATGCGCACTTCAATCCCTATCCTCGCCTCGCTGGCGTCTGTTACCTCTGCGGCCCGCTTTCTGCTGCAGATTCCCATCACAAACGTCGTGAACCCCTCCGCGCTGTCTTCTACGACTCACGCAACCCTCCAATCCAGCGGGCCCCCAGTCGATGCATACCTGACGCGGTCGAACACTTTCAACTTCAACAACATCAGTGCTGGAAGTTACCTTGCGACTGTTCACTGCAGAGACTTTGCTTTCGAGCCTCTGCGCATCGATGTCAGCATCGAGGAGCCTGTTGAGGGAAGCGGGGACAAGAAGGAAGTGATCCGGGCATGGCAAACATTTCTGGGCAACGAATGGGACAACAAGGGAGAAAACAGAGGAGAGGGCGGTAATGGTCTCGTCATCGAGGCCAGACCGCTCGGCCAGAAACAATTCTACCAGGAGCGCGCTGGATGTAAGCTTCCCTTTCACAAAACCAACCACGAGCCAATCACTGACATAACAGTCTCACCCCTATCTTTCCTCAAGAACCCCATGATTCTCATGGCCGTCTTCTCTGGCCTGCTCATGTTCGGCATGCCCAAGCTTATGGAGAACATGGACCCCGAGATGAAGGCCGAGATGGAGGAGATGCAGAAGAACGGCGTGATGGGCTCAGGCTCCACGCAGACAGCGCAGCAGATCCAGAACTTTGATCTCGCGTCGTGGATGGCTGGCAAGACAACAGACTCGAACAGCCGCGGTCAGAGCCCGGCGCCCGAGAAGCAGCCTTCGAAGAAGCGGTGAGGTGGACAGGTGTGGACACGAGTGCACATGAACGAAAGAGACGGCCGGGTTGTAAACGAGCTTAGCGAATTGTCAATAGAGATGTCGCCGGCCCTATGGGATCATAGAAAAACGGCTCAACACAAGTGCACATGCACTGCTATCCGCCTCTCTATATAAAGGCTGCAACTCAATTACTCTTTCACGAGAAATCCTGCAACAAGGATTCGCCCTCATGGCTTAGTGGTAAAGCGTATCACTAGTATTCACCGAATGCAATGATAAGATCGCTAGTTCGATTCTGGCTGAGGGCAACCTTTTTGCGCCTGCATTGCTTTCGCGCAGCGCGCTGGGGAAATTCGCATTACCGAATTGCTTTGGCAATTTTTGTACATCTCCTTTTTGCCCCACTCGCGTCTGCGCTACCGGTATGATAAGCGAGCGGCTTCTGGTCTGGTCTTTTGCGAAACAAGCCACAGCCGTGTCGAGCTTGCTGCACACCTCTCAGACATCTTGGACGGCTGGGGGTGATTTGTTGATCGGACCTGGGTTTGCTTCATGTTCAGTGGACGTGGAAGCCTGACAATGTCCTAGCTACCCCTTGTAGCACTGAAGACAACTTCATTGTCAACAAAGTCGACATGATCACAGCGATGACACGAAGAGCAGCACCTCGATTAAAAGCCGCAGGCTATCGGCACAAGAACAGTAGGTGACCCCCCAACAGCAACGACAACACCACGCTCTAAACAGCCCCGCTCCTCACTGCCTTCATCGCACTCGCCATAGCCGGCTGCACATGGCCTCGAATCGGCACCCTAACGTTACCATTCGCAAACAAAAAAACATACCGCACCATCACACTCGCTGGATCCGCAACGACGTGGATGTTCCCCAGAATCCTGCTGGCGGTGCCGACCACCTCGCACCCCAGCACCATGCGCATGTTACTCAGCCCGCTGTTCTTCCAGCTCAGACCCGCCGCGCTGTAGTAGAAGCTCGTCTCCGGGTCGTCGGAGAGGTAGATGCCCTTCCCGTGCGCGGCACCGGTGCGTTGCAGTGCAGTCCCCGAGCAAACGCGTAGCCCCTGAGCGAGAATGGCGGGCAGGCGGTCGATACGGGTGCCGTGGAACAAGACGGTGGTGTCTCCGTCCGAGTGCTTGATTCTGTGCGCGAAAGCATGCTCCAGCTTGGGGCTCGCGTTGGCGAGCACGAATTGGTGCGTTCCTGGCGGTAGGTTGGGGATCTTGAGAAGTCCTGTTGCGGTGGCGAGGAAGCCGCGGTGCTGCACGACGGCCCAGGAGATGAGCTTCTCGGCCTGCGGGTGGTAGGTTGCCAGGACTGCGGAGAGGTTGACGGCGTCGCGCATGACGCGCATAGACGGGAGGGCGTTGAGAATGAACTTGATGATCTCGGTACCGCGGATGGGGCAGTTTGGTAGGAGCTCGGGCATGTTGGCCACGGCCGCAGCATAGACGGAAGTGAGGGCCATATCGACGGCGAAGATGTCTGCTCGGATCTCGGGGACGCGAACGTGGAGAGGCAGGTTGTACCAGAGTTGAGCGCAGGCGTATGGATTGCTTGTGCAGGGAGTAGAGCGCCGAAGCTGGATGGGTTGTGCGTTCCTAGCACTGCACGACACACACAGCTGAGCTAGTTTGGGTAGCCACGTGTTGATGTGCTGGAAAATGTCCGCAATGCCTGTTGTTCCCCGACGTATCTCTGAGAAGATAACGCGGCTGAGTTGCCACGTAAGTGCTGTCTGCGCAGAAGTGCATATCTGCTTCGTGGGGTTTTCAGACTCCGCTGAGCAGACATATCTTGTATGAGCCAACGTTTCGGAATGCGGGTCTGTGTTGTAATGCAGGCAAAATGAAGGCAGTGATTCGTTGTTGTACTCAAGCGATAGCTGGAGCATGAGCGCATGAGCACCTTCTGGTATGCCCATGGCGGCACGCTGCAACTGCGTGAGAGCAGCGAGCGAGAAGGTCATCGCGACTTCGCTGTCACCGATTCTTTCCACCGAGTCCATGACTCCAGCTGGGAGCTTCATCATTTCCTCATCGAGCTCAGTCGTGTCAGGCACTCCAATCTGCTCGAGCAGTAGAGCGGTACCCTTTGGGTCTTTCGCTTTTAGTGCTTTCCTTAGAGCTGCGAGACAGGCTTCTTCCTGGATTATGTCATCTTCTATCTTCTGCCAGAAAGTTGCTGCCTTGATGAGTAGGGCCTTCGAAACATCGGAGTACATCGGTAAAATACCGAGTAAGCCAGCTATCGAGTGAATTGCGTCCTTGGTGCCCTTGGAGGCGTCATCGTCCTGAAGCCAGCCTGCTACCATAACATAAACGACCGCGGTAGGAACGTTGAATTTGTGCGCGGCCGGATCGATTGGCGTGTTCTTCCTGCTTATATTGATGGTGGCAATGTCTCCCGTCGTCGAGTGTGTCGGAATGGGTGATTTGCTTCGGTCCTGGGTACTCGCGATGAGCCCCTGAGGAAGACCCGGGATCAACAAAAACCCATGTTTCGCATCCCATATTCTCATGCAGGCATCCACGGTGTCCAAAGAAGCCCCAGAAAGCGCCACGATGCAGTCCAAGATATCACAGCCGTTTGTAGCTTTGGAAGATAGCAAACCGACGACCTTTTGTAAGAACGTCTCAATTGGCTTACCCTCCCCAGACCACAGCGTCTGCAATATACCCACAACAGTACTGATTCGTACACCGTCTCTGCTCAGCATGCATCTAACAGGCTCGCTCTGGTGTCCCAAAGCTGTTTCAAGTCGCGTGAGAGTATCGGTATAGGGAGCAATCTCCGCCCTACATCTCTGTAATTCGGACTGGAGAATGGACGGTACATCGTTCTCATCTGATGGAAGTGCCGGTCCGGAGGCGAATACAGAGTGCGCGTCTTCCAAGAAGGCGATCCATTCTGCTGCTTCCATCGTACTCAAGGCATGCTCCGCCAAATCTGCTTCTTCGAAAACACCATGTCTGCTTTTCCGGGTGAGCAGGTGATACGTAAGATCTCTCCAGCACAGAAGCTGTGCCTTAAAGTCTTGACCACTGGAGCAGCCAGCCAGGAGCCGGATGAGCTTGACGATCCGTTCCTTAGACGACTTGTCCGTGGCTTGCAATATGGCCCAAAGGGCGTGAAGGGGGAGACCGGGGCTCAGTTGCTCTTCGGTTGAAGCAATTCCATTGAGACATCTGATACGAAGATCTTCGTCGTCTGCAGTAATTCTTGCAACAAGAATGGCCAGCAACCGTCGATCCCGAGTAAGTTTCGATGCAGAATCATCCTCCCAGACGCTCAGGATCGCGTCGAAGGTACGTTGCGAGGTGTAGCTAGCTACTTGCTGGGAAAGGAGGCGGTGCAGGAAGAACTGCTCTACGACTTCTTCCAAAGAGCGTTCCATTGGCCGATCCTCGCCTGCGGGGAATGATGGCGCGGATACTCGCTCTTCAGGTCTTCCGAGGAGGCTGCCTTTGTCGGTCATTCTGTCCGTGGCGCTCGATTGGTAAGGCACGGATCTCTGAGCGCGTGCAGCAGAGTAGATATCGAAAGCCATTGATAGCTGTTCTTTCGATGGTAGTAATACACACATCTGTTCGATCACCTTCTCGCCAACAATCGGAATGTACTTCGAGGTCTTCAGGACAGAGCAGAACGTGTGGAACTCTAGTGCTAGCTCTGTCCACGGCTGGCCTTGTTCGATAAGCATACGAATGGCGGCCTGACACTCATAGATGCATTTATTGATGCCTTGGAAGAGGGCAGGCGTTGATAAGATCCTTCGAATGCCAGATGCACAATCTTGGTCAAATAAGTGAATGAGTGTCTGTAACTCTTGGACATGATCTCCTCCAAGGTCATATTTGGCGGTGTAAATGCACAGCACAGCGTCTGTGAAGTCGGAATCGAAGCCCACCTGTGCGCTGCCTGAAATGAACAGTGCAGCCTGGACAAGGTTCAAAGCTTCTTGCGTCATTGGGCGTGCGATAGTGAGCTCTGTGAAGAGTCTGAAAAGCTGCGGTCGATCTTTTGATGCTGCCGCAGTCCAAATCGATCCTAGTGTCGAGATGGCGCTCTCCAGTATCTCTCTCAATCCATCCTTTGTACGGCCAGGAACCTCGATGAGTAATGTGCCGAGTTTGACAAAGCCTCGATCCGAGCTGTACTGCTCAACTAAACCTTCTCGTAGTGTATGTTTGGTTCCACGGATGATATCAGGACCTTCTAGAGCTAGAAGATCCGACAACACCGCAGTACTGTTACCCTCGATAGAGCCTAGAACCCGCACGAGTCTGAGGTCTGGCCTCCAGTTTGCCCAGACTCGCCACACCGGGAACCGGGCATCGAGTATGTGTTCGGGGAAGAGAGAGCCGGGTGGTGTTGAGGCTGGAGTTGAACCCCCCAGTCCAGTCATCCAACACGAGGCCCCATAAGATGCGATCCAGTCATTCTTCAAACGTAAGCCTTCCAAGTGTGCCGCGTAGTCTGTCAGAGCCCGGCTGATCAAGTTCAAGAACTCGGGAACCATGTTCATGCTTGGCGTCGCGCATTCCCTTAGGACTCGGCTTATACCAACCAGCAATTTACCTGCGGCTCCTGGCCCGTGTTGTGCGAAGGGCAACAGATTTCGTGCCCATGTTGCTTCCAAATCCGTTACAGCGGCTGGGTTTCCATAATTCGCTGCGATCAGACATTGCAGCCATGTCTCAAGACCCCAGTAGCTCCCATGTGCAACGTTCAAATCTACATGGAGTATGGCCCTTAAGCTCGTTGCTGTGATGGCATGAGCTGTGGCAGCAACAGCGAAATCTCTTGTCTCGTGGCCATCGATGAGTATAGCCAAGCGGATGTCAGCGTCTGCCTGCGTGATCTTGCCCTTCTTCTTGATGTAGGCGTCGGTGGCCTGTCGAAGCAGGTGATATGGAAATTTCGAGTCCGAGGGGTGTAGTACGCCGGCGACAGAGTCAATCGATTGGTGCCAGTCTTTGCTATGTTTGGCCTTGTTGAAGAGCAGAGAGTGTCTTAAAGGCACCTTCCTTCTCGTTCTTAGGTCGTTGATTTGCATCGTGGTGGTTGCCATACCGGACAGCGTCAGGTGGGGGATCGTTATCTAAGAAGCATAGTCATAAAATCTTGTTGAAAATACTTGTATTCAAGGAGAGATGATTGTATACCTCTGCGGGTACTGCAGGGGCTGGTAGGAGGCCGACGAATGCCTCTTCGGGTAAGCCAAAGCGAGCCACCAGGCAGGTAGGCACGCATTGTCACAGCATGTACTTACCGTACCCCAGGTGAGCCTCGCTATTGTTTGACTCTACTGCGCACAAGGCTGAGCCGGGGAGGCTCATCCAGTCGTGCCTTGACCGACAGCCAAAAGCGGCTAGAGCCTAGATGTACGGCGATCACGAGCCTTAGTAGACAGCGGTAAGCGACGAGGCTATGCATGGTGCACTTGTGTAAAGACATGATGCTTTCGAAGATGGACATCTCTAGGAACAGGCGCAGGAAAATATGGATGACAAAGATTGTGTACTGTGGTGCCTTGCGCTGTAGCTACCTTTGTGTTGTCGTGCTATCTGTCGAAGCCATCTGCTCGAGCTGCAGTCGCCGAGCAACGACCGAGCGGTTGTTCCTTCAAGTACATAAAGATTATACCCGCATGTACTTGCTGGCACCTCGACCCCTGCTTGACTGGGCACCCAGTTGGATTGCCGTCGGTTAGCACGAATATACCCATACCCTCATATGACACGGCAACCAGCCGCATCGGGTGCGACACCTTTCTGCAGCCGTAAATACGAAGCAGCCTGCCTTATGAAATCGCCCGTTTTGTGGAAGCATACTCGATTGCCTTTAGCATCGCGCACTGCCTCACCAATGCTGGAGTCGTAGGCCTGGCCAGTGTGGCTGTCCTTCGCAGGACACTTGAGGCGCTCGATCGCGTTCTGTTCCAAATCGGGCACTGCCTCAGTGTTAATATGTTACTGTGACTGGTGCGGCAGAAGTTGTACGTACGGGTTGCGACATATGCCAGGAATTCGTCCACGGCGTGGCGACTTGGGAGAGTTTCGGCAGACTGGTCCTCAAGCAGGATGCTTGATAATTTCTCCATGCGCGTGATGGTTTCAGGACGGACGCCTTTGGACATGTCCTTCTGCTCTACTGCCAGGGCGGCGAGACGCTTGGCCAGTGGATGCATGTAGATGCCCTTCACGTCTCTTGGAGTGAACATGTGCTTGCTTAGCGGATTGCGCAACACTCCACTGCCAGCCTCGATGGCAGCTACCAGTTCTTCCATATCCCACGCGTAGTTGTCCTCTGTCGCGTAGAATTTCGAGCGCGGAATGTCTTTGACCTCGTCGCCGTACATCGTCTCCGTGTTGATGTAATTGCGGCCGAAGTGCTCATGGTCCATGTGCATGAGAGCAAATTCGCAGTAAATCTTGAGATCGTCTGGTAAGATCACCTCCAACGCCGCTTTTCGCTTCACGATTGCGTCGCGGAGCTTGTCGGTATTCGTATCTGTGGTCTGACCGAGTAACCCTTTGTGCCATCCGACCGCCTCCTCCATGTCGGCGACAGCAATAACCAGCGCATGCTCTGGGGTTTCCCGCATAGCATGTGCTGTGGTGCGTGGAGTGCACAGCTGCACTGATGTGTTCGGCTGTCCATCCACAATACGCTGTACTTTAGCTGTGTTCCGGGAAGGCAGGATGTTTGCTTTCTTCTGCAAGGCCTGCAAGTGCAGCAGATCAGTGAGTATAGAGCCCACTCTGATTCGCAAATTCTGGTAGCCTGTGACAAGGTCCTGCCGCGCTGTGTCCAGGTCATCGCCGATCTGGGGACCGGAGACGTCTGGCTTTTTCTCTGTTGACTTTGCTATCGCGGGTTTCTTCTTGTACCGACCGTTTTTGACGTCCCAGACTAGTCCATCGTCAGTCGGCTGCCCCTTGGAGTTCTTTGGCGCGGGCGGCAGTGTCGTAGTATCCGGTGCAGGTGGCTCAGGCTTCTTCTCCAGCACGCTCAGAAACCCGATAACGTCGCTGTCCCCGGGTGCCAGCGTGCGGAGCTCCTTTGTGTTGTCGAGAGCAGCCTCAACCCATCCGATGCAGATGTAATGCTCAACGAGCAGCTTCCTAGCAGCAATTGCTGGCGGTCGTCGAGACATCTCCTCCATCAATTCTCCGATCAGCGCCATGTCCGGGTTTCCAGATCCCATGTTGCCAGAGGTCGTAGCTGTTGTGTATTGAAGAAGTTGCGCTCAGCCACGCGTAAAATGTGTGTTGATGTCTCTTGGGTGAAGAGCGTGTGCACAGCTTGACGAGAAGGCCAAGGTGCGTAATCGACTACCGCAAGGAGATCCTGCATGCGACCAGACCAAGTGAAAGCGAACCAAGGTGCTGTCAACACGCAGACACCCCAGCTCAGACCCGTGTCTGCACAGAAGCAGGCAGTGCTCGGCCCCCACGTTCGATCAGTTTGCATCGAAGTGATCATCGCGCAGCCTGCAGTATTTGGAGGCTCAGCGCCTGATGCGCCTAACACACCTGAGGTGTACATTTGGTGACCGGAGAAGGGATGGCAGTTCAAGGAAGGCTGAGCCGGCAGTCGACGAGGCGGAGCGTGCCAAAGCTCGGCTCTGATAGGCTAGTCTCATAACATCACCACTTCATCTGCATCGACTATTTAAACCGATCAGTATTCACCTAAATTATCAGGGGACATTGGCCGCGAGAGCCGCAGTGCGGCATGCGATGCGATGGAATCCAAATGCAATTACCACGCTATGTACCTGACACGGCAGATGCCAGACCCGCTACACGCCCTGCACCTTCCTGTAACTCGGCGGCTTGAGCGTCCTGCCCACGATCTTGACGGCGTAAGGCGGCAGCAGCGAGATGGCCGCGATGACTGCGGCCTTCCACCAGAAGCCCAGGCTCGCGACGTACCCCAGATCATAGTACCCCGTCGCCGCATCCGTCCCGACCCCACTCACGCCCAAGAAGGGAATGGATCCAAAGTAAATGCCACCTGTGCCGATGATGGAGGCGATCATTATCCAATGCCACGTCGTGACCTCCATAGCCACCATGACGAGTTCGTTGAGGACGAGGACGGAAAAGCTGACGCTGACCATGCGCGCGAAGATGGCTGTGTTGTCTGGGCCGACGCCGACGAGGAGTTGGCTGAGACCCTGGATCATGGAGCCTTGGTAGATGGACACAGCGACCCAGATGAAGAAGCTCTTGTAGCTCAGACTGCGGCCCGTTTTGAGCTCCGCGTACAATTCAGGGTACAAGTTCGCAACGCTCTCATCCACGTCGCGGTCGAGTACGAGCGAGAAGACGGGTGCCATGGTGTAGATGGTGCTGTACCCGACGAGCAGCCAGTCTTTGTAGAGCGCATTGGGCTCGAAGGCCGTGGCGATGGAGTATACGGTCTGGCAGATGCTGATGATGAGACCGCGGTGGATGACGAATTGCGATAGTTTAGCGGACCGCTTGTATGAGTTTCGACCGTGCCAGACGAGTAGCTTGACGAGGTAACAGAACTGCTCGATACTGAAGTCTGCGGCCAGAGAAGCTTGCCGACCTTCTTTGCCGACGATGCCGACGCCCACGTCCGCGGCTTGAATCATAGAGACGTCGTTGCCGCCATCGCCGATGCAGCAGACTCGTTTCTTGGTGTACGAACGGATGAGGCGCGCGACGTCGGCTTTTTGGGTGGGCGAGCAGCGGCAGGCGACGACTGTGGGGAGCTGTACAGCAATGGAGATGAACTCGCGTTGGTAGTGGGTGAGCATGAGAGCGAGAGATTCGCCGTCGATGAGCAGGCAGGCGTCAGTCTTGCCACGAAGGAAGTCGAGAGAGGAGTTGGCGAGCTCTTTGCGCTTGACTGCAGGTGTCATTAGTAGTGTCCACTCTTGGGTGACTGGAGAAGAGACTTACGCTTTTGGATAGTGTGAATGTACTGCCCTCGAGCGACAAGCTTAGAGCTCACGGCTACGCAGCGGGCCGTTTCGACTTTATCGCCGGTCAGCATCCAGATCTTGATGCCGGCATTGCGGAGAAGCTCGAGAGATGGTTTAACGTCCTTCTGCAGCTTGTCCTCGACACCAGTGACGCCAAGAAGTTCAAGGTCGCGCTCGAGGTAATCGCTCACCACCTCTGCTACACCGGCATCGCGATTCTGCAGGGCTAGTGAAGCCTGCGCGAGCTTGGTGGAGAAGTCTTGGTAGGTCTGAGCTGACAGCTTCTTGCGACCGACAACGAGAGTTCGAAGTCCCTCTCGGGCCATGTTGGCAGTCTCCTCATCAAGCCAGTCATTAGCAGCGACGATGGAGGTCATCACAGTGTCGGCGCCCTTTTGATAGAACCAAATCTCGCCATCCTCGTCTGAGGGCGAATCGACTGGGCCGTGGTAGAACTTTACCACGATACCCATTCTCTTGCCCTCAGACGTGAACGGAAAGGTGTTGAGGATGCGGACTCGTACGACAGTGTTGCCACTGTTGACTGACGCAAGAGTCATCGACTCTCGATCGCGTTGAAGAAGCTTTAGACCGACAGCTTCGGTCCATCGAACGATGGCGATCTCGTCTGGAGACGAGGCCTGATACGTAGTTACCATCTCGCCGTTCTCTTCTTCAGTAGTCGGCGTGACATTATGACAGAGTGCGAGAGCTAGCACGACATCGCGAACTCGAGATCCTATCTCTCGACGAGTGCGGGTAGCTGACGTAAGCGGTACAGTGTAGGCCGACGAGGGCGTGACGAGAGAAGGCTCTTCGCCGGCTGGCGGTGTGAAGCATTGTCGGACATACGAGGAGACTTCGTCCATGGCTTCGTTTGCATAAGACACTGTGCCAACGTGGATCTTCTTCATGGCCATTTCTGAATGCTGTTAGCGTGCTCTACAGGAAAGCTGTTTCCGGACGTACCATTCTGGGTCAGAGTACCAGTCTTGTCACTCAACAAGTACTCAATTCGTCCCAGGTCTTCAGGAATCGTGCTCGTCCTGACGACGGTTCCTTTGATGCTTTCATCATGCTCGATAAACCATGCGTACACCGACTTGCCCATGTCCAGATTGACACGTAGACCTACGGGGACGATGGTCGAGAAGAGAATCAGAAAACGCATCATATTGACGTACCACTCGCGGCCGTCAATCTTCTTGAAGCCAGCCAGTGCCACCAGGATGAAAGATAGCGAAAGCGTGAAGACGCACAGCCACTTGGTAAGCGCGTTGATCTCGAGTTCCAGCAGGCCCGTCTTCGAACGCGAAGGCGACGTTGACAAGGCCTGCCGTGTCTGCGGCCCGGTGTAGACTACCACAGCGAGTAGACTGCAGCTCGAGGCTACGACTGTGTTTGCCCAGATTGTGTTATCGATACTGAGTGGTGCAGATTGGACCTCCTCGCTCGATGACTGTTGGTCATCATGCGGGTCGTACTGTCTTTGGCGTTTAGGTGGCAACTCGACTGTGCCGTAGAACTCGTTCACCTTCTTGTCTGGTTTGCCTGCAACGATGCGAAGACGAGTGTATTCTCCAACATGCAGGTTTTGGGTCAAGGGTGATGACAAACGCAGCTTCCAGTCAGTCTCACCGTCGAGCTGGTCGGTACGAATGAAGGCCTCGCCTGAAGGGCCAGTAGAAGCAGCGCTTTCCACTTTGGCCGTCTCGCCCTGATCCAGATGTCCGTTTCCTTCATCGATCAGCGTGGCTGGCGCACCACTCGGAGCCGAGTCGGCTGTCGAGGGTGCGTTGTCGGCCGCAAGACTTTTCAGCACGATCATGTCTGCAGGCACCCTCTGGTCCTTTCCGAGCTTCACTACGTCACCAACTTTGAGGTTCTTAGACGGCTTGACGACTTGGAAATATGTGCATGTAGCCAGTCCTTTCGTGGACAGCTGTTGCTCCTCATCTTCGAGTTCGCCCAGTCGGCCATTCTCCCTCTTATTCTTTCTCAGCTTCTTCTTCTGCCGCGAGGTCTGTCCAGGCGCAACTCCATTGCCCACGCTGTTCTCCTCGAACTTCAAGACGGTGTAGCCTTCAGAGTTTGCTTCTGCGTCCCGCCGTCGTCGAGCGATGTCGTCCAATGCCTCCTTCCCTAGTGTGATTGAGATGACGAAGGCGAGCGGCGCGATGTAAGTCGAAAGGTAGCCAAGCCGAAGCGCCGGGATGATTTGCGACATGGCTACAAGCAAGAAATACATGTTGATGAAAAAAGAAAACTCGTTGTACAGGGTTCGCGGCAGAAAGCTCCAGGGGGTATATTTTGCGTTCGAAACGGCATTTGCAGGAAATCGTGATGTCTGAGTTGCGCCCACGGAAATGGTGCGCTGTGTTGTGGGGTTGTGCTCCTCTTCAGCGTTGTTGTCGTCGCCGCCGCCGCCGCCTCCAAGCTGTATGGCTCCGTCGTCTTGGTTCGAGAGGAAGCCTGGCAAACGCAGGCCAGCGCCCAGCCTGGACAATGCGCTCGGCCTGCGGGGTGCAGGTCGGCGAGGGTTGGTGCTGGCAGGCAGCAGCGGCGAGTCGTCGTCGCCAGACTGTCCATAGCTGCCGGCCGAGTTGCGGTTCTCCCTCTCGTCGTCGTCTATCAGGCCTCGCAGGTCTTCGTCCTCCGGCTCTTCCTTCCTCCTGTTCCCCCGCAATCTCCCTACTCGCAGGTTTCTGAGCGGTATTCGTGCGCCCAGTTCATGGTACGGCCTCGACTGCTCCTTCGACTGGCGACGTGGCGGGGAGGCTGACGAGCGTTGGCGTGCTGCGAGCGGGTCGAGCTCTTCGAGGTCGAGGTCGAGGTCCGAGTCCTCGTCTGGGGCGTTCGGCTGGTGATATTCATGGGGAGCAGACATGGCTCATAGGGGTCCGGTAGGGGGGTCGGCGTGTTTGGAAGGAGCGCAGACTATATGCGCCCCATGTGTGACTGTGGCGGACTGTCGCGGGGCTCTTCGTCGTGGTTGAGAGTGCTTTCGGGGGTCCGCGGCCAGTCCGGGGGTGCTGATGTCAAGTTGTATGGGGCTGCGACGTGGCGCGTGGCGCAGGGCAAGGCGCGAGTCGCGGAGAGGCCAGGGTCTCTCGGAGCCGACGTCGAGGGATGCCAGCCAGCTGTCCCTTCGCGACGACGGCTACAGTGACACATTCGACGCATTGCACGCCATGCACCACGCCCTCGCGGCCCATTGTTGATCCGCGCGCTCCCTGGTGCCTGCCGACGGACGCTCTGATTGTGCGCGTAGCATAGTGCCCGCCGTTTCCGCTTCTCTGTAGAGGTACGTCTGGTGCTGTCCTCTAGTTACCATTCGCGCCATGTGCCGCTCACCGGGCTGACCCGCGCAGTACTTGCATATACCCTTTTTACGCCGTATCATAATCTTGCATAATGGACCACGACGACGCTGCCGACTTGTCCTACGCGTCATGGAACCCCGCCCTGCGACCGCAGCAGCTTCCAGTGCAGCAGTCTCCCGTGCAGAAGCCTCCTGTGCAGCAGCCATCCTCACAGCAGCCATCTTCACAGCAGCCACCTTCACAGCAGCCACCTCCACAGCACATCCCGCGGCAGTCCGAGTCCGAAGAGGACGAATCTGAAGAAGAGTCCGAAGAGGACGAGGACGAATCTGGAGACGAATCTGAAGACGAACCAGAGCCGCAGGCAGCTCCAGCACCGGCACCTGCCGCCCCAGTGCCTGTCCCCTCTGCTGTGCCCACTGCAGCTGCGCCCACGCCCACGCCCACCTCTGCGCCCGTCCCTGCGCCCGCCTCCCCCAGCGAGGACACATCTGAAGAGGAGGACGAAGAGGAGGACGAAGATGAGGACGACGAGGAGCAAGACGAGCAGTCGCCACCGGCGACCGCCACCCAGAGCACCGTTCTTCCACCGCAGCCGCTGACCCCGAAGCAGGCCGATGCGCCCGCTGATGCTCTACGCCGTCTCCACATTGCTGGACAGACGCCAACGCATGTCGGGCGGGGTCCCGCTGAGCCCTCCGAGTCTGAAGAGGAGAGCTCGTCAGAGGAGGAAGAGAGCGAGGACGAGGTGCCACCTCAGCAACGGCTCGCCGAGAACTACGAGCACCAGGGCGAGACGACAATCCTGGAAGACGCCGTCGTCGAGAGCGCCAGCGTGCCTCTGGTCCAAGACACCGAAGCTGCAGCCGACGACTGGGGTGCTTCTGGCGACGAAGCATTCGACCTCGGTGCTACTCAGCTGCAGCCGCCTCTAGAGACCCCCCTCGCCGAAGCAGGAGGAACAACGGTTGGCGACAGCGTGATTGGCAACACATCCGTCGGCGGCAATGCTGGAGATGGCATCGATTGGGGCAACGCAGACGCTCAGGACGACTTCTTCGCAGGCGCTGCATCTCAGACGATCGAGCCTGCACAGCCAGAGGCCGGAACCCCTGGAGCTCACGTGGTACAACAATCGGAATCTGCACCAGCTGCCAAAGACGGTTGGGATCTTGACCTCGATGATCTTGATTTGGACGACGAATTCCTGCCCGATACCGAGGACGCTCTCGCACTCGAGCTCGATGACGATCTCCTGGAAGACGAGCCTGAAGTACCAGCCGAGCGGCCCCCAACAACAGCGAGATCTGTATCCAGCACCGTCAACAGATATGCACCAGCACAGATTGCGCAGGCCACGGCTGCACCAGCATCGCCCGCAAACCCTTATGCGCCTGCGGGCGTGCAATTCACAAACATTGCGCCCGCCGCCCAGGCACCCGCTGCCTCCCCGGGGACAATGTACAATGGCTTTGGTCAGCCCATCTCACACCAGCAGCCGGCTCGTCCTGCCATGGCAAGCTCAGGACAGAGCTTTGCCGACAAGTCCAAGGGAGGATATGCATCGCCGTACGACCTGCCCGACGACATTGTCACCACTCGACGCCGAGCCGCGCCTCGAGCCACAGTTCCAGCCGCGCAGCCTACTGCACCTCCGCCGCCTCGAAGTAGTAGTGTCGTCTCGAACTCTGGGCCTCCACGGCCTTCGCTTCCACCTTCCAGTGCGACTGTTGCAAGCATGTCACCGCCCTCTTCAAGTCAATCGACCCAATCGATGACTGGACTGCCAGCGGCGGCACCTCCTAAGCCTGCAGTCCCCGCCAGGGCCCAGACAGCTGACTTCTTTGCCGAGCTACCTGTGACTACAAAACCCAAGAAGCCCTCAGGACGCTACACACCACAACCGCAAGACCAGACTAGCCCACAGATTCCTCAAGGGCCACCACAAATGCACCATGGACCTCCTCAGACCCCCCAAGCGCCTCCCCATATTCCTCATGGGCATCCCCACGCTGCACAAGGGCCACTTCAGTTCTCTCCCAAGGAGCGAGCGCCACCATGGTCTGGGCTGCGCAATGAAGTTCTTCCCGATTCAAGCAGTGCCCCCGGTTCAGCTCCGTTCAGACAGCCTGAACAGCTGCCCATGTTCCCGGCGCAGCCTTCGGTGCTCGCAAGAACAAACAGCTTACCTGTCCCACAAGCGTCGCCTACGCAGCCATCGAGATACTCTCCAGCTCCTCCATCAGTAGCACCAGCGAATGCTCGATACTCGCCCGCTCCTCCCTCTGCACCTTCTACCACTTCAAGATACTCGCCTGCTCCGCCGAACGCGCAAGTCGCGGCCCACGCTCGTTATGGGTCCGAACCTCCTGTGGGCCCTCCTCGACCGCTCTCTCAGGGCCCATACGCACCTCGCACCTCGAGCCCACTTGCGTACGCTGCTCCTCGCCAACACGAGCAGTCTCTGCAAGGAGAGCCATCATCTGAGCCTTCTCACGGTCACCATGTTTCGCATTCAATGGAAAATGCCCACCGTGCGCAGTTCAAGAGCCCGCTGGAAGATGTCAGTGAAGTCGAAGAAAGGGCAGCAGCTCCGGCTTCCCAGCTACCCGTAGCTGCTAGATCCAGCACACCCCCACTACGAAGCTACCCGCCATCTAATGTTGGTTCACCTAGGAAGACCGGAAACTACACACCGCAATATCAGCCATCGCCTCCTCGATCGGACACCCATTCGCCCACGGCCACCATGAAGCCTCCCACTCGGAGCTTGACTGCGACGTCCGATTACCAAGCCTCTGCTTACGGGGTGATATCACCACCTGCTGCTGCTCCTGCATACAACAAGCCAACCGCCAAGAAGCCGACCAACAGTATCCCTCATCGGAGGCAAACGTCACTGAGCCTGGAGTATGAAAACATACCTCCCGCAGATGAACGCGCTCAGGATCCTCTACAGCAGTGGAAAGGTGCGCCCATCTTCACCTGGGGTCTTGGAGGTACTGTGATTACGACTTTTCCGAAAGAGATTCCTCGTTACGGTGGTGGAAATTCGGCGCCAATGGTCAAGCGCAGTCCTGGCGAAGTCAAGATACAGAGCGTCAAAGAGTTACTGCCTGAATCAGAGGATCTCACGAAGTTTCCTGGACCGCTCAAGTCGAAGGGAAAGAAGAAGGATGTTTCAGCTTGGCTTGGGCACAAACTTGAAGCCTTGGAAACCCAACGAAAGGAGCCTGGATTTGAGCACTCGTTGAGTGAAGACGAACAGAAGCGCTTCGAAGACAAGCACCTGCTTTGGAAGGTGCTGCAGATGCTGGTAGACAACGATGGGCGTCTGGAGGGTGATGCTGCTGAGGCTGCTGTGAGGAAAGCCCTGGCTGCCGAGGAACATGACGCAGCCGACACTGAAGGCTCTTTCTCGACAACAGCAGATATCGTCGGTCGTACCAGGACCAACACCTTGCAGGCAGAGCCTGTCGACCCTCGGGCAATTGAGGATCTCCAGAAGCTGCTCACCAAGGGTGACCGCGAGAAGGCAGTCTGGCACGCGGTCGATCAGCGAATGTGGGGCCACGCCATGCTCCTGTCATCCACACTGAAGAAAGACACCTGGAAGCAAGTCGTCCAGGAATTCGTTCGCAAAGAGGTCAAGAAGGTCGGCGGCAACAATCAAGCTTTAGCGGTGTTGTACGAGGTATTCGCTGGCAACCATGAAGACTGCATCGACGAGCTCGTACCGGCGTCGGCACGTGCTGGCTTCCAGATGGTCAGCACCGATGGCGCTGGCGCGCTGCAAAACGCCCTACAAGGCCTGGACAAGTGGCGTGAGACTGTAGCCTTGATCTTGAACAACCGCAGTGACGGTGATGCTGCGGCTCTGCTGTCTCTTGGTCGACTTTTGGCGCAATACAACCGCATCGAAGCTGCACACGTCTGCTTCATCTTTGCGCGTACTGTGGCACTAGTCAACGGGCCAGATGATCCGCAGGCCGACCTCGTCCTCATCGGCGCAGACCACAAGCAGAACACCCTCGAGCTTGGTGTTGAGATGGAACCAATCCTGTTGACGGAAGTGTACGAGTTCGCTCTGTCACTCTCAGCACCCACATCTTCGTTTGTGTTGCCGCATCTGCAGTCGTATAAGCTCGCCCATGCCTACCGTTTGGCCGAGTACGGGTACAGGAGTGAGTCGCAGGCCTACTGCGATGCTATCGCTGCAAGCATGAAGGCGACTCCCAAGTTGTCTCCTTACTACAATGCAAGCTTCCTCGGCAGCCTCGACGAGCTCAGCCGACGTCTTTCACAGTCGCCCAAGGATGGTTCATCGTCTTGGATCTCCAAGCCAAGCATGGACAAAGTCGGCAGCTCGCTGCTATCAAAGTTCAACAGCTTCATTGCTGGTGATGACGACGAATCTTCCGGGAACCCTTCTGCTGGTGCAGAAGTCGGTCCCTTTGCTAAGATCGCCGGTAACAGCCCAAGCATCACGCCTTCGCAATCAAGTGCAGACTTATATGGAGCTTACGCTGGCTACGCGGCGCCTGCTCCCCAGCCCTCGGCGCCGTCGAACTCACGCTACGCTCCGTCGAACCCCTCAAGCGCGTACGCGCCACGGGTCTCTTCTGAGCAACAGCGCTCACGTTACGAGCCTGAGGGGCGGCCATCTATGGACTCAGTTCGTTCCGCCTCAGATACTTATATACCTGCGTCGCAGCCCTCAAGTCCATACACTCCTGGCCAGGCAATGCTGAGCCCAGCAAGTCAGCGTTTGCAGGGCAAAACCCAGTCGTACTCGCCTCTCCGCCCAGAGCCGAGCGCTGCTCTGTCTTACGGCAGTCCGTACATGCCAACGCCTCCGACCGAGGAATCTGCTTTTCCCCCAGCATTTGGTGGGCATCAACCTCCGCAGGGCAGCTTTGACGACCCTGTCTCTGATTTAGCGAACGATGGGCAGCAGTCTACCGGCTACCAGCCATCATCAGGATATGAGCCTCCTACCAGCTCGTACGAGCCACCTTCATACACTCCATATGAGCCTGAGGCTGATGAGGACGATGAGAAAGAGGCGCAGCCCAAGAAGAAATCTTTCATGGACGACGATGACGATGACCTTGCTGCTCGCGCCTCAGCTCTCAAGATTAGCAGCGGAAAGACGAGTGGCAAGTCGGAAGCGGATCGTGCAACAGACGATGCTTTCCGCAAGGCCGCCGAAGAAGACGCTAAGCGCGACAAGGACGCTGCAGCTCAGAAGAAGGGTTGGTTCGGCGGCTGGTTCAAGAAGGATCCCAATCTGGCGCAACAGGGTCCAGGACCGATCAAGGCTAAGCTCGGAGAGGAGAACAGCTTCGTTTACGACCCTGAGCTCAAGAAGTGGATTAACAAGAAGGCGGGCGCCACAGAGACAAGCAAACCCACCGCTACACCCCCTCCGCCTCGCGGCGGACCACCAGCAGTTCCCAGGAGTGCATCAGGCGGCACACCGCCAATTGGACCACCTTCGATGGGTCTGCGACCTCCGACATCAATGCCACCCCGGAGCTCGTCGATGCCGCCCCCGATGGGCATACCATCTCGAGCAAGCACGCCCGGTGTCCCATCAGACAACGAAGGCGCAGCGAAGCCTCCTGCACTCGGACGACCGCCGCTTGCATCTGGACCACCTTCGCGACCGGGCACTAGCATGAGCCACGCCAGCAGCATCGATGACTTGCTCGGTGCTGCGGCGCCCAGGAAGGGACCTGCAGCGAAGAAGAAGAAGGCTGGACGTTACATCGATGTCATGGCTCAGGGCAATTGATAAGGAGACGAGACGTGCATACATTTGGCGTTTGGATTGCATGGGTTGCGTAGACTTGCTGTTGAGTGGTACGACTGGCATTCTATCTTATGCTGAGACGACTGTAAGAAATGTGCCATGAGCTCATGTAGAAGGCTGTAATATCATTTTCCATCTTTGAACAAAATATGGGCCTCGACTCGTCCAGTGCTCTCATGATTCAACGACGAGGCGAGTTCCTTTTAGCGAGGCGTGTCGTGGCATGTGCATGTTGAGGCTCTCAGACCCATGCTCGCCGTCCGAGCGGGCAGCAATAAGCGGCGCTAGCCCGTTGCCGTGACGCAGCTCACACGTGCCAGCCCGATTGGCCAAGCATCATCACAACGCTCCTCAAGGCTCGCGCAGACAATCTTCCGCGCGAGACGACTTCCCGCGCTGCCCGCGGACGCAATTGCTGCGCGACATTCCCTCCGCACGCGCCGAACCCCACCCATTGGCAGCATTCGCAGTACTGCTAGCAGCGCGCGACGATGAAGTTCGGCACCACCCTCCGCAAGAGCGTGTACCCGCCGTGGAAGGCGCAGTACATCGACTACGACAGGCTCAAGAAGCTGCTCAAGGACAGCGAGGACGACGACAGCTGGACCGCCGAGGACGAGAGTGCGTTTGTCGACGAGCTCGCTAACGTGCAGCTCGAGAGGGTGCACGGCTTCATCCTCGATGTCTCGCAGAAGCTGCGCGATCGCACTTCGGCCTGCGAGAGAAGGCTGGAGCCGTTGGCTGTTGGGTCGAAGGTGGATGGTGAGGAGGTGGAGGATGGCCAGGAGGACGGCACCAAGGACGGCACCAAGGACGGCACCAAGGACGGCGACAAGGACGGCGACAAGAAGCAGCCCGAGCTCAGCCAGGCAGAGCGCGAGAAGTTGCTGAAGGACGTCCTGGCCGAGCTGGACAAGGTCACCAAGGAGGTCAAAGAGCTGGAGGGCTTCAGCCGCATCAACTTCACCGCCATCATCAAGGCTACCAAGAAGCACGACAAGCTGCGCGGCAAGTCGTACAAGCTGCGGCCCTTCATCGACGCCCGCCTCGCCCGGCACCCGCTGCAGACCGAGGATGCCTCACCGCTGCTGTACCGCCTGTCGGCGCTGTACTCGTTTGTCCGCCAGAGCCTCGAGGGCAAGAGCAAGGAGGCTCTGTCCTTCTCCGAGGACAGCATCGCCGGCAAGGGCTTTACTTCCCACAAATGTAGGCACCCCCCCTGCCTCCTGCTGCCTGCGTGCTAACAAGACAGTCTGGGTGCACATGGACAACCTCTTCGAAGTCAAGACCGTCATCCTCCGCCGCCTGCCCGTCCTCGTCTACAACCCCCAGTCCGCCAAGATCGCTGAGGGCACGCAGCGCGACCCCACAATCACCTCCGTCTACTTTGACAACCCCAACTTCTCGCTGTACTCGGACAAGGTCAACGACAAGGAGAATGCCTCCTCGCTCCGTCTGCGCTGGTACGGCCAGCTCAACGAGAAGCCCGAGATCATGTTCGAGAAGAAGGTCATCAACGAGGGCAATAGCAGCGAGGAGGTCCGCTTCCCCATCAAGGCCAAGTACATACAGCCTTTCCTCGAGGGCAAGTACCACATGGAGAAGAGCATCGAGAAGCTCATGTACAGGCCCAACAAGGACCAGAAGAAGATTGATGACTTGAAGCAGGCGGTGGAAGACATCCAAGGCTTCATCCAGGAGAAGGACCTCCAGCCTGTTCTGCGTGCCAACTACACACGCACTGCATTCCAGATCCCGGGCAACGACAGCGTCCGCATCTCGCTCGACACCAACCTGGCGCTCATTCGCGAGGATGCCTTGGACATGGACAGGCCGTGCCGTGAGCCCGATGACTGGCACAGGCGTGATATCGACAATGCCAACATGGAGTTCCCGTTCAAGAACCTCAAGAAGGGCGAGCTTCACAAGTTTCCCTTTGCCCTGCTCGAGATCAAGGTCAAGGGCCTGAAGAAGTACGAGTGGGTCGAGGACCTCATCCACTCCCATCTCGTCCAGGAAGCACCCCGTTTCTCCAAGTTCGTTCACGGTGTCGCAAAGCTCTTCGAAGACAACGTCAACACCTTCCCCTTCTGGCTCAGCCAAGTCGAGGACGATATCCGCAAAGAGCCGGAGCAGGCCTTTGACGACGAGCAGGAGCGCAAGCGCAAAGCTGCCGAGGACGAGGTCGCCGTCGGTTCCCTCTTCGGCATAGCAGCGAGCCCCTCATTCCGTCGCAGTATCACATCACCCGTCGGCTCGCCAGCTGCAGCCCGCTCCGCCCCCAAGAGAGGATCCGCCGCCCAAGTCGCGCCCAGCACCGTCGCGCACTCGATGCCCGTCACCCGCCTCCCCGAATCACGCCTGGAATCGCACCAAGAAGAATCCCGCGCCAACGAAGAGCCCGACAGCGACGAAGACGGCGTCGCGAAAATCTCGCCCTACGCAAGCGGCCGGACCAACGGCCTCGCCAAACTCTTCCCCTCGTTCTCCACCTCCAAGTACGCCAAGAAACAGCGCAGAGTCAAGCTACCCCCGGGCATCTCGGCCCCGGGCGTCTGGATCAAGGACCAGGGCCCCGTCCGCGTCGAGGCCAAGGTCTGGCTCGCGAACCAGCGCACCTTTATCAAGTGGCAGCACGTCTCGGTCCTGCTCGCCTCGCTCTCGCTCGGTCTGTACAACGCCGCCGGCGAGGGCAACGACATTGCGCGCGCCCTGGCCGTCGTGTACACGAGCATTGCCGTCTTCGCGCTCGCGTGGGGGTACACGATGTACTGGTACAGAAGCAAGCTGATCCGCGAGAGGAGCGGGAAGGACTTCGATGCCCTCACCGGCCCGCTCGTCGTCGCTGTTGGCCTGGCCGTTGCGCTATGTCTGAATTTCGGGTTCAAGTATCAGGCACTTCGGCATGCAAAGGAGGCGGCGCGGCACGGGCATGGTAATGCGTCGCTTGTGGGGGAGAACATGGAGCTCAAGCTCTGAGCGGAGGCGCGGCTGGGTGCGTTGTTCTGCTTCGTTGCGAGCGTTGCGAGCGCTGTCTGGCGGATGTGGTGGACGGCGCTGTGCGTGTTGAGGGTTCGGGGGTTGTTGTGTTGTTACACTGTCTTGTCACCTCTATTACTACCGTGTTCTGCGGCCCCAGATTAATCGTCTGTATGAAGTTTATCGACCGTTCTTTTGTGCCTCGCTCGTGCGCACGTCGCTGCGGACTTGAGACAATATGCGACAATGCTTGCTCAATGCTGCGAAGACCGTCGCCGCCACTATGTGTACCCGTGGCTTCGCTGATTGCGCTTCAGTGTCCATAGGTATCACTGTTTGCACCTTGTTCTCGGTCTCGTGTGTTGGAATTCGGTCGTACATCGTGGCCGACATCTACGAGTGGAAACCATCAAGGACGAGATGCGAACGAGCGTGAACCAGGGCAGGCAGAATGGGACGAGCAGACGACTCTACAACATTGCGATTGCCAATAACACTTGATTACACATTATGCTTCGGCATGCTCGATTACACATTATGCTACGGGCGCGAATGCGCATCTAGTATCTACTACACCTCCAGATTCCCATGCCTGCTCACAATCTTCTCGAACACCTCATCCAGCGTCGCCTTGCCCACGCTGTAGAACTCGACGCCCAAGTGCTCCTTCGCTGCCTCCAGCGTCCGGATCAGGCTCGCCGTATTGTTGCCCTCGACGGGGACTTCGAAACGCACCTGTCCACCCTGCGTCTCGCGACTGATGCTCGCCGAGGGGAACGTGTCCATGACCCACTCTCGCATGTCCTGGAGCTCCTGCGGTGTCGTGCGCGGCGCCGAGCGCGATACGATGTGGATGTGGTACGCGTTGCCGGCGCGCCTTTTGAGTTCCTCGCGCCCGCTCAGAGCAAGCATGCGCGAGGATACGATGCCGATGCGGTCTGCGAGCGCATCGGCTTCCTCCATGGAGTGCGTGGTGAGAAGGACGGCGCGGCGTTTGGCCACGGTCTGGAGACAGCGCCATAGTGTGCGCTTCGCGTTTGCGTCGAGAGCCGAGGAGGGCTCGTCCAGGATGAGCACGCGAGGGTTGCCGACTAGAGCGACGGCGAGTGAGAGCTTACGCTTGGTGCCGCCTGATAGCTTCTGCGCGAGCTGGTCAGTCCACTGCTCGATGCCACAGACGCTGATGACGGTGGAGACGTTGTGGTCGATGTCCTTTACGCCTCTGATCTTGGCGAAGAAGCGCAGCGTCTCTTTGACGGTCAGCGCATCGGCCGAGTCGAATTGTGGACATACTCCGAGGCTGGCACGCGCAGCCACGGCGGACGTTACGATGGAGTGGCCTGCGACGTCGATCTTGGAGCCCGATGTCGATGGTTTGATGTCGCCTCTGATCATGGAGATGATGGTCGACTTTCCTGCGCCGTTGGGTCCCAGCAGGGCGAAGATCTCGGACGACTGTACGCCAAACGTTACGTTGTCGACGGCGAGATTCTTGCCGAACTTCCTGGACACATTTTCGACGCGGAGCTCGGTGTTGGGAGATGCTAGTCGCTTGCGCTCGTTCATGAGGTCGGCGTTGTACATTTCGGTCGCCTCGGTGTCGCTGATCGTTGTACGCGAGCGCATCGATGGGAGCACGAATCCGCTGTCCCACCAAAGTAGGATCGCGAAAAGCAGTATCGCCTGGATAGCCAGGTACAGTATAGGGCCTCCATACATGTAGACTGAATTGTCGGGATGACCGTTGCACATCAGTGCGAGCTGTTGTAGACCGATGAACAAAGTGCGCTCCAGGCTGATTACCGGTGAAATGATGCCGAGACTGAAGTAAAGGGCGTTCATGGAGTGCTCCAGCTCCGCGTATGATGTTGTAGCCTGGATGCCCACCAGTCCTCCGAAGTAGGCGAAGTACAGGATGATTTGGCCCAGAGCCATGATGAACCACGCCGCGATTGCGTTCTTGGCGAACATGGAGATGAGGTAGCTGAGGAGAGCGCAGACGATTCCGTAGAGTACGAAGATCACAAATACTAGACCCATGCCATGCCACACGGGTGTAGAGATTGTAAGGAGCCCCGTTGCCACAGCACTGATGAGTATGACCCACATACCGTCAAATGACAGGTGGGAGAGCCAGAGCGGAATCGGACGGATACCATTGGAGTACTGCATTGAGCGAACATTCGAGATTCGCTCATTTGTCGGGTACAAAGCGAAGAAGACGGGGTAGCTAGAACATACAGTTAGATGCTGAAGCATTGAATCAGGATGTCGATACGTACCATGCCATAACCAGGCCGTAATAGACGATGAAGATCAAGGCCTTCATATCGTACGTCACCGGGATCCTTGTCGACGCAAACTCGTAGTATGAGGACGAGATGCCAACGCCGCTTGCCATGACCGTATAGAAGTTCATCATCTGGTTGACTAGGGGCCCTTGGCGGATGTTGACCATGACGGTGGGCTTTGAGGTGTCGCTGCCCATCCAGATCCCGCCGGCAAGGGTGGTGAATGGCGAGAAATGGTCAAATCGGCTGCCGAACAGCGCTGTTTGGTTCTTCCAGTTCTGTCTGACTGCGTTCGAGAACTCCTCGTATGTGTCTACGAGTAACATCTGTTGCAGGATCTCGGTACTGTTCGAGTATCCGGCAGGGTAAGCGGCCGAATAGCCTGAGACATCTGTTAGCATGCGTGGATTGATATCGAAGTGAGAAGAAACATACTTCGTGTATGGTTCGTGGAATAAATGTCAGCCATCAGTGCGAGGCGTGACTCGTTAAGGCTGCTAGCAGGGCCGTACACGTATTTTATGGTCTGTTCGTCATCCCCCAGAAAGCTGCCAGTGTTTGAGACGAAAGAGTTTCCAAAATCGTTGCGAGTGTTGAAGTCGTTCACAAGATCGGCAGGCGTCGGGCAGACCATCGCCTTGTTGTAGCTCTTGATTAGCAAAGGTGCGACTGCTGCACCGACAAGTGCAAAAACGATAGCAACGAAGTATGGGATCCACCGACGCTTGAGTATGTACAGTCGCTTGCCAAAGAGGAGCCACCACTGCTGGAAGGCAGAGATCGGGCGTCCTTCTGACAGCTCATAATCGACGTCTGAGGTAGTGAAAGTCACGTTGTGTGCTTTTAGTGCGACTGTGTTGCTCTCGTCGGAATTACTCTCTGACTTGTTCTCTGTGGGATGGATTGAGTCGCCGGTGATCTTCATGAATAGTTCCTCCATGGTCGGTCCAGAAAGCTGGTAGTCGTGCAGGCCATTGCGCTCCAGCTGGTCGACAAGCTCCGCCGCAGCCACACCAGTCGAGACACGGTAGACTGTTAGAAGGCGCGACTGCTCCTTCTCGATTGGTTCGGATATCTTGACTTCGACATCAGTTTGGTATGGTAACTTCACAGTGTATCCGTTTCCGTAGGTCTGCTTCAGTGATGCCGAGGTACCAGAGGCGCGTAAAGCCCCCTTGTACATGATGGCGATATCGTCGGCAAGGTAGTCAGCCTCGTCCAGGAAATGCGTCGTCATGATGATTGTACGTCGGCTTCGCTCAGCCAGCAGAATCTCCCAGATCCTTCGTCGCGAGATAGGGTCGAGGCCAGTAGAGACTTCATCCACACAGCAGACTTTGCTTCCGCCTGCAAACATCATGGCCAGCTGCAACTTGCGCTTTTGTCCACCAGACAGCGTTTTGGCTTGAGCGGGAAGCTTGCCATACAGATCAACACCTTTGACGAGACTGTTGACTACTTCGTCGTTGACTGCTGCGAGACACTTGAGGTCACTGAAGATCTTGACATGCTCCCGGACAGTCAGCTCAGGCCTGACTTGGGTCAGCAATGTACATCAAAGGGCAGAGTGACAAAGCTTACCAAATGACATTGTGCTGAGGTGCATAGCCCAACCCACCGGTCGAGTCAATTGTGATGTTACCAGATGATACTTTCTGGAAACCAGCGATGCAGTTCAGTGTGGTGGACTTTCCACTGCCGTTAGGTCCAAGCAAGCACAGAATCTGACCAGGATAGGCTTTGAAGTCCAAGCTCGTAACAGCATGCACAGCCTTGCGGCGCTTGAAGGTTCGAGCGAAGAAACCAGGTTGATACCTGCGAACAATCAGCATATGCACCGAGCCGAGTAACAAGTTTACTTACGTCTTACCAAATCCGGAAAGCGTCACAGTCGCATCGTCGGCTTTGGCAGGTGCGGCGAATTGTCGGTGCTCCGAGGCTGTGGAGAAAAGGAGGTGCTCCGTCGCAAATGCCAAGACAGGGAAGCCCAGGATGTGTACGATCAGGAGTATCCAGTGAATGTAGAGGGGCAGCCGAAAGCTATTTGTCGAGTCACCTTCTTCGGCCAAATTCATCATGCTGACCGGTTTACCGACTGATTCGAAGGTACCGACACCTGTGATGAAGTAGCTGAAGTTTGCCGTTGGGCAAAGGAAGCTCAGAAAACCACTTGTCACACGATCCTGATCGAACAGTACGACTGGCAGGATGGCGAAGACAACCGCAATCAAGATCATGATTGAGCCACTCAGCTGAGCCTTTTTGAAGAAGGAGGCGCCGAACAATGAGAATCCGGTAAGGGCAAAGCCTGAGAGTATGGTAAATCCGAGAGGCATATTGCGAGAGAAGTTCGGGTACACTACGGTTGAAAGAACGATGCCTACAGCTAGCCAGCCGGGGAAGTAAATCGTTGCGAACGAGACGTAAGTCGCGACTTGCCGCACAAGTCTACCGCGGATGTTGGATCCGCCAGGTATCATAGTGTCGATGAGCCCAGACATGCCTATAAGAAGTGTTGAGTCAGTAGTGGTAACAGATGCGATGTTTACGGAGTGACTTACCAAGCTCTCGCTCGCGTGACACGAACGACGTGAGATGGTACGCTATTTCCACCAAGCAGAATGCAAAGAGAGGCCCGAAGATGAAGACGGAGAGACTCAGATATGATGCATTCCGAGTTTCTGTGAGCGCACTCTGGTCCTGTTCGGTAAAGGCGATTAACTGTAGATCCGCTAGAGGCTGCGTCGTGTTGGTCGAGTTTGAAAGCGAGATGATCTCTTGATCCAATGCCCGTTGTAAGGGCAACATGTCTCTTTCCATGCTGTTGGCTGTGGACTTGATATTGACGATTTCACTGCGCAGCGCACGTATGGTGTAATTCCAGTTTCCTGGCGACGAGACGTTTGTACCCTCGTTCGGGCTCGAGAAAAAGACGACAGCGCCATAACAAGGCGAGATCCCCTTGTCGTCGGTTCGGCAGGCTAGGGCAAGGTCCCATGTATCATTGTACAGCTTGATGGTCTTTCCAGCGGCCCGTACTTTTTGAGAGAGCGAATCGATCACCGATGAGACCTGCCCTCCTTTCATGCCATTATCAACGAATCCAACAATGTCATGACCCTGGCTAGCTGCCAGACCCGCTTCTAGAGAGAGCAGCTATTGACGTGTCAGCGAGCCGCTCAAGCGGATGATAATGCGCAGAACGCTCTTAAGATACTCACGTCGCGTGGCGATGACACGCCCCATATTTGGGAGTCTGAAAAGAAATTCTTGCTGTATCCTAGGACAAGGATGATCACAAGTGGTAGAAGAAAGGCGCGAAATAAAGTCGAGATGGGTCGTCTCAAACAAGTGAGAAGCCAATTCTTGCGTACCAGTGCCCACGTCTGCCGGCAAAAAAGGTTCATGCTCTCGTTCGTTGTGAGGTAGAGCGAACGCAAGCTTAGGAAGAACACAGGTAGCGATAATGATGCTACGTGAGTGTGCCAGCACACAGAAAATGCGCGGACGTTGACCCTTTACAACTGCATGGGAGGGGGCAGTGCTGTACTGGGAAGCTGCCTAACCGGCCAACGGCACCATGGAATGAATCCGTGTCCATGATCTGCAATTAAGCGATGAAACTACTGCTCGTGTTAGATACAGAAACTTGGTGACAGGCGGTAAGGCTGACCGCCTAATAAAGCGGCGATACGAGGCGGAGTGGACACATTGTTTCTTGCCAAGCATGTAACGTCTGGAGAACCGCCGAAATTGCAGTCTGTGCGACAGCGCAATGCATAACTTGTTTAAGAAGTCGCAGCTTCGGTGCCTATTGCTTCCATGTGCTTTTGTGATTCAGGGCCCTGAGACGCATGAAAAGGCGTAAACAAGCGTTTGACTTGCCAATTGCCCAGGTGACCTCGGGAAGATCGAAGACTAGCGTAAGGCTGTTTGAGACGGAAAATTTGTAGTCTAATTAATGGCCCACGAAGTGTGCCTTGCCGTAGAAGTTCCTTAAAGTCACAGCTTTGCCTTAAGAGGAAAGGCAGCTCACGTTCATAACTTTTAGCGTCCCGCTCTGATCGTCCCATTACCTATCAGCATCTCTCAAACCCCTGCTAGCCGTCTCCGATCTAAACGAAATTCTACGATGCCTTGTACAATTGACTTCGCTGGTCCGCCTTCTCGAAACAAATGTCTGCCCGCATAAACAGATCGTTGTGAGTGGAACCGGGCAAATGGTCCCGCAGGGTAACAGCCAGCAGTAAAATGTTACCCCTAGGAATTCGAGACCTTTTTGGCTACCCTTCCGCATCCATTGATTTAGAAGATCCTAATGGCCATGTGGAGTCACCAGACCCTCCCAATGTGAAGAGTCGGAAGATTCGTGGAGTAACGATAGAGCCGGCGAAACGTGGAGGGAGGACGTCATCCGCAGCCTTGAACAACATGACAGGCCCCACGAATGCAAGGCAGATGCCGTGTTAAGGTTTGACAATTAGGCCAGGTTTGTTACGGTTGATTGTCTTCGCATTCGCGAACCATGTCTCCGATGCGGGGGGGGGGGGGGGGGTTCGGGTGTTTGGAAGGCTGCAACGAGATCAATGTCGCTCTCGAACTGCCTTATCTGCCTAAAGACTTCAGGTGTTCAACTGTAATCTTTGGATATCTGTCACCTCCAGCATGCTCGTGGTACCGCTCGCGACACGTCTGTTGGTGTTGAGCTGCACGCGAGGCTGAGCCTGTGGGATGCGCTTGCCTTACCTTCACGACACACATCCAGCATCAAAGACCTTTCGACTATTGACAGATCATGCGCATTACGGAATTCTATGACTGGATATCGCGCTCGATAGTGTCGACTTCTTGAGCGGTTGTGCACAATCACGAGCACTTCGGCATGCTTCCGCATCGAGGAGTGTTACCACCGCACAGCACACTTTTCGCTGAAGGAGCCTAAAGTTTCGCGACTCCGGAGACCACATAGCATAGATAGAGCTTCCGAGTACTTGAAGTGCCATTTCAGAGGAGTTGTAAGCAGAGTATTGGACGATACTGCTTAACAACTCTCCGCGTGGGGATCCGAATCATGAAGCCGAATGCTGCATGCCATGGCGGTACGTCATCTTCCATCGGCAATCATCAAATATACACAAATACATCTCAGAATTCCCATATGTTCTTGATCCCATTCTCTACTCGATCACCACTGCTCTCACATCAAACATGGCCACAACCACCACCACCACCGGCACTCGAACCATGAGCATCCCCACAATAATGCGTGCCTGGCAATGGAGCACCTGCAAAACCACTCTCGAAGCGGCCCTGACCCTGAACTCCTCAGCACCACTCCCAACCCGCCCTCTCAGCCCAGGAGAATGCCTAATTCACGTGCACGCCGCCTCGCTCAACCCCGTAGACTACAAGCTCGCCGAGCTCCCCGTCATCGGCTGCATGGCAATCCCCATGCCCGCAACACCAGGTCTCGACTTTGCAGGGGTCATTGTCAAGACCAGTCCGGAGTCCAGCTTGGAAGTCGGACAGCGCGTGTTTGGCAAGCTGGAGCCAAAGCAGCAGTACGGGACGCTGGGTGAGTATATCATTGGCTCGAAGGCGGGGACTGTGCCGTTGCCTGAGCAAATCAGTTTCGAGGAGGGTGCGACGATGGGCGTTTGTGGGCTGGTGACGTATCAGTGTTTGGTCAAGAACGTTGAGAACGGGGATCGAGTGCTTATCAACGGAGGGAGTGGGGGGACGGGGACGTTCGCGTTACAGATTGCAAAGGCTTTGGGGTGTGAGGTTTTCGTGACATGCTCTGGTAAGTACATGTCGGTATGGTTTATGTTGTTTGGGGATGGCTTGCTGACTCAGTGTAGCCGCAAATGTACAGTTGTGCAAGGACTTGGGGGCTGATGAGGCTATTGACTACCGTGCGCAAAACGTAACGAGCGCGTTGGAGAAGAGTGGGAAGCAATTTGACTTTGTATTGGACAATGTTGGCGAGCCTGCGGCATTATATTGGAAGGCGACCCATTTTACTAAGAAGGACGCCAAATATGTCCAGATCGGGTCACAAGTCAGCCTTGGATTCATCTTCGATCTGGCCTTCCGGTTTGTGATGCCAGCTTGGTTGGGAGGGGGGCAGAGACCTTTCTCATTTGCCTTTGCATCGGCCAACTTCGACGACTCTCAGGGTCTGGCGGATCTCGTCGCGAAGGGAAAGGTTAAGCCGGTGATAGATGAGGTATTTGACCTGGAGCATGTCCCGGAGGCATACAAGAAGCTCAGAACAGGGCGAGCGAAAGGCAAGATTGTTGTCAGAGTAGCAAGCAAGTCGTGAACAAGATGACTAGAAGAGATCAGGACCTGTGATCGATGAAAAGATCCACATGGTATGAATTATGCTGTATGCTGGTGGAATACGAAGGAGGTACGCGAAAGGTGTCATTCTCTATTGCCTACGGCGACGCGGTCCAATCTATGCAGCCTGAGGTTCTGCCTTCTTCGGTCTCCCCTCCGCCTTCTCGGGCAGCAAACCACACAACCCTATCAGTCCGAGTGCGAGTATCACATTCAAAACCCAGAATAACTGACCTCCAAGAATGCGATACTTCACTCCAGTGGCATAAACACTTGTAGCCAAAGCCGGTGCCACAGCTCTCGCCCCGCTTGATAGGGCAAGAGTAATTGCATTGAGTGTGCCAAAAGTCTCATGGCTGGGCGCGATGTCGTTTATGGCAAGCTGAACAGCCGTGAAAGCCATAGCTACACCACTACCGAGTGCCAGACAAGGTGGTGCAATCACCCAGAATGCGATCTTGTGACCGTGGCGCAGTAAGAGGTTGAACAAAGGGTTGACGGCAAAGAATACGGGCCATACCCACGCAGTGAGACGTAAGACTTGGCCCGTACCAATGTGTTTGTGAAGAGCCGGGAAGACCAGAAGAAGCCATGCCGCCTGCGAGAGACCCGAGAATCCAATCACTGCAGCAATGAGCTCATCAGAAAAGCCAATACCGCCGAGATGGACGAATGTGTGGAGGTTAACTGGATTGACAGCCGTGAACGTGAAGGCTAGAACTCCTACGTATTCAAATATCAGGATGACTCGAGCAACACCTGGTGCATTGACGAGTTGCCACATGGTCAACGGGGCTTCGGTGGTCTTCTTCTTGTCTTTGTGCGTATGGAGTGTCTAGCGATTGTTAGATGGAGATGTGACATTCATGAGCAAACGTACTTCTTTGACAAATAGCATCGTTGTAAGAGCCGAAGTAAGAGTCAAGACGGAAACGGCGAGTCCCGGAAGTAGGTATGGATATTTTCGGAACAACTCGTTTCCAAAGACACGAGGATACTTCTCAGCTGGCCTTTCGAAAGCAGCTCCTATATTACGGTCAGCGACTTACACCAGCTTTGAGATTGATAGTACACACCCAAGAGCGGTCCCAGGAAGATACCCATGTTTCCAGCGAAGGCGAAATAGCTAAATGCCCTAGCCTGCGTGTTCTTCGTACTGTTCTCGCTGAACATAGCTCTGAGCGTGACAACAGTACCCGCAAAGACACCAGCGAGGCATCTCGCAACAATCATTTGCGCAATGCTCTGACTCATGCCAAACAAGGTCGTGGCTACCGCAATACCCAGCAGACTAAGCACAAGTACGGGCTTCCGTCCATAGCGGTCCGATGCTTTTCCCCAGAAGATCATGACACACATCTGTGTGAAGGAGAAAAGGGACTCGATGAGTCCAGAGTAGAAGCCTACATCCTCTATCTCAATGCCACCCACGTGCTCAATCATAGAGTTGATGTACGGAAAAATGGAGAAGAAAGCAATTGGTTCGATGACCCGAGTATAGCACAGGAGAAAGATTTGGCCCTTTGGTAGTGGTGCGTTCTCGTCATCCGCGTGGGCTCCATCTGTGCTGGTCAGTTCGCTGGATGGGTCGACCGGCTCTGCGAAAGGGCCAGCTTGAACGGCAATTAGAGGTGTCGTCTCATCGGTGGCCGTGACAATGGCCCCATCGAAACGATCGTTCTTTGATGACATCGCGGCGATTCAACTGCAGTCGCCGAATCAGTGGGTGCGTCGCCTCTTTCCAAAATGTGACAAGTCCAGTCTGACGTTTGTGGCTGAAACAAGGCAATCGATCGATACATTAAAGCTGCAGGCGAGAGCAGAACAAGACTTCACAGTATCGATCTTAAGGGATGCGTCACAATTAAAGTGGCCCCCAATCGCAGAAGCTGACGGTTTTTACCACGGATGCTACCAGGCTAACGGAGCAAGCACGGGCCTCCGATGTCTTCTCAATCAGGCAGTCAGCTCGCACGTTCACGGCAGATTCGATGTTGTCATGCTGCTTCGTCAGCGGAAGAGTAGCAGCAGAATCGTTGCTTCGCTCACAGGGCAGTCAAGCTCGAGACTATGTACCCGCAGAAACAGTTGAGCTCGCTATCACTGACAACAGAACATGAAAAGTAGAATTGGCACGCTTCATGTAAACATTCGATTGAGTCACCAAGAGATCTGGGTCGTACAAGCTGTGAAGATGTCCAGGTTCTAAGCTACAATGTAAGATCCTATTGCACCTCCACGTATGAGCTCAAGCTGCTCCATAACTTAAACACCCAATCGCTCGCCAGCTTTGCCTTTTTGTTAACAACCGTTATGCATGAAACCCCAGGGTCACAGAGCGCCAATACAACGTTGCCTCCGCTACCAGGCTTACCATAATCTCGAGAATCGTACGCAGGAAGACGCTGGAAGGAAAATCGTCAGTCGGTGGGATCGTGTCGGCGCGGGAGTTGCAGTACCTTAGAAGCACTTGCGGTGGACGATAGAAGGACCGCTCTCGTCGTACTCCTGCTTGGAGATCCACATCTGCTGGAAGGTGGAAAGGGAGGCGAGAATGGAACCACCGATCCAGACGGAGTACTTGCGCTCCGGAGGAGCAATGATCTTGACCTTCATGGAAGAAGGAGCAAGAGCAGTGATCTCCTTCTGCATACGGTCGGAGATACCGGGGTACATGGTGGTACCACCAGACTAGGAGATGTTAGCTTCTGGGCTTTCCAGGTCTCTCCGAGGTGAACATACCATGACGATGTTGCCGTACAGGTCCTTCCTGACGTCGACATCGCACTTCATGATGGAGTTGAAAGTGGTAACGTGGATACCACCGCTCTCAAGACCAAGGACGGAAGGCTGGAAGAGAGCCTCAGGAGCGCGGAAGCGCTCGTTGCCAATGGTGATGACCTGACCGTCGGGAAGCTCGTAGGACTTCTCGAGACTGGAGCTCTGGCTGGCGGTCTGGATCTCCTGCTCGAAGTCGAGAGCGACGTAGCAGAGCTTTTCCTTGATGTCACGGACAATTTCGCGCTCGGCGGTGGTGGAGAAAGTGTAACCGCGCTCAGCAAGGATCTTCATAAGGTAGTCGGTCAAATCGCGACCAGCCATGTCGACACGGGAAATGGCGTGGGGAAGAGCGAAACCCTCGTAGATGGGGACAACGTGGGTGACACCGTCACCGGAGTCGAGAACAATACCGGTGGTACGACCGGAAGCGTACAGGGATAGGACAGCCTGGATGGAGACGTAGAACGCGGGGGCGTTGAACGTCTCGAAAACGATCTGTGTCATCTTCTCACGGTTGGACTTGGGATTGATGGGAGCCTCGGTGAGCAAAACGGGGTGCTCCTCGGGGGCGACACGCAGCTCGTTGTAGAAGGTGTGGTGCCAGATCTTCTCCATGTCGTCCCAGTTGGTGACAACACCGTGCTCGATGGGGTATCGCAGAGTCAGGATACCACGCTTCGACTGTGCCTCATCACCGACGTAGGAGTCCTTCTGTCCCATACCGATCATGATACTGCATTGCTGTTAGCTCGAATCGGGCAGGCGCGGCCGAAGAAGAGCGTCATACCCATGGTGACGGGGGCGACCGACAATGGAGGCTGCATCTTGTCAGAAGGCGATTCTCATGCGTTGCCTGAATGCACAGCGGGCGCAGTGGAGCGCTGCTGGTGCCAGGTGGCGGATTGAGGAACTTACGGAAGACTGCTCGGGGCGCATCATCACCGGCAAAACCGGCCTTGCACATACCCGAACTATCAATTGTCAGCTCATATCCATCAGGTATACATCGCTCGTGCGATCCTGTCGCAGGGCTGGTGCGGCTCGTCGACGTGGTGGGCGATGCTAGTGCAGACAGCCCCTCCACGACAGGGATGGCAGGAGTTCGCTGTCGGGGGGGGGGGGGATATGATCTCACCCATTGTCGATGACGAGAGCTGCGACTTCCTCTGCAGTGAACAATAAACGTTAGCAGAGCTCGTTGAGGCGCATCACCAGCGGATGGCTGACGGCGGTACTGGGGAGCGGTGGGCTCAGCTGCTTACCTTCCATGTTGACTGATTAGGTGGTAGATTAGGAGTAAGTAGAAGTGTTGCGTGGGCGGGAGTGCTATAAGTACTCTCTGCGAAAAGGAGAGTCAGCAAGAAAAGGACGAATTGGCGTGGGTCGGGCTTTGGATAGAAACACGGATGTCGGGGAAGCTTACGGGTGCGGTGGTGGTTGTGGTTAAGGTCTTGCAGAGTGCGAGAGGCGAGTGGGTGCCCACTGCTGAAATAAGCGGGCCGGCCTTGCCCAGACAGAAGGAGCGGCGAGGCTGGTGAAGGGGGCTTTGCACGAACGGGCAAGATCCAAGGGAAATGCAGGCAGCGTCACTCTTGATCAGTTAATGCAGCCAGTTCTTGCCGACGAAGCCGCATTGAGCGTTTTATAATCGTATTGCGTCGCTTCTAGGCATCAGAGTTTGTATTCTGGTGGTGTACGCAAGCTCTCCGCCACAGCGTTAGGATAGTACACCTGTACACGCATGTCTACCCCAAGACAGCGCCTTAACTGCTTGGCGCTCAAAGCCCGATGATGTTTGCTGATGGCAATTGCAGTTCAATGCGTACGACGTGGGCTTGGGCTGGCAGTGCTCGTGCCAGACCGCCACTGGCCGTGATGCTGCAGCATTACGATCCCCAGCCATCCGCAGCAGCTCACCGCCAACTCTCAACATCCCCGCCAGAAAATGCGGGTCCAGGTCACGTGGTGAGGGGCACTGACGGGACCGTGGACCACGCAGAGCGAGCATCAATACGGCGATACCGATTGTATACAACGTACGCAGTGCTTGCAGAATTCAAGTAGCGGCTGGATTGTAATCACGATCGCCTTGTAGTTTATATGCTCGTGTTGTGTGACCCTGAGTTGCTGATGGTGACAGCTGCCAGCCAGTGTATGGAAGGCGCACGAATCTGGTCGTGCCTTCCCGCAGTGTCGGCGCAAAACCGAATCTGCGTCATCCCGCCAAATTTACTCCAGATGTTCAAATATCAGTCTCTGCTACATCACCACACTCTACACCACGCAGGCGAAATCAATCGAACCATACACAATGACGGACCCTAATCTGAACACGCTCCTCAAGTGGGGCGTCGAAAACTCCAATGTCTCCCAAGGCGCAGAGCCACCCAAGACAACGTTGACCCCAGATGCTCTCGCAGCTCTGTTTGGCAATCAGAAGTCGGACGCGCAGATGATGAAGGACAACATGGAGGTCATCAAGAGAGACGAATGTGATATAGAGGATCGTATTGTCGCATTCGACAACTTCGAGCAGCTCATCGAGAACCTCGACAACGCAAACAACCTCGAAGCGCTAAACCTTTGGATCCCTTTGATCGAACAACTGGACAACAAGGAGGCCGAGCTGAGGAGGTTTGCCGCATGGTGCATCGGCACAGCGGTGCAGAACAACATCAAAACCCAGGAGAAAGTGAGTCTACCTGTCGCGCTGATCATGCTCTGAGTGGTTGCTGACTTGGTATAGCTCTTGGTGCTCGGTGCCATCCCCACTCTAGTACGAATAGCCACGGGGAACGACGAGATGAAAGTCAAGAAGAAGGCCATTACAGCGCTCTCATCGTCCGTCAGGAACTTTCAGCCCGCCCTTGACGAGGCTGTATCCCACGTACCCGCCGACTTCAAGCCTTCAGGCCCGCTCGATGCGAGCGATATGGAATCGGTGGACATTTTGATCAACAAGCTCCGCGAGAGCTTGTAGGGTACGGGCTATGGCTTGCATTGCATCGGCGTTCCGGTTCTGGAAAGGGGTCAGCATCATGACGGCGTTTCAGTCACAATGTGATGTGAGGAAGGATATGTAGACATACTGTCCCTGATATGGCGAAGAAACATGAGTCGCGCAAGGCTGCGCAGACTCGTTTGCTCTCCAAATATGTGGTTCCCGACACTCGTTGCTCTTGTCCTTTGTATTACGCGCTCATAGCACTTCCAGCACCAACCCCACCAGTTCACTAAATTCTTGCCTTCCGCTCACGCTCTTATCCAAGCCCATTCCGAGTACAACCATGCGGGTTTCTCTGTCATTCTGCGTCTTGATAGCACTGGCGATCTGAGTTGCGAGCGTCTGACCGAGAACTTCAAGCTCTGGTATCGTACCGCCAAGAACATTGGTTGCAGTGAGGTGGTGCATAGGCAGAAGGTCAGAGCTGGCATCTTCGTCGTCGCGGTCGAGGTAAGACTGTGAGGTTGCTCCTGCGTCGATCGCAGAGATGCCGAGAGGTACATGAACCTATTGCAGTCAGAATACGACTCTTAAATGGTAGCAGCTAGAAGGTAATCAATAAGCTAACCCAGTGTGCTAGACGCCCTTCCTGTGTGACAGTAATGAGAATCTTGTCCAAGAATGACATGGATGTCGCAGTCGTCTCCTTGCCGTTGATGCTCGACGAAGCAGTCTTCGAGCGCGCTGGGAACGGCGCCGCCCGTATGGTGTAATCTTCTGTTTCTGCGGCCATGATCGAGATTTCGATTTCGGATCCAGTAGTAAAACAAGAGTACTGTGATAACGGCTACAACATTGTTTTGGAGGGGTCCAATCGTGATGGAGACAGGAGCTCTCGGAGGTGATGCGGAGGCCCATTCACCGCCCGGCATACTTACTGCCAGAGCTAACGCTCTTAGCGCTACCGGTCCCGCCAAAATTTTGGAACAGCAACTCGAAGATTGGATACAAGGACCACGACGAAAGATGCCCAAGTTCGTCCCTCGTCAGCGTAAGCATAAGGTGGTAGCGCGCCGGAAAGCTGCTACCAACGATGTCCCCGCCGAAGCCAACGCCGAGCAGATTCTGCCGGCAGAGCAGAGCGAGCGCGATGAAAAGAGGCGCGCAATGAAGAACGAGCTTGTGCGTGAATCGCAAAGCAAGATGAGCGGCAAGAAAAAGAAGCGCCTGGACAAATACATTGACACAAAGCTCAAGAAAGAAGAGAATCTGGAGCTTCTCAAGAAGCTGGCTTCACAATCCCACAAAGTCGACACAAGTCTCTTCCAGAGCTCCAGTAAGCTCGGGAGAGGCGGTGATACCAAGCGCGAAGCCCTACGACGCGCTTTAGCTGAAAGGAGAGCTGGTGTAGATGTCGAGAGGAATGAAGAGCTGCTGTTCGAGGAGCACACTGTCAGGGAACCCGAGATCGAGAGCTCTGCCTCCGATAATGGGAGTGAGACAGTGCCTGCACCATCCAGAAAGTCAATGAAAGGCTCCACGTTGGGGTCACGCAAACGAAGTCGATCACCGCGGAGATCACCAGAACCCACAACCACACCGACTACAACCGAGCCACCCGTAGCATTTGCTGGCAGCTTCGGCCTCTTTGGAGGCGGCTTGAAGCGTCCCCTCGACCTAGACGGGTCAGGCAAGCCGATCATACAAGTCAGGAAACGTAGAAAGGCGAAGGCCAAGCCCATCGTGATCGAAGAAGAGGTAGCTTGGGAAGGCTTCAGCTCGGGTGAGGAGGGCGCTGAAGAGGCACGGGCTAAGAACTATGAAGGAGCCGAAGCAGAGCCGACCGAGGAGTCAGACATCGAAGAAGACGAAGAGGACGCAGATTCAGAATCGGAGGGCTCAGAAAGATCGGACTACTCAGAGGGTTCGGATGAGGAAGATTCCGACGAAGACAGCGACAGCGACGATAGTCTTGATGAGAAGGAGAGGAAAGCTGCCCATAAGGAACGGACGTCAGCCTTCAAGGCTTGGGCGACGAGTCAACGGAACGAACAGATAGGCTTTGTGCCGTCGAACCAACTCGATCTGACAATACCCACGAAGCCCGCCAATTTCACACCAAGAGCCCCCGAGCAAGATCCTCTCCCGCGAGAACTCGAGACGAACACGGCGACCGACGCAACGAGAAAAGCATACAGCGTGGCAGTGAAAAGAACACCAGAGATTCAGGAAGCTAGGATGCAGCTCCCGGTAGTTGCAGAGGAGCAGAAGATAATGGAGGCGATACACAATAATGACGTGGTCGTTGTCTGGGGAGCTACAGGTAGTGGCAAGACTACGCAGGTACCACAGTTTCTCTTTGAAGCCGGCTACGGTGCGCCAGACGGGCCCACGCCAGGCTTGATCGGCGTTACGCAGCCCCGACGAGTCGCAGCGGTCAGTATGTCGAAGCGTGTTGGCGCCGAGCTGGGAGATCATGGTTCGAAGGTTGCTCATCAGATCCGATTCGACACTACAACAAACGCAAAGACCGCAGTTAAGTTCATGACCGACGGTGTACTTCTGCGCGAGATCACACAAGATTTTATCCTGTCAAAGTACTCTGCTATCGTCATTGATGAGGCCCACGAACGCAGTGTCAACACCGATATCCTCATCGGTATGCTCAGCAGGATCGTCGAACTTCGAGCGGGGATGTCGAAAGAGGATCTGAAAGTCAAGCCTCTCAAACTGGTGATCATGTCGGCTACCCTCAGAATATCGGACTTTACAGAGAACAAGCGCCTCTTCAGGAGTGAACCTCCGCCACTGCTCAAGGCCGAGGGTCGCCAATACACAGTTACCAATCATTTTGCCCGTCAGACTGAGCGCGACTATGTCGAAGAGATGTATCGCAAGGTTGTTCGAGGACACCGCAAGCTGCCATCTGGCGCCATGCTCGTCTTCCTCACGGGCCAAGGCGAGATCATGCACCTGGCGAAGCGTCTTAAACAGGCATTCCCCTCAACACAAGGTCAGGATGTCAAGACTGGCAAGGTACGAATCAACCCTGCGGAAGCGCCTGTTGAGACCGAGGATCTCGAGTTCGGCCCCGACCAGAACGACGAGGATAATGATGGTTCTGACTCTGAGGACTCCGTCATTATGGGTCTGGACGACGATGAGGACGACAAGGAGTTCGATATCAACGAAGAGAAGCCCGAGGATACTGTCATGAATGTGCACGTCTTACCACTGTACTCGCAGCTGCCAACAAGTCAGCAAATGCGCGTCTTCGAGCCGCCGCCGGAGGGGTCTCGATTGATTGTTCTGGCTACCAACGTTGCGGAAACCAGTTTGACCATTCCTGGAGTTCGATACGTATTTGATTGCGGGCGAGCGAAGGAGAAGAAGTACGATCTCATCACTGGTGTGCAGAGCTTCGAAGTAGGGTGGATCAGCAAAGCTAGTGCCAACCAGAGAGCTGGTCGTGCTGGTCGTACTGGCCCTGGTCACTGCTACCGCCTCTATTCTTCTGCCATCTTTGAGCGCGATTTTGAAGAGTATGCAGCACCAGAGATTCTGAGAACGCCACTCGAGGGCGTAGTTCTGCAACTCAGGAGCATGGGCGCGCCTGTGGTCAATTTCCCATTTCCAACACCGCCAGACCGTGACAGCCTCCAGCGAGCCGAGAATCTTTTGTCGTACCTCGGAGCGCTGTCACCTGACGGCAAGGTCACTAAGCTGGGTCATGAGCTGTCGTTGTACCCTCTCAACCCTCGCTTTGCGCGCATGTTGGCCATGGGCGTTACTCAAAATCTCACAGCTGAGATCATTGCGCTAGTATCTGCCTTGTCTGTACCAGAGCTCATCATTCCAGAGAACAAGCTAGGTCTCCGCGAGCCAACAAGAGACCCAGACGCTGTTCGCACGGAGCAAGATAACATCGAGGCTGAGGAGCGCTCTCGGATGCGCAAGGCTTACAACGCGGCTCTGGCCAAGCTGAGTGTTAACGCAAAGCAAAGCGACTGCATCAAATCCAGCAACGCCATCTGCGCGTACGCGTATGAGACCGACCCAAAGCGGTTCTGCGAGGAAATGTTCCTCAACACCAAAGCCATGCACGAAGCCAGTCAGCTCCGCCAGCAGCTGACCAGCATCGTACGCACACATCGCCCAACCGCCATTGGTGCCTACAGCCCCAAGCTGCCGGCGCCATCAGAAAAGACCATCAACCTGTTGACTCAGATCTGCGCAGCAGGTTTCATCGACCAAGTTGCCATGCGCGCCGACCTCGCACCCGTTCCCCCAGAGCTAGCCCGCAAGCCCAAGACAGCGATCGACGTCCCGTATGTCACGCTCTTCTCGTCGACAGAGACACGCAGCGACGATCCAAACGAAAAATACGTATATCTCCACCCTTCGACGCTTCTCGCTCGCACCCCGCCCGCCAAGTTGCCGGGCTACATCATCTACTCGCACCTGCAGCGCGCCTCTGCATCAAGCATCCAGGGCGCAAGAACACCGAAGACGCGCATGCACCCACTCACGCCTGTCACTCGGCCTCAGCTCATCAATATTGCGCTGGGTACACCGCTGCTGCAGGCTTCGAAGCCGAAGGGCAAGATTGCGCAGTTGCCGCGCGCGGTTGGCGCGCCAGAGCGACGCGAGTGCGAGGTCGAGATGCATCTGGTGGGTGAAAAGGGAAGTCAAGGCTGGGGACTAGGTGTGAGGAAGGTAGTGCAGAAGAACGAGGGTGCCAAAGGATGGGTCGTCGAGAAGGTGCTGGTATAAGAACCAGCGAGTGAGTTGCTTTTCAATTGCATCGCAGATACCGATTATCAAATTTGTATCGTTCCACTGAGTTTTTCATGTCGTGTATCAGAGTCGTCAAGATGTCGATGCGATTGGGGGGGTTGCACTGAGCGGCTTTGCAGAGAGGCACAGGCTGGCGCTTGCCAGAGCTGTCCAGCTCCTGCATCAGGACGGTGCAATCTCCTCAAATTGTCCATGGTCTTCCTTTTGATTCTTAACTTACAAGAGCACGACTTCGCCCTCACTGGCAACGATATTGACTCCAATGGGCGCTATCGGTAGCCTTGCATCACCACTGAGTACCCTTAGCGTGTGCGAGCGTTATCGCAACATAAGCTGGAGCGGCTCAGGCTATAACTCAGTGCAGCTCTCGTTCGAAAGGGATATTTTCGGCACCATGGTCATCGCTCAACGAAACGATCACTGCGAACGAGTTAGCCTCTGTCATGGATTTTCAGAGACGTTGGTGTAGTGTCAAAGCAAGGACTTGCTATGCTGCAAAGACGAGACAGGAAGCAAATACCACCATGTGAGTCGAACTTGAAATGAAGGCCTCTCAAGACCGGATCAGATGAGGTCGAAGGTCTGCTCTCAAGGCGTAGCGGGGGGCAGATGGTACGATATTACATTCAAGGAGAGCGCATTGTCCTGGAAAAGAAGGTGTTCTCTGATGAAGTTTCAAGACACTCAGTTGCAGCCATCCAGGCGCATGCGAAAAACCAAATTTGAGCACAAGCTCTTTATTTACAGTTCGTAAGCTATCATATGTACAATAAGCCAGAAAATCGATCGTGCGCAGAATAACAAGTCGATCATCGATGCACCTAACCAGAGTAGACAGCGGGCCCGGGGCTGACGTACTGGAACGTAGAATCGTAGATAGCCTTGGAAAAGAGAGGGTCAGTGAGCTTGTACGCGCCAGGGAAAGAGACACCAGTAGGGTTCTCGCTTCCTCCTCCAGTGACCTTAACCTGGAAGCAGCTGACGTACGGCTGGGGGTTGCCTGCGCCAGCGTGAAGCGCGAGAACTTCAGCGCGGACGAGGTAGTTGCCAGCAGCAATGCTCTTGGGGACAGTGAAAGCGCGTTTTCCGCAATTGGCGTTGAGGATCTCAGTGCCCCATGTGGGAGTGGTGCCATTGTAGCCATCCTCGGCGACCTTGAAGAAGGAACCGGTGGTGGCGGTGGTGGCATCGGCGACCTTGGCCATGTAGACCAGGACGGGTCCGTAGTGAGCACCGCCGATGGCGGGGTTAGAACAAGAGCGGTCGCCAGGCTGAGCGTGCAATTCAACGGTAAGGGGTGAGCCGGCTGTTCGTGTTAGCTCCCATCACAAGAAAGTAAATTGTCTTGTCGGAAAGTTCTTCTGTAGTTTATGGACTCTTTGATGGGACATGCTTACCAGCAACCTCGCAGACGCCAGTCGACGTAGCTGGCCCGCGACCACAGAACATGTCGGCAGATGTCAAGCTCTCAACTGGGCTGTTGTCCTTCACGGTACGAACGCACTTGCCAGCCTGATCGTTTGTGCCAACCCACAGTTGCTGCCATGTCGAGTGGGCGGAGACAGATGCCACAGCGGCAACGAGGACAAGGGCAGACTTCATATTGAATGTTCGACTGAGTAAGGAGCGGATGAAATGAGTGAGCGTTGGATGCAGACCCAAAAATGTTCGAACCTGCGCAGTATTTATCCAACTGTAGGTCGCAGCTCAAGACAGCAATTCAAGACATCTCAGAGGTACCGGCCCGCGATTCCACCCCATCGTCATTTCCAATCTCCATAAGTACATGATCTGGACTATCTTACTGACATAGATTGGACGTTGCAACAAAGTCATATTGGCAGCGGGAGCCTCATCTGCATGCGTGCATGCGATTCGCGGTCAATTCCACAGAGTTTACCGGATTGGGTGCGGTCTTCAGGACTGGACCGAATGATTTATGGGTAATGTTTCGGGTGGGGCGTTAATTGGCGACGCGCTGGTGGTTCTCTTCTTCCGAAATCCCTGCAACGAGGCCGTCGGTGTAAAACGCCTTGAAACGCCAAGGCGAGAATGCTGAAAAAGGAACTTAAGAACTGCTATGAATCGTCTTGGCCGCGGAGTAATAGGCTCAGTGGGTTGGGTATGGCATTTCTGACGTGCGCAGACTTACTAGGTTCCGATCTCAACTACAATTGTGAACTCGACGACTGTGTCTTTGAGAATAAACTCAGGATCAGTATCTTGAACACTGCCGAGCAGGTTAGGTACACGAGTTCACCTTATCGCCCCGAAGTCCATACGACAGTACTTCTCCCACTCATTCGCCTTGTTATCGGGTAGGGCCATCCAGCTCGTTCCACCTAGTCGGAAAGGTAGCTGCGAGCCATCCCGTTGAGATATCCAGGCAATATACTTCAACAAAGCCCTGAATTATTGTGTTCGTCCTGCGCGTTGAGCGCACATCGGTGACACTATCTACTGGGTGTCTTCTAGCATGATAGAACGGAACCAGAGAAAAGAGCAGATCGCAACGGGCTTCCTAACGGCCAGAATCGATCGCTGAAGTCATCTAGTTACCATCGTTACACACAGCGACGAGGACTGCCTCTTTTGGCTTCCGACCCGCTGCTCCAGGACAGATACTTCAGTCAAGACCGCCTAGTCCACGAGATTTTTATCGTCAAGTACGTGTCCGAGTTTGTAAACTTTAGTTCCTGGATGTTCTAGAAAGCAGTTCCACAGCGCCTTGAAGGCATATCCGAGCGCTCCGTTCAAATACTGGCCTTGGGTCCCGCACCACGAGGTTTATGGATGCTCTGGTATAGTGAGCGTAGAACAGAAGGAAGGTGAGTGGCACAGTGCACTTCAGTGCTTGAGCCGTGGCTGCGCGGTGTTGACCATGTGAAACCGTAGTCGATACCTGACGTCCAAGGGTCGGCATGACTGAGGTCGGCCAACAAGGTGGAGTTCTGCGTGTTCCTGGGGGCTAGCTGAGGAGGATATGAGGGGTTTTGTTGCAGCTGACGTCTGCTCTAGTTATCGTCTCTGCATTACAGGAGACGAGGAAGCTCGTACTAGCTGTCAGCCTATGCTGCAGACTCTTAAATTATGTTGCGAACCTCAAATCACGAACAGGACAGGTGTCTAGCACTGACTTTCTTGCTGAGAGTATTGAGTTAGAACGCGATGTTGCAGGATCACCGGTAAGCGTCTCCAATCCCTGCTCCGCCCCAAAGCCACTGGCGTTCAGCCGGCACCCGTGTTGAGTTCTGTCACACAACTTCGAGGCATGTGTCCGGACATTTTGCATCCTACCGTCTAAGTTTCGAGACAGCGGTCACCCGTAGAGCGCACTGCAGCGGCCTCACCAAAGCTCGTTCCCGCTTCGCACAATGCTCGCTTGAGCCTTTGTCAAAGCTCCCAGCGCAATGGGTCGAAGCGCTCCGTACACGCATCAGCCTCTTCAGGAGGCAAGAGAGCAGATTCGCCTGGTTATGATCGAACGCGCACGATTCAATGAGCCCTTGACTGTCCATCTTCAGATATTCGACATCAACAACGCACCCAAGTACTCAGCCTTATCGTACACGTGGGGACCAGCCAAACCAAGTTATCTGATCACGGTCGATGGACGTTGGCTCGATATCCGGAAGAACCTCTTCCATTTCTTGAGAGAGTTTCGACAGGAGCCGGGGCGTCCCGAATGGCTCTGGATCGACCAGATCAGCATTGACCAGACGAACGTGAAAGAGCGCAATCACCAGGTACGCTTTATGTCACGCATCTATAGTCAATGCTATTCGGTGACTGTCTGGCTGAATGACGACAATGCGCGAGATTTTGTATCCTTCCAGGATCCCGCAGCTTTGGCCCAGCTTTTGCGTAACGAATACTTCAGCCGGCTCTGGATCGTGCAAGAAGTCCTCTTGGCGCAGCATGTACGCTTCCTGACCCCAGGCAATTTATGGATATCCTGGGACGCTATACAAGACACAGTCGGACGAACTGCGAATTCATTTTTCGCAAAATTGGATCTTAATCCATCAAGCGCGATGTCGTTACTAGCTCTGAATGTAGAGAGACTGCCAAGCTCGCTGGAGTGGTGCATCCTCGAGTTCAGCGGCAACAAGTGCGAAGACCCCCGAGATAAGGTTTACGGATTCATGGGTCTCGTTGATCCCTGCTACAATTTCGATATCGACTATAGCAGATCCAAAGTCGATGTGTATCGCGACGCGGTCTACTACTCCAGAAATCGCTCTGAGGTTGCTCAGGTCCTGGGCAAAAATATGGGAATTGAGGCCATGGAGATTGACAAGTTTTTGGGGCACGTTGAGCATGTTGAGTTTCCGTTGACTTTGTCGAATCCGTCGCTTCGCGAAGGCAGTATCTCGAAGACCAAAGGTGTCTATGGACCGCGACGAAGTGTTGTACTGGAGCCGTTGCCACGCACGACAGGGGTATTATCGCTGAACTCGAAAGTCAACGACGTGGTGCAGTCGATAGCACCGATTACCAGAAGCGACTCTCTTCTTACACAGCAAGAGAAGGCTCGACGGAAGTTTGTGCACCGGAAAGGTGCAGTGTCTATTGGTGACGGGTCGCTCCATGGCTCTTTGGCATCGTTGGCGCACAAAACCTGGACAAAGCTCAGTCTGAATAAGATTCCAGCCATCAATGCTGGATAGATGGTGCTACAGCGATGTTCGCATGGAATCGACAGTGGCCGTTCGTTACGGCAACCGCATCCTCCAGAAGGACGGCAACAGCAGCCCTGGAACGCGTCTTTTACGCGCCAGTGAACTCATCAGCTGCCTACGAAACAATTTGACTGCATTGGCAAGACCAAACGCGTGTGGAGGTCGCAAAAACTCGTCGCGCCTCTGTAGTTCTTGGTCGGTGCAGGCACTGGATCGGCGAGCAGTCTCAATGAGAGCGTATTCTGCGGACTGATGCTCAATGGTAACCAGATCGCCTTCAAATTATGTGGCTGGGATATCTGTGGGATTTGCAGAGAACGAACGTGATGCAGAAAGATCAGAGGCGTCTGTGATGATGTCCAGACCGGGCCAGTGCGACGGAGTCTGCGACGGAGGTAGACGTACGACCGCCAACCAAATTCGGCTAAAGTATATTCCCTCTTAACGACCGTCCTGTAAAGCACCATCAGCCATTACACATCCAAGATCAAGACCTATTGTCGAGCAACTACACGGCTACTTTCTGGAACGAAAGCAGAATTCTGGACTGGAATTGAAGAAACATCACAACATTCGGTCTGATGACTTGTCTGGCTGAGGTTCGAAATGTCGCCCCCTACATACTACCTCGCTTCTGTTATTGTCGCATCGTTCATGACATTTGTTCGTTGTTATTTCGCCTCGCTCGGCTTGAGGCGACTCTCTGGCTGTACTATAGGCATACTTTTCAGCAAGCAGCCGTGGGGGGCCGCTACCAGAACAGATCGAGAAGATGTGTTCCGCCATGAAATGGCGGTGTAGTAGGCGCAGCAGTCGTTACTCATGGTGGAGAAATACATTGAGGAACTCAGTCTCCGTGGTAGCTGTCGCAACGATGGTCCTCGTCGTTCCCAGAAGTTGTGCACACTCGGATAATTGCAGTGTTTGCTGCCGCCTTGTCAGCAATCGAGTCATTTTCGACCTCACATTCACGCGCTTACCCAAAAAAGTAGGAATTAAACCTGTGCATGTAACTGCTAGACTCGAACAGGTAATCAATCAATTCAATCCGAGGTCGCTGGGCCCCACCCAAGTGATTGTTGACAACTGTGTTTGCTACCGATACGAGCCAACTGAAGGATCGAAGCAAGCAGTCGGAGCCTGTTCGGATGCGTACGAGAGATTATAGACGCTGTAGGAACGAGGTATCTCTGGCCTGAGAGGTAGCATCGTCGGTGCAGCGCTTCGCTGCGGGACAGACTTGGAGGGCGGCGGTGATGCGGTGCAGGTTTTTTGCCGGGGTGAAGATTGCATTGTCTGAGATGTGTCAATCCACTGGTGTCCTGTCCTATGAAAGCCTATGATATTGACGTTCAGCCATAGAGTAGTTGAAATGCCCTCGTCGTGAACATGGCAAGAGTAGTCTCCCGGCATTTGGCAGCGTGACTCGCCCGCTTTTCCCTCTCCACACTGACTGCCCACTACAACACAAATTCGGGACTGAAAAACTCAGACTACCTAGAAGACTGCTGTCTCTTAGAGACTGAAGTAAGCAGACGTACACTACGCTCCTGGTCCTGGCCTCACCTTCACAGAGCGCACACAGCACTGCTCTACTTCAATGACGCCTTTTGCAGCACTGCACCCTGATGCATGCGTATTTTCGGTGCCATCTTGCCGCGTATATGAGTCCGAGTCTTGTATACGTAGTGATATGGCCAAGTTTGAAGCGATGATGCGCATTCTCTCAGGCAATGACCGTCACGATCGACAGAACTGGCGCAACGCGTTCTCTCTTCGCGCGGCAGACGCCTCCATTCATCTCATATTCCGTACTATGCGCCATATTGCTACTCTCGAACTCGGAGGCAACACAGTGTACCTCCCTTAGGATCTGCGTGGAAGACTCACAGCCCTGCACACTCTCAAGCTGGTCAATATCACCAACAGCAAGTTCTCTAGGTACTGCTATCGGTTGGCGACCCAGATCAGCCTCGTTACACTCGAGTTCTCTAAAATTAGCATCACACCGAAGTTCATCTCTGTTGCGGCAAACGTAGCCGCTGTATATCGATGGAAAACTGCGCTGAGTTGCTTGCTAGCTAGGAGGCGACCATATATACATGCCCTGAGACGTGCTAGTCCAAGGTAGTCAACAGAGGTGACAATCAAGGCCTGTCGGACCGACTGCACCGCAACAATCTCATGCGTCCACGGCTGCCTCTCCATTACCAAAGTCCGCTTCACCGAGACCTGAGTATCCGCCAAAGCGCTGGCTAAGATCATCAAGGCCTGTAACAGCCTTGTCACGCTCGAGTACTCGTTCAACTCCTCTCGATGGACTGCGCAGCCTCAGAATTACCAGTACTACCACGTGGGTCAGATGCTCGCCAACCTTCATCCACACAGACTTACGCTCAAGCACTTGACTATCACAAGTTCAGTCTCTCCCTCCATGGTACGCTGTAAACATATCGGTCCACTGGCTGTATTCACTGTCTTGGAGTCCTTGAAAGTCAACCAGACCAGCGTGACGCCTCACGATCCGGCCTGCAATGTTTTCCAAGGAGAAGGCGACCCTCCAAAAAAAAAGAGCTTGGGGTAATCATGAGTCTTCCTACATCTCTTCGGAAACTTAATCTTTACCGTTGTAACGATGTGACCATCACTCGGTCTTTGAGCGGCATTGTTCGGTCTATGGGGCTGCTCGACCTGGTGTCTGGCTTGCGCGCTCTGGAAGTCATGTACGCCCGACCGCATCAGAAGCACCTAGTTGCTACTATTTACTAGCGTGAACAGGAACTGAAGACGTCCTTTTTAGGACGTGGTGTGGATGTCAAATTCACGCGACCATCTGGACGCTAACTTTCTGATCCAGAAGCTCTAGAGATAACTCTCAGATGCTGTGGCAGCAGGTGAGCCACGCTTTTCTGGACACGGAGTGAGCAGGAAAGACTGACCCTGAGATAGAATTGGTCCGACTTCAGAATGTGTCTAGATGTTATAAAAATACTTTTACTCTGCTCTGTTGGTTAATTGTGTTCATCAGTTGGGAAAGCTCTCAGGCTCAGTGAGTCGAGTTTCTTAATGCAGGAAACACATGATCTATTCAGGGGATCGTTTCCTTGAACTATGGTAGTCTCGGTATGCAAGGCATGTAGCCAAAACTACTCATCAAAATCAAGAACATGTATCAGTGCTACTGTGAAGGTCCTCAGTGATGTCTTTCATGGTGCGACAATTGCAGTGTAGTCAATACAGCCTTCAACACCCTACTCCGTGGTGCGAGTAGCTGTGCTTCCAAAGTTGAGAATTGTGCCACTCATCTGCGAAAATGCTCGAATCACGGTTTCCGAAGTGTGATAAGGCTGTATGTGTGGGTCTCATTGGCTTCACTGCACTGCCTGACAGATAAGCGTCGCTTGCGTTGCGCCGTCCCTTGCCCCCGCCAACTGATCACTTCCCCACCTCAAAGCAAAATTGGTACGAAGAGAAGCTGAATCATGTAGGTGCCACTACTCCTTGATCTCGAAGCCAGCTGACTACTAGCCAAGCTAACCATTATCATGTTTCAGTGTAGATCAACACGAGCCTCGCAGAGCTCCCACCAGAGCTCCAGTTCTTGACCTTCGATCACCTTACCGACGACTACATAGCCCTTTCTGCTCTGGTTCTTGTGTCCAGAAGTATCGCAGAGTGCACCCTGAAGGTGCTGCAGAACTGCGCCCTCGACTTCTTCGATGGAAACACTGACGAGATTGAATCCGCCTTGGACGCTCTGTTGCACCGCGCCAAAACCAGTGCAAGGGCGCCTCAAGTACTCTTCACAAGCACCGGGAACAATTTCGGCGAGAGTGTAATCAGAAATGCCTCCCGATTCACAATCTTCAGGTTGCGCTTTGCTACGCGGCATGGACACGTTGCGCAGGGTACACAACCTATACTGCCCAGTACCGTCAATTTTTTCAGATCGGCCATGCAAGCGCTAACTGGCAAGCCTCCTAAACACACCATCTCATGGGGCCAGAACTTTGGGCTTCGCAAGGCAGACGCTTCTGTTCACCTTATCCTCCACGCCCCTGCGCCACATCGCTACGCTCGAATTGGGAGGTGCGACAAACTGTTTGCCGTGGGACATGACCGGTATGCTAGAAATACTCCAGAATCTCAAGTTCGTCGGTACCACCAACAGAAAACTCTCGAGAGGTTGCTATGCCCTTGCGTGCCTACCAGGCCTTAATAGGCTCGAGTTCTCGAACATGGGCATCACCCTGGGTTTCCTTGAGTTCTTCCCACGTACACCAGGCACCATCTCGGCTACCACACTCTGCTTCGCTAACTGCTGGGTACCTCACAGGTCCGTCGAGCGCATCGTCGGCGCCTTTAGTGGTCTGGTCACGTTCGAGTACTCTCTCAACAGAGTCCTCGCCAAGACTCAGACGTACTGGAATCGTACGTGGAGCATTGGAAGATTCCTTACCGCTTTCCACCGCCATCACAACACCAGGAGTGCAACCGCATCGGCTCCCTGGCAACCTTCCTTACGCTGGAGACTCTAATCATCAATGAGCGATTTGTAGCGCCTCATCGCGTTGCGCACTGTAAGCCTGTATTCGACGACCTCCACTACCTCAGAGCCAGTCACACTCTGATCAGTAACGCTGCACTGAACCCAGATACTGCTAATTCTATGATCGTGCTGTACAGGCTACCCCAATCCTTGACGAAGCTGGAGCCGTCTGGCTGCGCACGAATAGTGATTGGCACGCTTCTGTCCAGGATTGAGCGGGGTACGGGTGTCGGCAGTCTGCGTGAGCTGACCATCACGTACAGTGAGCGCTTGCCTTCTGGAATCACGACCAGGGCTTTTACTCGGCAGGAATTGGAATTGATTGCGGCCTTCAGACAGCAAGGTGTCACGCTAAAGCTGCTACATACGACTGCTTGAGTGGGTGAGTGGGAATCCTGCTCCCATAAAGAGAAATGGACTGACATTGAGACAGCTTCCATCGAGTTCAGGATCAAAGTCGCTTGAGCTGGATCTCTTCTTAAGCTTCCGCATATAACAATCCCAGCGAGTGCTCCGGGAGTATAAATCCCACCGCAAGATTAGAATGCGACTGTCCTTCTTGACGGTCCTCACGAGGTCGCTCAGGCCTGCTAGTCATCACAGCAGACACTGACCACGTTCTCATGCACGTTAGCCTTTACAATCACGAGTCTGAAAAGCGCATAGACAAAACTTTAACCCACAAACCACAGCATCAAGTGCCCCTCAGCCAGCGTGGAAATATGCGTGGTATTACACCATTGACTGGTGTAGCTCTGGCTCACCCTCTACGACTCCCTGAAAGGACACCCCTTATCCGCACTCTGACTCTTCGTCTTCTCCTTGACCACCTTCCAGGTCAAATCCATCAGCCTCTCGCCCAGCTCCACATCATTCGCCTTGTCACTCCCCTTCTCCACGATCGCCGGAGGACAAATGTACTGTCCGCTCTTCTCCGTCATAGTCGCCGCGTACATTGTGCTCACCGCGCCCTCAAACTGCGTCTTCTTGAACGGCGCCATTCCGACGGACATGGCGTATCCGCCCAGCGGGAACGCTTCGTGGATGTGCTCAGTGCTTTGTCGGGTTTCGACGATGCCAGGGTGAATTGCATTGGCGAGGATGTTGGGGTGTTGGGGAGTCAGGTGGCGGGAGAGATATTTCGTGTAGAGAAGCGCGGCGAGCTTAGAGCGCGCGTATTGGGGTTGTGCGCCCAAGTCCGTATTGAGTTCGTCGATGGACGCGAACTGTGTGTCGGAGGGTGTTTGCTCGTGCAGGTTTGAGGATGTGCATACGATGCGGACCTTGCCTTTCTTTGCGGTCTCCTTCAAAATGGGCAGCAGGTGCGAAGTCAGGACTACGTGGCCGAAATGGTTGATCGCCATGTGTAGGTCGACGCCGTTTCTGGCCAGCTGGTAGGTCATGATTCCGCGCGCGGCGTTGTTGATCAGGATATCGATGCGATCTGTCTGTTCAGCGATCTTGAATGCTGTGCGGCCGGTTTCTTCCCAGTCGGACAGGTCGCACTTCATCCATACTACGCGGTTGCCTGTCTCCTCGCCCATCTCTTCCTTGATGGCTTTGATGGCATCTGCGGCGATGTCATCCGACTGAGAGAGGATGAAGAGCTTCTTCACGTTCTTCTTCAGCAAGGTGTGTGTGCAGCCATAGCCGATGCCTTCTGAGCCTCCGGTCACCACTGCGACTTTGCCAGACAAATCTGGGACGGCATCAAGCGAGAATTGATTTTCCGCAGATGCGAGCTCATTGCCAGGGATAATCTTGCCGAGATTCTCGGCGATAGTGTTCTTGATGGCCTCCATGCCGGGTATTTGTGACTCTGTTGATACTGGGCCTTTCAGTCGGTCGCTGTTCTCAGTAGAAAAAGGTCTGGTAGACAGCCTTGTTGCAATAGTTCGTAAATGTGGTGTTTGTCTCGCAGTGTTTTGTAGTACGAGAGCAGGCCTAAGTAGTCTTGAAGATTGCATATTCGAGGGAGGTGCAGGTCAGCTTAAATCTCACAGGGCAGGTGTGCTGTCAGTATCTGAGTGGACACTTGCGGATCTACTCATAGGATCCGGCGTCAAGGGGTAATCCACGACTTGGCCATCATGACGCGCACGCCCAATGGCAACCGCCCTGATGTCAGTGTAACAGTTCCATCTCGCTCAGTGTGGAGTGAAACGCAGACGGATGATTAAGAGATGACGCTGTGATGTCAATCCGATCGTAGCGCGGTTTCTTAGCGCGTCACTTATCGGTAACGCGCGGTAGCTCTTGCCCCGCGCGACGACGCGCCTATTCTCACACTCCGTAGGAATGTTCAGATGAAAGTCTGGAACCTCGGCGCCCTCAACCAGAATGGGCGCCGACCCTGTTCCCTCTGTCATCCAGGCTGCACGCAAGGCCCGCATCAACAGCGACATCGTCAAGCTCTGTTCTAGCCGCTGACCTCTGTGGGCGCATCCGAGCGCACAAGGTATCGGACTGTTTACGCATGTTGCCGGTATCAAAACTGCACCCAGGAGCCTACATGTCTCTTTCGGCGACCAAGTTGACAAAGAAGTCGCCCTGCTACCCCTCGGCGGACCGAAGAAGGTTCCGCCGAGCGAGACACGCGAAGCGTCGAACAATGCGCTAGTGACTCTGTACAAAGAGCTGCAGGCTGCTGTCAGGGCCGAAGAGAAGATCTACAACGATCAGAGGGCCGCAGCAGAGGAGAGGGGAGAGGTACCCAAGGATGCCTATAAGATGAGCCTCGACACTCTCAAGCAAAAGTATGGCGGCGTCAACAATCCACCACCAGAAACGGCGATACCCAGTCGACCAAAGGAGAAGCGAAAGCATTTCGAGTTCGCTGAGAGTGGGACTGATGAGGCGGCAAAGAAGAGGAGGGTTAGGTCGTGGCTTTGACTGGTAGACAAATAGACGCAGAGAGGCGAGCAAACGGAAGCAAACCCAGCAACGAGTACAATGTCTGGCGCGACCCACGGCGACAGGGGTATTGAGCATATCTGAACATTTTAGAGGAGGACTAGCACATTTTACACAGCATGTACGGCGTTCAGCGAGCGATATATCCATCTCAGCGAGCATATTGCGGTCATCTAGCCGCAACAATTCTACTGCATTCACACTGCATGCTGATCCAACCTGTTTCCCAAGATCCTGCCTCTTATCGCTGACGTCCCTTCAAAGTTCCGCCCACGCCATCTGGTCCGGCACATCGAACCACTGCGCCCATTAGCAAAGACTAGGTCCCAGTCGAGATCTGCTTACCTGCGCTCTACAAGCACGCCCGCCGCAATTACCCCTCATACTGCCATCGAGCTTGCTACATATGCCATCACAGTGCTGCTCAACATCTTCCAGCTCATGGGCGTGCTTGACAGGCACGTCTCTCCTGCCGCTGTTTTCGATCTCGTACTCGTCAGGCCCGAAGAGCTCGCGGTGGTACTTGAACGTGTAGCCGTTGGTTGTGTTCTTGTATTCCCGCAGGTAGGTGATGTCTTGTGAGCATGCGCCGATTGGGAGCGGGGAGATGCAGTGGTCGGTTATGGTCAGGAGGGGGGAGATGGGAGATGCTGCGGCGGATGGTGCTGGGAGATAGCTGAAGGTGAAGGCGTAGCCACGGAGTGAGCTGGAGGAGGTGCAGGTACAGAGTGAGCGAGCGATGATGTCCGCTTTTGCGAACCGAATGGTTATTGCTAATAGCATGGAGAAGGGCGCGGTAAGTTGCATGCTTAGCACTGGCGAAGGGGTGCTAGGCGTTGGTAGTCAATGATCGAAGAACTGCTCCGTTGAGTGTAGGCTGCTTCTATATAGCTATCAAAATGAGCATTGTCATTTCAAGCATGCAGGTCCGAGAAGCGGTCGTGCAACTCCTATCTTGCGGCTGTGTTGTTCGACATGTGCTCACTGGTGTGATACCCTTCCGCCGTCACACTTGTGCGCCTGCTGCGACACGTCTCCGTTCCCCAATCCTTGCTTTTGTCGGCGAACAGTCTGGCCAGCTCTGCCAACTCTGCCATATCCTCGCCCGCTTCAGAATCTCGCACAGGTTTGTTGTGCAGCGTCGTAACAGCAATCCCTATATTCGCACTCATGTTCGCATCATCCGCCGCTCTGCCCACTCCAATCGTTCTGGTCCGCATCTCCATCTCGTTCATACTAGCAACCCGCGATCGGCGCGGCGAGGTCGGGCCAGAGTTGGCTGTAGTTGTGTAGTATGTGAATCCAGAGAACTGGCTCCAGTCAGACACATTGCGACTGTGGGTGCCACGCGTCCGCATGGTATGTGTGCGTGTGCGGTTTGGCGTCTCGATGTCGAAGTCGAGGTTTGACTCGTCGTCGTGAAAGCGCGACGAGGTAGCATCTGGGTGATGTATGACAGTTTCGGTCGATGCGTAGGTGTGGGATGGGTAGCGGGGTGGTGAGGAGTCGATAGAGGTGGAATTCGTCTTGCTGGGCCTATGGTGGCTGAGTGAGGAGAAGAAGGTCGGCAGTGTGAGGAGTGAGGCTGCTGTTAATCCCAAGGTGAGCTCGATGGATGAGCACATTAGGATCAGTGGTGTAGGGTCGTCTGTTCCCGTGTTCTGCCAGCGAGTGTGGAGGAAGTATGTTCGCACGCTTGCGGCAGCTATAACCGTAACGGTAAACATGTAGACTACAACTAGAGTTATCTTGCGTAAGAGTTTGAGCTCCAGGTCCCGGAGTAGAGGCAGAGGAAGCAAGACAACCAGAAAGATTGTGAGCAAGTCCAGTATGCTATTGACGAAGCCAAAGAGTCTCCATACAGCTTCGGGCTCACTGGTCGAGCTCCAGTCGACAGTGATAGGGCCTGCAAACAATAGTGCAGAACCGAACCAGAGGACTGTAAAGAAGGCCGCAAAGCCTGTCAAGATTAGCAATGACCACGTCTTTGCCACATCTCAGACTTACAGATATACACCCAAATGGTGTGTCGGTGCCAGCTACGGGTGTCAAGTCTCAGCATGGTGAGTGCTACCGAAAGCTTGACGAATCCAATGCCTAATGTATGAAGCAGATTAACTACCCACAGCAGTAGCGATGTCGTTCGGTCATCATCTGCCGCAGCGGGCCATTTTTGATTTCCCACACTCAGTACGACGACCAACACAATGACTCCAATGGCACACAACTGAGAGCTAGTGTTAGTAGAGCTCGATGAACTACAGTAACACCTGACTTACTGTTGCAACGAGAAGCAGCCAATCATCAGTACCGAGGCTGCGTAGGAGTCTTCCACGAGTATAAGCTCTGAGCGAGAAGCTCAATAGCGCGACCGAGGCCAGCGTAGCGACAATGGCAAGTATCGAGGACGCGGGAACATTTCTGGCATCGACATGCATATCTTGTGCGTCGGAGGGGGTTTCGAGTTGGGATATCTGGAGTCATTCGTGCCGTTGGTATGGCGCGGGTCCTAAGGGTGTATGATCCTTTGCGAGATCGCTGCGTGGGCTCGGGGAAAATAGATTATCATGCTATTCGAGTGTTTGGGGCCCTCAATCTGTGCAACGTCGAAAACGAGGCGTTGCAGGTTTGTGGTATCACAGCAGGAGATCAATCTCCACCGGCGAGTCGACGTCTCCATGGTGATTTTTCGTAGGAGCGTCGAACAATGGTACCAGTGTGGCTCGATGTGTTGAAGCTGATCGGTCAGTGTAGTGATGGTTCCGATATGTTCAGTCGTGCTTGGACTAAGGTAGGGTAGCAACATGGTTCGCTGGGCATTTGAATGTTGTCGAGGCGCGCCACTCCATGCAGCTACGATGCAGCCCTAGATTGCTTTACTAGGATCACGGGCTGTTGATGTTTGTTTTTCCACGCGTTGTGGATGCTTTGTGAGCCTGTTGAACGGAGGGCAATCTCCTATCAGTCATGTTGGACCGGATGACAGTTTCTTAAAGAGGTGATCGCAAGAGCTGAACAGAATGACGGAGATTGAATCTCAACTGGGCAGATTGGCAGATGTCTTTCTTTTGAAGAAACGATGCGGGTGAATGAACGTTCAGCAAAAGCAATCCTCTAGATCTGAGCTACTCCATTGAGATGCTCCGATGAACTGCTCCGAGTCAGGCTCGAAGGCAACGCCCAACAGCGCCTGTGGTAGTACACGCCCCAGGAACCCAAGCCCGTTGGCCCGGGACCTGGACCTCACGGTGTGAATCGCCGTGCGAGGTGTAACATACTGCATGCGGAAAGTATCGATGCTCGTCGTTTGCTGCGTCCTCAGCTGTGTAACATGTCCCAATGGAGTCCTTGGCGTGGTGAAGATGCCGAGGCGATCCCTGAAGCGTCCAAATGGACCTGTGATCCCGAGCAGCCAATCACTCGAACGCCGAACAGCTGGCTCCCGCTGCATGTCGCGCATCGCTCCCGCGTGGTCTTCCAGATCGACATGTGAAACGTCATTGTTCGTTTTGCATGTGAGCTCGTCGTTTTCATGACGTCCGCAGGTCTGCCATCGAGGGCAAAACCTGGGTGGTGAGATCCACACACAAAGATTGCGCCGTAATGGACGACAAGAGATTGGCCGCGAAGGATGCGGAATCTCCAGCTCTTGATCGGCGCAGCATTGCCCGAAAGGCATCGCCATGTCCGAGTCCAGCGCTCTAGGAGCTTGGCCCCGATTTTACAAGCGTTAGGCAGCTTTACCGTGCCTCGGTATCTTTGAGAAGGAATGTGGGTTCGTCCTTAACATCCAGCGCATCCTCGAACTCCTTGCTCTGCTGCGCCTATGCGATTTCAGCACATCCGTCCTTTCACCTCGTCATCTCAGTTTCTCGTTGCCCAGGTGCATTTGCCTATTTGGAGCAGCTGTTTCTCCCCGCACTTTGTGGCGCTCCAGTTTTAACCCTGGTATGTCTGTGCGGCTCGGAGACTCCGACTTCAGCATCCACCGTGTGCGCTGGCTGGGCGTAAGCTAACCATCAATCATGGGGCAGACATTTCAGACTGTTCTCTCGTGTCTAGTAAAGGCATCCATCTACACTGGACCGCCGTAGCTGCCTTTCGCCGTCATCGCCATGTTTGGATCCACAGACCCACAGCTCCAGCGCGCGCAGGAGTTGCACGCCCCTCCACCAAAGGGACACCCGTACAGTCTGCCACTCGCAGGCACTGAGTCCGAGGGCAAGAGCGCCGTCTACAGGCACTGGCGATTCACAGACAAGCCTCTGCTCCACAGCCTGGTCCCTGAGATCAACACTCCCCATGAGGCCTTCGAGGCCACTGTGGCCAGACATCCCAAGAACAAGTGCCTCGGTCACCGCCCATACGACCCTGTCACCAAGAAATTTGGCGCATATGTCTGGGAAAACTATGAGCAGATTGCACAGCGCCGCAAGAACTTTGGTGCTGGTCTAGTTCATCTGCACAGGCAAGCCGGCATCACCCAGCCCAAGCAGTTTGGCGTTGGCTTGTGGTGCCAGAACAGGCCCGAGTGGCAGATCACCGATCTGGCTTGTATGTCGCAGGCTCTCTACACTGTCTCGATCTACGACACTCTTGGTCCCGACACCACTGAATACATCATCAACCATGCGGAGCTGGCGTGCGTCGTTACCGGCATGAACCACGTCACACAGTTGTTGAAGCTGAAGCCGCGACTACCGACACTTAAGATTATCGTTGTTCTGGACCCACTGTCTGCTGGTGAGCTTCCTGGCGAGTCTAAGGGCGACCTTCTGAACTCAATGGCAAGCGAATTGGGAGTGGCTATCCACTACATCCGTGATGTTGAGGCGCTGGGCGAGAAGCAGCCACTCCCTACGAATGCACCTACGCCCAATGACACTTGTACCATCAACTACACCTCTGGAACCACGGGAAACCCCAAAGGTGTCGTGCTTAGCCACCGCAACGCGCATGCTGCGACATGTACAAGTATGGTTCTTCTCGGTGCCGAAGGCGACCAGATCATCTGCTCCTTCCTGCCCCTGGCCCACATCTACCAGCGACTGGGCGAGCACGGTGCTCTGGCAGCTGGGTCAGCGATTGGATACTTCCACGGCAACATCGTCGAGCTGGTGGACGACCTGCAAATGCTGCGTCCCACCGTCTTTTCTGGCGTGCCTCGTCTCTACAACCGCTTCGGGTCCAAGATCAAGGAAGCTACCATTGAGCAGGGTGGCATCAAGGGTGCCTTGTCTCGCCACATCGTTTCCACCAAGCTGGCCGCCGTCAATGACAAGCACAACCCCACCAACACACACATGCTCTATGACCGTATCTGGGCTAAGAAGGTAGCTGCGGGTCTTGGCCTGGATCGCTGCAAGGTTCTTGTCAGCGGGTCTGCGCCCATCGACCCCAGCTTGCACCAGTTCCTCCGCGTTGTCTTCGGCAGCAATTTCACACAAGGTTACGGTTTGACCGAGACGTACGCTGTCTCTCTGATTCAGCACGAGGGCGACTTCACGTCCGGAAACTGCGGCGGTGTGACACCAAACACGGAAGTCTGCCTGGCCGACGTGCCGGATATGGAGTACCTGTCTTCGGACAAGCCATACCCTCGCGGTGAGCTGCTCGTTCGCTCGACAACTACGTTCAAGGAGTACTTCCGCAACCCCGAGGAGACAGCCAAGGCCATCGATGCAGATGGGTGGTTCCACACTGGAGACATCTGTCTTGTCGACGAGATGGGTCGTTTCAAGATTGTCGATCGCAAGAAGAACGTTCTCAAGCTCGCGCAGGGTGAGTACATCTCGCCGGAGCGCATTGAGAACGTCTACCTCGCCAACTGCGGATGGATGGCGTCAGCGTACGTGCACGGAGACAGCCACCAGTCGTTCCTGGTGGCCATCTTCGGTGTCGCGCCAGACATGTTCCCACAGTGGGCGTCGAAGGTGCTGGGTGAGAAGATCGCCGAGGGCGACATCGCGAAGCTGAAGGAGATCCTCAGCGACAAGCGGATCGAGAAGGCTGCACTGCAGGAGCTCAACAAGATCGGCACCAAGAACAAGTTCAACAGCTACGAGAAGGTCAAGGCCGTGCGACTGTTCCTCGAGCCCTTCACCATCGACAACGAGCTCTTGACACCAACGTAAGTTTGACCTCTGCAGGTTGAAGAAGCGTGCTAACGATGCGCAGATTGAAGCTCAAGCGTCCCCAGACGGCTAAGGCGTTCAGGAAGCACATCGACGAGTGCTACGAGGAGGGACTGGCCGAGGAGGCCCAGGCCAAGGCCAAGGCCAAATTGTAGACTGCTGTGCATGGATGCGTTGGAGCGAAGTTGCCCAGATGGACAACGTCCAATCACAGAGAGTATTCGATGGCGCACGTGTAGGAATAGATGTTGGAAGTCCAATAATAGCAACACAAGCGTGCCGTTCAAGCGTGTTTGCTGCGTGTGAGAATGCAGTCGCTAACTAGCGCCGGCCATGTGATGTTCACGCGTGCCAGCCCAGCAACGCCCGCGTCTGTTTGACACAAAAACAAACACGACTGCATTCCCAACCGACAGCCCTTGCGCGCGCCCGCGGCGACTCGAGCGTCCCCCACGGCCATTGGCACGTCCAGCTAGCCCGCACACATCTGGCAGCACGAATCGATCGCAGCAGGCAATCCCACGATCCGCGTTCGGGTGGTGCCCGCGTGGCTGGGCTGAGCGGGTCGCCATGAGCGACGAGACGCCCGCAGAGCGCGTCAGCCGGTTCCACGAACACACCAACACCAACAGCAGCATCCGCGCGCCGCCAGACGAGCTGTGGAAGGACGTCGGCATCGAGCGCCTGCTGGACAAGTTCAGCGACGAGAACGACTCGACGCCTGCCGTGCGCCGGCCATACCACCCGCGCAAGATGATGGCGCCCACCGGCCACCGCAAGAGCCCCTCGACGCCCGCCGCGCGCAAGCAGAGCGATGCCGCGGCCACGGTCGCCACGGCCGAGGGCACGTTTGGCCGCTTCGGCCGCGTCTTCGCCAACGTCTTCGGCGGCGTGCTGGGCAAGCGCAAGGCGGGCCTCGACGACGCCGCGCCTGAGCCACGGCCCGACGCGGCGCAGGCGGCGCTGGATGAGCGCAAGCGGGCCGCCGAGGAAGCGTACCACGTCGCGAAGGCGCAGGGCTTGCTGCCCGCGCCCAAGGTGTTTGTGCGGCCGGGCACGGCGCCGCGCGCCTGGTCGGCTGGTACGTCGTCGATGCACTCGCGGTCTTCGATCCGCGTCGTTGACGGCGATGAGACTGACGCGCCCAGATGGTCCAGCGAGCGGGCCGAGACGGCGCGCGCCCCCGACCCCGCGCACGCCCGGAAGCGTCGCAAGAAGTCCGTCGAAGAAGGACCTCGGTAGGCAGGAGAAGCTGTCCCGGCGCGTCAGCAGCCTGGAGCTCAAGCTGGCGAGCGCGAAGAAGGAGCTCCAGTCCGTGCTCGCAAACGAGTGCATCCCCGCCGTCCCGCCGCTGCCCGCACACGTCTCCACCGACGACGCGGCGCCGCTCAGCCCGTCCTTCGCCGACGACGGCCGCGTCTCGCCCGTCCCCTCGCGCCAGCCCAGCCTGAAGCGTGCCAGGCGCGACGCGTCTACGCGGCTGAAGCGCACGAGCAGCCGCCTGAGCCGGAAGGTGTCGCGCAACAGCATGCGGGAGGACAGGGAGGAGGAGCGGGTCGTGGTCATCAAGCCGGGCGGCGCGGTGCCGCCCGTGCCGGCCATACCACAAGACGCCACAGGCAGGCCGGCCATACCACAAGACGCCACGGGCAGGCCGGCCAGGGTTTGCGGCGGCGGCGGCGGCGGCGGCGACGACGACGACGACGGGTACGGCGGGCTGGGGCACGAGATGTTCTGAGCATCTTTCCTTTGTCCTCGCAGCGTCCCTGGTTTGGTGTTTGGGGGGTTTGCATAGGCGTGGTTTCTTTTCTGGCATTGCATCTCCCACCAGTGTTCCCACCAGCGCGGAAAAGCCCATGGGCTACGATTTTCACGACGACACGGCTCTGTTCTGCGTAATTCCTGGGTGGAATACATCCTTGACTCTATATAGGCTGCTTGCTGGCACAACCGGGAACACATCCTTTCTACATGTATTGCTTGCTGGCGCAACTAGGAATGCATCGGTACATCCTTTTCGTATGTACTGCTAGGAATACATCCTTTTTGCATGTACTGCTGGGAGTACATCCTTGACTCTGTTGTAAGGGGCGACGCTGACACGATGCAAGTAGAGCCATTTAAAGCAGAGCCATGCATGTGTAGAGCCCTGTATGTGTAGAGTCCTGTAAATGTAGAGCCCTGTATGTGTAGAGCCATGCATGTGTAGAGCCATGCACGTGTAGAGCCATGTATGCACAGAACCATGTATGTGTAGAACCATGTATATGTAGAGCCATGCACGTGTAGAGCCATGTATGTATAGAACCATGTATATGTAGAGCCATGCATGTGTAGAGCCATGTATGTAAAGAACCATGTATGTGTAGAGCTGTTTTATGTACAATTAATCTATGCACACCAAGCCCATGCACACCACGCCTTGAACGCCGCCGATGCAAACTAGTCATGCGGACAGGTGGAAATAGGAAACTCGTTGCACGTGTCGGCGGCGGTTCAGAAGCCGTTGAAGCCCATTAGCATCGCGGCGCCGGCGCCGGCCAGCCACGGCGCAGCAGTCGCCATGGCCATCGCAGCGCCCGTCGAGGCGGCGCCTGTGCCCGTGACGGACGGGCTGTTGACGCGCGGTCCACCGGTGCCGACCGCAGCAGTGGAGACGGCGTTGGCGACGACGCTGGCGCCGGGCACGCCCGAGGCGCCGGCCTGGATCTCCTTGACGTTGGAGCTGGTGGCGTTGAAGTTGGTCTGGGCGAGCGAGATCTCGTTGTTGTCGAGGTCGTACACGACGTATGCGGAGCGCAGGAACGTGTCGCCGAGGACGGACACGCTGCTGCCGGCGGGGCCGATGCCGAGGATGCACACAGGCTGGCCGCGGCTGACGGCTGCGGTGATGACGAGCTCGTTGTAGGGGACCGAGATGGTGACGCCGCTGAAGCCAAACTCGAGCGATCCATCCTGGTTGGCGAGGTCGCAGTCGACAAAGGCAGCGCCCTGGCGCGAGTCGTAGCGGGCGTTGAACTGCGTGTACAAGGCCGTCGCGACGGCGTCGGGGAGGTACATGAGCGAGGAGCCGGAGTCCAGGAGCACGGCAACGTTCGAGTTGGAGAACAGCGACGTCTTGTTGCTGCCAACGCCCATGTCAGTGAGGGCAATGATGAACTCGGCATAGACGCCCTGCTCTTGGATGATGGGCAGCGTGCTGAGCGTGCCACTGTACTTGTCTGTGTCGACGCCGCCGAAGAGAATGCTGCCCGTCGAGGCGTCGAGGTCGTTCAGCCACAGCGAATATGCGTTGGCGCTGATGGCCTTGTCGTTCTTCAGCTTCTGCGGCAGGTTGGGGTACTCGTCCAGATTGAAGCGGTTGACCTGCACCTCATTGATCATGTAGCCAATGCCGAGGATGCCCTCTGGCGAGCTCGACGTGTATCCAATGCCGAACTGCATGTTTTGTATTGTCTGTCCGCCGAAGCGTAACGTGTCGGTCGCGTAGTCGCCCGAGGCGCCCGAGCCGTCGACGTACGAGATGTTGAAGGCATTGTTGACAAACTCATATGTCGACGACTCGTTTGCGTTGTACGTGCCAGAGTCGCCGCACTGGTTGCCGCGCTCTGTGCACAGGCTCGACTTGTACGAGTTGACCCACAGGTCGCTGCTCCCTGTGTCGATATGCAGACGGAACGTCTGCTCTGGTGTGCCAAGGGTTGCGTTCGCGAAGTAAAGAGTCTCTAGATTGTCGAGCGTCTGCTGGACGGTGCCTCTCCTGCGCAGCTGGTCGTGGGCAATGGGGTCGTCGACGATTCTGCGCTGGATGTCGAGGCCGACTACTCTGGGGCTCTGGTGCCGTCAGTACCGGGTCAAGCAAGGGTGGGCAGGAACGCTGCGACTCGCGGATAAGGCGCCCGACCGGGAGGATTTCGCTTCGCAGCGTTTTCTGGGGAAGCCAAGACACGACTTACCTCTCGTGACGCCAGCTTCAGCGCAGCCGCTGACGACACCAACTGGGCAGCAGCAAATGTGGAGTACTTCATGACGGGTCTTGGTATTACGGATTCAGGCCGGGCGGCTGTCTATATGTGACGGGCGCCGGTCGACGCGGAGGTGGCTCGTGGAAATCTGACGCGCAACAGGTCGCAGTCGGACTTTGGGTGAGCCGGACTATGTGTAGCAGGCTGCTGAATGCGTAACAGCGGCTAAGTCAAGGGTCTGAGGACACGAGGGATATAATAATAAATAAAATAGAGCGACGGTACAGCAGAACAAGCAGACAAAGCAGCGGTGCACAATAGGCGCGGGCGTGGAAGACTTATTTGTGCAGGGGGCGATCAACTAGCTGCCCAGCAGTGATGACGACGCTCATCGAGGCTGGTCTGGAAGACAAAAGGCTGCGTTGCTGCGGACGCTGCTCGGATCGTGCGGCTGCCCATGGAGCCGCTGCACTTGCCGATTTGGAACGTCTACGAGCCAACCAGACGCCGGCCAGCGCTGGTCCCCAGCCAGAGCATTGCGTCGCCGTGGCGGTGCTCTCCCTTGAGACGTGATTTGCGAACAACCGTTTCGACATCTGCCTCGACGCAGACCGAGCCAATAGCGGCGAGGCGCAGGCTTGACCGAGCCTGAGACAGCGACAATTGCAGTTTCTGCGTCGCCGGAAAGCACACAGAGGTGGCTGGCTGCCTCGTGACTACTGGTGTCTTGCGTATCGACTTGCGTATGCACTGCACACCACGCGCCCAGTCATGGCAAGTCTCAGTCATCCTGGCTTAAAGCCGGCGCTTCTTGCACTTCTCCAGTGCCTAGTCCGCGCCGGCGTCAATACTGCGTGCATCGAGACGGACAGTTTCTTCTCCTCGTGCAAAGCTTTGCTGCAGCGTCAGGCAGGGCGAAAGAAGCTTCAGCACGCATGCACTTGAGTCGCCGAGGAGATCAAGCTTCTAGAGCTTTGACGCAGATGAGGAACCAGGTGCAGATCAGAACACTGCACACACCATAGTAACCCTTTCTGTCCTGCTCCGGCCACAGCAGACGCTGGACAGGCACCTCGACCATGACGTCGGCGTCAAGCCACCATCTCGATGTCACGTGATGGCGCTAGCAAGTCAATCGCGTCGTGCGCGTCTACGCGTAGCTGCAGCCCCTCCAGCAAAGTCGACATTTACCGCACACCATGTCGAAAGGAGAGTCTTCAAAGGCAGCCGCCAGCAATGGCGTGCGGGCGGACCCCAATGCAGCCGGAGGCGCCAATTATGAGCTGCCATGGTAATCATCGTCCTTCACCGGCCTCGCTGCACTCGATCTAATGTCCAAACAGGGTCGAAAAGTACCGGCCCGTATACCTCGACGATGTCGTTGGCAACACAGAGACGATTGAGCGTCTCAAGATCATCGCAAAAGACGGGAACATGCCTCACATGATCATCTCTGGCATGCCGGGAATCGGCAAGACCACATCGATCCTCTGTCTGGCACGACAGCTGCTCGGCGACGCCTACAAGGAAGCTGTGCTCGAGCTCAACGCCTCTGACGAACGCGGTATCGACGTGGTGCGAAATAGGATAAAGGGCTTCGCCCAGAAGAAAGTCACACTCCCTCCCGGCCGCCAAAAGCTCGTCATCCTCGACGAAGCAGACAGCATGACCAGCGGCGCCCAGCAAGCCCTCCGTCGAACCATGGAGATATACAGCGCCACGACCCGCTTCGCATTCGCCTGCAACCAGTCCAACAAGATCATCGAACCCCTCCAGTCCCGCTGCGCCATCCTGCGCTATGCCCGCCTCACAGACGCCCAGGTCGTGCGCCGCGTCATGCAAGTCTGCGAAGCCGAGAACGTGCAATACTCGGACGACGGCATTGCGGCCCTCGTCTTCTCCGCAGAGGGCGACATGCGCCAGGCGCTCAACAACCTGCAGTCCACAACCGCCGGCTTCGGCTTCGTCAACGGCGACAACGTCTTCAAGGTCGTCGACAGCCCGCACCCCATCAAAGTCCAAGCCATGATCAAAGCCTGCCACGAGCAGCGGATAGATGACGCCATGACGACGCTGAAAGAACTGTGGGATCTGGGCTACTCGTGCCATGACATAATCAGCACCATGTTTCGCGTTACCAAGACGATTGATACGCTGAGTGAGCATGCCAAGTTGGAGTTTATCAAGGAGATTGGGTTCGCGCACATGCGCATCTTGGAGGGTGTGCAGACGCTGCTCCAGCTCAGTGGATGCATTGCGAAGCTCTGCAAGATCAACATGCAGCCGCAGCTGTTTGTCATGCCATCCAAGTAAGGCGAGAGAGAGATTTGTATGCATTTAGCCTGGCGTTTGGAGTGTCACATACGAGGATGCAAAGGTAGAGATAGCCATGGAGGTACCAGCATGGACAACACGAAATTGGCCAAACACCCATCCCGTTGTCTTTCGACAGCCTTGTCAAGTCACGCACTCTCGCTCTCCCCCTAGGCACCTCGTCCTCGTCCTCATCCTCATCCTCGTCCTCGTCCTCATCCTCATCCTCATCCTCATCCTCGCCCTCATCATCCCCCCGCTTCGGACAGCAAACATGCACCACTTTCCCCCTGCCATTAATCCGACAGAAATGCGGTTTCCCCACACTCCCGGACTCGTCGGTGTCGCCGCATCGCTCTCTGCGTGCTCGGAACGCACCTCCAAGAAAGACGAGTCCGACACAACATCACCGCTGTCGAGGGCGTGTGCCACATCTCGCATTCTGGTAGTGGGGGCGGGCAGCAGTCTCATCACGAGGCTTCTGCGCCGACTGCGTGGTCGCGCGCTGTCTTCGTCGGGGATAGCGCAGGGCTGCGCCTGTTGCTATGCCGAGGGCGAAATGTGCGGCTTCGCTGTGCAAGGAGGAGAGTCAGGTTGTGGAGGATATGAATGCGTGTGCTCTTTGGTTTGGCGCTGGTAGATGCGGATATGGATTTCTACATGTGTTGGGACGTGCGTGTTATTGTCGTGATTGCTGGGCTTTTCTTGTTTGTCGAAGGACTCGTTGTTCGGTCGAGCATGTCTTGTTCGCGGTGGAGGAAGCTGCGAGTGCGCAAACTGGTAGTGTAGTATCTTGCTTTGTTCCTGCTTTCACAGACGCAACATTGCCAGGCTTTGAGTAGAGGGTGAAGTGGCACAGATGAGGTGGTGAGTCTTTCAGGCAGTCGACGATGAGATCTTCTGAGAAGTTTCCTCCCCCGCTTGCTTCGATTTTGCCAACTGCCGGCCTGCAACTGAACTCCGTGATCTTCTGGCTGGCTAGGATGCTTCGGAGTATCTTAGGAGCGATCAGACACTGTGCGGCATCAAGGACTCGCAGCTTCTTCTCCGACAAGAGAACGTTCACTTGGCGAGAGGGCTCACCAAGGTCAAATTATATTCCTCCTCCCTCGTCACATTTATAACACTTGTGACAGTATCAAAACTGGCGCAGTCTGCCCACAAATTATGGAAATTGAGATCCTCGTTTGAAGACTACGCATCTACTGGGACACGAAAGAGACGATATGGCATGCAAGTGGGATACTCTCACTCACCTGCATTTTGAAAGCACAACAGTTGCGTCTTCATGAGCTATGACAACGGAAATAGCGGACTGGCTTTGGAGATGACACGGACCCAAGAGACGTAGGTCAGTATGTAGTTGATTTTCGGCACGTCACTCTTGAGCGGCACTGATGCTCGTTCGGCCGCTCGATACTCCGGTGCTCATTCACCAGGCCAGCCTACTTTGTAACGCCAGGCAAGTGCAACATTGGTACCCTGCATATCAAAGTCAGAGTCTGTTACATATAGTAAGGGAGTTGAGTATTCACCCCGGACCTTCGGTTCACGAACATCTCTACATGATCGCTAATGTTAGAGTTCTAACCCGGTGGTATGCTCGCAATCCCAACCTCCACACCACCTTCGGACCCCTACATCATCTGGGCCCGAGTATGCCAGATTCACGAGCCAAGTTTCGCGCCACCAAATTCCGCTCCCGATCCCAACGCATGGACTACGCCCATTCAGGTAGCAGCGGGTATACAGATCGTCGAATCGATGGATATCAAGAGCGTGGTTCGGCGCGCGCCGTTTCCGCTGTAGGGTGCTGAGGCTTGCGCGGAGTTCTTCTTCGATGGGAAGAACCCCGCGAGCAAGGCTACTGGACGGCCTTTCTGTGACACGCATTATGCAAGGCGGATGTAAAGGAGACCTTTATGTAGGTCATCAGAGACGAGTGAGATGCGGCAGGAATGAGCCCCTGTAGCTCGTGCGTGCCGTTGGTAGAAAACCACAAGACATGGTGCATGGTAGTGACGTCCAGACAATCGAATCTGCTGCAGTATCTCTGTGTTCTCAAGGGAAGGCGTACACGCCAAGTTGTCCAAGTACAGGTGCTACTTGGCGTAGATCCGGTGAAATGTGCAGGTGTTGAACGAGGTCCGCATTCCTCAGCCATGTTTCTCGGATTTCTGAATCATAGACTCTCGGTAGGCTACTCGGCGCACCTGAGTGCTTTGTGTTTCGGCGTAGAACCTCGGTCGATGGAAGAATTTGTCGAAGGTGCTGCCCGATGCTGAAGGGGTGCAGGCGTTGATTTGATGGTCTATGTTGCAGTAGTTGGAGCATTTCACGAGTGGTACGAAGTAATCTTCGAAGCTGCCGTTCGTGGCAATACTGCTGAAGCGACGTAGGAGTGGTTGTTCTGAGATCCTGTTGACAATCATCTCATTCCCAGTAGCGCCAATTATCAGGATTGCAGAGAAGACATATGCTGCATTTGACTCAAACGAAACGATGTGGTATCTTGCGCCAGTAGTGCTATACCAAACTCCGTACAATGCAATGCTAAACCTGGATCCCAACATGTCAACACTAGTTCACGGCCAGCTGGCCCACTACGCCACCTGCGCCTGCTCAACTTCCTTCTTCCTCTCTTCCTCTTCTTTCTTCTTCCTCTCTTCCTCTTCTTGCCTGATTGTCTCTTCAGTCTTCTCCCACACCTTCGCATTAGGGTTCCATTCATGTCCATTAAACAGAGTGTTCACCAACGCGGTCTCCTTGTATTCATCCGTCAAGATCTTGTCGTAGCTGTACGGCACCTTCGCCATGACGCCCTCAAACATCGTCTCGCGCAGGGGATATATCTCGTCGGTGCGGTAGCGGTGGTAGTTCTTGCAGCTCCAGATGCCCGGTTGGCTGTCTGGGTGTGTTTCCGAAAGACCGGTAATGTCGATGAAGAGCCCGTTACGGAGGTCGATCCAGCGCGCGTCAATGATGTTCATGCCGTTTCCGCGTTCGCGTTGCCAGATCCATGGGTTGACGTCAAGGAGAAAGCTGCGTTTCACTTGCCCGTTGTCGGACGTGTACGAGTAGTTGGTCTGGTTGTAGGCTTCGCCAAGATGGCGAAGGGTTGCGCCGCTAACCTGGGTATCGAGATCGAAATCCCATGGAAGTCGCTGTTGGTGTCAGCAACGAAGCAAATACTTACGAGGGGTCTCTCATACCTGACCGTTCCACCACCAGCCTAGCAGGGTTCCGTGGGCGATCCAAGTGTCGAGGTCGTTTGAACGGAAGAAGTCCAAGTATGCGCGTACCATGTGCTGTTGTGTGTCCCTTCGCTCTTCATCAGAGACCACGCCGTGGAAGTAGCGCTTATCATAGTGGCCGAGCGTGTTATCGCCTCTGCGAAAGTATGAGTGCTCTGACTGATGACCTAATCGAAGCTTCGTGTGACCTACCCGGGCTCATGAAAATACTTGCCATCCCCGTCTCTCTTCACAATCTCGCTCTCTGACTCTTGCGATGTGTGCGTTGAGCTGTCGAGGTTTGATGTTGGTGCTGCCAATGTGGATACGAACAACGCCGCCACGACGGCACATATCGACAGTCTCATGGCGAGGCTGTGTCACTGCTCCAGTATCGATGTCGTGATAAGAAGATGGCGCTCTGGTTGTGTGGTTGCCGTCAGTAGTTAACAGAGCGTCAAATCGTCCGGAGGGGTGTTTGATTTTGCGGAAATCTGTTGGAAGGCGATATCGGTTCCGGCAAGGAGGTCGCGTGTGTGTGTCTTAGGTGTGAAAGAGCGTACAGGTACAGGAATTGACTCGGCAGTCGTAGCCAACAGGTGGGTATAAGGCAAGAGCGGGAAATGCAGAGTACACAAGAAAAAGGGAGTATGAAACAAACTTCGCCCACGACGCGCACGCTTACTATTTGCTCACCTACCCACACAGCCCACCTTTTCCTATCACATCCTCTGCTTGTGCCCATGTTACCCCGGAGTAGTCGGCAGTCGCAACCCAGGCCAGGTCGACCCAATAGGCATAGCTAGCGCTGTTCGACCCGAGTGCCGAGTGCGAAATGCTTGTTTAAATGTGGGACGGCCAGTTACGCGCGGCCGTTGGAGATCAAGCATTGCGATAGGACACGGCAGCATGTCGATGGAGCGACACCAAGACCGCCTATCCGCTCAAGAGATGGATGGTGCTGCAGGAACGCCTGCATTGTGCGGCTCGTAAACCGGTTTCGCTGTGGTTTTGTGGTCACTTTGCACTCGTTGTGAGGGTGAAAGATTGGCATCCTGAGCCTAACGTCAGGCATTCGCGTCCCATGTCTATGTCGCGTGCGTTATGTCCGCAAAGGGCTGCGCCGGTTTGATTGCCTCGTCAGCGCTCCACACTAGTTAAGACTGCGAGAGGTCGTGACGTATGCTCTTCTACGCATGCTTCATTTCCACATGTGCTGTTTTGGACACGCCAAGAATCAGGGTTTGCTTCCCTCCTCGTGGATGTTACGTTCATTCAACTTCACCGTGTTGAACAACGGCTTTATTACACTTTAAATTATCTAAAGGGGCTCGGTGCAGTTGTTGCACGATACATAACAACTCACGTTTCGGAAGAAATACTATCCTTCATGCCCGGCAACAAGAGACGATAAGACGTTCACGTTAGCCTGTCACAGGGCTGCAGGCTCATGCAAGGTCTCACTGAGCAACGCTCCCCTTCGCACAACGTCTTACTGTTTCAAGCAGACGTTCGGCGAGCTGAACTTTCTATTCGGTCGCAAGCAATAATAGTTCTGTTATTACAAGTCGCGACTTTTGCGGGCGAGAACACTCTATGCCCAAACGCTCGACCCATTGCAACCTCCCATACGCCTAGAAGAGTGAACGCTGCATATGCTTATGAGACGTCCATGGCCTCGGTGCCGTTGGTGACGGTGAACGATACATCGCCTGCATCGCCAATCAGGCGCTTCTCGGACTCGTTGACGAACTACATCGCATTAGCATCAGAAAACCCAGTGGCACTTTAGCACATGACTTACCTTCACACTCCGTGTAGGGTCATAGAACAGGGAGAAGCTGCGCTGGACGTCCTCGATCGTAACCTCTGGCCCTTGCCTCTTCTTGCGCACCAGATCTGAAGTAGTGATGAGGTTGCTGGCGTATCTCAGCCCGGTCTCCAGGCCAATCTTGGTAAGCAGTGCCAATGCATCAGGCGAGATGTCGACCTCCTCTTCCTGTGCGCGTATTGAGATGATCTGCTGCATCTCTTCCGAGTTGTACGCGTGTGTGCTGACTATAACCACGCGATCTAACAGATCCAGTGGTAATCCATGTGGCGATCTGTAGTCGGTTCCCCTGATTTGTGTGTTTCCCCTGTTGCTTGCCATGATGACGATGGGTGCGAGCTCGTCCTCAAGGGCTCTGTTGATGAAGGAGAAGCACTCGATGTCGAGCATGTGAACCTCATCGATAAATAAGACACCGGGCACAATCACAGCCTTTCCTTCCTCTTTCCATTCAGCCACCTTGGTATTGATCTGATCGCGCACTTCGCTCCGGATCTCGCCTGTGTCACCGGAGAAGAGGGCTAAAAAGCCTTGCGATCTCGAGTTGATGACATCGATCTCGTGCAGGCTGACCGTGTGTACCACTTCGCGCCGTTGCTGGAGCTCTCCTTCAGGACATTGGACAAACTTTGTGTCGATGCCCATGGCGTCGTAGTCCCTCGATCGTGTGTAGGAGCGGCCGAGTTTCGATATCTTGCCTGATGCTTTGTCGATCGAGATGATGTCGCCTGCCATGATCTTTTCCTTAGTCATGGCATCGATCATCTTGGTGCCCATATCGTAGATGGTCTCCATGTCGGTCGTCTTGATTGTGAGCTTGCCCTGCTTATTACTCTGCAAATGTTCAGTACCGTCCAGAGTCAATCTTGCTTCATACATACCCCTGTGATGCTGCGGTCAATCTGGATCTCAACGACTTCGCCTTCAATGACCTCGCTCTCTTCTGTTATCCGTACGCCAATGGACTTGCGGAACGCCTGTGTAAGCGCCTCAGTCTTGGACATCTCCAACGAGAAGATCTCAGACGATGCAAGCGTGGTGAATGGAACGTCTGGTCCCAACGACTGTGCCATACCCATTGCGATGGCTGTCTTTCCAGTGCTTGGAGGCCCAGCAATCAGGACTGCGCGCCCTGCGATCTTGCCTTCCTGTGCCATTCTGAGGATCACGGCGGCGGCCTTGCGCGCCTTCTCCTGTCCGACAAGTCCCTGCGACGATGCTTTCGGCTCGAGCGTGTCTGGCTCCACTCCCAGACCGCGAATGTGCGAGTGCGCCGCGATGAGGTTGAGCCCGCGGAGCTCTTTGCTCTCAGCGATGGTTGTGATAGGCTGTAGTTCATCAGTGTGATTCCTAAAGCGCTCAAAGCATCACCTACGACAGCCATGGTGACGTGGATTCTGTGTTGGTAAAGAAACTGGAATTGCGCTTCGTTCGCGATCTCAGTTGTGAGAGCTCATCGCGACTTCTTAGCGGTGGCCCGTGCCCGACGCGGCGCGCCTACCTTCACTGCATACATATAAACTTCCGGCTCGCTCCACCCCTCCCTCTGCACTTCCACTTTATATAATAAATTGCCCGTCGATCGGAGCTACAGAACTTTACGTACAGGCCCCTATTGGTGCTGTGCATGACATGCAAGCTCAAGCAGATCAGCAGCTTCAAACGTTTCGACACGGGGCGACACCAAATTCGCCAGGTATGTTAGCCTGAGCCTAGATATGACTCGTTCCTTACGCGCCGGGGGCAGCCATTCCCTTACGCGTGCAGCTTATTCAGATAACTGCGAACGTTCGCTGTCGTGTCGAGCTGGTTGCTCCACTCACGCGCTAGTGGACCGCTGTGTTAGCGTGTCATGTGATCTTACTTTGCCTTGAAGAATTGCTGACTATGTTTTTGCGCAGAACACAACTGAACACCGGTGAGACTGTTGAAAGTTGGCTTTTCGGGCCTATGGATGCGCGGAAGAGGCCTGCCGCACCGCGGTCTCGGGGTAACAGTCCCCCAACGAAAGGGAGGCGCCGATTAGAGCAATCTTCTATAACAGACAGGGTTAGACTGTCCCAGGATGGATGAAGGTACCACGGCTAACAGGATGCTATAGTACGCAAACGCAGCATACTCTAGCCATCCCCCTAGTCCTCCATCTTCCAGGAAGAATTCTGCTCCTGGCGTGCCAACCAATACGCGGACGGGACCTGCGCCTTACTCAACGAATATACGTCGTGTTGACCAGAACAGACGAAGCAGCGACTGCAGTGCGGTCAGCGGTTTTGAACTATCTCAGAATGCTGGGAGACAAGTAAGCTCCCGAAAGCCAAGTACAGACCACAGTTCATTGCATGTCATTTCGCCAATGGGCAATCGCAGTGGATCTAGTACACCTGTGCAAGTCGCGTCCCTTGTACCTTCCATGCGGCCTGTGGCACAGAAAGCAGTGGCTGGCGCACCTATGGACACTTTGAATGCGTTGCGGGCACACAAAGCCTCACATGCCGTGAGGGTGTCGCAGGCAACTAATAATGCCACCACTCAGGAGGTGAAAGTGCTAAAGGCACAGGTGAGAGCTGCTCAACTACAAGAGGCTCAACTTCGCTCCGAGTTTAAAAAACTCGAGAGCCAATTCAAGCAATTCGAGGATCATCCAGCTCAGTTAGCAGCACTAAAGGAAATGGCTGAGCAACAGCAACAAGCAGCAGCCAGAGGGCCTTCGCCAGGAGACATCAACAACCGGCTCAGCTCTCTGGAGAACGCAAAGCCTTCAATCGAAGTGACTCAATTCGTCGAACTGCAATCAGTTGTGCAGGCCATGAAGACCGAAGCCACGAAGCTTGACCTGGTCCCAGAACAGCTGAAACAGCTGCAAGCAACGGTCGCGCAGTACGACGAGAAGATTGTGGGGGCTTCTTCAGAGAACGACAAACTCAAGACTGAGGTGGATCGCCTCATGTCTATGAAGGAAGACGTCAAGAAAATCAAAGAGCAGCAAGAGCAGCAGACTCAAGGACAGGCGTTAAGAACAGAATCCATCAAAAAAATAACCCAAGCAGTAACTAAACCTGACGTTGCGAGGTTGGAGGCCATTCAGACCAAGCAACAAACAACGATTGAACAGCTGTCGACGAAAGTTATTGGGAGCCAGGGGGACATCGGAGGCATATTGGCGAGGGTTGAAACAAACAAGAAGAGCATGAAAGACATGTCGACGACAGTTGATGCAGCCCAAAGGATCACCAACGAGCTGGAGGTGTACAATCTGCCGAATTCGGAGGTTCTAATGGATAAAATTGGCCAGGTCGAAAGGCATGAGGCTAGAGCCTACCGCAAGTTTGGCACACTCGAGACTGACTTGACAAGGCTACGCGACGAACAGAAAGACTTGAATAAGGACATTGAAGAGTTCATCGGGCTAATCCGCGCCAGATTTGTCGAAACGAACAGTACAATCATTCAGAGAATCGTGGACCTGGAAGGTAGAGCACACTCTCTGCTAGCAGAGCAGGACAGGATCTCAAATCACGCAGGCAAGCATCACATCACCCCCAAGGATTTTGAAGAACTTCAGGAAGTTGTTTCTGGGCTTGGAGAGGGCCAGGAGAAGTTGGTGAAAGACGTGACAGAGATAAAGGTCATCATTGGTGAGCTTGAGAACGAAAGCCCGACCAAATCCGCCCAGGGCGTGCAAGCGGATCTCTCGAAGAAACGAAACACGGTCATCGATCAACTCAACGAGATCCGGAAGGAGCAGGTCAGCCTCCACAGCCAACAGAAGTCTTACCAGACTGAGTGCGACAAACTATCCGAGGAACAGACTAAATTCAAGAAAATTTCGAAGAGTCTTGAGTCCCGCGTTCCGGCTTTTGACAAGACCGTCGACCAGGTGAAGGTCCTAGCAAACGCACAGACGGATCTTAACAATGCACAAGAGGAGGCCCGACTCCGGATCACTGCGCTAGAGACGGCTTCAGTTCCTGCCGCAACCCAGAGTCACTCCGGTAGAAATGACCACGTCGACATGGTCGCCGACTCGTCCAGGACTAATGGCCTTGAGAACAGACTTCATTCCGTTGAAGACCACATTGGAGGGGCCGACGGACTGAGCACGCGCTGGGAGGTGTTCCAGAACAACATTGGAAAGCTGAAAGAGGATATCGTCAGATGCCAAGACGGCATGGAAACTCTCCAGAACAGCATCATCGGTATCTTTAAAGAGTTTTTCGACCCTTTCAAAGCATCGGTTGATGGGAAGCTCATGGAGCATGCCCAACATCTTACGCAGGTCCATGAGAGTTTGGCAAATTTGCAAGGCAAAGTCGAAGAATCGCGACGGGAATGTCCAGCCGCTACGTTCTCAGCTCCCCAGCTGGCATTGATCCAGAGCATGGTCCAGAGCGAGACCGAGGTCAAGCAAGACCTGTCTCAACTGAGAAACATCGTGCATACGGAGGCGGAACAGCGAAACGCAGCTGTTGAAGACCTGAAGCGGCAAGTAGCGGCAAAGCAGGATATCGTAGCCGCAACGCAAGTGGTTGATGTTGTCAAGACTGCTGTGCGGAATCTCCAGGCTCAGTATGACAACATATCGACGGATTCTCTCCACCAAAAGATGGTACATTGGTTCATGCAAAACTACTCCCAATCCTCAGCAAATATGGCCCAGCTCGCTGTGATACAGCACGAGGTCACCCAGCTGCGGAAGTTCACAGACGTGATCACTCGTATTCCAAACAGCGCACAAACACTAGGCTCACTTGCGCAAATCGGCCCACAGCTCACAGCGCTGGCTCAGCTATCGCCGGCTACTGAAGGAGCACCTGGGCTACTGGCAAAGACTAGCGAGTCGTTGAAAACGGCTATACCCTCCTTTGACTCGAACCACTCCCCTATTGTAAGAGCGGAATCACTGACGGCCCTCGAAAAATCGATTGCCACGTTACAAACTGAACTTAAAGCTAGTATTGACAACGCCCGCAAAGAGTTCGAGACCAAGGCTAGCAAGGAGCACGACCAACGGGTCCATGCCGAAACCTCCATGAATGCTTCGATCCAGGATCTGATCAAGACGACTGAGAAAGGAGTCGATGAGCGCGAGAAAGCAGAGCAGGAGATTCTGTCTACTAGCATTGAGATGTTCAAGGAGCTCGAGAAGGGTCAGATGAAGACGCAATCCGACCAGATGGTGCAGCTTCAGAAGGCGCTAGGTCAGCTCCGCTCCGATCTCGACAAAGCGCTCAACGACTTCAACGATCCCAGGAACAAGGAGCTCCTTGGTTGGCTCCCAAGTCTGTTCCTGCACGTCGGCCAATTGCAGTGGGTCGTCGAGGACTTAAACCAAAACTTGCCGAAAGGAGGATTTAAGGTCGAGTGGAACTTTGATTGGAAAGACAAGTTCCCTGTGCCCTCACCCTTCCCAGATAGCGGTGACACTGCGGGCAAGGGCAAAGGCAAGAAGCAGGCATAATTGCAGCCTTCCCACGTACAACAACATCGTTTATTTCATAATTAGTCCCCTCCTCCGGTATTCCAATATCGGCGGTCAAAGCGTTGTTTCAGCATTTCAGCATTTGGCGGGGCGGGGCGGGGCGGTCAGTGCTTCTCAAGCCATGCCTTCCTCGTTCTCGCTACTCGTTCTGCATACGATCACAGCGTTTTTGGGATTTCAAACAGATACTATAGCAGCAATGACTGGGTTGCAGTAAATATTGCCGAGAGCATCAGTTTCGCCTTCGTGATGCCCGCTACTATCCCAGAAAACAGCCAACCACAGCATTAGCACCAATACTATCCTTTGAGACTCTACGTACTAGAAAGAAGTTCTTAGTAGATTTCCCGTAAGACTCGCGCATCGCAAGTAATCCAGCAAGGATTCGTCTCTCAGGCACGCCCACGCAGAATGCGGCGATAAGAAATCGCGCTACTGGTACTCCGCTCAAAAGTTCGCGTGGAGCTTCGAAGCTCCAAGCCGCACTGCAACGACGCTGACTTCGAAAGTCCTCCTGTTACTCTCAGACCCAATCGACAGTAAAAAACACAATGGGGCCTGCATATCGACCGAATACAAGAACATGGGCATCCCACGCACCCTCCCCCGCTACGAAATCTGACGACTCCGCAACCGCAAACACAGACGTAGACGCAGACGCAGATGAATCCATGGCCGACGCCGCACCAGCAGATGAAGCAGAAGCTACCCAAACTACACAGGACGCAAAGGAGCGCAAGCGCAAAGAGAAGGAAATACACATCCTGCATCAAACCACCTTCCGCAAACCCACCTGGTCCTACTTCCACCTCACCCTCGTCACACCAGGCACCGCCTCACAAACACCCTCGGCCTCCGCGACACCCTCACACTTACACGATGTCGACGCGCTAACCGTCTCTACCCTCCTCATGCAGCCGCTCATAGCGTACCTTGGCATCACGGGCTCCGCTGTGCCTATCGATATTCTACATACTCAGGGCCGCAACGCGTACGTGCGCATACCGAGGCAGGATGCGAGAGCTTTCCGCGCGGGACTGAGTGGCTGGATTGGCGGGTGTGATTCGGGCAGTGTGCCGGGCGTCAAGGAGGGTGGCAGGGTGAACGTTGCGTGGAGGGTTGTTGCTGAGGGAGGGAGCTTGGGGCTGTTGAGGGGAGCAGGAGAGGAAGTCTTTGGATCGAACGGAGTTGCTTACTGATTGTGAACGCATGCTGGGGTCCTCTAAAGCGCTGAAATTAGTGCTTGGAGGGCGTCATGTATTCTTGAAGATCCTAGACCGACCTCTCCACGCCCAGATCTAAGCATCCGCGATACGCTCGTCAACAAGCTCACAGAACGCCTTCTGGATTGAAAATGAGCAGCAAGGATGTCGGGGAGCCTGCAAGCTCACATCTTAGGATGGTCCGGCAGTACAAAGCCTGCATGGCAGCACTCGCGATACAAGCAAGTTGTCCGAGCGGTATCTTCGGGGCTCCTTCCAGGAGGTGTCTGCAACGACGACGATAACTATTATCACATCGACCGCAACGACCACCACGACCAGCTCTGCGTGCCCATTCGCGAGTTCTGCAGACAGGGGAACCTTGCGATGAAGAGGGAACAATAGTCAAAGCTGTATAGAGGACTACTCATGCGAGCATACCAGATGCCGCCCCTTCGTCAACAGCCTACCCATCTCGCGCCCTTCGCCCAGGCATACATATCTGAGGGCTGTATCCGCCTCAACATCAAGCCCATGGTGGCTACAAACACAACCGCAACCGCGCCTCTAGCAGCCACGAAAGCTGTGTTGACTACAACCGCTTGCACCTCACCCACTCTGCTCTATAAAGCTACGGACTGCAACACTCCAAGCGCCACCTTAATCGGGTGCCGAATGGAGCATGCTGTATTGTAGGCGGCATTGTGCAGTGCGCAGAACAAGCTGTCCGCGGTCCTATCTTCAGCCCACCCGCCAGCAATGGCGCTGCACGGACTGCGCATCCTCTTGCTGCGTGGACGATTTCGGCGAGGGCAACCGCTATAACATGTCTTCGGCTTGTGAGCCACTCGTTATGCTCAGACTTATACCGGTAGTAGACACTTCAGACAAGGAAGCTCGGGCTCAAAGCCGAACTGGCCGTACATGCTGTGCAATCATCACAACTAATGGCTTGCAGTACAGCACCTGAATGCTTACGTCGACTTGTCCACAGCTGTGAGCTAACAGAATGATGATGGATGTAGTGGGCCGATCAGTGATGTGCGATTCCAACTGAGGAAATCGAACACTTTCCTTCGATGTCAGATCATTTCAGCTCACAATGTGAAAGACAAAAGAATGTGATCAATTGAGAAACGAATCCTCCCGGCCTTGTGATGTACCACGTTTCTTTTCAATATTTCGTTTGCGAATATTCGGACCAGTCGTGTAGATGGTCTGTGTCGTACGCAGGTCTCCAGCGACATCCGTCATTGCCTTTGCGGGCTTGAGGCCTTTGATCTGCTTGTCAATGTTGGCAATGTACTTGTCCTGCTCGATCCACTCCCGCTCTTTCAACCGTTTCCATTTCTTAACCACATCCATTCCCGAGACGTCATTCTTCTCCTTCATAGGCTCTTTACCTTTTTCCAGGGCAGACTTATCTTCGCTCACAACAGAGACCGCTTTCTCGTTCGATTGGTGCTGGTCGTCGATCCCCTTGAACCGCTCAGACATCTCGTCCTCATCCTGCAGCTCGAGCTGTTCTCCAGAGTTCCGGTTGTTCTACCACCCAGGCTGCTGGGGGCCGCTGTGTCCGCCCTGGTGACCACCGTAGCCAGCACCTTGCTGGCCATAGCCACCCTGACCCTGACCTGGAGGTGGAGGGTACTTTTGTGGTGCGCCACCGTACTGGTTGTGCTGGTGATTGTCGTAGTTCTGGGGGCCACCGTAATAGCCTTGGCCGCCTGAGTGGGCAGGACCTCCGTAGCCAGCTGTACCAATTAGCTTATGCTTGAGGAAAAGAAGTTTGGTAACACTCACCCTGTGCGCCGTAGCCACCAGGTCCTTGCTGTCCATAGCCTCCGTGCTGTTGAGGCTGGCCACCGTACCCTGCCTGAGAGCCGTACTGGCCCTGGCCCTGGCCGTGCTGTTGAGCCTGAGGACTTCCGTGCTGTTGCTGCTGGCCGCTGTAGCCACCATGTTGCTGAGCAGGCGATGGCGATGCGTAGCTTTGCTGTCCTTGAGAGCCGCCGTGTTGCTGGCCACCAGGCTGGTATGACGTGGCCGGTGCGCTACCAGTGTATGTTCCGCCTGATGAGGCGCCGGAGCCGTGGGTGTATCCGAAGTCGTTGTTGGAAGGCTTGTTGTGCTGCGTTCAATCAGTAAAGCGTAGTTAGACGTAGCCGTGAAATGACTCACCGATCCACCACCCATCAGACTACCGAGCATGCCTCCAAGGCCGCCACCGCTCGACGACTGGGTACCGTGGCTCTGATTGCTTCCACCGTGACTGCTGTTGCTGCTGCCACCAAGCAGTCCTCCCAGCGCACCAAGTCCGCCGCTCGACTGGCCGCTGCTCGACTGACCGCTATGACCAGAGCCGCTCTGCTTTCCTCCACCGAGCAGCGATCCAGCTAACTGGCCAACGAGGTTACCAGAGCCACCACTGCTGTGTCCTGACGAGCTGTCGTGGTTCTGCTTTCCACCGCCAAGGAATGAGCCCGCAAGCTGGCCGACAAGGTTGTTGGACCCGCCGCTGCCGTTGCTCTGCTTATTACTACCCATGAGCGCATTCATAGCGAAGCCGCTGAGCGAACGATCGCCGGTCTGTCCATCGCCACCGATACCTCTTGATCCATCAGCGGTATCGCCAGGGCCCTCGGAGCCGGTGGGCTTGTTGTAGGGATTCGTGTTCTGCGCGGGTGTGCCGTGGTGGCTGCCGCCGATGGGTGCTTCGCTCGTGGGGAGGTCCCATTGCGAGACGCCGGTGCTGATCTGGACATAGTAGTACTTGCGACTCCTGTGTATGTGTTAGGTGAGCATAGTGGGGCAGGTATGCGCGCTGCTGTGACGGCAATGTTGCAAGGCGCATGGGTTTCAGACGCACGAATTGTCCCACTGGGCGATCCAGCCGGAAGGCAGCTTTGGCAGATTGGGGTCCGTAGGGCCCGAGTCGGGAGAGGTGGGCGGGTGAGGAGGCGTGGGCGCAGCCATGTTGGGCTTCGAGGGGCGCGGGGTAGTATGAAGCGGCGACGATAAGAATGCTCTTGTCTGAGATGCGCGTGGGAAGAAGTTCAGGGCGGGAGGTGCGGCTCAAGTTGTACACAAGCTGCTTAATATGAGGCAGGAGCGATGACCTTGTCTGCTAGCGGTCATTGAACGTAATGCTCTCAAACGGCTATGCGAGCATCCCTGTCCGGCGTGCGTCAGTGGTCTCTGCATAGCCCCCGAGCTTCAACTTCGTTGGAACCTCAAGAGACTGCAAAGCCACACTTCTGGTAGAACACCGATCATGAACAATTAAGCAGTCCGTAGGAGCTATCGATGGATTGGAAAGTAGGCAGCCTCCAATCTTTCCTGCATCAAGTGACTATAACGGTCAAGGTGGAGCCCAACGTACGTTAGGCAGCCCGATCCATACCCAATGCTGAGCAAATATAGAGGTACTTGTACAATAACTCTGTCCAACGCCAGCCCAATTACCTGAGTCTATAATATCCTGATGTCACGAGCCGTAAAACATGCCCTTTCCCGTTTCCAAACGCCTTTACCAAGCATATCCGCCTTCATCGGCAGCTTCGTCGTTGCCGTTCCATTCGTCATCGCCACTGGGCTCAGCATCAAGGAAGTCAGCCTCGGCGTAAATTTCCTCTCGGGGTCGGAAATTGTCGATGCGGAAGATGACCGTGTGGCAGCGGCCTTGCACAAAAGAGACCTGCTCGTCGTCTTCAGCCTCTCCATCGGACCTAGATGCTTCAGACTCCTCATCGTAGCTTGCATTTGCCCCGGCTCGCGAGCGAAGACGGGTCGAACCCCATCGCTCGTCTTGTATTTTACGCCTGGATACGAGCGGCGCGTCGCTGTCGCTGTCATTTGAAGCTTGACGTTTTGCCAGCTCCTCTGACACGCCCTCAATGAAAGAGTCAACCTTGTCCTCTCCCTCTGGTTGAGTAACCCCCGGTGCTGAGGACATCTGCTCCTCTTTCCATAGCTTAAAGGCCTTGAATGAGGCAAGGTGGGGATTTGGTGGCTCCCACTTTCTTACGAATACAGCCTGGAAGGTAGCGCTCCACTTCCTTCTGAATTCAGCGCGTTGCCGCCAGTCGGTGTCAACCATGGCAATTATCGTGAGATCCTGCAGATTGGGCAATCCTTCAGCTGAATCTATCAGCGACTGAAAGAAGTTGCCGGCTGATGTAGAGTTCCATTTGCGCAAGTATTGCATGTCGAGGATACGCAAAGTCGAAGGCCAAGTGGGAATCTCGTCTTCCCCAAGCAGCGAGTCGTAAAGAGGCTCGTTGTCGGACGACATGACGAGAGAGCTGTAGTATGTCGTATCCATGCGCAGCATCTCAAGCCTCGGGCAAGACTGTTTCAAGTCAACCAGGAAACGCAGGTCAAGTGCTTGGTTGTGGTGCAGAACGAGCTCTTCCAGATGCGCGCCGTGAGTAGTCAGAAAACTAGATAGTGCATATGAGAGGAGCTCTCCGCAGTTGATGATGCTCAAGCTGACAAGGTTCGTTGGCAGGAGGGGTAGAAGACGACCTCTGACGATACCACAAGTCTCGAATGTGAGCGACCTCAAATTCTGCAGGACAGCCAGTGCAGACCCGACCAGCTCTTCCATGGTAGGTGCCGTATTGTCATCCTCCTCCTCCTCATCTTCGCGAGAAGGCTCTGGGTGGTACTTCACCAACGTGACTTCATGTAGGCTCCGAAATGCTTGGTCACCGTGTATGCTCTTCATCCAGAGTGGGCCTCGCGGACAATATGTGCTATTCCACCGCCAGCTGCGAAGGCGCAAGTCCGTCTCGCGCAGTGCGGTAAAAAGCTCATCTGGGTAGACCCATCGACGAACTCGTCGCAGTCGCCCGCGATAGGGTGGTCTGTCAACTGGGTCAAAGATATCAATCTCGCGGAGTGTGGTCAAGGCTTTGACAAGTGCTGCTAAGTCGGCTACGCTGTGCGTGGGGTCAGTCAGTGTTGACATCTGAGTGGCATCCAAAGTCAAGCGTTTCGGCATTACTGGATAGTCTTCATGCGCGCCGGTTGGTTTGTGTATGAGGTGATAAACGAGGTCCCTGCGATTTTGGCTCATGGCGAAAATAGGTGGGTTGCGATAAAGGGCGGTCAACGCTGGTTTCGTGAATGTCGTACACATGCGTGCCAGTTGGGTCAACCATGAGATGGATGTTGTAGGCTTCAGATTCTCGTCATGCAAAGGATGTGACGCATATACAAAGATCTGGAGCAGAACATGATATGGCAGAGACTGCCATGCGGGCTTGTGTCCGTCAGATGGGATCATAATGGCCTCTGATGCTGTGTCTATTGCCCGGGTGGGCTTTCGTATCCGGCCAATGACCAGCTTCTGCTTTGAACGGCCCTTTTTCTTGTTCCTCTCACAACTCTCGGGTCGCGGCAAAGGTGCTGATGTTGCTTTGACTCTAGACTGTCTGGGTCTAACGTGCTCTGCAGGAATCTCGAAATCGGCATCTGGATCCTCTTCTTCGTCTGAGCTGACATCCTTATATGAAACTTTGCGGTGTCTCCTGGTCCGCGTCTCCGCTTGCTTCTTTCTCGATGATTCAGGTGGAGGGGACGGCTCTGGTGTCGTTTGACGATCGTCGTCGTCATCGTTGGTTCGGTGCCTCGTAGATCGTCGAGCGGGCGCAAGGCGCTTCCTTCTGGAGGATCGCTCATATTCAGAGCTCTCGGACAGGTCCTCATCGCTGCTAAGCTCCTTGTATGACACAGCGCCGCGCTTGCGCTTTGTAGTTACAGTCATGGTGGTGCTTGACTGTGAGTGGTCGATCGAGCGGCGAATGTAGAATGGAGCGAATGGCCGACTGTGGACGGCTATGAAGCCACGGTATCACGGTCGCATACAATCATGGAGTGATCTACCTTCGCGCTTGGGCATGCGCTGGGAGCGAGTGGGACGTGAAAGCTCATATGATGAAGATGAACCTCATGGTTCGCGACAAAGAGGCGACATCACCGAGGCACTAAGATCGTCCGCTAACTCCGGGACGACCACAGGCACGCAAGCCACACATCTGCATCCTCATAAGCAGCAAAGTACGAACGCCGCTACTCTTAATTTCCCCCAAAGATCCGGAAATACTTAGCTGTATCTCACGGAACCACTGCAGTCGATGACAACCTTGTAACGGCCCCAATACTTTTCTGCGAGGGTTGATTTGCCACTGGCAAGAACCTGGATAGGCCGTTCAAAAGAGTATCCACATCAGAGATCAACTCCAACGGAACGACTTCTGGCTGCTTGGACCGGAGGAGGATCCCTCCATCGACATCGGAAGGGCGAATGTGTCACTCTGGTACTTTGTACCCGAACACCTGGTCTGATACAGCTTCGTATTGCTTCCACCGATTGAAGGTTATTGTAGACGAAGAACGATGATAAGTTCAAGATGCCGATCGCATTGACTGAGCAATTACATCACAGCCTTGTGAACATATGGTCCGTGGCACATGTCCCAGCCTCGCTTTGACGACACGCTTTGAGGAGATATGTGCAGCAGATATTTGGCTTCTTCAACGCTCACGCTACGGAAGAGCGAGTCGGGAGGATTGTGCATCGTCTGTCTCGGCCCGCGATAGCGCTCCAAGCCCCTGGTCGCTGGAATTGTCCTTTCGGCTACGGCGCTTGGACGTGAGTAGAGTTACACAGATCGTAAGTAGTTTTAGGGTAGCATTGATAAGTTGTAGGAGCAAACACTGCACTCCAAAGTGTATGGGAACTAGTGAGTCACCCTGATGTAAGTAATTTCATGTGCAATTCTGTCCTGTCAATCGTCGAGCCGCCAATGACATCTTCGGCCCGTGTTGGAGCAAGTCGGCTTCCGCACCCATTCAGTCGCTAACTCTTCGAAGTTTGGCGTCATGTACCTCCTTTCGAAGTGCAGTAGTGCATAGCCGCAGCAACGCCGACCGTATGCAAGAGCATGCAGGTTGAGACATTTCCCAGCCAATCCCCTTCGCCAGCTTGCCACAACAACATCAACATCTGAAAACAGCAACTCGTGATCGCGACCGCGCGCCTATGCAAGGCTTTGTCGCGCGTTGAATGTGAAGCAAAGGTTACATGCCGCCCCTGCATCTGTAAAGCGCCTCAAGTAATGGTGGAAAGCAAGTGTAGCACTGAGAGCTTTACTCAAGCTCGTAGGGTGAAACACGATCTGTTGTTTGTGTCGCCTGGGCTGGATTTGACGTCGTCTGAGCTGCCACAGCACAGGGATCCCAGCCACCTCTTCTCCGCCCTACTTGTCAGGCTGCAGTAGGTCGATGTCGTGAGAGGGTGGCTTCTGATATCTGACTGGACAGCAAGAGCCGTGCATTGGCTTGCAGAACCGAAGTGCGACCTGGTACGGATAGATGCTCGCTTGAAGTGTTGAAGAGATTGCGTTGGAAGATGCCGACAGGCTGTGTTTGATTTGTAGTATTGCTACTCTATTGTTAAGTGTGTTTGTACAGAGGCCGTGAACAGAATTGATGTGCAACGTGGTTGGACAAAGTCCATATATCGTACATATTGTAGAGAGAATGGCAGGCAAAGGTGTGTCGAGCCAGTGAGCCCCGTGATGATCCTCAAAATCGTAAATAGGAACAGTAAGACATTAGGTAAGTGGCTTTTGATATCCCGGCATGCACGAAAGTGTCGAAACGCAAGGCCAGTCCACAAAATGAGACAGACGAAAGGAAGCTGAAGCCAAAAATGGACGCGCAAGGAAATTCAGGTAGTTGGCGCATCATGAGTCGCAAAAGGAATTTGTGAACGATGCCGTAACTGGAGTTCATGATCGTGTGCAGAAGCTTGCAGGGATCGTGCAGAAGACCGCCATAAGATATATGATGGCATAAACTGGTCATCGTAATGGCGTGAATGTCGTCGAATGCTTCCAAAACAGAATTGCCGCCGTGAGTGCTTTTGGAATGAAGGAAATGCTTTCATATGCCGACCGTGTCTTTAAACGAATGAGGTGTTGTAGTTCGTGGCTGAGCCTCTTCAATCCCTTCCATGCGTGTGTCTCTATCTCTAGAGCCCGCTGAAGAGGGTAAGGGAGCGGAGATAGGCGTAAAAGAAGAGTAAGTGTGATTGCGAGTAGGGTCCGCGGATCCATAGGCATGTGGGGACTGCATTTCGCTGGATTGCCGTTGGACTTTCTCTAATTCTAACGGCTGAGGGCGTGCGCGCCGTCTTTTGCCTGAAGAAGATTCAGAACTTTGTTCGTTATGCAATTGATGTTGCGGAGTCACAGTATTCGTAGGCAATACCCTGGTCGACGTTTGCGGTGGGGTGTGCGCTTGCGGCAGTTGTTCTGGGCTGGGTCCTGAAGAAGATGGTTCGGGGTGCGCCGTGATCGATTGTCGCCCTCTTCGCGGAGGTGGGTAAACCTCGCCGCGTGCTGCCGCTTCTTGCGCCCTTTGCTGCGCTTCTGCTTTTGTCGGTCTCCCTCTTTTCTTCTTGTTCGCGGGTTCGCCAGCGTTCATCGACTTGGCATAGGCAGGGCCGCCAGCAGAAAGGTATTCAGTGGCATACGGGTGAGGCGGGGGGCGAGGTTGAAGTAGGCGACCGAGTGGAGCAGCTTCTTGCAAAGGACGTTTCCTAGTAAGGTCGGACCCGGGATACATGTTCGGGGTCGGCAATGGAGGACGGCTGTAGCTTGCGCCGGAGTTCGAGTTGGCGATGTCGTGGTATGCTCTTTGGCATGAGTTGAGTGAGCGCCCTATCATGGAGTTTTAGCCTTCAGTCGAATGAACGTTGCTTGTAGGGAGGAGAGATGGGCACATACCAGGAGGAAGCGCCATGTCATTCCATCGTACTTGGACTTGGTACTCGCGAATGAAGCTGTAAAGGACATGAGAAGATACTGGAGCGGCCTTCAATATTTCGGCAAGTAAGTATATCTAATTCAGACGGTTAGCCAAATACTAATGGTAAGGGACGATCGCCCAGTCTGGGCGACGACACATACCTTCTCATGCTCTGACCATTGTCGCTCTGTCGTGGGCTGCTCCATGTTGTGCCTCTCGACTAGTGTCGAGGGCATACGCCGATAAGAAGTAGTCACGACGGATCCTAGTTAGCTGCACCCAGACAAATCGAGCATCGAACGATCACGAGGCCGTGTAGTAGGTGCAGAATGTGGGCGCGAAACACTCTCGCGCGCGGTTGAACGACAGGGTCAACAAGGAATAAAACAAACGAGAGTCTTGAAACGAAACATAAACGAGTGAGTAGAAAAGAGCATCAGAAGGACCCACGGCGGGCTCTGTTCGTCATGCCAGCGTCGGCAAAAGTTTGTTGTCAAAGAGACGAGAGTATGAGGCTGGTTTAGGAGAGAGGGCAGTCCTCATGAAATTGTGGACGCATGTCGTGCATACTTAGCGCGAAGGTAACGGGCCACGCCTTTCCTCACCCTAACACATTCCAAAGCTTCCAGGACCTCCCGCTGCACATCTCCTCGATTGGGAACTGTGGAAGGACGACGCAGCTTTGATCAGCCCTGTGAGCTTCCACGACTTGCTCACAAAGTCATGCCGAAGAAGCAATTGGGTCAAGCTGCAATAGGTACCTCGATGTCGATAACGCTTCGACACCGAATTAGCCAATCGCTAGTGATCCCTGCACGTCTCACCAGGGAACAATCCTGACACAAAACGGCAGGATCCTCCCACTGGCTCAGTGACTCGGGCCTTCAGAGTGTTTCTGTGTCCTTATCCAAAGACATGCAGGGCCTCAAAAGCTGGAATGTGAGTAGTGTACCGGTAAACTCACTCTCGAGGCAGTCAATGATGCAACTGAGGGCGACATGTACTTTCGAGAGGTTGTTTACTGGCTGGTGAGATGTGTTCTTTGGCGCTTCTTCGTGCCGCTAGTGCCCGAGCCCTGGAGACGAGCTCGATCGAGCACGGTCCACGAGTCTTTATTGTCTGAGAACCATCCAAAATCAGCAACGGCAGTTTCAATCGTAAGGGCGATGGCATATCCTGTTACCCAGTATAAAAGGGTTGCAGCTGTGTAGCTCAATGGCTGGCATTGTGCGCATTCTTATATCCATCAGTGACAGAAATTCACGCCTGCATTTGCTCGCCACGTTGCACCAACCAGCGCGTTGAGTTTGAGAAACTCTTACAGCATTTCCCTGTGCAGATGCAAATATTTGGCCCAACTGCGAGAGAGCGGGGCGTCTCGTTGTGTAGCAGCTTTTGGGATGCTCTATGGCGCAACCTCTAGCGGCTGACGTTGATGTTGCCATTATTAGGTAGAAGACTGTTGACAAGCTGATCGCTTTCTCGTGCTATCGTTTGAGACAAGTGGGGTTTACGGGAGCTTAAAAATGCTGCGCGGTGCGCTTTCCAGCCGTTCTGAATGGTGTCACACAGCGGGTGGGTATGGCCGTTGGCATTGGAGACCTTGGCAGCTAGCGGAAATTTAGGGAATCGTTCCTGCGTTGTCATCCGTCTCGTTAGAACATTACCTAATGCGCACTAACGTCAGGAAGTTGGAGTGAATTATTTTCCATCACGCGTACTTTCTGCCTTCTTCACATGTAAGGAGCCGGCAGCATGGACCAGAAGGTCGCTGCCATTGCTTCTTCACCAGGAATGTTCTGCAGACGATAAGCCCACTGCGTACTCCACAGCAAATATTCAGAATGACTTCGCGCAGCTGCATGCAGCAGTGACCAACAACTAAACCATGGGGTGAAATACTTTGCATGACGCTAACATATCGTACCTGCTGCAAGACCTTCGAAAACTCGGCTGAGCGGCTCTCTTTTGAAAGACTCAGAATGGGGTTCAAGCAGCATGCTCAGGTTTGACGGCTACCGATAAATGCGTGAGTACGAAGTGCACCAATTCTCAAGCTATTGTCCTGCTGTTCAAGAGAAGAGCTTGCATGCAAATCTTATGGAAAGCGAATCCCAGTTTGCTACTACTGTATATCTCGGGAGCTGTCAGGCCAAGGTACAAGGGATGCTTGACAATAGAATAGGGATCCAAGAGCTCAACAACCGCTATTCAAGACAGGCATACGCAACGCACGCATCCCCGGCCACGGTACTGTAAACACGGCAATCGCCAACAAAGAGATTTCAAGTACGCCCACAGCCCTCGGTGAATGATAGCAGACGATCGCGACTGTAGTAGCTCAGTGCTTCATGTCCTCAATGACCATGCTCTTCTACAGAGTGGAACTCAACAACGTCCTTGTGGAAGCCATGATGTAACACGATGATTCTTCAGCTGAGACGTGCAACTTGAGTAACCGATGTATCAATACTGTAAGTATAGGCATTACTGCGTGCTCCCACAGCCCCCACGAGCCTACGCTCCCCTGTGCGCATGATGCCTGGCCTCCAGACTGCATGTCTTTTCGTATACCAAGGTACGTCAATGTGTGATAACATGTGCTTGTGCAAGCCTTGAATCGCATGTTGCAAAAAGGCCGGTTATGATACAGAAATTATTGTAGCTGCCAGAGATCTCGTGCAGTTGCAAGTGTCTCACCGAAGAACATTGACACTTTCCTACGAGAGTTGATTGTAACACCGGCGACCGACTTTTTTCTGCACCCTAAGAGCCGACCATCTTCACAGCAGCCTGTCTGCAAGAGTGCGAGTCCTGAGCTTCTTGGTTCAGTGGAGTCTTTACTCCACTCTCCAAAGGCTTTGTGGATATGAGCTGGATACAATCAAGACAATAACAGCTATGAATCGAAGCCAGCGGCGCCAACAAGTTCTTGACGCAATGAAGATCCTCACTTGCATTACACAGGAACGAAGCGTGAAGGGGTGAAAGCTAGTGGCGATCCTTGCGATTGAATAGTCGAAATTCGACATGGCCGGGAAGAACGCCTCGGCTTGACCGGATTAGGACAAACTGCGAACAGCGCTTGCCGTGAACCAGCACGGAACCATACCAGTCGCGTGTTCACAGCTAAAGAGACTGCACAACAGGCATTGATACATTGGCAGAAGCTCAGCTTTATTGCGAACGATCAGAGGACACGCCCTACTGCGCCTCAACACAGGAAAAGAGCCTGCCGGGCCTCCAGCATCTGTCGATCACCACGAATCGTGCAACTTCATGTCGACAGCACCACTCTCGAGACCATACCGTAACCGCCTTTTTTTCGATACCGCCTTTGTCGCGCGCGACATGCGATTCCAGTGCAGAGGTATATAGGAGGACCCCGTTACTAGGGAATATACGCAGGGAGGAAGAGAACGAAGATTTGCCCACGGCCGATCTCAAGCCTACCGCGTGTCTAGACACACGCGCCGAGCAATTATACTCTCACAGGAAGACAGCGTCAGTACGCATCTGTTTGTTCACCGCTGTGCAGGGTGCTATGCAGGGGCGAGGCGTATGATTGCTCCTGTGTTGTAGAAGCACTAGCGTCTGATTTTCCAGGACCAGGACTCCTCACTTCTCCAGCTCCGAGCTTGATCACCACACGCCTTGCAGCCACGGTCGCCCGTCATGTCGGACAGCGAGAGTGAAAGAAAGTCGGCTCGGCTCGAGCCTGAGTTGCGCGATATGAAGCTAGAGGAAGGCGCGACCCTGAGCGCACGCGAGGGCGATGGCATACAGGTAAAGGCGGAAGTAGCAGACCCGCCCACACCCTCTGCAATTCCACCTCGACTCAAGATGTCTCGATTCAAGTCCCAATCGCCTGCACCGAAGCACGATTCCGAAGCGTCATCGCCGGCCGACAGCACCAAAGAAGAGGTCGTTGGAGGAGACATTGTGCTGAAGATGGAGCCTGGGCCAGGAGGCAGAGCTCTCAAGCTCTCGCGCAGCGCCACACAAAAAGTCGTTTCACGCGCCCCACCGCTCTATCTCGACCTTCCAGACTCTACAGAAGCAGCCAAAGAGACGTTCGTTGTCCTTCCAGAGTGCACGTACTCGAACAAATACATTGGCACGACCGACCCAGCCCTTGAATGCGATTGTAGCGAAGAGTGGGGTAGGTCTTTACACTCGGTTGTTTCCATCACTTGGCAAGATGCTGACGAGTCGCAACAGATGTGGTTACGAAACGAAACAATGCCTGCGGCGAAGACTCCGACTGCATCAACCGTGCTACCAAGATGGAGTGCGTGGGTGACTGCAGTTGCGGCCGGAAATGTCAGAATCAGCGGTTCCTGCGCAAACAATACGCCGATGTCACAGTGATGAAGACAGATAAGAAAGGGTTCGGTTTGCGAGCCAACAAAGACCTGGTCTCCGGAGATTTTATCTTCGAGTACATTGGCGAGGTCATTGATGAGAGGACTTTTCGTCGCCGTATGATTCAGTATGATCAGGAAGGCATCAAGCACTTTTACTTCATGTCTTTGACTAAAGGCGAATTTGTGGATGCAACCAAAAAAGGCAATCTGGGACGATTTTGCAACCACTCTTGCAACCCAAATTGTTTCGTGGACAAGTGGGTTGTTGGTGACAAGCTTCGCATGGGCATATTCGCCGAGCGCAAGATCAAGGCCGGTGAAGAGTTGGTCTTCAACTACAATGTCGATCGATATGGAGCGGATCCCCAGCCTTGCTACTGTGGCGAGCCCAATTGTTCGGGTTTCATTGGTGGCAAGACGCAATCCGACAACGCCACAAAGCTCTCTCACGCCACGATTGAAGCGCTTGGAATCGATGACGGCGATGGTTGGGACACAGCTGTCCATACCAAGAAGCCTCGCAAGAAGAAGGTCAGCGAAGATGACGAAGAATACGTCAATGATTTGCAGCCACGGTCACTTGAAGACGATGGAGTCCCTAAAGTCATGGCAGCTCTGCGACAATGCACGGAGAAGTGGATTGCGGTCAAGCTACTCAGCCGTATTCAGCAAAGTGACAACGACAAGGTTGGCCATCGTATCATTCGTATGCACGGCTATGAGACCCTCAAGAAGACCCTCACTACGTGGATAGACGACTTCAATGTCGTTACGCAGGTCCTCGATATCTTGCACAAGCTGCCGCGCATTACCCGTAACAAGATCCAAGATTCTAAAATCGAGGAGGCGGTAGAGAACCTCAAGAGCTGTGGCGACGAACATGTCGAGGAGTCCGCAGATAAGCTGCTCACAGCCTGGAGTAAATTGGAGGTTGCTTACCGGATACCGCGCATGAAGCGGGACCCCAACGCAAGCACCCCTGTCCGCACCGAGAACCACTTCGAGCGTCGCGAGAGAGGTCGAGAGCGATCAAGATCTAGATCAAAGTCTCCGTCACTTACGTCGGCGCCGAAGGGTCCAGCTAGCCTAAACGCACCCTCAGGGCCCCGTGTAATCAACGCGCCTCGAGGGCCCGCGAGTGGGTTTTTCCAAGGTCCGCGCCCTGCTCCTCGACCGAGAACTTTCAATCCACTGCCGCCCGGTTGGTTCCAAGCCACCTCAGACAATGGCTCAACTTACTACTACAACTCCTTGGGCACTACACAATGGCAGCGACCGACAATGCCAGCAAGCCAACCGCCACCGCCACCACCAAAATCTAAAACCGATACGCAACTCTTGCAAGACATCATATCTAGCATTACCGCACATGTGGCACCTACCGTACCATCAGCCTCGACGACCCCACAGCCTGCCACAGACGAGTTCCAAGAAAGGAAGTACAAAAGCGAGAAGTGGCGTAGCCTGCCTCAAGAGAAGCAGGAAAGGATGTACGAGGCAACGGTAAGTTCACAATCTTTGGTTACTTATTTAATATGCTGATTGTCGTAGCTCTCTTCACATGTCATGGCTGTCGCTGCGCATTACCGTAAGAAGCTGGAGAAGGACGATCTTAAGCGCTTGTCAAAAGAAGTTGCCAAGAAGCTCGTCAGGGGTGACTACAAGTCTGGGCGCGTCAAGGATCCTGCTGCAAAGATCAGTTCGAAGCATGAGAAGACTGTGAAGAACTATGTGAAGGACTTCATGGATAAGGCAGTCAAGAAGAAGGACGAACGAGAGAAGGCCAGAGCAGCTCGTGGCGAAGCAGCACACGACGACAAGGATGCAACACCGGAGACGCCACAGATTGACGTTGATGGGACACCAGGAGCGGCTTCGCCAACTGACTTCTCCTCAGAGCTGAAGCGCAAGCGTGAAGATGAAGCAGACGAGTCATCACGGAACATACGATCGCGGACGGACGAGCCTCCGGCACCGCCTCCACCACCGCCGCCTCCAGCGGGTGGCATGCCTATGGACACAGAGGAGGCTGACCTGACGCCAATGGATGATGGATCAATGGGCTCTTTCACAGAAGGCACACCTTCCAATGGAAAGCTGGCCCTACGAGTGAGCGATCAGGCCAGTCCGATGCAGCTTGCCACTCCTCCAACCAATGGCTCGGGAGAAGGTAAAAGCACTGCTAGTAGTAACCTACTGTAGGAGGTGGACAGGATTGTTACGATGTCTGGGTTCTTCGCTATATTATTACAAATCTCTAATCGTCGGTTCGGTCACTTTTGTACATAGTCCACACTGACTCTCTCTTTTTTCCCCTATTGCCCGCCTCGTGGAGGCTATTAGGCCAATTTCCTTTCAACAATAACACAAACGACAAAGTCTCCTATAAGCACTTCGGCAACGTCTACCATTCATTTAAGTTTAATTGGCCAGCTGCAAGATCATCACGTACCACGGTCTGGTGCATTCCTTTCCCTTCCTCACATCCTTCTTTCTCCCACTGATACCCTCAATGCCAACCAATCCATCTCCCCTAGTGGCACGCTCTCGTTCTACAGAGAGATCTCTGCCATCGTCCCCGACACACCATCCTTCTACAGCTACCTCGACGTTCCCAGTCTCGCGCACTGCTTCCGTAGGAACCGACGTCAGGCCGTCAAGCTATTTAATCGGCTCTGGACATGGGTCAAAAGTGGACTGGCGCCGGAGAGCTCGCAGATGCAGGAAACGCTGCCGGATAAGAAGCAGATATAGCAGCTCGTTTGTGCGTGGCCATAGAAGGCGGTCTTTGAGGACGGGCGCGTAGTTTATGGGCTTTTTACGAAGGAGTACTGTAGGTGTGTGTAAGCGTTGAGAGGCCAACGTAGATGTGATGGTGGCGGGTTCATACGCGTATTCTACTCAATGGCTCCTTGCTATATACTAAAAGCCTTCGGGTCTCTTTAAGCCCCCAACATCATCACACCTCAGTTCAGCTCAAAGCTCAACCCCTCCTCCTCCCTCCACTCCCTGGCAAATTCCCTCAAAACCTCCGTCCTACGCTTCGCCATCCTCTTACCCGCCTCCGTCTTCATCATTCCCTCGAGCTTGAGCAGCTTCTCTCCAAAATGTTCAATCGCCCTTCCCATGGCCTGGTCCGGGAATCTCGCCGCTCCAAACGAGAAGGCCCTCCCGATTCCCACAACACCAATAGCATCGAGTCGATCTGCGTCTTGCACGATAGCCAGCTCGGGGTATTGCGTGAGGACGTCGATGACGGACTGCGGGTTGCGGACTTCGTTCGAGTAGCTGACGTGCTTGACGATGGTTTGGACTTTGGCTGCGAGGTCTAAGCTTGCGCCGTGCTCGAGCAAGACATTGCAAACCTGGCTTTCAACGTCCTCGCCAGGCTTGGCGTACTTGTGGTCTCCGACGTCGTGAAGGAGAGCGGCGAGAAAGAGGCTGGTCGTGTCGTAGGAAGTAGATGGGCTGGTCTTGATCTCGTCTTGGAGAATGCGATTAGCGTTGGAGACTACGCGCAGGATGTGTTGGTAGTCGTGGGAGTTGTCGTATTGGGACATGTAGGTGTGGACATATGTATTGATGACTGTGAAGATTGCTTTCTGGTCTGCAGGAATGGGAACCTGTGGGACTGGGATATTTGATGTTGCGGTTGTAGTGGCCATCTTGATCTGGTGGTTTGAATGGGTTGCGTTTACTGTACGTGCCGATCGGGTTATAGAAGACCTTGATGTAATGAATTTTGTGCTGGGGCTCTGTCCAACAAGCTTCGGAAAATTGAAGATTGTGTCGAAATTGGTCTAACAGATTTTTGTACACCACAATCCCGATATGACAGTCCCATCGGCGGTATCCAGATAGAAGCGGGATTGAAGAATTCTGACTGTTAGAGACGAGCCTTCCAGATTGACGCTAAGTCTTTGTAGAAGTCTTTGTGCAAAGGAAGATATGACCAGGAGGCACCAGAGTCTTATGCTGCTTAGAAATCCGACACCCGTGAGTAGGGAAGCTGTCACGGACGTGGCCGATAGCAGACTGAAAAGAGTATGGTTCCGTGTTTAGCAAAACGCGCAGTCACATGTGCATGCTGAACATGTCTTTTTCAAGCAGCCAACCGCCCTTCTCATGTTGCGTCTCAGGGATACAGAATCAAGCAACCATGGATCAGCACGAATCAAGCAGCCCTGAGTCACAACTGGAAAAGCGCAGGGTTGCAATTGATGCATCTCTGTGTGAACAGGAAAGGGCGGCAGCAAATCAGGCAGCTTTGAGCTTTGCACGGATCTTTGAATGAAAAATTGGTTTGCTGCAAATCCTTGTCCGTCAAGAGAAGTGTTGCAGTAGAGCGCGGTATCGCGTGGTTTCGATTTTCGGCGTCGAGCATTGATTGCAACCAAGGGATCTGGGGAAGCCGGACCTCGGCAGCGGCAGCCACGCAAGATGACTTCACCCATGCATTGATACCGCGCCAGCCGCCGGTGCACCCTTCTACCTCCAGCCTATGTCCAGGGACCGAACTTCATACTGAATCACCCACGCACGGGTGCGGCCGCGAAGATGATTAAAGAAGCGACGCACAACGCGACCGAGGTGCTGTCGCAGCCCACCAAGTGGCTGAGCATGTACTCTGACTTCATCACGAAGAACAGCAGCGCCGTGTCGCAGATCGAGTCGGCGCTGCGGTCTCTGACGTATATCATTCCTGGTACATGCTGGCCCGTACTCATGACCAGATGAATACTGACATGTAGCAGGACGATTTAGGGAATCCGAGATAGCATCCGAATCACGTACGCTTTGCGCTCCCTTATGATAAGCACCTACCGACTGACCACCCCGCAGTACACTGCGGTGTCCAATGCCTTTCACTATACCATGACTCCCTCCTTGCCAAAGCGATGGCGCAGATGCCCGGGACGCGTCGACAGCCGCTCACTCCGCATCACCGCTACACCAAGTTCTGGACGGAGAAGTCGCCTACGTACAAGCGCATCGCAACCGTCCTTCAGATGATCCAGTACACTGAACTGTTATGGGAGATGGCGGCGAAGAGGAAAGGCGAGAAGATGCGATGGCGCGTTGTGGTGTTGCTTGAGATCATCAAAGCAGTCTGTCGATTGCTTCTGCTGCGGTTGACAAACTCGAGGCCGCTGCTATCACCACCTCTACCGCAAAGAGAGATCGACCCAAGCTCCCTTGAGGACTCTTCGGCTTCTGCTGATGGCATGGACACCCCGCCCAGTGAGCGCTTGGTAGAAGCAGAGAACTGGACGATGCCGAGGACGGGGTTGTCGATGCCTAGCCTGCCTGATAGCTCGGACATCTCAAGCTATCTCCTATCCAAGGTCTTGACAGCGGACGATATCAAGCCACCGAAAGCTTTGCTCCACCGTGTTAGTGGTAAGGGCGAGCTAGCTGAGGCACTTTACATCCTGCGACCTGTCGCATATGCCCTGGCCATGCAGCACTTCAGTGGCGACAGAAAGAGTTGGCGGCCATGGCTGATCGGCGTAAGCATAGAATACGGTGCTAGACAGCTCGCAAAGAAGGATTTCCAAGAGCGTCTGGCTGGAGGATTGCGCGGCCTAACCGGTCTTGAGAGGGACGAGCTGAAGAAGCGTGCCTGGGCACTTGGCTGGTGGACGATGCGCGGCGCTTTCTACGAGAACATCACAAAGTCAGTCTTACTCTTCACTACCTGGGTCTCAGCCGCTAACAATATAGATCCTGGATTCATGCCATCACACAAAAGCTCAAGAGCAAGCCTCTACTTGATATCGCGGGCGGTGTCATTGAGGACTACGAGTTCTTATGGGACCAGTACTACTTCTCGACCACGACACTGTAACAAAATTATCCTACACACTCTTTGTTTGTTTGTTTGGCATGAACAGCTTCTTAGATACCAGATACTTTGTATGCTTTATCACTAATGACATGAATCCACGGACGTACTTTCTACAAGCCCATGTGTTCATAATAAGCCTCTTGTCTGACTGCAAGAGGGCCCAACCTGCCACAACACATTTGTCTGAGCGCAGGATCCAAAGATGCGAGAGGCCCCATTATTGGTGAATTGCATTCGTGACGCAGTTGCCTTTAGCTCGAGCTTGGGCCACACTATTCGTACCTTCGGAACTTCGTGAGCATCACCTTGGAGCCGCATCAACACCACCGCAAACTCGCCCGCCACCAACAAACCCCGCCTTCTTCGCCGCTATTATCCCGCACCTCCATCTCCGCACCACCGACCACCCTCACATACCAGCGATGCCCGCCACGACAGCAGAGACGCTGTCGCTCGTGACTCGCACCGTGTCAGTTGCGCCGCTTGTGCTTCTCTCCGCAGCAGATCACTACGGCCGTCAGGCGAAAGGGACACGGAAACGAGTCGTTGGTGTGCTATTGGGACAGAACGATGGCAAGAATGTCAGAGTGTCGAACAGCTTCGCAGGTGCGTAGATGGCAAACTACCTGTTCGCCGCCTGCACATAGTAGCGGGGGTGGGACTACGAAATACAACACAACAGAAGCTGACTAGAGATGTAGTGCCATTTGAGGAAGACGAGAAGGACCCGTCGGTATGGTTCCTGGACCACAACTACGTCGAGTCGATGAACGACATGTTCAAGAAGATCAACGCACGCGAGAAGCTCATCGGCTGGTACCACACAGGGCCCAAGCTGCGCGCGTCGGATCTGGAGGTTAACGAGCTGTTCAAGCGCTACACACCAAACCCTCTGCTCGTCATCATCGACGTACAGCCCAAGGAGGTCGGCGTTCCGACGGACGCCTACTTCGCTGTGGAGGAGATCAAGGATGTACGAGGTGGACGTGGCTTGATTTATTATAGCAATGCTGACACGAACCAGGACGGCACAACGACTTCCAAGACCTTCGTCCACACACCCTCAATAATCGAGGCCGAAGAAGCAGAGGAGATCGGTGTCGAGCACCTTCTCCGTGACATCCGCGACGTCGCCGTTGGCACACTCTCTACCCGGATAACCTCACAACTGCAGTCGCTGCAAGGCCTGCATCTGCGGCTGCGCGACATTGGACAGTACCTGCAGAAGGTCCTTGATGAAGACCTCCCTGTAAACCATGCGATTTTGGGTAACCTGCAAGATGTCTTCAACCTCCTCCCGAACCTGTCAACACCGAAGGCGACACCAGTTGGTGAAGCGACGAACGGCGTTGGCGCAGCGGCAGGCACAGCAGGCGCTATCGACAACGGCGAGCTCGCGCGCGCAATGAGCATCAAGACGAACGACCAGCTCATGGCAATCTACCTTTCAAGTTTGATCCGCGCTATCACCGCTTTCCACGACCTCATCGAGAACAAGATCCAGAACAAGCAGGCGGCGGAAGATAAGGAAGCTAGAAAGGATGATGACAAGGACGACGAGAAGGATAAGAAGGCCGACGGCGTGAATGGTGATGCAAAGGAGGGCGACAAGAGCAAAGAGAAGGGCAAGGATGAGAAGAAGAAGCTTTGAGGGGGAGTATAAGGAAATGGAGTAAGAGCCTAAGGACTGCCTTCCCAGCGCAAAAGTGGTATCACCATGCGCCACGACAGGCTGAAAAGAAGACACTGGGCAGTTAGCCTGGGTCAAAGGATGTATGGCATCATGACATGATAGACTTGAGACGGTAATGCATCACGTCAAAGGACCAGCCCTAATCGTCACCATGCTTTTGGCGTTGTGTCTTTCTACTCAGTCAATAAACCGCGCTGCCAAGGCTGGGTATCACATCTCCCACAGCAAGCTCACAGACCTCGCGGCCTCCAGCTCCTTATATTCAAACCACAGTCAAGTATCACCCCATCCAGCAGCCCACCCAGCAGCCGTCTCAATACCGACTTCCCTCTCTTCCACACACTCCCCAAAAACACCCCTACACCTCTCCGCCAGCACGCACGCCAACAGATGTTTGCACACCGGCGGCATCTCCTGTCCCAGACTCACCCCACCGAACATCCACTCCGCAACCTTCCTCTTCTCTTCTTCTACATTCTCATCTTGCATATCCTGGTTCACCGAGGATGTCGGCTTGGGTATGAAGGTTGGTAGATGTGGTTCAGGGTGTACAGCCGGGAACGCGGCGAAGGAGAAGGCGGGACATGTGCAGTTCCATGCGCCGAGTCGCACCTCGTAGGTCATGATGCTGTCGTAGGATGTGCTGAAGCGGGAGGAGCGTTGTTGCGCGCTGCGGACGTAGTAAATTGTATCGCTACTCGAAGGGGGTCGTGGTACGGGCAGAAAGCTCGTGGATGGTTTCTCTTGTATTGCAGGGCCTGGGCAGGTACTCAATAACTCGTCACTGCCCTGTATAGGTATGTCCGTTGTTGAGGTCGTCCTATTGGTAGACGGAGCTGGGGGCTTCTCGATGCCAATGATAAAGCAAGTGACAAGGTTCCTGTCAAGGAGGTCCAGCGCTGGAAGGAATTCGTTAGGAAACAGAACCTGCAGCAATAGCAGCTGCTTCTTCACGATCTCCGGCGCATCGCTGAGTGAGCTCGGCTCCGCACTGGCATCGCGTTGTTGCAACGAAGGTAGCGAATTCAGCAATTGCGTCACAAAGGCTCGAGGCGAAGGCAGCCTTGACATCGCCATAGCAAGCCACTAGGCGTTGGCATACTTGCCGAACTCTGGTTCTGGCGTAAGTCGGTGAAGGAAGACGCGAAGAAAAGCCGTACTAGAGTTGAAGCTAGCGTGACGCTTGTTCGGCGCGCATCCACGTGATATTCGCCACTTCGTCACCCAAATGCGGTAATGCACGATGACATGCGAAAATCGAGACACTTGCCCCCACTGACCGCTTGATTGCGTGAGTTCAGATCCGAACACCAAATGATTCAACAGCCAAGAACGCTAATCGAAGCCGCTGCAATCGGCTCTGCGCAGTGCTCAGGTGAGCACTTGCTGTGTCGTCATAGTCGGATGTTTGTTTCGTCCGAGGACGTTTGGCAGTCGCAAGGAGATAGGGGCTGGGGCAATTGATCATTGGTCGTTTACAAATCATGATTTGGGCGCGACTGCTTATCCATGCCTGACACGGATGTGCTCGCGACGCAGTCAGCGCTCATCTGTTCCGGCCCTGGCACTGACTTGCGGGGGGCGCATCAGTCAATAGACAGGCGACCTGCCACAGTGATACAAGGCGTCCTCTAGAACGCTGGATTGACGGCATTGCCTATGTGGAGATGACAGGATCGCAGCTGACAATACGAATATAGGGATCTGGTGATTCGTCAATTGAGCCAGATGAGCGGTAGACTGGGAGGCCGCTGCAGGGTCTCCAAGGTGTTGCATCCTATACAGCCCATGAAACGAATGACAGGGTCATCTGGCTCAATTGACGAATCACCAGATGCAATTGCAACGTGCTCAGTGTGCAGATCGCGGATGCAGAGGTGTCGCGCATACCCAGGTCCGTCGTCCATCAGGAGCACGGCAGCCACGGCCGGATTGTCGTATCGAAATCCTGCTTAGAGCGATTGAGGTGATCATGCTCAAAGTGGTGTATTGCGGGTAAATTGTCCATATCGATAAGCGCTGAATTGAACGACACCGGTCCACTGCCCCTCACCCGGCTTGCAGTCGCAGGATTGCAATTGAGGGGTATGGCGACAAGATGGCGGCGGGCTAGCACGCAGTCGTTGGCGGCTTTGCGCGATCAAACTGGGGCCGACAGCTTCGGCAACAGCGTCAAAAGAGTCCAATTTCGCAGAGATGGTGGAGAGCCTCGATAGAGGGGTCACATCTCTTATCGGACAATGTGGGGTGAGGGGTCGCATGGACGGGACCCCGTAAACAATCCATGTGGACATCTGCGGCCTATGCCGGTTTGTCATAAACGGTGTGCAATGGTGAGATGGAATAATACGACTCGTGACCTGCTTGTTCTGGGAATTATGGACGATGCGCGAACCGCCCCAGTCGACGTTGCAGCAGACGGGTGTTTCGCCCTTGTTGACCAGCTGGGGCTGGCGACTTTCACATGCCGAATGACGAGATGGGTGCATCCCGTGAACAATCATGCTGGCAATTAAGCAATCGCATTGCGGAGTGGCAACAGATGGGCAACTGACACAAGCAATGTGTGGCACACAGTTTCGCTGCAAGCCATGTCGTCCTGACATTAGACCCTGCTGAGCGCTGATTGCAGCCCCGTGGCTGGTAGCGATGACCACATGCAGATCTGATACGGGTACTGTGGTAGAAGCCGTATCACAAGACTTCCAGCCACCGGTCGAATTGAGAGCAGACGGTCGCGCAGAATGGCGGCAACTTCGGCCAGCAACGCTGCGGGTTTGCGGTGTGCGAGAATTCTGCAAAGGAAGTTCTCGCTAGACCGCCACTGGCCATGTTCGGCAGGTGGAGTGAAAGCAATTGGGCTCTTCGCACCCTGGCAACTCGAGCGGTAGTTTGTCAATGGCGCGAAAGACTGCATGAACTTGATAGATCAATTGCTCTGGAATGTGGAGCGAGTGTGGAACCATCATCGCTGCATGGATGGCGGTCAACCTGCTCGCAAGAACAGTACCTGTAGCGTGCGGTTAGGCATTTTAAGCAGACGCCAGGCAACTCGAGATGGAGATAGTGGATGCGGTGACCGGGAATCTAGAGCAAGCATGGGACGTGAATAGGGGGCAATAGCAGGCGGGCAGGCACACTGTTGTAACACGTAAACGCTCAATCTGGCGAGGGCTGGACACCCAATGGCAACGGTCTAGGTTTTGCAGGACTCGGAAAATGCTGGCAGAACTCAATTGCGCACTCACAAAACGCGGTTTCAGAACAAGTGAAGCGTGAAGGCTGACGTTTAGTCGTGGACTGTCGCCACTGAGGGAGCTAGCCGTGTTCGCTAGGCAGGAGAGCCCGAGTGTCGCCCTAGGAAGGAGCGACCCAGCGCATTGCAAACAGCACGAAGCCCAATAGTGACTCTGACAGCTACCTATTGCGCACGCTTGCTAGCCCTGGTCACACACCTGCTGAGCATCCCTATTCGATGCCCTATTCGTCGCCCTTCCACGGCCGTGAATGCCAATGATGATGCCTGAAAGGGACCATGGCACGCGCCAACCATACACCCTCTTTGTTCGCCGCGGTGGGCGGCAGTGTCTCAAGGGACGGATGACTCTCCTTGTCGCAGCCTAGCAGAGTAGGTATTCTCTTATAAGTCAGCCCGCCCCGTGTGTTTCTTGAAAAGCTTCCGCTGGTTCTGCACCCTCTCCGTCCTATCTCCGTTACTTGTCAGATGGTGTAAGCAACAATTCGCCGGTCAATTGGATTCCACCGCGTTCCACGATACAACGAACCATATCACTGCCTGCTTCGCCACGCATTGTAGCCAGCACATCCAGCAGCCAATTCGCCAATCCAGGCACTACTCAACCACAGTTCGGACTATTGCTCACACCCTCGAAACTTGCTGCCTAGATCCGACTATAAATTCCCAGGACGCCCCAATTCCCAGCAAGCTTCGTGTTCCTGGACATGCAAACAATGTCAAACCCAATGAATAATTCACCACCGACCAACCGCCTTACGGTTTCCTCGCTCCTCTCCCCACCGGAAATGGAGCGCTCCAACTCTTTCGGCTCTTCAATGCCCTCGGTGGCTCTGCAATATCCTAAAGTCGGCCCCAATTCCAACGCACAATACCAGCTTCCGCAGCTCCCAATGTTCAAGATGCCTGCGTACGCTTCGCCGCCAATCTCGCCCTTCGACACACAAATCGAGAAGGAGAACATGGACAACGCTAGCGAGCAGGGCACATTGGACCCCCCTCTGTTCCGCAGGGAATCAACTACTGGTGCTCTTGCATCAGATGTGCCATTGTTCTTGTCTCAGTCGTCGGCTCCTCAGCCGTCGTCTCAAGAGACTATCGCTCAGCACATGCAATCTACAGAGTACGCACAACTACCCAGTAAGCCAGCCGAAAAGGATTACAAGCTCGTCGCCGAGTTCCAAGCCACAGTATTTGAGCAAGCTTTCAAGAGCCCCAGTGCGTACAGATCATGGTGGGCACAGGAGCGCGATATCGAGAAACGCTACTACGGCAGGCCTGCTGTCCAGTCCGGGGGCATTCACAAGCGATCCTCACCAAAGAAGCTTGCTCCTGCACCGGCCCCGAGATCACGTCAGCCCAAGATTGCCCTGCCCAAGGTTGCACCTCGTCCTGCTCGTGAGCCAAAGCCTAAGCGCACACCCAAGGCTCATGTCCTGAACTCCTTTGAGGAGCATATCGGCAGTGCGTCGCCCAAGGCTGTACGCCCCGCAACAACTCGCGATGATCTCGACTACAATGCCATTCCAGATTACTCGCCACCACTCACGACGCTGATTGGCCATGAGAAGAAGCTGAAGGCTGAGTGGAAGGGCAACAAGCTGGATCTTTCCAACGATCCGGATCGCCACCTCCTCCACGACGCTGAGATGGAGCTCGCTTCCACGCTCCGCCTTAGCTGCGCCACCTACCTCTGCAGCAAGCGACGCGTCTTCCAGGCTCGCGTCAATGCCTTGAAGATCAATAAAGAATTCCGTAGGACTGACGCCCAGCAGGCCTGCAAAATCGACGTCAACAAGGCCAGCAAGCTTTGGCAAGCGTACGATAAGGTCAGTTGGTTCGACGCCACCTACTTCCGCCAGTACCTCTAGATGCACGCGTTGGTGTTTCTTCTTTCTTTTCTTTTCGTCTTTGTGTGAGAGTCTCCAGGGCTCACTAGGCGACCCAAATCTTTGATTATGGTTCACGCTTTGCATGCGGTGTTCAGGGTCTGATTTTCGAGAGTTACGCTTCTCGCTGACCCTAGCATGACGGAGTTGATCGATAACCTTGATCCTCCTCTTTATGATGGCGCTTGTGATTTTTGGGATATGGCATGGGCAGGCAGGTTGTTACGGATTGATTAGGTTCCCCAGCCTCGGCGTTTGTTGACTACTCCTATTAGCTTCCTTTGTCTGCATCATGCGATACCCCCCTCCACAACATATTGTTGTAGTCCGCCTGTGGACCCTGAACTATCACTAGATGGTCTTAGAATAGCAATGCTTTCACATCATTGAGATCATTCAACATAACACTGCATAAAGCCCTAAATTACTTGGGGTTATTGATTGCGCAATGTGCATCGTTCGCTCTGGAAGCATGCGATATCAATGACTTGCGCTCATGCATCCACAGCGAGCGTTCGGTGGGTCCTGGTGACCGGGCTGCGGGGACTTGTCAGATCCGTGCCTGTGGCTGGTGGCTAATTTGGGAATGGGCTCGGCGACCTGCGCGTCCGCGAGCAGCAGTCGTCAGCGCTCGACAACTGCGACGTTTTGCATCCACGACTTTCGCTGCGGAACAGCGCGGATTTGTCCAGCATGTCGCAAACACAGCAGATGGACGCTAGCGACTCGATATCAAGCCAGGGCCCCAACCGCGAGGAGGGCAAGAAGACGAAGAGCAGACGACCCCCGAGTAAGCCTACAAGCGGCTGTTCGCGCATAGAGGTGATACTGACGAATGCATAGATACTGCGTTCCGGCAGCAGCGACTGAAGGCGTGGCAGTACGTGTGCAATGCATGTGTGGGGACCAGAACAGCGACACTGACCGCGCGGCGACAGACCCATCTTAACCCCGAAGACCGTCCTCCCTCTGTTCTTCATCGTTGGCATCATATTTGCACCCATCGGTGGGCTGCTGCTGTATGCAAGCTCACTGGTAAGCTCAAGAGCGATGCGTGGATATGCAAGCGTCTGACAGCTGCTCCAGGTCCAGGAACTGTCGATCGACTACACCAAGTGCACCACCGATGCCCCCGACACGGAGGCTGTATTCAACTCGAGCAGCACAAGCACACTCAAAGATATCCCCTCGGGCGATGTATCTGCCACGTTCAAGTCGTCGATGAAGTCGGTACCACAATGGGGCAAGGCATACGACGACTTCCATTGGCCATCTGGTAGGGTCCAGAATACCAGCGTGTGCATCCTCAGCTTCGAAATTCCCAACGATGTCCAGCCGCCCATCCTCTTCTACTACCGCCTTACCAACTTCTACCAAAACCACCGACGATACGTGAAGAGTGTGGACATTGATCAATTGAAGGGCAAAGCTCGTACCGTGAGCGAGATCAACGCGGGCGATTGCGGACCCCTTGACACAATCGACAACAAGCCCTTCTATCCCTGCGGTCTCATTGCTAACTCCATGTTCAATGATACATTCTCCAGCTTGAACGCGACGAATCCTTCCCAGAACGAGAACAGCCCTAGCGTATACAATATGACGAAGACTGGCATTTCATGGGCCCACGAGGGCGATCTCTATGGAAAGACAAAGTACAAGCCCTCGGAGGTTGTTCCTCCACCCAACTGGCAGGAGCAGTATATCAACGGAAGCTACGACTCCTTGAACGAGCTTCCGGATCTTCACACGATGGAGGATTTCCAGGTCTGGATGAGGACGGCCGGTCTGCCCACTTTTAGCAAGCTTGCCTTGCGCAATGACAACGATGTCTTGAGAGCAGGCACCTATCGGCTGAAGATCTACGACCGTAAGTCAACCCACAACGTGCGTCACTTCGTAGATCGTTTGCTCACATGTCTCTAGGCTTTCCGGTCACGGCATACAGTGGCACTAAGTCCATCCTGATATCCACGCGCACCGTGATGGGTGGCAAGAATCCGTTCTTGGGCATCGCGTACCTCGTCGTCGGCGGTCTTTGCATCTTACTCGGTGCCATTTTCCTTGCCACACATCTCATCAAGCCGAGGTCAGTCACTCGGCGCATGAACGCAAAAAGTTCTAGATTGCTGACATCCAACCAGAAAACTCGGCGATCATACTTACCTTACCTGGAACAATGATCAGCCTAGTACGGCAACAACTACCGGGCGGGCCGGTGGAGCATAGTAAGAGGTATCGCCACAACGTCTTTGTTGTCAGAATACTTGGTTCTCTCTTTTCTCTTCTTCGCGATTGTACCGATTCACGAGTAAAGCCTAGGTCGTGGGGATGGTATGGATATAATAGGCTAAGATCGCCTGGAGTTACGGTGTTTGAGCGAGAGACTGGAACATAGTCTTTCTTGTTCGGTTAATGCATGTCATACTTGACTGATCCCTCTGTTGTGCCTACACCCCACTGATGCGACGGTCCAGAGAATAAGCTTCGTGTCAACGCTGTCAGGCAGCGTGGTACCAAGACAAGTCTCATTATGAAGCCGCATTCATGCTGCTAACAGGGGTCAGGCAAGAATCCGGACGGACGTCCAGATAAACCGAAATGGACATTCTGGAGCACAGGAATCTAGAACATATACGACGTCTTCAAGCTGGAGAATAAAAGCCTTGCTGCTATCCTCCAGACACAATCACTACAGCAGTTCTGCAACTTACTTCAGCACGCTCATTCCCCTCAGCAAGCAGCTGTCTCACAAGTTACTTCAGTAACTTCCCGCATTCCGTGTAACCTCCGGCTTTCAAACGCTAAAATGCGCACTCCCTTCCTCCTTGCCTCGTTAAGCCTCCTGGCATCAGCCACAGACTCTCAACCTCCTGGTGCACCAGATCAACCTTTCGACTGCGGCACAGGCACTGAGTCTGCAGACCAATCCTACCTGGAGACCATCCAGCAACTTCACGATGGCAAAGCTAAAGGCAGTCTTGCTGCTCGCGCCGCCGAGATCGCTGCCCGCGATGACCCTGTCAAGGTTCAGACGGTCTTCCACATCGTCATGACCGATGCCGCCAAAGACTCCATCACCAATACCATGCCACAAGCACAATTGGACTCTCTGAACGCATCCTACAACCCATACAACATCCAATTCGAGCTGCAGAACGTAACTTGGACCACTAACGATGCATGGGCCAAAGCCAGCAAGGCAGGGGACGACGACGGCAACATGAAGAAGGGTCTTCGTCAGGGCACCTATAACACGCTCAACCTCTACTTCCAAACCGACCTCGCCGGCGTACTCGGCCGCTGCACCCTCCCCTCCGCCATCGCAAATGGCAAGGGCGACCCAAGCGTCTACTTCAACGACGGCTGCAACATCAACGCCAACACGATGCCTGATGGCCTGATGGACGGGTTCAACAAGGGTAAGACGGCTGTGCATGAGACAGGACACTGGCTGGGTCTGCTACACACCTTCGAGGGCTACTCGTGCGATGGCCCCGGTGACTACATCGACGACACGCCCGTGGAGAGCACCGCGACAGATGGCTGCCCCACAGATCCTAAGAAGCAGAGTTGCCCTTCCCAGCAAAAGCCCGGCGAGAGCGACCCGATCCACAACTACATGGATTACTCCATCGATGACTGCTATGAAGGCTTCACGGACCTGCAGATCCAGCGGATGAAGAGCATGTGGAGCATGTTCCGTGACGGTAACTAGCAAGCCGAAGGGCTGCCTCATGTCGAAGAGATCCTAGGCGCTGAAGGGCTCGAGGCGAAGATGCGGAGATCGTGGTGATGTGGTGCAAGTTTGCTGAGTTTGTTTGTGTATATTTTGCTAATTTTGTGTGATTAGACTGGATTTGCACATATTGCTCTCTCGCGTTGCTTCTTGTTTGGCGTTATGGTTACTTATTTAAACTGCTAGTCATTTATGAATAAAATGCATTCGTTTAGCACCAGAACTTCTTTTGCACGGCAAGGCTCAACCCACGGAGCTTCTGACCTACGGGTTGACGTGGGATCTTTGACATTCCCGAAGCACTGTCGTCTCCTCAAGACCATTCTTGTGTAACTTCTTCTAGCTTTTTTTCTTCGGGTAGCATTCCGGGCCCTTTGCACCTGCCTCGTGCCTTCGATGCTAGCATTAATCCTTCCCGCACCGTGGCCTGGTCAACGGCGTTCGCTTTGGACGGCTCGCAGTAATTCACCAATGACGACACCAGTCAATGGAACCGCCCGTGGGTCTTCAGTCCAGACTGAAAAGTCCAGCCTTTGTCTAGCCCTATAGCCTGAGACCTCTTGTGGAACAACAGCCTCGCCCCCGTAGGGAAAACCACTGACTCGCCTTGCGACAGTCCAGCTCATAGAAACAGCGATCCTGACATCAAAGGAGGTACTGAGGACTTCCAAGATCTCAAATTCTGACACGCACATGTCGATGCACAGAACAACGATGTGAAGCAACCCGCACGCAGCCCTTTGTTCCGCATGCGGAAAGTCCCCTCATGCATGTGAACGCAAGCAACACCACACCCGTGGAAAGCGCAGTAGAAGAGCAGAATATTTGTAAACATAGAGGTAATAGCAGGTGCTTCGCAAAATTTGCAATTGCTGCAGCTCGCGCTCTCCTACCGCGACGGTGAAGGCCCAATACTTTCACCTCACCTACAACTCCACCGCACGAAACTCTGACCCATCCAACCGATCGAACCAACGTAGTCTTCCACCCATACACCTCTTCTTCGAGCCTTCTGCACACCAACGAAGAACTAGCCCGCCTCCACCAACGCCCTTCCACAAGCCACCGCCGAGCTCAGCCCCGCAAAATCAACAAAAAACCACTTCACATATCAAACGAACAGTGCCTAAATGCGATCCTCACGCGTTTCGAAACTATCGAACACTACCAAGCCTCCCTCCGCCCTGCGCTACGTCCTCATCCTGCTGAAAGCGCGTCCAACCCCACAGGACATAGCGTGCTTGTGCAGTTACACGTCAAGAAACAGCGTTGCGCCGCCTCCTTACACACCCTGATACCTGCGCCGTGCAGAGCAACATTGAGATGTCAAATGTTACTTCGTCCCGCGTGAGTATGGGCGAGACCCACTGGGCTTTTACAACGCTCTCTCACTTCGACACATGGTGTGGAGCAACATGTCATACGGTACTGCGCTATGCTCTACGTTGCCTACTCATTCTCGCACTTACTGGTACATTCCTCGCGATTCTTCTGCCCAGTCTTGATCCGAGGTGCCGTGCAGAGCTGAAGAAAAGGCTGGGCGTGGACAGTGCGAGCAGATTGTTGGAGAGGAGTGACCTAAGATCAATCACCGGAACATTCAAGGACGCAGGCATGGGCGTGAAGGCTAGAAAGGATGCAACTAAGCTGAGTAGTAGGACGGATGTGAAGGACCCGTGTGCTGTAATGTAGCATATTAACGTTTGAAATATTCTGTAACAAAGCCAATGCTCATCTCTCTCTAGTTGCAAGCGTTATCCTAAAGGACCATATTTGCTGCCAAAAAGGACAGATTGCAGTCACTGTCAGTTAGTAGGATATATAGGATCTGAGCTAGCCGCTGAAAACGGCTATATAGTGGAGAGCACTTGCAGTAATACAAGGATGACTATCCCATGCAAAGACCTCCGCGGATAGTATTTCCCTTGCTCGTTTCGTTATTGGTGACTGAAGGTCACATAAAAAGGCAATGATGTGACTGCCCAATCAAGACAAAAGCTTATTCCACCGGACAGGTTCGAACTGTCAACCTTCCCATGTCTATCATTTGTTGATAACAGTCGAACACGCCGCCAATTGCGTAACGGAGAATCTTTGGGCTCATATATCGAGGACTTGGAGGCAAAGTAGGTGGATATTAGAAAACATGCAACAGTAAATGGGCAGACAAGGTCCTGATATTTAAAAGAAGTCTAGAGATTTGGGCCGTCATAGCAGAACCCACCTTCGCACTCTACAAGTGATACATCAAGCTCAAGATACTGACATGAACAGACCGAGAGGCGGCACAGTCATCTGAAAGAAGTCCATGGTAAGCCCTCCAGCAGATTCGATCTGATACGCAACCTTCTGTTCCGCTGCGCAAGGAAAGCTTGCAAGATTGTACTGATTGGCAGGCTGAACAGAAGGTACCCATCCTACAACGCCAGTGCTGACGATGTTGCTCGCACTTATGTCCGCCGATGTAGATTGTTGTCCCACGCTTGACACAATGATGCCACCCGGCGATCGGATCTTGACAGGCGATATGTCTTGCCAAGGGAAGGCCGGAGGCATGTAAAAGGCGAGATTGCAGGTCTTGCCTCGATTTTCAGAACGAACATCGAAGACAAAGACCGTAGACAAGGTGGGCGATAGCCGTGCGACGTAGCCGTTACTCCTGATATTGAATGGATCGGACTTGTCGACAGGTACAATCAAGCTGGGCGCCTCAAAGGGCCCTTCAAGACCCACAGGAGGTTCATGAGGTTTGGGAAGCGATTCGATCGCCAGACGAGATTGGGGCGTAGCCGCCGTTGGTGCAAGTCCAGTCGGTGCTGGAGTGTTTGATGTGATCACGGGAGGAGTAGCGAGGACGGATTGTGCTGTGGAAGATGAGGTTTTCACTGCCGTGACGTTAGCACAAGATCAAAAAGGGGTGTCAACCACGATGTTACGCATCGACCAAGTAAACCCTCCCAGGGTGCTCCAGCTACTCGCTACGACCACACTACTCGCTGCACCCATAACGCTGCTGCTGATTACCGTTGGCAATGACAATGTGTTCTTCACAAAGACATTAGCCCGCGCAAACCAACCTAAAGCTTTTGCAGCCCAGATTGGAGAATGTACGGGCGGATGCTTCGGAAGACATCTGTAACATGACTGGGCAGCAGGGAAAAGGTAGAAGAGCACAGTAGCAGTAAGGGAAAGATGCGCAACTAAGGCGAAGAGCAAGGGCGACAGGACTGATAAGAGAATCGAGATAGGGAGGTAGCTTACGTTCTTGGCCGCAGCAGGGCAAGACAGGTCAAACAGGGGAGAGACCTGGGCGAGATCACCTCCGGGCTTGAGACCAAAGGAAGGGCTGGGGTTACCCCACTGGACATCCTGGAGGGTGTAGTAATACAGGTTGACGTTGTCATTAACAAGCTTGCAGGTGACATCCTCCCAGTAGATGCGGGCGTTGTCGGCGGAGGGAACGGCCTGGTTGACGGTCTCGCCGCTAACGGGCCATCCAGTCTCAGTGACCCAGACGGGCTTGCCCTTGGTGGCAGCGACGGTCTGGTTGTAGGCGTCGAAGAAAAGGTCGCCACCATTGCCAATGCCGTTGGCGAAAGAGCTCTGGAAGTAGGGGTACGCATCTATCATTAAATCAGCATCAGACTCGAATGTAACGTGGGCTACGTACCCATGCCAATCCAGTCAAGGTTGTCGATGACAGCGCTGTTGCTAGCATTGACGTAGACCTGCCATGTATCGACGTGACCGAGCTTGGCGCTAGAAAGGCTGGTCCCAGCAATGGCGTCGCGGACCTGCTTGATGTAGCTGACGAGAACGTCGGGCCCGGTACCAGGGTTGCCTCCAGCACCATCGGCGGAGATGCGGTAGAGATCCTCAGAACCGACGGAGATACCAACGACCAAGTCAGTGAAGGCGGTGCCGTACTGAGAGATGGCAGCCTTCAGTGCGTTGACCTCGTTGTTGAACGAGTCCTGACCGGCGGAGGCCCACAGACCAAGAAGAAGGGTGGTCTTGGTGTTGATGGCGGCCTGGATTGCCTCAATGATGGTGCTCTGGGTTCCGTGCTGGATCATGGTGTAAAGACGGGCGCTTGTCCAGCCGTCGGTACCGGGGAGGGTCTTTGCATTGTTGAACTCATATTCGAAGTCGGTCAGAGTCTTAGCTGCGTCGTTGTTGAACTGGGCACCGTAGTTGAAGCCCTTGATAGCCGCGTTGGCAGTAGACAAAAGAGCCGCAGAGGCAACTATGGAAGGTGTGAAGCGCATTATGATAGTAGGGAATAGGGTCTAAGGGCTGATAATACAATAGGTAGGTATAGAAGAAGGAAACCCAGATGTGTAGGAAAGGTTGGTTGGTGCAAGCAAGGCAAGAAGTGCGAGGAATGTATTGAGTAAATAGTCTATCGATCTACGACGCTTGACCCATCAGTGACGGTAGGGATCGTGCACGAGCTAATTGCTTATTGGGAAAGAAGCACTTGCGGATCGGCAGGGCAAGTGCTTCCGCAACTCCCGTGCTTTCCTGATTCGGCCAGACCATGTGGTTGACATGGAAGGATTTCCCGTTTCCTCAGATAAAATAAAGGCAGCTCAGCAGATCCCCAAGACGTTCACGGGTGTACCTTACCTATAGTCTTTACTTCCTTCCTGCTGATTACAGGGACAAGCTCTTGAACACGATGAGCTTCTCTTCTTGCTCGGGTTGGCTAGTGACTCGCCGTTGTGGAGAACCCAATTCTCAACGGTTCTAGAAGGCAACGTCAGGCTCTCGGTTTAATTAGCGTCGCACCTGGCGTGGCCGGTTAAAAATAGCCTCATATGTCCGACCACCAAATTGCAGTCTAGGGATCGGGTCCATACACAATTTGTCGTGGTACTTCAATAGGTATGCAGGTCGATGGCTTTGTGCATCTATCGTCATTGTACTTCTCGCAAAAGAAAGGAGAGTAGGGCACATCTTCTGTCAAAACGTTCGTCAGTCTGGCTGAACGTCTCCACACACCATCGAGGTCGCCGAAAAGTTCGCCCCGGAAAAACCTAAAGGTGGACCGAATGAGGCAACAGGTAAACCAAACACAATGAGTTGACAGCAAAGTTCATGCAGCAGCACTTTGCGGTACAGGCCACTGTCTCCTGTTTCTGAACGTTGTGAGAGTGAGGCCCACAATAGGTACAGCACAAAATTTGCTCGCCGCCGCTGGTGCCAGGAGCGGGTGCCCGGAATGATGACGTGGATAGCGCACTGGTCCCAAACTCAGGAGAAGCGGTTCATCCAGGCAGCGGGCCGACATGGCTGTGCGTGGCCCTGACGTGCACCGGCAACGGTGCACTCGGGTACGGAAAGGAGGCAATCGATAACATTGCGATTGATGAAGTGTGGATGGCTCTGAAGGAGTTGTGGTCGTTTTGCGTTTTGCGATGTCTGCACGGGTGTGGATGCACAGTCTAGTCCTCATCGAGTTAACCTTGACAAAGCGTTCGCAGCAAACCAACACATCTTCTGCATGTTTTCGAACTGACTTTGAGTATCAAGGTCTACTGACAGCATCTCGCAAACAACACTCAAGGTCTGTCTATGCGGTACAGAGTCTCTGCTACATTGAACCAAGCCTCATACTGCACGTCATCTGGCGTAGTGTCATAATGGTAATGACCTCCCTCACCATGATGCGAGAAGCAATGGGTGTGCTCAATCCTTAGATCGAATCCGGGATCATACGAATGCAGTACGCTCAAACACACCAACGGAGCTTTCATGTTGTAGAACTTCAACCACTTCTGCTTCTGCTCATCTGTGATCAACGGAGTCGGCGAGAAGTCAGGCATGACGTGCAACTTCGCCTTGCCTCTCGAGATAACGAACACACCTCCAAGAGATATCGTTCGCGTGCCGTATGCGTCTTTCAATGCCTTGCGGATGACTTCGGTGAAGTTGAGAGAGCCCTTCCGCGAAGATGCTGTGATATGTAGTACATCGCCTGGCAGACCAGCGCTGCCAAAGAGATTCGCCATCAGCGCACAGTCCTGAGAATCCAGCTTCTCACACAGCGCGCTGCCGTCATCTCTGACTCTGGCACAATGCGTCTCGTTGACAAGCTTGTCGCTCCACCACGCCAGATTTGGCATCAATTCCGAGTTCATGCCAACCACGTGAAACGGTCCTGCTGCTGCGCCCAGCATTGCCCCTTGGTTTTCGGGCATTTCCATAAGTTTTGCGATGTTGAGCAGATCGTACTTCTTGGTAAAGTTTGGGGTAGGTGCTAGGTTGGGCTGTCCACCCACGTCCGCGATGCGGGGAGACCCACTCAAACCAGTACAAGCGAGGCTGTAGGGTGCTTCGCGAAGATCCGGACATTCTTCGACTGTTACTGATGCTGATTTGAAGTTCTGTACCATCTTGGTCTTGATAGCATCGACGAGTTCGTGGAGTGGTGGGGGGTTGAGGTCGACTCTTTGAATAGGCGGATTCGGCATGATTCTGACTCTGGTACTAACTGTGGACTATTGAAAAATGCTCAGAATTCGAGACGATACCCCTTGGATTGTAATTATTAAGAAAGCGGAAGCATGCAACGAGTGCAATCGTTGGAAGATGAAGAGCGGGGGCCATCCGGTGTTCCTCCCGAGATTCCAGCTCCTCGCTACCTTCCAAGTTTGACATGGAATGTGAGGTATAAGCGGACTTGTTTCGTTTCATGATCATTCCACATAATTTGAAGCTATCGTGAAGGTCGTTGCTCATCAATCACACTTTCGTCACATTCATCAGACACCACTTCCAACTTCCTTGCTACGTTCAGCCTTCTTGTTCGCATCAACGCCATCTACGATAGTCAGACTAGGCACCACGATAAGAGGCACACCCCATCTACCTTTCTCGCCAAAGTTTAGTGCAGGCAGCTCAGCCACGTCGATAAAGATGTTCGACGTATCAGCTTCAACCCTTACGGCTCCATATATCGCCATGTGCATGTATTCTTCTCCAGCCATCTCGTAAACTTGCTTCTCGTTGTGTGAAAGTTCGAATTTTGCTTTCTCTTCGAATTCGTATGACGGCTCCGCTGCGTTGCCTGAGCGTCCGGTCGTCTTGGTGCCAATGTGACGCTTGCGCCTGAGCCAGAGCAGTAAGAAGATGCAGGCAATTGCGCAGGTGCCGACTATTGTGACGCTGATGATGATTGCAATGCGCGTTCTCGAGCTGATATCATATTTTCGCTACTTGGCCGTTTAGATTGGAGTACACCCTGGATGTGCGCATGACTCCTTCAGACTTCGCAGGAGCCCAACCGATAAGAGACTCCCTCAACATGGCATTTCTTTGTGCTGTACCACTAAGCTTCTCTATCAGGCCATTGCTGAGTTTATACGGTTGATGACTTGCAGAGAAGACACTACCCCATGTCATCGTTGGAAGATCCATGACGGCAATAGACGCGGCTTTCCGGTTACAAGGGTCTATAATGTTCCCACACCGGGTGCTTCCTCCGATTGTAAGGAGCTGACGGCCTGCTGCAAGATGACAAGTGTGGCCGCATCGAGGCGAATCACCCCCAAACATCTTGATCCAGGTGAAAGAAGGTAGCGTGAGAACGTACGTATCGTCAAAGTACGTCGTGCTGTTGTCTGTCGCCGTTGGATCCCATCCTCCATACATATAAATGCTGTGCGATGAGTTGTCAGGCGCTGAGGCCAAAACAGTGCACGAGTCGATGAGCGCTGGGGGAATATCGTCAGCAGTAAATTGCGTGTACCAACTGCCGTTGGTCTTTGCTGAGGCATATGACGCCAGGTCGAAGATATCTACAGAGTCAAGTTCAGCAATCTCCCCCGAATCTGCGATGTTATCATGGTACAGGCTGTAGACCATCGAAGACTTTGCCGTCCAATGCAACGAGCAGACCACTGCCGCCAATGCCAGATATGTATTGCAGGCCGCCACTAAGACGAGGTTGTGGATCCTTCATGCCAGCTGTGGAGATGTTCATCGAGGCATGGTGCTCAGGATCTATGACGACCATACCATCGAGCAGAGCCTGAACGTCGCCTGCGTCTTTCGCTGACACATTTGTGTCGTTAAGTATCCGACCGTGAAGTTAGAACGCTAGACCTTGATCTGGGGCTTCTGTCGATGAGCCATATTTTGGATTGTTCAGTGTGCCAATGTCGAACTGACTCCATATGTTGGTCCTGTAACTGACCAAAGTTGATAGGTGTTGCTCTGATCTTTAAACATGGTCGGATTGACAGCGTTGAAAAAGGTCTCGTTGCCTCTAAAGATGGTTTCGCCGTAGGTCCAGATCTCAGGACTACTTTAGGGACCGTGAAACAGAGCGCCAGCTACCACGGCCTGTCTGACGCTAGCACCAGTTCTTGGACTTGGTGTCGTCTCGAAAAAAACCAGGATATGTCCTTCTGCCAGTCCCATGACTGTTTTGGGTAGATTTGTAATATAAGAGGATCTGATGATGTTAATGATGAGGTTCTCGTCTAGACATGAAGGGCTGGAGATCCTCCTGTAGCCGAGAGGGTCGTTTCTCGATACTGTGTCAAGGTGTTATCGAGAAGAAGAACCATCGCTACAGTTGCGTACCGTTTCGGCGCCCCCATAGAGGTAAAGCGTGTGGTCCTTGATGACAGCTATCTGAGTAAATGCTTGACATTCATAAACTAATTTCACACGTACATTGGTAATACCATCGCGAGCAAAAGTATGTGATGACGTCTTGCGGCCTCCATGTTGTTGGGAGTTGAGCAGCGGCGAGCCCTGCAAGCAGTTGCAGGATCTGCCATTGCAAGAAAGCCTTCCACGTGATCATCCCGTCTTCAGACGATATATTCCATATTTGTGATGGGTTTCAAAATGGATTGCGAGGACTGAAGCTTTCCACTGCTCGGAGGAGGCGTTGTGTTATCGCTGAATCACGGTGGTCCAACCAGAGGCCCGGCCCACAGACCAGACTCATTCTCGTGGGTCAGTTATCATCGTTTCGAGATTTCTATCTCGAAGAGCCAGTCATAAGTTGTCATATTGGCGCAGAAAGACCACATGCCAATACCGCGCTGTGGCATGTCCTACAAAGACCTGCATCTGGATTGGCTGTATAGATTCGGAGCAAATCCTTCGAGACTATCGACTCGACCTCCACCAATGGCGAATGAGAGAGAACTACTGGTGTCGACAAATTCAGCTTGCTCGCCAGGGTAATGCAGCAATTGTACTTGTAGTTGAAGTTTGGCATGCCTACTCGCCACGCTAGATCCCTGTGTCAATCAATGTCAGAGCCGCGAATCTGTGTTCAGAAGACGTAGCTGTTTTCGCCGGCATGTATCGCTCGGCTAAAAACCGGATGCAGAGATCTTCGTAAGGTCTCCCTCAGATGGCTTCGACCGACCATCGAGTTGCAGTTCCTGCTCTTTCCAAGCCTACGATAACTCGTGGTTGCGTGAAGTATACGAGGAAGATTCGGATAAGCACAAAAGATATATGAATGACGTTAATATTATGACGTGCTGAATTTGCATCGAAGTAGGGTCGATGGTGTGGACTCTGATTTTAGTGATCTTGGAACCCAGGTAGAAACCACGACACGTAGAGGGCACCGAGCTTTATATGCAATTTCTGATGGCTAAAAAATGTTTTATCAAGCACCTACGTCAGTAATCGATGGGTTAAGATCAAAGATTGAAGCTCAGTAAGCTCCAAGGTTGCTGTGGGTCTGGGAATGCTCTTTCCGGTGTACAACAGATTGAGTACAAAGGGCTATACGAGCCGAGACATAGGAAGACCACGAAATTGTCGCGAGGCTCATGATCGCTCCTTCCGAGCAAGTAGAATGTACCCTAAATGTAGTGAAGGAAGGAAGCGCGGTGGTTGACCTCATCTCGGAGCTAGTGGTGGGCTTGGCGCGAGCTCTCGGAGACAGCAGGCACCATGCACCGCGTCAACTCCAACAAACAACCTCGCCGCCGCCCATTCCGACCACCGCACACATCTGCGTAGCCACGAACGCACTCTATCGCGCTGCCTGAAAACCTTTCTTTCAAATCACCTTCTAGACCAGTTTAGAAGCCCCGTCAACATGGTAAGCCCTCCACTGAGCCCCGCCGAAGCTCTACCTTTTGCTTATAACCACAGTTCATAGCACGCAGCGAGTATGATCGCGGCATCAACACTTTCTCGCCAGAAGGCCGTCTCTTCCAAGTCGAATACTCTCTCGAGGCCATCAAGCTTGGTTCAACAGCGATAGGTGTTGCAACAGGCGAGGGTGTAATCCTTGGTGTCGAGAAGCGCGTCACATCTACCCTCCTTGAGACCAGCTCAGTCGAAAAGATCGTCGAAATCGACCGCCACATAGGATGCGCCATGTCGGGACTGCAGGCCGACGCACGCAGCATGGTCGAGCACGCACGAGTCGAGAGCCAGAATCACGCCTTCAACTACGCCGAGCCTTTGAGGGTGGAGAGCTGCACGCAGGCGATATGCGATCTCGCGCTGCGATTTGGTGAGGGTGCTGAGGGCGAGGAGAGCATCATGTCGAGACCATTCGGTGTGGCGCTGCTCATCGCTGGGTACGATGAGGACGGCCCGAGTCTGTACGTCGCGCATAACCACCCATCATGATGGAGCAGACTTGCTGACTTTTCTAAAGGTACCACGCTGAGCCCTCTGGCACATTCTACCGCTACGATGCGAAGGCGATTGGGTCTGGATCCGAAGGTGCACAAGCAGAGCTGCAGAACGAGTTCCACAAGTCGCTTACCCTACCGGAAGCCGAGGTCCTCGTTCTCAAGACGCTCAAGCAGGTCATGGAAGAGAAGCTGGACAGCAAGAACGTTCAGCTCGCGAGCGTGACCAAGGACAAGGGCTTCAGGATCTACACTGATCAGGAGATGGAGGAGGTCGTTGGAAGACTGCCTACGAACTAAACGATGAAGGTAGGCGTGGGCGGTGAGGACGTATAGAGCATGTTAGAGCATCTAAGCGCTACGTCATGATCACAACAAAGAAATGAAGCAATGCCACAACATCGCATCACAAAACTGAACTGTCAACCTCATCACAGCAGTCGCGACAGGCCATTGAACACAAGAAAGGTCTATTCCGCACTTGCAGCTGCTAATATACAGCAAGCCAGCCCAGTCCAACGCTAAAGCCATGCCTCGTACAATACAACCCCTCCACCCCATTAGACAGAGCATCTAGAAGGGGTTGTCCTCGGGCGCAATCTCCTTCTTGAAATAAGGGCCCAGGGGAGTCCTCATCATTATGTCGTCGCGAACCTTGGGGACCTCGGCGAAGAAGAACAGGGCGAAGAAGCCGGCAACACCGCCGAATCCGGCTGCCAAGGTGCCGCTGTGTATGTGAGTACGTGTCCAGGAATTGGAGATGGGGGTAAAGTGGGCCGACGTACAACTTAATGAGGTGGCGGGCAGTGATGCCGTGGAAGTTGCGCTGGATGGTGTACCTGGGATTGCGTTAGTCCAGTGCTCGCAATGGCCTAGAGTTCCTCGCAGAGCTCCAGAACATTTCCACATTTGCTTCGCGGACGCAAGAGGGCGCGGCGGCGTTCGTGTCTTGCAGGTCGACGTCTTGCTCTCGATTGGGGCGGTCCTCCTCTTCCTCGATGTTGCCGCCGCACCGCCCTACTTCCACAATCCCCCAATCTCCCCAAACCCCGTCCAAATTCCCTGGAAGAAAAAGCAGTGTACGTACTGAGGACCGAAAGGACTCCTGTAAGCCTTGTACGGGCTGCGCTTGCTCTGTCCATCATCAGCTTCCCTGCTCACACCATCGTCCAACACGCTCTGCACCACTCAATGGCTGGACAGAGTCTCCGGAGAGCTTACGAAAGCGGCGATCGACTTGCCCTGAACGGGGCGGGCGGGTTCGTGGACGTGCATCGTTGCGGGTGTGAGGGTGCGCTGTGGTGATGATGTCGGCGGGTTGTGAGAAGTTGAGAAGTGGTTGCTGCCAAGGCGGAGAGCCTGGGCCAATCAGAGGGGAAGGGATTTTGCAGGCTGGGGTCAGCGGGCGAGGAGTATCGCTCTTCATCTGCACCTTGTTCCCCGTTGACATTTCTCTTCTAATTGATGTCCTCTTGATGTATTCTCTGATGTTGGTCTTTCTTTTATATGATTTGGGTATCTGATGCTGATGCTGTTTTCACAATTTCACCTTTCACAATCCTATTCCTCCCCGAAACAACTCCATGATCCTTCTTCATTGAAGCTTTCAAGTGCTCAGAGCCTGAATGATGCAGCAGCGGACTTGGAAAGCGCCTATTACCCATGCATATACTGATCCCGAATTTTTGAGGTTCATGCCTGGTTCTCACCATCCTTCTTCGCTGCCTTCTTTGCATCGATGGCTTCTCGCCAGCCCTTTCCGTACAGCGCAGTGGCATACGTCGCCAGCGCACCAAAGACAAGGAAAAACGCACTGATTGTCGAGAACCAACCCACGCCGATAGCTCTGACAGCGGGAAGAACGACGGCCGAACCTCCCGCTGCGAACATGTAGCGCATAAAGTAGTTGCCAGCTGGCTGGCGTTAGTATGGTGTTTGAACAAGAGAACCAAGACTACATACCAACAACTTCAGCAGAACGGCCCTGCATGACGTCTAAGCAGTATGTATTCAGACTAGGGAAGCAGAAAAGTTGTGCAACGCCCTGCAGGAACATCATGATCACTGGTAGCGCAATGCCGCCAACTCGCTTCTCGACACTCCAGCCGTAGATAATCATGCAAGCTGGAATGACGCCTCCCAGAAACCACAGACAGCTGTGGAGCCGGTCTTCAGACTCGCGGTGGCCGCGAATACGGATGTATTTTTTGACGATGTAGTCTGCGTATCGCCCTCCAAAGAAGGTGCCAAAGAGGTAGCCGCAGCCAGGGGCAATATAGAAGAGCGAACCTTGGAGAGGAGTGGAGAGATTGAAGCGCGGGTTGAGGACGTAGCGGATTGGTGTAAGAAGGGAGTACATGTTCCAGACCAACGAGGAAGATGACAGAGCCTGGGGTTGATTAGCGTAGCTTTCGACTGCAGCAGTGATGTCCAGCACATACCACCAGAAAGAGGTTTGGATACCGGTACAAGCGAAGGACACGGAATGGGTTGAGCCACTGCCACATCTTGTGTGCTTTCTCTGACGTCTCGAGTCCCTCGAGCTCAGAAGCTCGCTTCATGTGGATAGTCTCGGGCTGGACGAAAAAGCAGAGAACTACCGCGGTACCAGCGAGGGCAGTCTGGAACCAAAATATGTCACGCCAGCTGCGGAAGGTTACAATGATACCTCCAATGAACGGACCTGGTCAAGTAAGCAACATTGCAGACGGGGCCAAATCACTTGAATTGCCTACCTAGTGCAGGGCCGATGAGTGTGCCAGACAAGAACCAACCCAGTGCTGTTCCTCGCTCAGTCTGTACAGATCGTTAGCTCAGGCCTGACTATTGTTGAGGGACTACCTGCTACGGTTGCAGTAATCTATGCTAGTTGTGCTTAGGTCCCAGTAGACTCGAATCGTGTTGCGAAATTTGCGACGGCCATAGTAGGGTACAATGTAGATGTATGAGAGAAGTTTGAAGTTACGTACCGGCTTGTAGATATCTCCGATAACTGCGCTGCCAATGATGAGGAATGCGGTGCCTTGGAAAGCGGTCAAGATCCTGAAGACAAAGAATGATGCCAAGTTGGGAGCCAGAGCTGTGCCGATCGAGAAAGCTGTGAAGAGCGTCGCACTTGCTACTGAAACCTGCAGGCTAACGTCAGTTGATTGTTTGGGTGCATTACTACTACCGATGGCCATGCTGCATCACGTAGTAGTTCTATTGTTACGCACCCATTTTCTTCCGTAGATGTTAGCGTAGGGTCCATAGAAGCACGGACTGATACCCATGAAGAGCATGTACAGTGCATTCGATACGTTGATTATGGCACCGTCGGTATTGTACGTCGCTGCCACTTCTGGCACAGCAGATAAGACCGTAGTAGACGAGATCGGTGCGAGGAAACTACAGAATGACACTGCGGCGACTATGGCGATCTTTCGTCGATCGGAGAACTTGTTGTAGACCTCGTCCATGTCGCCGGTCACGACAAGGGTCGCATGCGCCATGCCATCATGGCTCATGGAGGAGATAGTATGCTGAAGCTCGAGACCACGTCCTTGCTGAGGTACAATTGAGGCGTATTGGGTCTGCTTCTCGGACTCTTCACTGATCCAAGGCGCAGCAGTCGATGCTGGAATTGGGTCGTCTTGGGAAGCCATACTGTGAAGTCATGGAACGCAAGTTAGGAACGAGATGTGTCTAAGTACTTCGATCAACTGAATAAGGGAATGATGCTGGCAATCAGCAATGGCAATCGTCTTATCTAAGTGAGAGACAGAAGAGATGGTGACTCAGGTGAGCCGAGATCTATAGGGCAAGGTGGACATGTAGTGTCGTAACTTGCAGCATTAGTGTTGGCTTATCCGCGGCCCTGTAACATGCTGCCGTCCTGAGCAAAGCTTTTCCGTGAATAGATGTAACGTATTGTGATCTTGCCGAAAAGCGGAGCAGGGATGTCGGAATACCCGGAGTACTCCGATCAGGCTTTCTCACCGAAGGCTGGAAGTAAACCGATGACCACTATGGCAGAAGCACATCTTTTCTGCTGCTGGTGAGCTGGCGAAGTGCCAGTTCTCGGGAATAAGGCTGCCTTCGGTTGCTCGGCGCTCGGCAAATCTCCCGTGCAGAACCATCAGGGCAGCAAAATTTCAATGTCGTCGGTGATGTGTTCAAGAGTGAGCAGCAAAGCTCACGAAAGCTTATGTATATTGGTAACATTGGGTTGTGGCCCATGTTCGTTTGTCCTGATATGTGGTATTCCCTTCTAAACGCCTGTTGTGGGATCTCGCAAGTGCTGAGAGGCCCAAAAAATGCCGCAAACGCCGGTATATGCATGTGTATGAACACGAGTCGCCCGCTCTGTTTATATACTGAGTTTGTCCAGACTCAACCGATCCGTGCTTCGGTGACGCTTCACCATGCCGAGCTTGTAGAACTTTTCCTCGCCAGTTGCTGTTCGACCACCGATGTACCACTTCTCGGCACCCATGATCTCGTTGAAGCCGTCTGAAGAGCTGTCAGAGCCTCTCCTGCTCCTTTGATTTGCGCCTGGGATGGGGAATGCTTTGGCGTGGACTGGTGATGTGGAGCGGTGGTACGGTGTAGCGTGTTGTCTTGTGGGCTGGAACTGGCCGCTTGTGTGAACGACTGTCGTTGTCGCCCCAGGTGACGGTGATCGTGTCTTGGTGGTGATCGTGCGTGTGGTACTCGAGGCATCGTAGCCTTGTGTCTGGGGCGGTGCGTTGTTGTGTGAGTAGGACGCTGCTGAGGCGGCCTGCGATGCGCCAGCTTTCTGTACGGTGGGCTGGGCCCGGAAGGCTGCCAGAAAGCCGCCAAAGAAAGGCCTGTTGGTGGTCATGGTGTTCTCGGAGGCTTCCCGTCCTGCAAGTGAGTACTGGCGGTCTTCGTGCATTAACGGTTGCTCGTCTCCAAGATCGCGCTTTGTACCTGGACGGCTTTTGTAACCCTTCGCTCCAAGCGATGCTAAATGGGCCGTTCGAGCGTGATTTACAGGACGGCGGGTTGCCGTGTCATGGATCACTTGGGGTGCTTGTTCGTCTTATGCGGTTACGAGCGGGTGTGACGTAACACCGGATCACAACTTTGCAGCGTTATACAGCGAGTCGTAGGCGATTTGGTGGGCAGTGTAGTCGAAGATGGTGGGGCTTGACAGGTCTCTTGTACGTGAACGCGGGGAAAGGGAGAGTGGGTTCTTTGGTGGTCGTTGGAGTAGTTCGTGCCGGATCCGTGAAGGCAGAGGAAGAAATCGGAAAGCAGCTGATCGTGATCCGGCGCCACACATTCATAGACCAACAGTTGACCGAGGCGCTGAACAGGGACACAACTGCACCTCGAAAACCTGAGATAACCGCCGCGGACTCTCTATAACCATCCCCTCAGGAGGCCCTTCAGTGTTCTTTGTGAGCTTTTTTCCCATTCGATGTGTCACTCTGTTGATGTGCGCCGCATGCAAGATTCGCTCATGATCTCCGACGCACCATACCTATGCAATGTGTGTCCCCTACCTCTACGCCATGACAATCCCGCGGCCTCTGTTTGGCTGCCTAGTACTGGCCGTTGCAGGTGCATACATGCGCACGCGGGACTGGTTCGCATATTACCAAGACCTATACCTAGCGCTTGCCCTGAAGTGGTGATTTCAAGCACATGTTCGAGAATTCAGAGTGTGAACCGTGATCCGCCGCTCAGAATCGCGATCAAATCGCTTTTTAATCTTGCCTTTTCGAGTAGCCAAAACGAGAAGACTGATATTCATCGCGCTCGCAATCACTCTGAGTTGCAGCCTGCTTTCGCTGTGGTGTTAGTATTCTGACCACCTTCAGCCAAATCATCAACCAGAAGCTGAATTAACACACCTACCTAAGCCACAATTTCAGAGAAGGTACATTTGCAATGCAGCACTAGCGCATTGTCCAGATATCTTTGGCACATCCTCAGCATCGTTGGTGACTTAAGGATGATAAACTTGTTTGGAATACCAGTTTGCAAGCAAGCGCTCAGCTCCTTCCCGAGATGAGCCAGGTTGTGCAAAAAGGCAGGCTCGACCAATATCAACAATCGCCATTGTTGAACAGTGATTGACAATTATCATCAAGGTGCGCAGCGACAGTACTACACGCATGGTTTGTAATCCTTCTTCGAGCTCCCAGCAAGCCAGGTGCATCAATGAAAAAAGGCCTGTCAGATTGCCGTCAACACCCTGCTTTCTGGATCGACCGAAGTACGAGCACAGTCAGCTGAAGATCATCGCCACACTCGCCGAAGCGAATGCAATAAGGCCTCACTCCGGGGCATCGAGGCTGAAAGTCATCAACCAGGTTGGAGAATCTGTGGCTTCTGTAGGAAGCTCAGAAGAGGACGATATCTATAGAAATGATTCTATGAAGTATCGTCGAACATATCGAACAGAATCAAGGGCAGGAGCAAGAATATATACCCAAAAGATATGGTCCGTGCATATCTCGGGACCCCTCCCGTCCTAATCTCGATGTTGGAAATTTTCACTTCCGTTACGCAGAGTGCCCCACAATCAACCGCTTCACGAATCACAGGAAAGAAGGACCGCAAAGATGGCTGAGCGCCGGCCGTTGCCTGGTCGAAATACCGCACGAAGTGGACTCTGGATGTTCCCTCATTCCTAATTTAGACAGAGTGAAGAAATTTCTGGGCTGCAGGCTAAATTGATTGGCTGGTTTGCAGGCACGACTTCCCAGAGCAGCATTGTGGCCATTCGTCGCTTCACTGGATTTTTGCTTCATTGTTGCCCCAAACGCTGCACTTGCTAATTCCTGACACTGCCCGTGACCCATACGTAACCTTCGTGCGAATAGAATTCCACATGGTGAATATGTGCCAGCAAGAGATAATGTCAGCCAATAATGTAAAGTCAACGTGGTTCAACACATGTAAGAGCCTGGAGTCGACAGCTTTCGTTGGAAGATGCGGCCTCGCCGCTGATGTCAATCATGAATCAACGTCTATGTGTGCGATTGTGAGCGCCTCCACCCGTTCAACTTGCTATCGTTTTTGTTTCAAACATCCCCTAAAGACTATCACAATACCAGCAAGTGGTGGCTGGTAAGGCTCCAGCAAGCAGACTGCTGAGAGGCCGCCAGCAGTGTGAAGGTTGGCTTCAGTAACGGTGATTGTAAAGCTTGAATGAACTATGGCTCACAACAGTGTCAACCCAGCTTCAGGCTATCTTGCAACCCCGAACCTCCGTGTCTCTTTCCTCTTCCCTAGGCCAACGATACCCTGTAGACTTATGCGTACTGTCCAGCCTCCCATATACAAGGTCCCTGTATGTCGTAACTTGAAACGACTTTCGACGGTAGAGAGGGTTTTGAGCTGCCAGGCTTTCACTGTTACATGGCCTACAACGACATCAAGTCTCATGTTGGCACACGACGATTGCGTCCAGGCTCGGATACTGAATATTGCACAGAACACACAGTAGTCCTCAGCTGGGCTGACAGGGTATCAGTCGTGTGCGAGCTCAGCTTGAAGGCCTCCCAAGAAAAGTAACCACAAAACCCTCACACAAGACGGATAGCGGTACTCACCTGCTGACATCTCTGTTCCAACTGAGCAAAGTCAAATGATCATCAATAATCAATAATCAATCGTGAAAGTTGTCCCTCCTCCTTCAGGCCCCTTCTCCATCGCATTAGCAAGCCTAACCCTTGTCTGCCGTTCATCATCCTTCGCGTATTCTGCATCCATGAACACCAGCCTCAGATGATCAGGGACGACCAGATCCTCTTACCCACTACCCTCGACATGCTCGCCTAGCTCTAGTTCCCTCCGTGCGGCACTCTGCTCCAAGGCTAAGGCAATCCTCCCAATACAGCCCGCCAACCGCCCATCGAACATCCCTTCTCGCCTCGAGTGTTTGGCCATAAGTTCAACCGCCTCTCGCCGCAAAGCAATGCATGGCGATGGTGCGCTCGTGCCGATGCGCCAGAGAGCGAAGAGTAGGCCCGGCGCTGCTGAGTATACTGGTGTTGAGGGCGAGGTGAGGCTTAGGAGATGTTTCATGTGTGGCATCATGTTTGTGAAATGCTCGACTGGATCGTGTGAGATTGTGGACAGTGGGCTGATGATATTGAAATGTCGTTGTAGAGGTTCGACAGAGGAGCGCAGCCAGTGGTAGGTATCTGTAACAAGGAGCATGGTCTTGGACGAGTCGTTGGCCGGGAAGTTGATGCTAGGTGCGATAGTGCGGAGGGAGTCAAGTGTGTTGGAAATGCGCTGAAAGCGGGTCACGAGTAAAGCGTGCTCGTGTTCAATGTCGTCTCGGGTGGCAGGGCTCACTACGCAGCTCCTGTTCAAGGCGAGCGTGTCTTTGAGGAGGGTCTCGATGCGGCAGTGTAGCTCGAAAAGTGCCCATGGAGAGTTGGTATCTATGTCAACTGGCTCTGAACATCGCATTGTTTGAACGACGGGCTCCCAGTTCTGAATGTCATTCCAGCCTAAGGTACTCCGTGCTTATATATCGAGCCCAGTGAAGATCGATCGTAGCGAGTTGATGTTGACTGGGTGACTATCTCTGTCATTGTAGCTTTGCAACTTGGTCTCTTTCAACATGCGTATACCGCTGCGGAGGTGATCCAGTGCAGCCTTCTGCTGCCCCTGGAGGTTGGCCATGCTCCCAAACAGGATACAGCAAGTCATGGCTGTCAAATTATCAACTACACCCGTATCGTCACTCTCGATCTGATCTCGAAGCAGTTGTTGGATGGCTTTGTTCGACTGTTGCAAGGTAAACTTCAAGTGCGGGTCTGGCAGATCCAAATCGTTTGGTGTTAGTTTGGATTTAGAGAACCGCCTGTGCATAGCACCCAGAGCAATAATGCAGTGCTGAACAGAGGCATGCTGATGAGCAGCTTGCAGCACTTGGCGTTGCCAGAACGCGGAATTGGACGATCGCGCCAGAGTAGGGCCAGCATGCTTCATGTAAAATTGGAGGTTGATACGCTCATCATCGGAATCAAGACGGAGTAGTGGTAGGAGAAAAGATGGCGCGTTGAAGGAGCGGAGTTCTGACGCGAAGTCGACAACCTCCTGGCTAGGGTTTGGGTGAGGTGGAGATGTGGACGTGGGCGGTATCCTCGTGAGCGGCGAGCGCCGCGGAGTGACGAACCTGGGGTCGTAACCATCACATATCCGGCCTGTGGTAGTACATCGTTTGCAACATGGTTTGGTCTCGTCACATTTGACCCTGCGTATCCTACCAGACGAGCATCAGTATCGTTGCATAGCAATTCACGACAGCGTATGGTAGATTCGTCAAAACGCCCCTCGATGTTCTTGGAGGCAGGGACTAACATCAACTGAGTGTGCACGAGAGTGTGACCGAAGTCAACACTCACTTGCACCTCTTGCATCCTGTCCTAGCTTTAGGTTTGTAGGCTCTTGTTCGAGGTCTTGCTATAAGTGTAGCAGCCATGGCGGAGGAAACGCAGTCCAGCTCCTCAGGTGCACCACAATAAGTTCGACAGAGGTGTGGGCAGATGCGTGCAGTATCTGCAAGCTGACAGGCCAGCAAAGGTGTACGAGATTCTTTGTCTGCGTTCTCGTCAACAAAAGACCTGCCAAATGCATTAGTACAGCACGGACTCGACCGGTTGCATTAGTACAGTGTTGAGGTGCTGCGTCCCACCTTCTACGCAGCGTCAGAGACTAACGGAACGGACCCTGAATATCCCTCCGGTCAACATAGAATTGCGTGAAACGCAAACCTGTTCGCGAGACAGTGAAGAACACCCGGGGATCCACTGCAAAAGAACTGGATCGCCCACTAGGGAGCTATTATGCAGGACTGTTGAAAGATGACCGTGCTGTGGGTCTGCTTTAATTGGATGGCAGCGTTCGCGAGCCTGTCACCGCTCCTTTCGCACAAGTTGTGCAAGGATGTGGGTCGTGACTCCCTATCGAGGTTTCGGCAGCTCCGCTCCTACCTCCAAAATTACAGGCTGGCGGTTGCTCACTGCAACGCCAACGCTCGAGCTTCCACCCCGCGCAGAGTAAACAGAACCAGTTCCAGATTGCAGTTCAGCTGTCCACCATTCTCAGCTCCTCTAAAACCATCGTGGAATCGATATAACGCTTTTATAACCCGTCATAAATTTTGAATCACCTCCCAAATTCTGCACCGACTTTCTGCTTCAAGATGCGCGTCAAGGATGCCCCACGGGCACAGTGGGCACCCGCATACTCCCCGGCTGACACGTACTGTGGCTTCCTGTCGCTGCCGACTGAACTGCGATGTCATATCTACGACTATCTCCTCGCCGAACCTCACGCGATTACCATCTCGGCCGGCTACACGACCGTGTTTGGTCACCGCGTACGCGACAAGGCGCGTAAAGTCGACGTGCCGGGCCTCTCACTCGATCTTGCGCCTCTTGTACGCAGCAATCACGATGCCGCGCTCCTCTCGGTCGCCACACCGCCTGAGATCGCGCTCGACACGGAGGACGCGTGGACCGGTGGCAAGCCACAGCTGCAATTGCCAGGCCCACTTGCCCTGCTGAGGACGTGTCGCATCGTCAACGACGAGCTAAAAGACTACATGCGCGGAAGGAAAGCGCGTAAAGCCCTGCGATCAAAGAACACACCGACAGCCGCGGATGATACCGAAGGGCTGTCTCTATATGTCTCGTACCCTTATGGCGTCATGGTGCTCAACCACCTGTATCCGTCTCTCCTCAAACAAGCGCGATTCGTCTACATCTCCGGACACTACACAACCGCCAAGGAGACTGAATTGCCGCTCAATGCTTCCCTCGACTCCAACGCGAACCTGAGCCTCACACCACAATCATCCTTCGCGACAACGCCTGTACGATCCATGTACCGCGAAAGATCACATACCACGAACGGCACGCCACGCCTACGGTCGAGTCGAACGCGTCTACGTCTCGACGCCCCGCTACAGCAACAAACACCACTTGCCAAATCCTCCAACACGTTTCCTGCGATGGACAAGGACACATCCTCCGCCGCCCTCGCGGCTCTCGCAGATACACTTCGCGTCCTTTTCCCTTCCTATTCCGCGCCGACTCCTGCCACACCATCACCGCTCGTCTCCTTGCAAGCACGCTTTCTCTACCCTGGCGCAGAGTCATACTCCAGCGTCTGGAGTGATGAGTCGAGTCCTGTTAGCCACCTCTTACGCGGCATTTGTGGCGGTAAAATCGACATGCAAGTGAAGCGTGGAAGCCTTGGATGCGGTGTATCCGTTGGCGTCATACCGCAGGCAGACAAGCGCGTCGTGAGCACGAGCTGGGAGAACTGGCGGGTCATCGAACAAGCGCCCGTGGGTCTGAACGGACGGCGAATGACAGGCCGCGGCCGAGAAGTGCGGTTGAGCGACCTTGACTCGTTCCTGACTGAGGTCTAGAGGGTGCAGAATTGGAAACGGTGGCCGCTTTGGTAATGTTGTGAAAGGAGCGATTGTGTTATGGAGCTTGGTTGAGAAGCTCTTGAGGGTTTGTTTGGCATGATGCTTGGATACGGATACGATGTTGCATGTGAAGTTGCATTATGATGGCTACGACGGAAAGCAAAGGGAGACTGCTGGCAGTCAGCACATCATGGTGAGGGCTTATATTATAAGCTCCAGGGACTGGGTAAGCAGTCCAAGGTACTATTTCTATGTCTCGATATCAATGTAAAACCAGGAATCACCATGTCATTGGCCTGCATGCTTTGTGGTGGTGGACATGTCGTGATTACTAGTCTGACAGTCGGTACATGTTCGTTCAATCTTCATCACTGTCTTCTTGTCTCTGCTGCTCAGCCAGTCTCTGCGCATCTTGCCACTGCATTGCAAATTCGCGCATCATGCCCTCCCCGCCACTCGCTGCATCGACCACGTCGCGGGGCATCTTGTGCGCGCTGTACTGCGGCGTCGTGAATCCGTACGCCTCAGGATCATCTTTCCGTACCAGCCTGAACTCCGGCTGCCAGATGTCCTCGACATCTTCTTCATCTGAGCTCTCAGAGTCGCTCGCGCTTTCGATGTCGTCGAGCGATATGAATGTCGTGCCTCCGGTTGTCGTACCGCCAGCTGATGCGATGGGTATGCGCACCACCTCTTCCTTTCCGTCGAAGAGTTTGGCCTCAGGCACCTCCATGGTAAGCAGCTCCATCCACGAGAACAGGAGCGGATCTGTGCGCTGCGCCCAGGGGTTGAAATCCACAACCCACACCCTGTCGTGCGGCGGCGGGATATACACGTCAAAAGTGAAGTTGGGATCCGGGAACGAATCTCTCAGCTTTGAATCGAAGAGCTCCTGCACGCGCTGCCTCAGCTTGTCCTGCATGCCGAACAGAAAATCGAAGTGGTTCAGATCCCGCTGGCAGAGTGCGATGAGTTGGCGGTTCCGCACGAAGCACCGGAACTCGACGCTGGGGTTGAGGTTGATCCACTTGCGCAACACAAGGTGGTAGGGTATCTCGGGATGCGGGGTCGTGTGCTGGTCCGCCGTGTCGTCGAAGGCGTGGGCCAGGTCGTGGGTGATGAAGTCGCTGCTCTTCAGCAGCAGGTAGATGTCGTTGGGCGTCGTGCACTCGATGCTGTTGGTGGCGGCGATCCAGGTGGCATCTTTGGGCGCGCTCCAGTTCAGTTTCGGCGCGACCTTGCCGCCCAGCTCTTCGATTGTGCGCTCGATTGCGTCGTGCGTGTCGCGCCAGTGGATGCTTGGGTCTAGCTCGGCTTCTTCGCCGCCGTCATTGTTGTCGGCGCCGGAGAAGATGCCGCTGTCGTCGTCAGACCATGTTGGGTTGTCTGTGTCCTCGGGGGGCAGCACGATGCCGTCGGACCGGAGGTAGTCGAGGAAGGCGGCCGGCAGGGGCACGAGGCGCGCTTTCGGTGTGACGGCGCGGTACGTGGGATGCCAGCTGTGGTAGGAGCAGTTGAGGATATGCTGCTTGGTGACGGGCGGGAACGGCAGCTCGGTGAGCGGCTCCTGGGTGCTCATGGCGGGCGATACATCGAAGGGGCCATCTTTGTGTGAGTCGTCATCTGGGTCGCAGGAAATCTAGTGGGGCAAACGCCCGCAAGTGCAACTGAAAGCACTGGGTAGGCCCCACCCACCTCCGCGCTCCGCATGTGCCATGTGCGCCGATGCGTGAAGACTACCACAGGCATCACAATCACATCGCACGTCATGGCCGACAACGTGGGACTCACGACGCCACGGGGCAGCGGCACCTCCGGCTACGTCCAGAAGAACCGCTCACTGCTCAGACCGCGCGACAAGATTGCGCCGTACCAGAAGGATTCCGACCACGCACGACACCGACCGCGCCAGCCAGACGCCGAGATCCTCGAGCATGAGGCCAAGCGCGACATCGAAGTCAAAGTCTTCGAGCTGAGGGACAAGCTTGAGGAGGACGGGTTTGTTGAACCGTGCATACTCCCACGTCACAGGCACTGACCGCTCGCAGTGTCGACGAAGACGAGATCGACGACCAATGCGAAGCCCTGCGCCGGAAGCTCGACCAGGACCGGAAAGACGGGAGAGACCTCGGCCCCAACGCCAAACGGCTGAAGTCGCATCAGGTCCACGACCTTGCCAAGGCAAAGGCCGAAGAGAGCGACAGGATGAGGAAAGCACTGGGCATCAGCGAGGACTACGAGGAAGGCAGTCACTGGCGGAAGCAGGAGGAGCGGCTGCGCGAGTCGCTGGCGAAGCGCGAGGCTGAAGACGACGAGAAGGCCGAGCGAGCGAAGGATGCGCGCCGGTACAGGGAGGATGACTCTGACTGAGCTGTACGCATGTTGGCACATTGATACCCTAGACACGCGCGCAGCCTTCGACGAGCGCCAACAAGTTGCCTCAGTGGCTATCTGGCGCCATAAAAAGATGCCGAACTCCTTGGCTTGACTTTGTCGTCGATGAGCAACTTGGGGCAGGAGATTGGAACGGTGAAGAGGTCAGCACTGCGTCCAATACTGCAGCATGTAACGTCCCTCCCTGCGTGCTGGGACACCCTACGTGCTGGGACGCGAACATCATTTTCGCATCCTAACTCTCTTCCCCTTCAATACTTAGAGTCGCAGTTAACGTCATATTATTCTTTATAGATTTAAGCTCCTAAATCTAGCTAATAACTTACGTGGATTCAAAGCACACTTAGTAGACTATAGTTACATAGCTCTACTAAGGAAATCTGTGCATTAGGATAGACACAGACAAAGTTATCTAGCTAGGCTTGTATCCTACATCATATACGCAGGACAAAGTATTAATTTAAACAAGTAGACCTTAATGCATCCCATTCATGCCAGTCTTAAGAAATAACATGGGATGAACTGCTGCAAGCAAGTGAAGCAAAGGATCTGCAGATAGGGGACTGACTTTGCTATAGGACGTCTACGCTGCGCGCGTTTAAGTCATGTAAGTTGTTAATAGAGCGAATTTGTTTACAATCTAACACTAAAGAGATTCGCGTCTGCTAATTCATTCTTAAGCACTTTGCTAGAACTCTAAAAAGACCTTAGAGACAAGCTGAAGATCCCTTTGTTCTTCTTTAATAGGATGTACCTTCAACCAAGCGGCTTTTGCGGGTACGACGTCTGGCTAGGTAAGAACAAGGAAGTGGAGTTCTACAGTATGTACTGTAGCGCTGGCAAAAGTCATATCTCTGTTGGACTGTCGCTCATCAGGCCCCAGCGCACTGGTCCTGCTTCACTGTCAAGCAGACGTACAACAAGCTCCAGCCGAAGAGCACGTTCACAACACACGTTTCCAACCATCACAATAGCGCCGGCGATTGGAAAGCTGACATTGCTATTCATGGGCCGCAGATCGCGCGGCATGGGTGGGAGTGGTACGAGGTGGGGTTCTTCGCATGCTGGACGCAGTCCGGGTCGCTCACGCTGCTGTGCTTCGATCTGCCTGCAAAGTCGCAGTCACATATCCAGTCATTGACCTGGCTGCAGGACGTGTCTCGCTCTTGTCCGTACGCCGTGTTTCCGCAGGTCTTGGATGCGCTGCTTCGGCTGAATGATGACTTGGTCTGGGCGATCCAAAACCACATCAGCCAGTGGGAAGCAGTAAGTTTTGTTTGACGCGCCTGTCGCTAGCATCAATGAGGCTCACGAGTGATAGAGGAGGTTGCTAGAGACTGACTACTTTCTCTTACATAAAATCGCGAGACACGAGGTGCACGTTAGCGAGACTCTCAGCGTAGCCATACGGTCTCTCAACGCCATGCAGCATCACTATGAGCGATTTGGTGCAAACAGCGACCTCGCGCGCAGCAAGAATGGCCTCACACGCTGGGACAAAGTCGGCAGTCGCTTCGAGTTCCAGCTCGGCATTCTACAGGACTTGCTCCAGCGGTCTGAAGCGAACAAAGCGCGCATCTAGAACGAGATCACTCTAGTAAGTGCAATCTACGACAGGTAGTATCCATCCCTCCCAGAAGCTCACGAGATTAGGCTTTCAACGCTGCTGCACAGAGGGACAACAAGGTGCAGCTGCAGATAGGAGAGGAGGCGAAGAGAGAAGCGTCAGCGATGAAGGCGATCGCTGTGGTCACGATGACCTTTTTGCTAGCCACCTTTGTTTCTGTGAGTATCCCGGTTTCTACATACTGGTTGCTATCCGTCTATGTGTGGTTAACACGTCCTGGTGCGCAGACGATCTTTGGGACCAACTTCTTCTCGTTTGAGCCTGGCAGAGACGCCAGACGATCGTCGTTTGCCGTGTCCCATCAGTTCTGGATATACTGGGCGCTTCCTGTTCCGCTGACTATTGCAACGCTTGATTTGTGGCTCTGGTGGAGTCGCTGGGCTGAGCACTTGCAGTTCTCAAGGACTAAATCTGATAGCCGTCGCGCTAGACACATTGCGCCGTAGGAACAGGTCGACTGTAACTCAGACGCGCAGAATGACATACTATATTGCGGTGTTGATAGAAAAAAGCTTTAGCGACAACAAAGTGCTTCTCCAATCCAGCAAGGCTGAGTGGAAATGGTGACACGGCTGGAATGTGGCCAAGTGCTGCTGCCTAAGCGGCTCTCCCACCACTTACAGCCATTGCTTGCTACCAACTACAATGCCTCATAAACCTGCCTTGCGTCACTTTTTGTACCTAGAAACTGTCGCAAAAGACAGCGGCTCACTACTATGGCCAAAAACCACCACTTCACTATAGGGTGGATCTGTCCGCTCTCGCTCGAGCAGGAGGCCGCAAGGCTGGTGCTGGACGAAGAGTATCCGCAAGAGGAAGTCCAGTACCAGAACGTATACTACCTGGGCGGCCGAATTGGAAAACACAAGGTTGTCATGGGAGTGCAGCGAGGGATAGGACTTGAATATGCGACGTCCCTTGCTGAGAGGATGCGCGCCGGCTTTCCTAACATCAAATACTTCCTCCTTGTCGGCATCGCTGGCGGCGTGCCTCGCTACGGGCCAGCTGGTGCAGGAAAAAATATCGTGCTTGGAGACGTGGTGGTCAGCTCCCCTCGAGGCAACCATGGCGGGGTGTTGCAGTACGACAAAGGCGCATGGGAGGGTCAAGGGCGACTGAACTATCGCGGACACATTAACAGCGTTCCTGGCGACCTTTTAGCTGCAGTCAACAACTTCCGCGCGGAGGGCTGGTCTAAGACAAACATTGCAGAGGTCCTGGGGCAGATGCGGGGCAAGCTGGACGATGAGCGAGAGCACCAGTACGACGACCCAGGCGCCGACGCCGACCGGCTCTTCCAGGACACTTACAAGCATCAAGGCACAGAGTCTGAAGACTGCAGTGCACACTGCGACGCAAAGTACATCGTCTCACGTTCTGCTCGCGGAGAGGGAGCTAAGCGATCGGTCGACAAGCCGTACGTTCACTTCGGCAACATTGCATCCAGCAACCAGCTGCAGATATCTGCCGTCGAGCGCAACAGAGTGCAGCAAGAGCATGAAGCCATCTGCTTTGAGATGGAAGCAGCAGGAGTGATGCACGAGTATCCGTGCGTCGTCGTTCGGGGCATCTGCGACTATGCAGACTCGCACAAGAACAAGGGCTGGCAGAACTACGCGGCAGCTACCGCGGCAGCGTACGCTAAAGGGCTGTTGTCTAGGATTCCGGCTATAGATGCTACAAGTAGTGCGCGGGCTAAAGAACAGCCTCTACCTCAGCAAACTGCAAGCACGCAGAACAACACCTTCGGCAACAGCAGTGACAGCATCCAGGCCGGAATCATCAACGGTAACATCCAGTTTGGGCGACGTTGAGTTTTGGGGTTGCAGCTCGTGGCAAAGTAACGATATATATCAATACCTGAGATACTCTTGAAACACTCTGAGATGCAATACTTTAATGCAGTGCGGCAAGGCTTTAGATAAAAGCCGAGTGCAGGCCTGGCGGCGTGATCGGGACGAGGACGCAAAATAACTTGACTCCAGCCGTGGACTTCGCGAGTGACGGATTGAGATTGTCAGGCTGCATGGCCGCCAGGCTGAGCCCAAGGAGCGCTGTGTCGCAGGCCATCACCGCAGACACTGCATCGCTGATGCACGCGCTGTAGCATCAATGCCATGGCCTCTACGACATCGACCGCAACCTACGGCAACGCCGACCGTAGCCTCCAAGTTCACACCATCAACGGCTCTGTTGAGTTCCATGTCCCTCTGGGTAAGTTGCAAGGCCGCCCGCAAACTCTTCGTAAGAATGGATCGCTGACACCTCGACGCTAGGCTACGAGAGCACCCTTGGTCGTCTCCCGCAAGCTGCGGACGCGCCCTTCAACTCATTCGCAACGCAGCACAAGCCTACCTGCCTCCCCGACACGCGCGTCGACCTCTTGCACAAGATACAGAGCTGGGCGGACGGAACAGATGAGCGGTGCGTCTTCTGGCTGAGCGGCCTGGCGGGCACGGGCAAGTCGACGATTGCGCGGACGATTGCGCGCCGGTACCACGACAGCAAGTGTCTTGCCGCTAGCTTCTTCTTCTCGCGCGGCGGCGGCGAAGTAGGCCATGCGGGCAAGTTTGTGACGAGCATCGCACTGCAGCTTGCGCGCAATGTGCCAGCATTAAAGCAGCGCATTAGCGACGCAGTTGTAGAGCGCGATGATATTGCTAGTCAGTCTTTGCGCGACCAGTGGCACCACCTTGTCCTTGGTCCGTTGTCGAAGCTTAACGACAGGGACTGCCCAGCCTCACTCGTTCTGGTTGTGGATGCGCTCGACGAGTGCGACAGCAACGAAAACATCCGCATCATCGTGCAGCTGCTGGCCGAGGCTCCATCACCAACAAGGGTCCGGCTGCGGGTGTTGCTGACAAGCAGGCCAGAGGTGCCAATCCGACACGGATTCTGCGAGATGCCAGATTCGAAGCATCAGGACATTGTGCTGCACAACATACCGCGGTCTATTGTCGACCAAGACATAGCGCTTTTTCTACAACACAACCTCCAGCTCATTGCACGGGAATGCTATTTAGATGCTGGCTGGCCAGGTGTAGAGATTGTTACACAGCTCGCTCAGAGTGCAAGCGGTCTGTTCATCTGGGCAGCAACTGCCTGTCGCTTTATCTGTGAAGGGCTATTCGCGGATGAGAGGCTTCGTATACTTCTTGCAGGCAGTGTTTCTAGTAATCCAGTCGGGCCAGAAGAACAGCTTACCAAGATGTATCTCACGGTATTGCAGACCTCAATTCGTCACGGATACAATGCGCAAGAGATGACCGTATATTATAGCACACTACGACTCATCTTGGGAAGCATTGTAGCATTGACCTCGCCACTGCCCGTAGGATCTTTGAGTGCGCTGCTACGTGTACCAAAGCACAAAGTAGACCAGATGTTAAGGGATCTGCACGCCATTCTTGACATCCCAGATGATCAAAGCCGGCCAATCCGCCTACACCACCCTTCGTTCCGCGACTTCCTGCTCGACAAAGGGAGATGCAGCGACAACAGCTTCTGGGTAGACGAGAAGAGCACACACGAGAAGCTGGCGTCCTGTTGCCTTGAGCTTATGTCTGGGCAAAGCGGCCTTCGTCAAAACATGTGCAGCCTTGTAGGCCCTGGAGCGCTGAGAAGTGAGATCAACGATGGGGCAGTTGCTAGCAGTCTGCTACTTGAATTGCAGTATGCTTGCCGCTACTGGATTAGACATCTTGTACAAAGTCAGCAGCACGTTGTCGACAAAGACACGACGCACCTGTTTCTCCAGAAGCACTTTCTCCACTGGCTAGAGGCCATGAGCCTCATGAGAGAGTCAAGCAGATGCGTTCACCTGCTTGATAGCCTCCAGGCACTTGCAGGCGTAGGTCCTATACTCAATTTGTCTTAATGCTGTGCTAACATGCAAGATAGCCATCTGTAAGCATTGTTCAAAGCTTTCTACACGACGCAAAGCGATTTGTGCTCCGCTTCCAGTCTATCCTTGCAGATGCGCCGCTGCAAATATATTGCTCCGCACTTGTGTTTGCACCAGAGCGGAGTCTGATACGACAAAATTTTGTGGACCAAGTGCCAGAGACGGTCAACATGCTGTCTATGAAAGAAGTAGACTGGGATGCCTGTCGCAGCACGCTGGAGGGCCATTCCGATTGGATTACGGCGGTGGCCTTCTCGCCAGACGGGCAGCTGGTCGCGTCGGCATCCCACGACAAGACAGTACGGCTGTGGGAGGCGGCCACAGGGACGTGTCGCAGCACGCTGGAGGGCCATTCTGATTGGATTACGGCGGTGGCCTTCTCGCCAGACGGGCAGCTGGTCGCGTCGGCATCCG